ACAAAGGGAAGAACATTTTGAAGAGACATGCAAGTTGTTTTTTTCAGCAAGGATTGCAAACATTATTTTGTGGGTGAATCTCATTGGGGGTGGTGAAAATTCTCAACTTTATGGCTCTCATGAATTTTACAGCGGAAAAATTGGTATTTTTTCCTCCACTGTGACACTCAGTTTTCCATTCTGTCTCGTCAATGAATAATAAATTGAAGATGCTCTCCTCACATGATACCCTTCTTGTTTATGCATAAATGCCATAATACTTAAAATACACTCTTTTCGTCTGCACCACAAGAAAATGTCGACTCTTCGTGCCCCATGGCAAATTGCAATTAGGCGTTATCTATAAATAGATAAGGCAAATAGAGTGGTGAAAAACAGTGATGAAGATCAAAGAGGAGGAACAATATTTTATACCATGGTTCACACCGTTTAGACGCTTTATGGGTGACGACAAGGGAAAGATAATATGGCTAAAATCTGTACACCTGATTGTTTGTTTTATAACTTTGATTTTCAGTCTCTCTGCTTTTAATTTCACTTTTAGATATCAGTATTTATTGTTAATTATAATGATTCTAGCCTAAAATTTGGTATTGAAAATTAAAATTTAAGGTTATATTTGATTTGAACTCTCTTCGCGTTCAGAATCATGATTTGCATTGAGTGCAAACACGCAATTCTACACTTATGAATGCAAATAATTGCATTTTCAGTGAAAGATTTTCCATCTTAAACTCTTTTTCGTCCTAAATAGATCACATAACCTAGAAAATATGTGTTCAAATGAAGAAATTGATAAGAATTGATTCACAATTCGTATGAAAAGATTACTTTTTGATTATAATGAAAAATGAGGTTAAAATCAGTCTAATTTTTTAGTTTATTACCCTGAAAATCAACCGAAAACTATAACTGAAATCATAGAAAAATTTGTCAAAATTAGCAGAAAATCAAAGATTAAATATTTCAAAAATTAAAATACTTCCATTTCCTAAAACTCCTTCTGATCTGTACACCACTTCTTGCCATATTACTTCCTCCTTGGGTGACGAAAAGAATGCTGGCTCCGCTGGCAAATTAGGAGGCGCTCGGCATTGAATTAGGTGACAGAGAACCTTGCAGAATTGGAGACTCTTATAAAGCACAAAATTCGGCATTTTGCATTGTGTGAAATTTACAATACGCAGTCTCACTAATTGGATATTGAGTAATTTTGCATATCAAGGAAGTACTTTTGCGTTTTTTTCCTGCCTCTTCTGAAATACGTGGCTCGAATCTGCGGAAGAATGATTACTGAGGGTTGAAGAGGGAGGTGAAAGGAGAACTGTATTCATTGTATTCGTGAGTGGAGATGCTGCACAAAAACATCCTCTCGTCTAAAAGAAATATTATTAATCATAATTCCCTATTCATACATTTTTGATCCCCTGTCAAATGGTGGTGCATTATTTAATGCGGTGTGCAGGAAGCAGAGGATGAGCACAATAAAATTGTGTGGTGTGTAAATGGGGTTGAATTTCGTGCTCTTGCTGGCGGCAAATGAATTTCGTTGTGGCTGAAGTGGCTTGGAAAAAAAAGAAATGCCTCTGAATCGGCGCTGTTCATATTAACCAAGAGAAAGAGAGTCTTTCGCACAACATTGGAGTTTGCCTCGCAGTGCGACAAATTGAGCTTTAGTTCAGATCATCCCCCGGCTTGAGTATATATCTCTCCCAGTGCTGTCATCGTTATGTCGTCACATCCCTCACAGCAACAACATCCCCCGCAACAACATTGGAGCGAAAAAGAGAGCTCGCACGACTAATTAGCGAATTACGAACAATGCGCGGCAAAGGCCTTCGGTTATTGTTAATGTTGTGTTGAGGATTTTGTGCATTGTTTCCTCCCTCGAGCATTGGCGGGATGGTTTCATTAACCCTTCCTCACACTCCGGACCATCGCAGCCAATCGCATTCGAGTAATGGCTTTAATTTTCTCGTGTGCTTGCAATTTTATGAAGGATTTTTATTGAGACGCACATGGGGGCCCATCTGCTGATGAAGTACTGGCTCACAATGATTTTTGCATACACACACGCACACACAATGTTGAGATTTAGAAGACCTTTTGCTTTTACAGCACGTCAGCCTTCGGGCTTTCGCCATCGCTGCTTTAACGAAATAATACATTGTGCGAAAGTTAAGGTGTTGTCCAATGTCTGAGGAGTCTTCGGTGATTATCCATTTGATTTGTAGAATTTCCCCTTGATTTTTATTCAGCTGTTCTTCATCTCAAAATCAACAGCTTCTGAAGAAGACACTCGATACATTTCCTCCGGGGCTTATCAAGTTAGTGCTTTTTATGTTGTAGTCCTGCTGAACATAGAAATCATGTTTGAATATAACTAATTAATTTATTGCGAAAAGAGCTACAATTTTCCATCTTCATCTCTCTCTCATCGCATTGTGCCTCGCAAAGACTGGGCGCAACACCAAAGAGCGAATGAGGCCCCCAGGGCGGCGCGAAAGAGCGTGAGGAGTTGGGTGAAAAGACACCCATCATAAAGCAGATTTTCCATCAGAAGAAACGTGAAATATCCTCATCATAAAAGCGCTGTCTCCTCGTATCATTTCCATTTCCCAACACACGATATTAAGTGCAAAAACCCACCATAAACATTAAGAGAGTCATCGCTGGCAATAAAATTTTTACTGTGCATTGAGACTGAATTTCCACAATTTTTATATTTATCGACAACTCAAAGTGTGTCCCTACGACTTTTATCATCCTGTCACATGCACACTCACACACACAAACACACTCCTTATATGGCTATCAAACTCCGGGAGCTCGAGGGGTGGCCGAGAAGGGATGCCCTCCGCAGCTGGCGAACAAAGACTTGGTGGAAAAGTGCATTTGTAGCGCGCGACTTGATGCGAAATTCCAGTGGTAAATGACTATGAGATGGTTCTCCTTTGGCTGCTCTCGGATCCATAAAAGAAGATTGAATCACCGTGGAGGGAGGACAATTTTATTGGACTTGTACGTGCATTGGCAAAATTTAGACGTATAATCACACTCTCCTTCTGGCCATCCACCCCACCATATCATCTCTTTTATTTATGCAATTTCACCACACAACCAGGAAGTTTCAATAAACCATGAGACGAGTGCATGAGTCATGAGTCACGATGAAGGATACCTACACTCAAAAACCCCACCAGAGTTGCTCGATTGAATGCTCCGAGGATTTTTATAGTTGCTATTAAAGTAATTCAAACGAGATATAAATATTTTAGGCAAACAAATGTGCATTGAAATTTATAACTGGATAAATTCATGCAGCAAAATTAAATCCGTAATTTAGAATCACTCTTTAATCTTCCTTCAACAACTCTTGGCCATTCCATGAGCGAGGAAAATGTTGTCTTCCAATAGAGAGATTCCTTTCTCCTTTTTGTGTTCCTCCTTCGTGTGTTCTTGGGTGTTTAAATAATTTATTTAATGGACTTTGAGTCATACAAACAGGTGGAAATTGAAATGCGACAAAAGTAAATTTACACATGATGCTTAATTGTCTCTCTGCGGAGTTTATTTCAAACGGCAACTTTTGAAAGTCGGATGGCCGCGCGCCTCCTTCTTGGAAATCTCGTCATTTCCGATGCGCTAAACAACTCCACACTGATTAGTGTATTGCATTTGGAGGCCGCTAAGGCACAACAAAGGGCCGACCTGTGGACACACGGCGTGATTGAGAATAAACATTGGGCAAAGAGTTTATACACATCGCGCGCATTTTCGGACGCATGGATCTCTCATGATGGGCCCAAGAAGCGCGCCCCCACAGTGTCTGGGGGGGAGGAGAAAGAGAGGGCGGCCAAATTAGCTGGATAACTACTTTGTTTGTGCTTCTCATGCTCCAGATTTTTCTCTGTCCTCCACAGAAGTCACTCCTCATCCTTGGCAGCTGTTTTCCCGCCAAATGGACCGTGTATACAAATGTCTCTGTTGCAATCAAAACATCCACCCACCCCTCGAGTTTCCTCCCTCTTGGAGGCACAGTGAGAGAGAGAGAAAATTGATACTTAATTGGGAAATTGGGCGGAAATTCAGACCGACATCTTCTGCCTTTTGGCAATAATCAACAGATACAGCACGCATGGCGCTCGATGGTCTCACATTAATGGGAGTGTGAGAAAGAAAATCTGAGAATTTGATATTCGGATTGTTTGATTTTCTCATTTTTTTCCTCTATTTGTTTTTCCCAGCGTCTCAGGCAATGTTTTAGCCCTTTTACTATGCTTTTTCTTCGTCTTTCTCTACCTTCTCTCAGCGACTCTGGGCAAAGAGATGAGCTCATTTTCTACACAAAACCCGTGATTTTGCGTAAACTTTTGCTTATAACTTGAGAATTCAAATATGTATGACCAGAAATTCCAAGACATTATGAATATTTCCCTTTTTATGCAATTTCCTGAATCTCATTCAACACACCTGAAATCTGCGTGGAAGTGTTTTAGGTCAATACAAAGTGCCTAAATGAATGGTATCTTGTGCAATAGACCAAATACAATAACTGGAAGTAAAAAAAGATCTCTGTTTCTTATCAAAAGGCAAATTTTGAGACTCGCGTGTACTTTGAGATTACAGAAAAGTCATGTATTTTTCAACTAATTGATCGTTAATTGTTGGGCTTGGGTAAATGTTGAGCGCACGCGGTGGAGACTTTTGCGTTTGTCAATTGCGGAAAAGTTTTTTGAGAGGAAAATTCTGTATAAATAATAAATTAGAGACTTTGGAGCACAGCCGTTTCCCTTCTGCTGTGCCATTCATGTTTTCCGTTCTGGGGTGGAGTTGTGTGAGCAAATATTATTAATTGAGTCAATTCCGATGTGCGCACAAGAGCGCTTAAGTCAATGCTTAATTGCCAAAAATTTCCCCGCAACATGACAAAGTGTGTGTGTTTGCATTTAGAGAAATTGCATAAGCTAATTGGCCTCCAATTTTCTTCACCCCAACAGGCAACTCCCGATCATCCCCTTTTACTACTCACACGGCGGATTGCACAGTGAACCGTCACAGAAGTTGGTCAGAAGTCAACTGTGCAACAATTACGAGAACTCCTCATTCGACGTCCGCCGATTGTGTGCCATCAGCAATAAAGCCATTGAGGTGAGTTTGGCGTATTAGAGCGGAATCGGGAGAAATTAATCAAAATGTCTCTGCCGCAGATTGTTGTGCGAGGAGCAAGGATCGGCATGGAGGAGTGTCAGTATCAATTCCGTCACAGCAGATGGAATTGCACAGCAACGCCCAATTCTACGTCGCTCTACGGCGAAGTTCCGCTGACCAGTAAGGAAAAAAGCCTCCTTATTTGCTGCAAAACTCTATGGATTCCTCTTTTCTTCACTTTTTCCTCTTGCAGAGAGTCGCGAAACTGCCTACATTCACGCCATCAACGCCGCAGCTCTGGCATGGTCCATGACCCAGGCTTGCTCCAAAGGTGAACTCACAGAGTGCGGCTGCGATAACACCAAGCGGAAGCGGAAGAAAAAGTGGCAATGGGGCGGATGCTCAGACGTGAGTTCACGAGAAAGCTCTCCTTTGGGTACTTAACTAAAGAATTTCCCTCTCTTTCTCCAGGACATCAACTTTGGCGTGCAATTCTCGCGGAGGTTCATCGACATCGAGGAGGACAACAGCACAGAGACTGGCCTCATGAATCTGCACAACAACGAAGCTGGCAGGAGAGCTCTGCGCTCCAGGATGTATCTCATGTGCAAATGTCACGGAATGTCGGGCTCGTGCACAACCAAAGTCTGCTGGAAGCGCATGCCGACCATGCGTGTGGTCAGCGAGGCTCTGGGGCAGCTCTACGATGGAGCATCTCACGTGAAGGTGAGTTTGAATTAACCAACGCGCAGTTGAAATTCTAACTGCTTAATTGCAGTTTATCTCTCGCGGAACAAAGCCACCAAAGCTGAAACCCAAAGAACTCGATCACAAGAAGATCATGAAGACAGGATTGGTGTACTTGGAGGAATCTTCTGACTACTGTGAACGCAACGAAGAGTAAGAGCTTGAAGATCGCGTGAGCCATTTGGTGGCCCAATCTAACCACTTTCTGACTTCCCAGGCTGGGCATTCTTGGGACACGCGGCCGCCTGTGCAATCGAACATCGCCGGGCATCGACGGATGTCGTCTCCTGTGCTGCGGCCGTGGCTACCAGACGCGCGTCCGACATGTGGAGGAGAAGTGCAACTGCCAATTCGTGTGGTGCTGCAAAGTCAAGTGCGACATGTGCAATCACACGCGAGAGGAGCACATCTGTAATTAAGAGCGCAAGAGCCAAAAAATCCATTGTGACAATTCAGCATAGTTGGGTTATTCTTTGAGTTAAGGAAGAAGAAGGAAAAAAAATGTATTAACTTTCTCATTTTTATCATGTGTAGTACGCTGTATATATATTTATAGAACTTCCTTTGTGAGATATAAGTTATTTATTGCCAATATGGCGGATCACTTCGATGCATCTTTGACTTCATACCGGATAAAGTACTACTTACATTAGCTTTACACATCTCCTTAGAGCACACGCGCACTTCATATCGAAAGGCACTTTGCGAATAGACACGTTTTCCCCTCTTAGTTCGCCTGATCTTAGATCTTTAGCCTGCAGTATAAGTACTTAAAAAGTTTCGATGAAATGGAGTAGAAAAGTCGAAAATTTCGTATTAGATTTTACCTTCATTTTCTCACATGGTTATCGAATTCCGTGAAAAACTACTCAAATCCTGATTAAATTACCCGAACGACGATCAACCGCGATTTCACTCCAGAAAGACATGTTCATCCCTCAATTGAAAGAAACTGTTTTCTTCTTGTTCATCGGACTGGAGAATTCGTAATAATTGAAGAAAAATACCAAAGCTTCACTCATTTTTTTATACACACTAAGAAAACAAGTAAGAGAAGAGAAACTAAAAAATAGACATAGTAGTTATAACTAGAAAATAGCGAGGAAGCAAGTTAAATAAGTATTAAAAAAAAAGAAAGAATGAAATTGGAAAGGAGATAAAACAATAAGGAAAAAAAATACTAAATTATGCAATTAATACTCAGAAAATAGTATTCATGGATTAGAATTCCGCTTCGAAAAAAAACACAGAGAGAATAAAAAAAAACCGTGTAGATGTATAAAAATGGATGTAATTAAAGTAATTTATTGTGTAACCTTCAATTTAAGATAGCAATTTTAGCGATGAAAACCACGGAGAAAGCACAATTTTCTGAAAATATTAGAAAGAAAAGAAAAATCAAAGGCTGATGAAGTTTTTTCCAATGTGAAGTATTTCGTATTGAATTTGTCTCCAATAGACATCATAAACGCATTTAAAAGTATGATGATGAAAAATTTGTGTATGAGATGTAGTAATAAAAGTTTCAAATCAGATAATAAACGGTTTCTCTACTCGAGCAGCAATTTGTATGCGAAGCGTGGGGATGTTCAGCCGGGTAGCTGACAGCATCTCTGATGTCATTGCATAACCTCAAAGTCGCGCTGATTGAATTGCACTCGAGCCTCAGTAATCCGAGTAATCCCTAATTTTTCCTCAATGTTCTCGTGATTCCAGTGAGTGCAACGGCAAACAAAAGTCCCACATGTCTAAGACAATGGATGAAGAGGAGGAAATCGATATAATTGGGGATTACGAGAGAGAAATGTAAGTGAAAATGGGGAAGAAAAGTGTCTTGTTTACATTTTCTGTCTTCGTTCACCCAGCTCAAATATCAGCTCCGGGCAGATACTCTCCTGCGAGTACACTGTGCATCCCCGGTGGCTCACGGACAATGCGGACTTGTGGGCAGATAGCAGTGGAAAGGAGTCTCAGTCGAGGGAGCCAATTGAAACCATCGAATTGGCGGAGATCAATGAACTGGAGTGGTCCAATCAGCACGCCTGTGAGAATTTTATCGTTCTGGACAAAGATATCCCGGTGACAATAGAGGAGGAAGTTGTGGCATCGTCGTCAGGTGCTGGAAAGGGTGCCAAGAAGAAACTTCAGCCACACCCGCGAAGTTTGCTGAAGAAATCCTTCCTCCCAGACGAGATCTCAGCGGAGAATGCGTCTCATGAGAAGCTGCAGCAGTCGCCGGAGGCGCACGCCCGCCTCCGGTCACTGTCGGAAGCGAGTGACTGTGATAGTGAGAGAGTGACTAAAACCACCTCGCCACGGATTATGCCGACAATCCCCGTGAAGATGGCTCGCCGGGAAAGCCCAAAGAAGAGAAGAACTAAAGGAAAACACTCAAGTCGACCGCCGAGGCATAAGAAAAGCGACAGACAAGACTTCGGAGAGAACATCACAATCATCCACGATGTCACGAAGGGTGCAGAGTGTCAGGAAGGTTGGCTGGGCAGGGATTTCAATGTGAAAATCTCCCGGGAGGAGATAGAAAGTGACGAGGAAGTGGACATAGAGACGGAAGACAGTCCAGCCGAACTACAACCATCGGTTCCCAAAGAAGAGACATCAGTGCCCAGAGAAGAGACGAAGTTCCCCGGGATTCAGACTCAGAGACCAGAAGTGCCGCAGAACATCCGAGAGATTCTCGACAGCGTCGACATTCCGCATGAGGAGCAGAAAATCATCCCCACGGAAGTCACTCCGGTTGAGAAGTACTTCTTTGCCGAATTCTTCGACGGACGAGCCACGAAGACACCCGATCGCTTCCTGAAGATTCGCACGCACATCCTGAACTCGTGGACGAACGGGAAGCCAGTGTATGTGGGAAAGACGGCAGTGAGAACAGGACTGAAGAACTGTGGCGATGTGAACTGCATCAGTCGGATTCACACGTTCCTGGAGCAGACAGGAGTGATCAATTTCGGTCACGCTGGCGAATACTTCCACTACATCCGGCCACTGTGGCGTCTCCTGGACACTTTCACGAGTGTTCCGCGCAAGAGTTCTGCGGCCGAGGGGAAAATCATCCCCGGCAAGAGAAATCGCGTCCGGCACAGCGATGGAATGAATGTGACGATCCAGCACTCGGAGGAGAACCTCATGCGCGTGTCAACAGTACCTGAGAGGACGGACAAGTGGAAGAGATCGCGTGACATTGAGCTGGTCAAGTGTCGGAAGTTCTCACCGACAGATGTGCCGCCGTTCTCCGTCACAGTGAGTCTCAGCACACTGCTGTGCCTTCAGCTGCACTCCCTCACGTCCCACCACGAGGTGATGGGCTTCCTCGGGGGCCACTGGCATGGCGACAGCATCTTCCTGGAGCGCTACAAGCCCTGTCGCACGTCCAAGCAGAGTGGCACCATGTGCGAAATGTGCCCCGTGTCTCAGGTGGAGCAGAGTGATTGTCTCTTCATGGAGGGCTTCCAGTTGCTCGGCTGGTTCCACTCCCATCCACTCTTCCCGCCCAATCCCTCGCGCATGGACATTGAGACGCAGGCCGAGATGCAGCGCCACTTCTCGGCCGACGATGCGCCCTTCGTGGGCTTCATTCTGGGATGCGTGGAGATGAACTACAAGTGCATCTATATTGTGGGCGGCGGTGAGAGTCCCGAGGAGTCCGTATATGAGATTGACGTGCACGTGAGTGGTGATTCTGGTGCTCTCGCGAGAGATCTTCAGGACATTTTGCCACAATTTGCACCACTGACCAAGGAAACTGTCGAGAAGGTAAGAACACAGGCTATTTTCTTTTTATGCAAAATGTTACCACATTTTCCCTTCTCTCTTCAGTTCCACGCATCCGCAAATACTCTCTTCCAGCGACAGGGATTGAGCTGCGACATCGCGAGTCTCCTCAACATCACAGACTTCTGAGAGCAAGCGAGGATTTTTGTGTAAATAAATGATATTTTAACGAAATGAAGATCTTTATTTCTGACGCCTGAGTTGCGGACAGAGCCTGAAAAAGTGTGGGGTGAGGCGGAGGGGAAGAAAACAGGGCGGTTTTAACTTACCTCACGCACTCTCAAATAGAATGATGGATGATTCTGAAATAGAACTCATTAATTGGATGGTAATTTTAGAAGATTGTGTGTATATGTGGATTATTTCTATCTTCTCCCAATTTTATCTACTTTGTGCGAGTCGCGGATATCATTTTGCTTGAGTTCATGCGCGGGAAAAAGGTGTTTTTTTCTTTTCTTTTCCCAAATAAAAGAAATTTGGGAAAAACCTCAACCGGAGAATATCGAAGAGTCTTCAAAATTATTTGGAGACTTTTCGATGTCAATTTTTTTCACCTTTTTCTTGGCCATATCATATCTGGATCATGGGATTTCTTTCAAAGAGAGTGTGTTAAAAGCCATTACTCATATTCCGTGTCACTCTCTCTCTCTCTCAGCTCTCTGTCTCTCTGTCCCCTGTCTGTTGATGACAACAGCAACACAGGGCCACGAAGGCAGCGAGATCTTTGAAAACAGGATCCGCGGACTCAGCAATCAGCACCCGCAAGGCTGTTTGCAGCACACTCGGCAACCCCGCAAACACAGCAACTCGCCCGCACTTTCTCTCTTTCAAATCTCCCTTCTCATCTCAATGCTCTCTCTCTCGCGGCTACACCGGCGTCGCCGGAACTGATGGCCTGCATCAAAATATACTTTTAATCATTCCATCCTCAGGGACTCAAAAACAAAGAGATAAAGTTCATGACAGAACCAACACATCCTAAGTCTAGTCTGTTTTTCTTTTTTTTTAACTTTAAATATAAAAACCCGAGAATACTTGCCGGTAAAATTGGTTAAACAATTGTACATTTTGATATTTTTGCAATCTGTTATTTCTTTTATTCCTTCCTCTTAAAATGTGACAGAGTAAACTTTTACCATTACTAATTTTTCTTCTCATCCTCTTTTTAAATATCAAGAGTGTCTCTCTTGCAGTTTTGCTTATCGTCTATTCAGAAAAATAATTGTTTAATAATTATGTGCAGTTTCTAAATATATTTCCCAATTATTGTTTTTCTTCTATCTCTCTTTGCAGTCAAATAAAAATTGTTTTTACACTGCATCCTTATTAAATTCCTCTCTTTCTTCCTTTTTTTTTAAATAGTTTACACAGTTATTTTCACCTACAATGAGACAATTAACTCTTGTATTTCTATAGAACGGCTAACTTTTCTCATATCTTTCTTTTCTTCTCTTCTCTTATCGTCTATTGGAGTTAAAATTGTATGAATAGGATTTGTTTTTCTCTCATCAAATAGAAAAATCAACCCAAAAAAATCCTCACTTTTCTCTCTCATCCTCAAAATCTTGCTTATTTGATATCAAAATAAACTCTGGGCAAAATATTACAAATAAACTAAAATGCATTCCAAAGAGAATTCTTGCTTTCTCTTCTTATTAATAATCTTCCACTTTTCTTCTCTCACTACAAAAAAATGTTTCTTCATAAGTTGTAGAAAAAAAATTGATTTGAAATATAGTTTTTGTTTTATGATCAAGCTGATTTTTTTTTTATAATTATATATAAAATTATGTGTATTTTAAATTGGACTTTTTATATGTACCTTTTGCTCATCTCTGACATTTTTCCCACTTTTTCGGACATTCACTCTCTTCTCTGTAATATCTCGTCTTGCGGCGATCGGGGGAGGTTGTGTGGTGAGACAGGTTGCAAATGATCATCAAAATGTGTGTTTGGCGAGATGCTAAGAGAGGGAAAACAGAGAGAAACAAATCCACCCACGCCAGGCGTTAAGTGTTAATTACAGCACACAATCCCACGGACCATCGCCATCCACTCAAGAGGCGCTGACTTAAGAAACACACTCACCTCGTTAAAATCGCCAGCCAGAGTTCATCTCCTCGCCCTCTTCCCCGCGCGATCCTTCCCTCAATCGCGGCTGTTGCTGCGCGACATGCTGCGGCTCCGGCTGATGGACTTGGAGCGCGCGTGCACGGGACTGCGTGAGCGCGAGTCACGCCTGCCGCGTGACGACTTGCTGTCCGATCGTGATCGTGAGCGCGAGCGCGAGTACGATCGCCTGCCCCTGGAGCGGCTCCTGGAGCGCGAGCGACGACGATCGCGAGAGCGAGATCGGGACCTGAAAAGTGACCAAGTCATTTGCATTAACGTTTTCACTTCCATCTCATCTCATTCACCAATCCATTGATGGGAAAATTATGCTAAAATCCACCAGACGCGCGTCATCTCTCTCTCATCTTCTTCTTCACTCTTTTCTCACAAACAGAGAAGAACACGAGAAACAGTTTGGGCATTAAAAGTCAATTGATTGGCATTAGAGTATCGAATGATTTAAGGCTTCACTCAATTCCAAGATTTCAAGAAAAGCTCTGCAAGATTTAACGTTTTGTTCACTGAGAAAATCAAAATCTTCAAGGCTGTAAATATGAAGCCCAAAAGAAGATCCTTGAAAATTTCCCGAGGCCATTTGAAATATTGGTGAAATTTTCACAGGCTAACATTTCCCATCGAAATCTCTCTTTTGGTCGCGACTGTGCTTATCGCTAATGCCGCTAATGCAATGCATTCTCACCTGCGACGACGATCGCTCCGTCCGGAACGCCTGTGGGGGCTCGTGGGGCGACCGTAGCGCGCCATCTGGACACGAAGCTCCCTGCCGTCGAGAATCCTGCCGTCCATCGCCTCCAGCGCGTCCTCGGCGTCGCGCTTGTCGTAGAAGCGGACGAAGGCGAAGCCACGGCTCTCCCTGGTGAAGCGGTCGCGTGGGATGTAAATATCTCCCACTTCTCCGCACCGCTCGAAAACACGCCGCAAATCTTCGGGAGTGGTGCGATAGGTTAAGTTGTCAACCTATTTTTTCACACCCGCAGAAACACAACAAAAACACATTAGAATGACAAAATACTGCGTCAGAAGTGCTGGCATGTGGATGGGGAGGAGGATGCGCCAGCGAGATGAGGGAGATTGGGGTGATTTGTGCGGGAAAAGCGATTTTTCTCGATGCGGCTTCACCCCCACCGAGCGTGACGCCATTTTTCCATTGACCATGAAGCGAAGCATCCACTCGATGCCGCCTTTTCTGCTCAAAATACCCCCTTTCCGGGGGACTCACCTTCAGCGACACCATCCCATCAATCCGAGGCGGTGGTCTTCCACTCATTCTCATGAAATTCACGTGAAATTCGACTAAATGAAGCTGATAAAGTGGCAATGATAGCAGCACGCACAATTTTTTCCGAACCACTCAAGCTTGCCGTTTGACACTGCGGCGTTGCGCGCCTTCGCTGGTATTGCCCAATGCATATGGCGCGTGAGTGCAAGCGAAGCGGCCGCGGCGGTGCGAAAGAGAGGGCGCGCTTGCGGCGAAATTTCGCCGCGTGCGAATATTCTGGTACCACCAAAATCTGGGACAACTCATCTGGTACCACGCAGCGCCATTTTGAATTTGATGTGTCGAACGCGTGTGGAAAAGTTTAGATGTAAAATTTTCCATAAATTGTAATCTTAGCTTTTTTTTAGTGATAATAGTTAATTTTTGTAATATACTGTACTGAATATTGATTGTGAAGGCTCGTCTGCACAGCGAGAGACCGTCACCATGTCGCAGGAGAATGCCGAAATCAGTGCAAAGTTCTCCACACTCAATGTAAACGCAATGGAATTCGTGCCGAGCTTCTGTCAGGAGCGCACATCGTCCGTCACCACAGAGATTATCGAGGAGAACAGGCCCGAGAACAATGGTGAGTGTCCGGTGGGGTGGCGGCGCCGCGGACGGGCGGCCGCGCGAGGGCAGCGCGAGTGGTCGACAAAAAATGTGCCACATCGTCGCGAGAAGACATTTTGTCTTTGGTGGAAAATTTTCGGCATGACACACATTCTCTACCCCATCCTCATGGCCAACTCACACTCTCTCCCGCCCACAGCTACCGTGCCCGACAATGATCCCCTCGACAGCTGGGACGTCGAGGATGAGCCAGTATTAACGCCCGAGGACGAGGAGGCGGAAGAGGCGGAGGATGGCGATGGCGAGAACGACGTCGCGCCCAAGCAGTCCAAGAAGAAGTCCCAGAAGATCGAGGAGAGCAAGAGCAAGAAGGAGCACGTGAATGTCGTCTTCATTGGACACGTCGGTAAGCCCACACTAGTCGCTCATTGCCAGCTCAACTGGCCACAAATTCCTTCCTGATTGCGCCGCGACAGGAATGTGAATTGCGCGAGCCGGAGAGTTGGCACAACATGCCCACCATATGGTGACTTTTCCGGGTGGGCGAAAGTGGAGAGAGACTCTTTGTTGTCAAGCCAGAGAAGGAGTGTGAGGTTCTTTATCTTTATAACCTTCCTCACGGCCTCATTTCACTGGCTTCTGGACAGGAGATTCTCCGGAATTCTAGGAGAATGTGTCATTGAAGAGTAGAAGGAGGGTTTTTTTTTCCGAGAATCTGAGTAATTCATGGAATCATTGTACAGGTTACAGAGAAACCATGTGTAATTGGTCTTAAAATCAATACTTTACACTTTGTTGTTCTGCATTGGATTGAGTATTGCACGAAAATGCGTAATAATTTCACTCTCAAGGTGAGCATTCAGTCGGACGTTATTTCGTGGAATGCAGAAATAGGACAAATGATTGATGATCTGTTGGTGCGCTTGAAGTTAACCCTTTGAGAACCACAAGGTTCTGGGCGAGTGTGTGAACATGTATTTTGCACGTTGAGGGTAAAAATCATGACATGAATTCACAAGGGGGTTGCAAATTAATCAGGACAGTATGTCATTCTGTTCTTCAGAAGTTGAGGAAATTTCTCAGAACTCAATTAGTCTGGAATGTGTTGTGAATGTGGGTGAGAAATGTGACACAGTTTGAGATGATTTTCCCTGTATTATTGCAGATGCGGGAAAGTCGACAATTGGCGGGCAAATCATGTCGCTCACGGGCATGGTGGATAAGAGGACGCTGGAGAAGTACGAGCGTGAGGCGCGCGAGAAGTCACGAGAGAGCTGGTATCTCTCCTGGGCGCTGGACACTAATCAGGAGGAGCGCGACAAGGGGAAGACGGTCGAGGTGGGACGTGCCTATTTCGAGACGGACAAGAAGCACTTCACGATCCTCGATGCGCCGGGGCACAAGAGTTTCGTGCCCAATATGATTGGTGGGGCGGCGCAGGCGGATGTGGCCGTGCTGGTGATCTCGGCCAGGAAGGGGGAGTTCGAGACGGGCTTCGATCGGGGTGGACAGACCCGAGAGCACGCGATGCTCGCCAAGACCGCCGGTGTGAAGCACCTCGTTGTCCTCGTGAACAAGATGGATGATCCGACAGTGAACTGGGATGAGAACAGATACAACGAATGCCGAGACAAAATTCTGCCGTATCTCAAGAAGCTCGGGTGAGTATGTAAGCCACAATTTTCACGTTAACGAGTCAAAAGAAAAACCGGCGTGTGTATTGATTGACACACGCACGAATAATTTATAGAGAAAAAGAGTATTAATTGTGAATGATTCGTGTTTACAGGTTCAATCCGGCAAAGGATCTTACTTTCATGCCATGTTCTGGGCTCACGGGTCAGGGCATTAGGGAACCAGTGGATCCGAGTCTCTGTCCATGGTACTCGGGCCAGGCATTTATTCCATTCATCGATGAGTTGCCCTCTCTCAATAGAAAAACAGACGGTCCATTTATAATGCCTATTGTAGATAAATATAAAGATATGGGTACGGTGGTGATGGGAAAAGTGGAGTCTGGTTGTGCGAAGAAAGGACAAAATCTACTCGTTATGCCCAATAGAGTGAGTATAATATCTCTCTTGCTTGTCACACACTTATCACACATTGCGCCAAATGTGTTTGTTGTGTTGTCTGTGCGCCTTATCAATATCTAATTGGATGTGGGGGAATTTTCACTGTTTTGCAGACTCAAGTGTCGGTGGATCAGCTATGGTCGGACGATGATGAGGTGACAGCTGTTGGTCCCGGTGAGAATGTCAAGATCAAGTTGAAGGGAATCGAAGAGGAGGATGTGTCGCCTGGTTTTGTGCTCTGTGATGCATCGAATCCAATCAAAATTGGCAAAATCTTTGATGCTCAAGTCGTCATTCTCGAGCACAAGTCCATCATATGTGCAGGATATTCGGCCGTTATGCATATTCACTGTGCAGCTGAGGAAATTACTGTAAAGGTGAGAGAAAATCATGACACTTTCTATCGCTGTTCAATGTTAATTATTTGTTGATTGATCTCTTGCAGGCACTAATCTGCTTAGTTGATAAGAAAACGGGCGAAAAGTCACGATCAAGACCACGATTTGTGAAGCAGGATCAAGTGGCAATCATGCGAATTGAATGTTCCGGATTGATTTGTCTCGAGCAGTTCAAATTATTCCCACAAATGGGACGATTCACACTCAGAGACGAGAGTAAGTTTTCTTTTTTTTTTGCAGAGTTATTGAAATCAGAAATTTCAATGTCTAATTGTCTTTGCAGATAAAACCATTGCAATTGGAAAAGTGCTTAAGGTGATCGAGTAAAGAGTGTGTGTCTGTTGAAGCGACTTTATAAATGTAAAACACCATCAACTATCATGGCAAAAGAAAAGCGAAGAAAGAGAGGGACAAAATCATCAAATACAACAAGAAGAAGACGAAGAAAAATCTACTGAGGTGAGTAAATAAAAAACAACAGATTGAAGTGAAAGAGAGAAATTGAGAAATATTGAAAGATGAGAGCATAATATCGCAGAGAAAGATTTAATGTATGATATAAATTGTTATTATTATTCTTATATATAATTTTTTTTATCAGAATAATGAATAGAAATGCAGAATTGAAATCACTTATTGATATATATATATATAAACATCTTTGAAGAGATGCGGTGAATAAATACTGAAGAATTTTTCATTTTTTACTATTAATGTCCGAAAATGTGGAGAAGAAGAGGAAAGTTTGATTCTAATCTTTAATCCAAGAAGAAATGAGCTAATTCTTTTTTAGATGAACTCTTATATTTGTTCGGTTGAAGTGACGAATCGCAAGGGTTGGAAATCATGTGAAATTTAAAAGAAAAAAAAATCGTATCTTATTTAATTTAAAAAGAAGAAAAAAAGAATATTCTTATTAACTCATATTCACTACTTATATTGTTGTAAATATTTTTAATATGAGAGAAGATTCAGGTGAATATTGAAAATATTATGAAATTGAATATTAACAAAAAAAAGAAGAGAAAATGAAATGAAGACATTTTTTGGATCAAAAAAAAACAACGTCAACAGAATAAAAAAGAAGCACAATATTTCACAGAGTTTGCAGAGGGAAGAATAATTTGAGGACAGATAATAAATTTAAAGAAAAAACAATGACAGCTAATACATGTACATAAATGAAATAGAAAGCAATTGGGAGGAAGTGAGGAGAATATACTTTGATAAATCTCATTTGATAAGAGCCAGTTTTGATGTTTCCCAATTCCAGGATATTGAGAGAATTTTTCAGTCACACTCCCTGTTTTATGAGAAGCGAGGAAGAGAGAGAGAGAAGCAGAAATGAATATTGAATCCAGAGGACATAACAAAATAGAATGATAGAGAAACAGTTTAATCATTTTCTATTGAATATATAAAATATTCTTTGTTTTTTTTATTAATGAAAACTCTAATCATTAATCGCTGAAAGTTGCGTGAGAAGAGAAAATAACGAAAAATGTCTGTAAAAGTTTTTTTTTGGTGTATAAGAAGATACAAAAGATGAGAGAAAGAGTGCGAGAGAGAGAGAGAAATGATTCTTTTCGATGGTCGTGGATTTATTTCATTCAGAGCGCTGCCTTACAATCAACCAAAATATTTGTGGTAAAAAGAAAACTAAACAACAAATAGTAATGAAGAAGAATTAAAAAAAAAGAAAAATGATGAAAAGACACATAAAAATAATAACGTGAATAGAAAATGAAGAAGTTGAAAAGAAAGAAAAAAACAATACAAGAAATACCTAAAGATAAACATTTTCACATCAAAAAGAAATAGAAAGTTAATAAAAAAGAAAAAAAGAAAAATAATGAGACGAGTTGAGAAAATGTGAGAAAAAATTTGTAGATGAGAAGCGAGAGAGAGAATTTCAATTAAACATCTCATAGACGAAATGGTGAAATAATTATTAACTAAAAAAAACAACAAAAAGAAGGAAAAGTGAAAGAACACACACAAACCAACTGTATTTGCTGGAATTAAACTGTTTTCATAATATTAAAAAAAAACCATGAGAGAGAAAAGATGACGAAAAGCCAAGTGATTGATCACTTTTTCCACTTTATTTTGTTAAATACGCGGGCTAAAATGACATAACAAATAATGGCTTAAATCTCAGCTTTCGACGGGTTTTCGCCTGGTTTTACTCCTGAGCTGTTTCTGATTAGTTTCAGCGTAGTCTTCGCTGTAGAAGTCCAGATGTCTGCCGTGATACCACACGAGAAAGTCGAAAACCATGGCAATAGTCGTGAGAACTGCAAGAAAAGGGTGGTTTTTACGGGGGTTTTTCTCTTTAGAATTGTCTTAAGGACTCACCAATGGCCGTCGCGTTGACGTAAACACGGAAATCACGCTGATTATACATCTGGCAATTGCCAATCGTCTCGCAACGATAGTTCCACACCATGCAAGTCTGATCGATGATCCAGCCGTAGAGAATTGGTCCGGGAATCAGGCCAAACAGGCTGAACATCATCAGAGCGAGTCCTTGGGTGAAACTCTTGTCCTCCACGGAAACAGCCCTGGAAATGCGATACGCAGTTGAATGAAGGGATTGAGTGTGAGATTAGTGAAGACAAGGATTACCTGTAGTTGACCAAGACATTGCCGATTTTCCCGGTGGCGCCCAGGAAGTTCGTAATGCTGGAGACGAGAGAGAAGAGAATGAAAGCTTGAGTGCAGCCTGCCATGCAGGCTCCCGGAATGGTTGTCATGGTCTCCACAGTGGCGTCTAGAGTGCTTCTCCGCCGCCTCGCTGAGATTGTCTCGTCCGGAGGCGTTGTCTCTGTGCCTGGAGGACTCTCTTCGGCGCTCTCTGTGAACTCCACCGTGATCTCTTCGTACTCACTGTCGAAGACGGGCCGGATTGGCTGCGATGGCTGAAGCCACTTGAAGTGTGACTCATTCTGAGGGGCTGTTTTGGTGGCCAGACACGAGCAATTGCCGTAGAACTTCTCGCTGGAGTTCCACTCGGCGCAGCCGGCGTGACAGGCGGAGAAGTAGGTGGTGCCGGTGGCCTCGTTGCAGACGGGATTGTAGGGCACGTGGTCGCAAGAGCAGTTGCTGTTGCAGCTCCTGGTGAGATTGAGGCGACCGTTGACGGGCGTCGGCATGTTCTCCTCGGGGCACGTGAGGAAGAGGTAGCTGGCCGTGCCGGCCACGTAGACGCAGCCCAGGATGACGTTCCAGAAGAGCAGACGCGACGCCGTGGGCTTCTTCTTGGTGATCACCCAGCCGGAGATCAAGAAGCCCGCCACCATGCCGAAAAGATTGATGGGACCGGCAATGATGGTGGAATCTGAGCGGGTTTTGTGGAATTGCACCTCGATGTACTTGGCGAAGAAGGTCATGTAGCCACTGGCGCCCAGGATGTAGAAGATGCCCGAGATGAGGTTGAACATGATGACTTTGTTGCGAAAGAGACGCGCCAAGGCTGCCGGGAAGTCCTTCATTTGCGCCTTCGCTGGTTGCGTCAACACAGGCGGTTCTTCTGCGGGCACTTCGGGGATTGCTTTGGACATTCCCTTGAGTGGCACAGCTTCCTCAGTGATGGCATTGGCATTCCCATTCACCCCTGGTTTGGGCTTCTTGGGCAAATCCTTGGGAAACATGCCAATCAGCACGGCGAAGACGATCATGACGGAGCCCATGACGATCCAGCCCATCCACCAGGCGCCCATCCAGCGCGGATCGGCGGGCGTGATGAGTGGCGTCTTGGTGGGATCGATGTAGGTGTTGAGGAAGCCAAAGGCGACGAAGAAGCCAATCAGTGGTCCGAACATCCTCAGGGAGAAAGCGTAGCCCAGCAATTGCGGTGTGTTTGTCTTCTTGGTGTTGTCGTCCAGGTAGGCTTGTCCCAAGGAGTAGTACAGCGTGTTCCCGATGCCCAGCACGAATTGGGAGAGGAAGATGAGCACCAGCGGCACCACGGAGAAGAGCTCATCGCAGTCGTTGGCGTTGGTGGGATCGCTGGAGGAGCAGAGGCGCTGAGAGCTACTGTCGAAGAGGCTGGAGGAGTTCTAGAATCACAGTACATTATTACACCCTGTTATCCTAGAGCACGGCAAGCACTAACCGCGAAGGTAACGGGGCTCTCGCGCACGAACTGGTCCTGGTACTCTTGTGTGAGGCGCAGGGCGTCTTCGCCGGCGCCGTAGATGAAGTGCGGCAGCGCGAGGATGAAGCAGGAGAGACCGCAGATGGCCACTCCCCATGCTATCCACAGTGGCCTGTTGCGCTGGCCGCCGAAGTAGGAGAGGAAGAGCGACAGGAGGATCTGCGAGATCTCATTGCCGCTCATGATGATGCCTGACATAGAGAAGTGTTGAGGTAGGAGAAGAGTCTTATCGCGCGACACGAGTCAATAAAGTGATATATTGTCGTTTTGGAAAAGCGCAAAGTCGCGATGAAACGGCAATATTTTGGCGCCAAACACAAGCTTTAAATATAATACCGGCCAATAATCTTGATAAATTATTGTATTCAATCCCTAGACACACACAGGCTTAATTCTCCCATCAAGCAGAGCCTAGTTATAATAGTAAATTACCCCGCCAAATTGGAAGTTACGCTCAATTACTTAATTGCACATAAACTATCCGTTTAGGTATTTTTCCGAGGGAAATTCATTTATGTTGTGCAAACTTGTAGTGCTGAAATTCTCACATAAACCTCCATTAGATCAATATTGAGTTTTCTTCTGTGTCCTCAATACTCTCAACACCAATTCTTATCAATGAACGCTGAAGTATTTGTGAAAAAAAAATCAAGACATCACTTGAGAATCACAAGAAATGGTCACTTTTGCCACAAGTGAGCTCTTCATATCTGCACAATCGCGCACTGCGATAGCGCTTAACTTCAGGGCATCCGCGGGGAAGCTCTTGAAGAAATACACATAATAATTCATATAAAACTACTGTGAGGAAAAAGTTCAAACACTCTTCATTATCACGCTGTCTTATCGGATGTTTTTTTTTTATGGTCTGAGGCCATTGAGAGGGGCTTAAGCGAATTCCGCGTTTTCTAACCCTGTGCGGATTCGCGGTAATCTTCTTCCCACCTGACTGAGCTCACCTGTTGTGTGGGAGGGAATCTTGAACCTTCTCTCGATGGTGGTGAGCGTGATGACAAAGTACATGTAGCACATGGCCTGCGTGGTGCCCAAGAATCCATAAACCACAATAAAAGTCCTCGTATTGGCGAATCTCTGGAGCCATTGAGGCCTCCACAGACCCACGCCACACTCCGTCTTCGGCATCTTTGCTGCACTCGCGCGCTATCTGACTTCCAAAATTGTCCCGGGAGACACAGAGTGAATTGGCGGCGATGCTCTGGGATCGCATGAGGAACATTCACTGTGTCTGCGAATGGGTTTTGTCACCTTCGAGAGCGCGTGAAACGACCACAAATCTACCCGTGCCGATAGTGGCCAGGGAGGGCAGTCTGGTGATTAGATTAGACAGCCACTGATAGCGCACAGGGTCCACACAGTCGCCTCCCCGCGGGGAAACTTTCACCGCCCAGCCACAGACACGAGAGCAATTCCCAACTATTTTGCCACTAAACTGCCAACTTGAGGCCTCAACTGATGCAAAGGTCAATTCTACTAAATTAGTGATTTCCGTGCCTTTTTCGCGGGAGACAATCTTCAGCTTCTCTACGCGCCGAAAAAGCTCTCTCTCTCTCTGTCTTCCCACAAAAGTCTGAGTCAGAAAAACGACTCTGTGGCGATGAGAGTGACCAGGAAATCCAGATAAACCACCCAAAGGTCTTCTGGCGAACGTTATCAGTCAGAATACATCCAATCTACACTTGAGAGTATTTCACTCGCAAACCATTTGGGTTAAAGCAACATAAAGTGACCTTCTCAGGTCTAAAGTGCAGGAAGAAAACAGAAAATTGCGTTTCACATCCTCCTAAAGGCATCGTGCATATGCTCTACATGATGCACTGAGAAAAACACACGTTTTTCTAAGGTGAATGTGAGAGTCGATTTATTTCCTAGATATTCTCCTCTTTTTTCTCTTTCTCTCCATTTACAATTCTCTTCGCAATCAATCCTCTCATTAAACATTAAGACACAACAGCAACAAGACAATATTCTCAAATATTTCTTCAGGGATATAATCTTTGTCTTTCTGCTCTTTAACCATTTTTTTTTCTTTTTCACTTGTATTAAGCAACATTATCAAACATTTTTTTTTGTGATTATAGTTTTATCTTAATTGGATTTCTCCCAGAACTCTTCTTCTCATTTATCTTTCATTTAATCTCAGTTTTTAGTTGTTAAAAATAAACAGCAGAAAAGGTAAAATTGAATCACGTACAAAAAAATGATAAAAAGTAGAGGAAATAATCACAGTAATATTTTATCTTTTATTATACTTCAATTAAGAGAATATGTAAACGTTATTTTTTACTTATGGATTTACTCAAATTTATTCTTCTCAACCACGAAAATATTAGATTATAATTCGATATCTTATTCTTTATACCACACATTTAATAAAACTTACTACGAACTCTTCTTCTTATCTCGATTTTACTCATCTAAAATATTGTATAATTAAAACGCTTATATAAAATATTGACTTCTGCAGTTGTCTGATAATGCATACAAAATGTATTATAAAAAAGAGAAATACAACGGAGAAAGTAAAGGTGAATTTTTATGTATCGCTAAACGCTATAAAAATCAAAAAATGTAAATTTTCTTCTTTCATTCTTCAGCAAATCTGGGGATGGTTAAAAAGGCACCTCAAAATATTCCATCAATTTCTTCTTCTGCTCTTCACAATCTTTACAACATTTCAGCACAATTTACAATTTGTTCTTCATTGCAAAAAAGAAAAACGTAAAATTTATCTAAATTTCCAGCAAAAAGGGGAGGAAAAATTGTCTCAAACAAAACATTATACAATAAATTGGAAAACGAGCTACAAATCAGATGCAAAATTGAAAATGATTAGAAAGTAATTCCGCTGTCATGAATTCGATTAAAATTAATAATATCATAAATAGAAATCATAGATGTTATATTTTATTAAGTCAACTAATCGATTTATGTACATTCTCTCCGACAAGAAAAATGCTTTTAATAAGGTCATAAAGAATAATTAGTGTGTGTTTTTTCCCATGTTACAACTTCACTTCTTTTCCAATCCTACTTTTTTTTTGCTCAGGGAATATTCTTTTCTCTCACATATTTCTTCTTCTTTTTTTTATTAATATTAATTCGCGCATCAAATTTATATTAATTATTCTCTTTCATGGAGTTACTTTGCGTGATTCGCAATGTTTTCTTTTTCTTTTTGTCTACAATTTTTCTGCCTAAAAACGTTAAATTACTACACATGAACGACGCTGTATTTTTTTTTATATTCAAACGAATTAACACGAGAATTGTACTTTTCCTCTCAAAAATATCAATAATAATAATATTTATATTCCACGACAAAGATTTTACAATTCTCTGATGTTTTTTGTGATTTTGTGCTTTCAAAGTATAGTCAATTTATCTCATTTACAATTTTTCTCTCTTTTCCCGAAATAAACAACCAAACTAAATTCCTTCCCACCTTCAAAGTGGGCATAAAAATGGGAGAATCCACATCGTGATCAAAGTCTGCAGACTCACCGAGAGAGAGGATCCGTCGTGGACAGCAAATTGGGCGTCAGCAGTGGGGAATTTTGTCATCTGCATCAGCAAAAGCGCGCGCGCGTGATATTCGAGTGGAGAAGGATGTGTCGCCGTCCGCCTCAATTAGAAAAAAAACCGCCCTAATTAACACCATTGGAGTCGCCATTCTGGGCCTGATTCATGGCCATCCGATTCTTCCTCTTCAACTCCATCAGCTGCTTCCGCTGAGCCTCCCTCTTCTGGGCCGCCAGCGTGGCCGCTTCGGACTTCTTGGACGCAGCAGCAGCTGATGATGAACTCCCCTTGGCGCTGCCCAGCGGCCTCTTCGTCAGCTTAGCGCCCTGAGGCGGCGCCGGAGCCTCCACGGATTTCTTCTGTGAAAGAAAAAAAGACAGAGAGAAAGCCCACGTTAATCCTCAAATTTATCATTTCAATCACCATCACACAAAAGCCATTTGGTGATTTATGCAACTATTATTATTATATTTTATCGTTATATGCAAAAGAAAAAGTCACTCTTTTCAAATATGTCACACACTTCGAGGCGATTATCCGTTGAAATATTGCATTTTATATTGAGAGCGACTCTAAAATTAACACACTACTTAGGTTTACTATCTTAATCAGGGAATAACAATTTAATATTAGCATGTTACACTTTATATAATGTACTATTCTATATTATATGACGGTGAAAGAGGCGAATTTTGGAGATCAAACTCCTTAATCTTGAACGGAATTAAGTTTTGTTCATTTTTTTCGCATTAATCGTAATAATTTTCTTTTAATTTCACTCTATTAATATTCTTTTACTAACAAATGTATAGAAATTTTTGGCAAATTTAGAGCTGAAGCAAAATTATCTTCTATATATTATATATTTGAATATCTTACGAATTGTAATATATTTTGAGTGTTTAATAAAAATCAAAGATTAAACCATTCTCTCTCTGTCAATTCTCCATGCCAAATTTGTCCATTTCTCAAGATCGTGAGAAAGACAATGTTTGACCACCGCCAAAGATTTTCAACCCAGTCGCAATTGAGATAAAAGCAAAAGCAAAAGCGTAGGAACAACACACGCCTTGAGTCTTCTATTTTCCTCTTGGCTGTTTTGAGTGTGCGAGAGAAGTCAACATGGGCCTCATAATCCATTTCAAATGGCCATAAAACGACACTTCTTGTCTGCTCCACTTGGAGTTGGACATCAGAACCATTGTGGGTGGGATTTTTAAACTCACCTTCCAGTTGTTCACCTTCAGCGCTTCAATCTCATCAAACAGCGAATCCACGTGGTTAACCTGAAGCATCACCATGTCCCAGAATCCTTGCAAATCTTCATCCGTTGTCTGGAACTTCTCACCCGGCGTTTGGGTCAGATTCGTGTGACACAATCCCTCAAATTGCTTCATCTTCTGCGCCGCCAAGAGTCTCGCTTTGCCCGTAGCAGCTCTCAAGTAGCCAATAGTCTCATCCGAAATGTCCTTGTCCTGCAAAACCCACAACAGTTGAGAGAGAAATCCTCTCAATTCCACCTTCCAGTGATACTTTACCTTCACCTCCTCCATATATCCATCCACCTTGTCAGCCAGAGAAAGAATTCTCTGTCTTTCCTTCGTCAAAATGTCCAAGAAGTAGTTGCCATCCTTCGTCCTCACCGACTGACTCGCGGCAACATTCTCCACAATTTCACCGGGTTTCTCCTCAATCTCTTCACTGACAATCCTCTTCTCCGGAGAGCTCACCGTCTCGATGCTCACCATGTGGATCGTCTCACTGGGCTGTCGCGCCCCATTTGTCAACACACTACTGTGAGTCTCCTTCGTTGGCGGAACATAGCGACGTGGTGATGTACAAATTGGAAGTTGCTCCCTAAATTCCGGCCTCAGGTGCCTGAGAACTGGCAGTGCGACCTCCAGATCATTGAGATTCTCCAATCCATTCCCATTAACACTGCCATTCGCGCTCCCATTCGCCACGGCCTCCTTGCGCGTCATCTTCACCACTGGCGAAAAGTAGTTGCGTGAGTTCATGGACTTCTCCGTCAGCACACACGTGGCCTGGCCATTCTCCATGGAGCGTCGATTGGTGTGAAAGCCCTGCGCTAGAGCACCGGGGCCAAACAGTCTCTCCACATGCTGCGCTATACTGCCCGTCTTGTACTGCTGCTGCTGCGGCACTCCGTCGTCCACTATCTTCTTCGTCGTCGTCGTGGACACTGTGTGGATGTATTTTGTCGTCCGGAAGTGCTTGACATTGTCTGTCGTATCATCTCCGCCACCATTCGTCTCCGTCACCATCATTTGCTGTGTGAAGAGTCGCTTCTCCGGCGACATTAGTGACCTGTGACCCTCCATCAAATCCCCTGACAGTCTTATCGTGGCAACCTGAGGTGGCACAATCAGATGCTTGACACCTGAAAACAGCCACAAACACCCATTTAATTCAATTTCTCAGGGAGAATATACCTGAATCTCCTCACCACTCGAATCCGCCTTCGTGTAGGACTGCAGAGAGGCGTAAGTGATGGGCCGAATGGGTGACACTTCCCTGGATTTATTGATATTCTGCCTCAACTTCGAGTCATACGTCGTCAAATGCGAATAGCCATTCACGCAGCACGCCAAATTCAGATAGCTCGGCTTCTTTGGCTCTTCCTCACCCGGCGGCGGACTCTCGACAATCGTCGGCGGTTGTTGTCCCGATATGATCGTATTCACGCGTCCCGATTGCGGATCCAGCACTATTGACGTCTGCTGTCGGAACACGGACTGAGGCGGTGGACACTGACTCCTCTCGTGAATCCGCGTGATAAACTCCCTCGGGAAATCCTTGGCACTCGACGGTGTTAGCAAATTAAAACTGCCTGATGTATCTGTGCCAAAGAAAACCAAGATGAAAAGTGCATTAGAAATTTTCCCTTCCTCTTTTTTCTGTGCTTTTTTTCCTCTTCATTTCCCTCACAACTCCCTTGCCATCATCATCATCTCACATGCCAGAGAAAAGAGCCCCACTTCTCACTGTGCACTCTCGAGAATTCCTCACACATTCTAACAATATCAATTAATTACCGAGTCTTTCCTGCACTTTCTTCCCATCCATTCAATTTCCTGCGGAAAGAATTACAATTATGCTGTGTAAAAGGTGATTTATTTGATAAAGTTGAGATATTCTCAACTCTCTTGCAATAGGAAATTTATATCAATTCAATGCCACAATGAAAATTGAAGTTTTTCTGTTTTGTTCTCAAAGCTTCCCTATTTTTTGCCACAGTAAATAAAAAAACTACAAATTCCACTCATTTTATTATCAACTGTGCTTGAGTGCCGCGAAATTTTTCTATCACTCACGAATAGTCCAATTTCATAACGTTCTTTTTTCTCTTATCAGAATCAACACAAGCTGAAAGTATTTATATTTCTCAAATTGTAATAATATGTTTTTTTATCTTCAATGTATTTATGTAACATTGGAAATTCAGTGTTATGTCTGTTATTTTCCTTGAAAAGTTTGCCTTCTTATACTCACTCTCAAATAGTTTGAATATAAAAGTTGTGATATATTTGCTTTTCGACTGATCATCTTTGCTAAACATCTTCTCACACAAGATTTTTCGATACTTTTTCACACAACAATTCAACAAGTCACTCGTGATTGGAAATGAAACTGTTTTCATACCAAAATCCCATCACAATACCTCTTCTTTAATATAGTATATCTTATCATGCGGGCTAACTTGGCATTTCTTTCGGCTTGATAAGAAACCTTCTCTCTCTCTCTCGGTCGTGGGAGAAATGCAGATTGCATTGTCCGTGGACAATTTGATGAGTTGCTAAACTGTGTTCTCTCTCTCTCTCTCGGTAGGAAATTGACACAGAAAGATGATTGAGAATGTGAATGAGGTGAAAGAAGGTGTAAAATCATAAAACCTAACCGATGAGGTGAAAAGTGGATGATGAAAACCAACTTTTGGGGGAATGTTTAAGCAAGAAAAAGTGAACAAGATGATGATTAAACACCACACAATCCATTGCTCAATGCGAAATCTCATCTTCTGCTTTTTTTTCTCCGTGAAATTCACACCACAAAAATTAATAGTGTTCTTCTGCTCTCCTCCTCCTCCGGCTCAACAAACTTCTTTCACGCCATTCACTTTGACACTCCCTCTCGCAAAAGAAAAATAAAATAAAACATCAGATGTGAAGAAGTGCGTTGGCAAAAGAAACGTTGGAAAAAAGGGTGATAAAATTCTTGTGTGGCACTTTCCGCGAAGCAAAAGAAAAACACAATCTTTTCTTCTTTTTGTCTTGAGATACCTGAGAAATCAGTGGACTCAGCATCAACATCGAGGGAGCAGCTCCCGATGGAATCCACACTCCTGTCCATGCTGCGATTCTCACGCTGCGGCAGCGCTTTCTCACTGCCCTCCGTCGTATTGAGCAAGTAGATGTGATTTGGCGCCTTGGCTGGCGGATGATCGTCAATTATGATTGCTGAGCACTCACGCTCGCACGACACATTATTCCGCCGCGTGCACACGACAGGGATGAAGCCACACAGGCCACAGGAGCGCGTGACGTGATCACTGCCCGCGCTTGCCGGTGATATTTGGCGTGTCGTGTCGCGATTCTGGAGGAACTTTTGCGTATTGAGGACAAATTGTCGACTCGTGGCCACTTTGACTGGCGGCAGATGTGTCACATTCTTATCATCACCAATCCGCCCGTGTGTGATTCTCGCGCCGGCACCGCCTTTTGCATCATGCCCAGAGATGTACAGTCGCCTCGGCGGTGATGCAATGATTGATCGATGCGACTCCCCAAAGATGAAAGACTCTTCTCTTCTTCCTCACACACCAAACTTGAAAGTCTCTTTTTCTCTCACTCCCAGCCAATTGCAATATCTCTCCCTCTTTCTCTTCTCTGTCTCTTGATGTTTATGCACTGTTACAAATATAGAATATCATAATTTTATGCATCAATTTATCCATTGATTTCCATCCTTGTCTCTTTGTCTTCTTCTCTACATCATCAACTCAACAATTTAACAATTCTTTTATTATGTAGGTGTGTTGTTTTGTGTCTTATGCTCAATCTCATGTTATAACTTCCTCAAGAAACAAAAGAGAAAAAACAACATCAAGAGAAGAAGGATAAAATATATATAAATTTCTCAATTAAAGATAGCATTCTTTATACATATTATTTCACAAGAAAAACTCAAACAGAAAATTATACAAAAGTCAAAAGTGCATAAATCAAAGCCACAGAAAATTGAGTGTTTGTGTGTATTCATTCTGTACAAATTGCATTCTGGCTCAATCAGGAGGGTGTGTTTGTGTGGGTTTTGTGACAAAAAGTGTAATTATAGAGACTATCAATAGCATTAGAAATAAAGGTATAATAATAATAAAAAGACACATTCAATCGCTAAGAAATAAACAACATTAACTCGTGCATAACAATAAATTTGTGCAATTAATATCTTCTTCATCGTTTCACTTCCCCTTCACAGAGAAAATCCATTCAAGCACAAATTCAATCAATTTATTCCTCTTCCCTCCTTTGCGCATTTTAGGAGAAGGCAAGTCTATTTGTGATAGGACCCGAAAATACCTCACAAATTCGCGTAGGATATCAAGCAGTCTCTCAAAGGACGGATCGTGAAAGGATTCAGTTTAGTTAACAGACATAAATATCCAAGTTGAAATATTCTATTACAAATTCACTGCTGAAAATCGCTCTGTTCTCTTTCTCTCTCTTTCTTCCAACAAAAACGCCTCTAATTAGACGAACAGCCACATCAACAAGAGAAATGGTGTTAGAAATTTGGGGAATAGGAAGAAAAATATGCTTAGAAAAGAGAGTAGATAAAACTTTCGGGACTTAATGAATCAATCATTCATTCATGCCAGAGAAAATCACAAGGAAAATCCCATCCAAATATACCAAAGATTCCCAATCCAAATCGACATTCAATACAGTATAAAAGATGTGGTAAATTTTATGAACCTCAAATGCACCACATAAAAAGGCCGTTTTATGATCAATTTCGAAAAAGACCAAAACAAACTCCTATTCACACGGAAAAAAAACACACACGACCAACAATGTGATCATCAGTGAAGACAAAACTTGCACTTGTGAGAAAATTGTTGCTCTCACGAAAAAAAAATCTATGCAGATTTCTTTGCGTAACTCGTGAACAATTTCATTTCATCCCATTACATTTTTTTTTTTGGACTTAACCAAATTGCATTAACTGGTGGAATTTATGCTATACAAAACTTTGTAATGCAAAATAGGAGGAAGCACACATAAATTTCACGCAGACCTCTTCACTAAATCACTCTGACGACTCACATTTTTCACCATGGTTCACAGATTGAGAAGACCTGCCCAAAATTCAATATTACGCGACTTCCAACATTCTCAGTGCTTTGCTCGTCTGGGAGTAAATAAATTTATTACCTCGATAAGCTCTTATTTCTATCGCTTTGTCGGATGAAGAAAAATACAAGGCGGAAAAGACATTAAACTTCATAGTTTTCTGAGCGCAAGAGAAGGCAAACATTCTCGATGGACTTGTTTTCTTCTTTTATTTTTTTTTCATAAGAGATAAAAGTAAATTTTTAAAGGAACCCAACAATTCACTCACCCGAAATAAAACTCTGTGTCTGAAGTGAGACAATTTAAAGAAGAAATTGAGGCTTTCTTCCAGTGAACTTTCACTTAAAAATCAATTACTCCTTCATATATGGGCAAAAGCAGCTTATGCACTTTTATTTCTCCCGAACTGATAAACTATAACTCAAGTCAATGGACGATGATGTTCTTCACGAGTGAAGCACAGCCAAAAGTCCACCTTCTAAGGCCCACAAATATGTGTGCACAAGAGCGTCTCGTGAGACTGACTGGTCTCTGGTGACTTGGAGAGAGATCATTGCTCTCCGCGTGAATTCCGTCATCGTGAGCCAAAGGCGAGCAAGAAAGCCCGCAAGAGGAGGGAAGAAGTATAAATAAAAATGCAACATCACACAATTTTCACATGTAATTCCGGTGTGATGTTGAATTTAACACACACTCCACAATCTCAAGAGTCGCACTCCGAGTGTCACTCACGTTCAATCTATTTTCAGAGTCACCCATAACACAAAAAGAAGAACCACAAGACATTTCTTCAACCCATGAAGGAGCTGCAGAAAGACAAAATATCCTAAAGATTGTCAGTAAAAATTTCCACCGTCAGACTCGCTTCACGAGACATTCAGTGCAATTTTCTCCAACCGCAAGAACATTATTTTGACCAAAAAGGAAAACACGCGGCGCGCCATCGAGAGTCAGATGAAAAAAAGTCACAAGGGAGAAAAGAAGTCTTTTCTTATAGCGATAAAACCACATGCATACCCAATTTTATCATCATGAAAGTTCACGTACACATACTATACCAATAAATCCCCTTTATTTTATTTATAGGTATTTTTCCCCTCTAATTATTTCACTTTCAGCGCGACGACACGAGAAAATTTCTCTATTAAGAACAAAATTTTCTCATTAGTGGTAAAAATATATATATAATGGAAGAGTGTTGGAGGGGAAGAGGCGAGAAGACAATAAAAAAGAAATGATATTAATTGTGTGGAATTAATGAAGAAATCTCATATATATATACAAATACTTAATTAACCCATGTGAGATTTTCAATAACACGCCGCTAAAAAGATCATCCGCCAATACAAGAATTCAAAGAAAAAAGAAATAAAAAACCTTCCCGATTGTCTAATTTCAAGATCATCGACCAAAAATTATGCAAAAAGTGAAAAGAAGTTTATTTTAAATGCAAATGAGCACTCACACTCTTTTTGGCAGCACTCTTTTTTTTCTGTCCAGTTCACCTTATTTGCAAAATCTCCGCCGAAAGAGCATCGAGAGAAGTATAAAAACACACACTATTTGTAGAGTCATTATATGATTGAATTATAATTTCCATAATTAGTTAAGAAAGTCGATAACTATCTTCACGAGAAAACCAATTCAATTGATCAGCTTCTGCATCCACGATGAATAAACATCAAATTAGTCAAATGAAATATCTCTTTTTTGCACACTAAATGAGTGAGAGTGTAAAAGCATCACGGTTATCAAATTTAACTGCTAAAATGCCTCTTTTTTTGCATAGAAAAGGTGTGAAGATGTTTATGCTAAACAAACATGATGGATAAAAGGTAATTATATCACTGAGCCATGGAGTGCTATTCAAAATCAATTTATGCAGTTTTCTAGTTAATTATATGTGTTTAAGTAGAACAAGGGTGGAAAACATTGAGATCTTAGTTACTCTGTTTACTTATGATTAAGGATAAAATACTAGTTTTATCACTATCTTGCCACTGTCATAGTTTCTTAAATCCCGCCCACTTGTAAGCCACGCCTACTGGTCAATGATAAGCAGAGGTTTTGTGAAAAAGAAAACTTAATTTAGGAAAAAATCATATTTAGCGTAAAAAATTATAGTCAAGAAATACTTTCTTATGAAAAAAGACTGCAATTCTCCCGCAATGCACCGCAAAATCTTCAATCTCAGCAATCATATTCACAATACCTCATATTTTAGTAGAAAATATTGCTCTTAGATCACATAAAATGATCTTCATTGATGCATGATCATCTCACAAATTGAGATAATCCCTCTCGCCTAGACAGACAATGGGTTAATCATCAAGTATCGGTGAGAGAACATGATGGAGAAAAAGAGCAAGAAAAAAAGACGTGAAGAACAGTTAGTACAACTGAAATTCATTTTGACAAAACACACCGAGAATTTTCAGACCATAAATTCTTCTTCTTCTCAAGCACAATCAACCAATTCGCCTCTCTTTTTATCCACACAAACACACAAGACACTTAAAGAAATGGCACATCGATTGACGATATGGCATAAATGCAGAAATAATAGAACAACGTGAATGTGTAATCTTTTCTCTCTCTCCTTATTAAAGTTACATTTCATTCGTGAAAATGTTTCATTTCACCCGGTGATGATCGGTGAAAATCAATCATTAAGTCACAAGAATAAAAAACATTAAGTAAGATATTCAGTCAACCAATTAATCATTGTAATTGTTTTCTGCACTTCAGCGGAAAAGAAAGAATGTCTCCACTTTGCCCGGTGTGTTGCCAAAGACAGTGTGTTATACATTTATATTATTGGCGGTAAAGGTGAAATAGTTAAGACTGTATTTGTGAATCTTGTGTGGGAAATTCAAGTTATTTATTGAGCATTGACACAATTTCCAAGGAAAAAAAGAAAAAAAAAACGAGACACAAGCAGCACTGGTGCGCAAGAAGAAGGTGAGATGAGAGCGAGAAATGGAGGAATTCGCTTGAAGGCAGAAAGGAAACTGAAAGAAGACTTTTATGCAATACAATTTTGTGTGGTTAAAGATGCATGAGTGACATATCGATAAAACAAGACAATCGTCGCGGACTATCGAACACCAGACGAGCAGAAACAGAAGAGCAGACAGTGCGGGTTCAATTGACCAAATTGAAACAAATGACAATCATCAGATATTCAACACGGTGTCCAACAATGAGTATCCCAATGCGGAGGCGGGCTGTTTTGTTCGTGAACCACTGAATGAATTTCCTTCCATCGCGCTCGCGAGTCTCTCTCTCGCATCGGCGAAACACCAGACCAAATATTGGAGTGGCACTCTTTTCTTCTTTTTATCCATATCCACTCGCCCAACGCAACCACACAGCAACAGACAATTTCAATTCAATAATAATGCTAATATGCAACTCCATTCAGTCTTTCCCAATACACTTTCCTCATTCACCATTTTTTCTCGCCGCCGACACACCTTCGGACCAAAAAAAACACTCTCTGAAAATATATGATCAGCAGCATTGCAAGGCTTCTCAACACGTCCACTCAATATCCCAGTAAGACAAATTAGGTCACAGTTTGACTAATATAGAGAGTGTCTTTCTCTGGAGAAAAACATGATTCACACCATTCGGAAAGTTACAATTACACTTATCTGTCTTTCTTCTTTCTTCTTGCCTTGTGGAAATGGAAAAAAAACGTTGAACATTTCCCGAGAAACAAGTCAGTGAATTTATGGAAAGAATTTCATGCTAATTTGTTTTTAAATGCCACAATTAAAATAGGCATAAATTTATATCATTATTAGAAATCCACTGTATTATTTTCCCGCACGATTACAATCAAGTTGTGAAAAGTGTTCAATACCTATTGAGAATTTTTCCATAAAACACTTTTTTCACTCTTGTTTTGCCCATTAAATTTGCTTGCTTATGAAGAAGTTAATAGCAATAATTTCAAGTTCAATGAGTAAATGTCACAATTTAGATGCTTCGCATAGTAAACAAAACATTTACTGTATTGGATGATTGATGATAATATTATATTGTAAATGATGAGTCAGAAAAGTAACAGTTTAATTGAATTTCAATGCACAGATCTCTCGATTGCCATGCAATCAATTCGAATAGCCGTTAGATTGACTGATGAAGATAATCAAAAAGAATTCATTTAGAGAGCATTTTTCTCATCAACATCATTGAATTCCATCAATTGTGCAATCTTCTAAATCCCCTTCCTTCTTAGCAGGACTAAGATTAAGGCTGGATTAGCTGAGAAGTTCACAAAGTTCAGGCGAAAAAAGTGTTTGAGGCCTAATATGAGATTCTCTAGTGTTCTTTGTACAATTTTTACTATTGAAAATCAATCTCTGCTTCACCCTGAACACCGTGAATATTCATTTATGCAAATCCGCATTGAGTTGCAGATATTTTGTCTCAAAACAACCTCTTTCTCAAGCTCAACTTCTCTGACTCTTTCAGAGCGCTCTCTTTCGAGAGATCAGCAAGGCCGCAGAGTTTCCTGTGAATCTTCTTCTTCTCTTCCCTCTTCTGAGAATCTCTGCTGTGCGCCTCGTGGCTCGAAACGGGAGAACTTGTGGCCACCTGTTCTCGGTGGTCATTGATGCAGATGCCTTTCTCGCCACAGTTCGCGAGCATTGCAGAGTCGGATGTGGAAGTGAGCGCGCCAGCGAGAGAGAGAGGGAGAGAAAAGGGGGAACAGTGTGGGTGGAAATGGGCTCTGCGACCGCGTCCGGCGACAAGTGTCACGTCCTCGCGAAGAGCCCCATCATGGGGCTGTGATTGCGGAGTGGGAGAGCGCAAGAAGGAGCAACATTGCACACGAGCAGTGCGGAAAACTGTACGCCCAAAGATTAATGGTCTTGTGAGTGATATAACGGGAATGTAATGGTGGTATAAAGGCCAAAAATTAGTCTCAAACATGCGATTTTTTCGGGGCACACACAAGAGAGAGAGTATTCTGTACAATAGAGTTTGGGGCTCCTCTGGCACCGTGTGGCATTCGCTCGCGATGCCCCAAGAGAGGGTGTGAGTTAACACAGGAATTAAAGCACATAAATTAAATTATGTCAACAGAAATGTGTGTGAGGAGTGTGTGCGATGTAGTTTCTGGTCATCCACAGTTATTATGCTACTCACGTCTCTTGGGAAAAATTGAATTTTCCACCCAGCTCGCGGGGCCTCCTTGGCAGGCGCTTCCCTGGAATCCTCGCACTTTGCACTCGTCCACACCAGCGTGGCCCTGCAATTTCACCCCAGATCGCTACAGTTACGGACACTTGGCCACATCAATTTCACGGACACGCCAGAGAGCTTGCAGATATGCCAATGGAAAGGCCGAGAAATTAGAATTATTGTGATGCGAGAGCGACGAAATTTGCACTCAACACGTCAAACACTAAATCGAATACACTTCCCCCTGGCGACAATGGCCACAAGCTCGATCGAAATCCAGGTGTTGCCATAGCAACTGCGCGGTTCTCATTCGAAGACGTGTTTGAATTTTCAAATCAGACTCTGCAATGCGATTTCTGCGCCATCTGCTGGCTATGCATGAGCTGGTAAGAAATTCATGCTTCGTGTATCCGCTAAATTAACCTATAACACAAGAGAAATACTGAAAATTAAACACTGGGCAAAGCGTTATTGAGAAAATACAATAATTCACGTTTCCTAATTATTATTGTTGGATGGTTATAGATTTTTCATGTCGTTCCGTGGCTCACGACATTTTCCGCGCACGACTGAAATTGTATATAAATGAAACTTTTTCCATGAGTTGGACAAGTGAAAATGAAAGTTTTAACTCTGCTAATCCTCGCGGTGATCCACGGATCAGTTTGTGCGAATGACCAGAGAAATAGTTTAGTGGTTTCTGTGAAAAATGGACTCTTGAAGGGAAAACTTTGCTATGGCAATGAAAAGTCTTACGAAGCCTTCCTCGGCGTTCCTTACGCCAAACCGCCAGTCGAGGACCTGAGATTCTGCAGTCCAGTGCCTTGCGGAGCCTGGTCCGGAACCTACGACGCCACGTATGCGCGGAATGAGTGCCTCCAGAAAGTTTACCTCGTGCCCGAGCCATTCATCAAGGGTAGCGAGGATTGTCTGTACCTGAACATCTATCGTCCAAGGAGAAGAAATCCCAACGAAAAACTGCCTGTTGTGGTTTACTTCAGCTTCGGAGCTTTCGCAACGAGTTTTACGAGTCCTGAAAATCTTTCTCCTGATTATTTCATGGACACCGAGAAAGTGATTGTAGTTATTGTTCAAAGTCGTTTAGGTGCTTTTGGATATTTGAGTTCAGGCGATGAGCATTGTCCTGGTAACTTTGGCCTCAAGGATCAGGCTTTGGCTCTTCAGTGGGTGCACGAGAACATCGAGTCATTCCAAGGAGACTGCAATTCTGTGACTCTTGTGTGTCCAGCTGATGCAGGTGCTTCGTGTCAATATCACTGGCTTCATCACGACACATCGAGTGAGTTTCGTCAGCACCTAAATGTGCCAAGCCAACTTTAGTCGAATTGGTCACTATGTCACGATTATTTTCCAGAGCTTTTCCATAAAGTCGTGCTGAAGAGTGGAAATGCCTTTGCAATCTGGGGACTTCTTGAGCAACCAAAGCAGCAGTTCCTTGACCACGCAAAGCTGATCGGAATTGCTGATCCCACAAAACTGACTTCATTTGAGATAACGGAAAAATTGAGGAAAGCCGACGCTAAGACGCTCCTGAGTGCTATCGATAAAATTGGCTTTTGGATAGAAGATAATTATGTTTACTATCGTCCAGTGGTTGAAGTTGACTGCAAGGATGCTTATGTTAGGAAGAATCCTAGAGAAGCCTGGAGATTTGGACATTTTGATCCTAAGCCACTTTACGTCACTTTTACTCCTAACGACGGAAATGTTAGATCATCACTGCTCTTGGCTCCTGAAAGGAGGAAGATTTTCAATCAGGATGTTGATTATCACCTCTCCGAAATATTTACAGTCAATCCTGTTCATCTTCAGACATTGAAAGACTTTTACTTCTTTGATAAATCGTGCAAACTAACAGATAAGACGGTCTTTACATATCTTGAGGTATATATAGGTTGATGAATATTTACTTGCACTATTAATTGAAAATAATTTTTCAGCTCCTCACTATGAGGCTATTCCATCAGCCAATTTACAATTTCCTCAAATACTACGTCCGGCACGTGAACACCCAGAAGTATCCTTTGTTCGTTGAAAAATTCAACTTCGATGGAGTTAATCACTTCTCAACAGTTTTCTCTAATTATTATGTGGATCTCAACGTTGGATTCTGCGATGATCTTATTTATCTCTTCCGCTTCCCTTCGCTCTTCCCGGACTTCGACAAGAATTCCATTGACTACCAGATGAAGAACATTTACGTCGACACTCACGTTAATTTCGCGTGCACCGGCGTGGCAAACACGTGGATGACTGTTGCTCCATGCGACGACGAATACTTCAGAAAGTACGGCTTCTGCGAATATCAATTCTTCGCCAATCAAACTGCGTTCGTCGATGGAGTCCTGAACAATCAGGTCACCGTGGATATAACGAACTACTTCCCCCTAGAGGAGGTTCACATGTGGAACAGAATCACGGAGAGTTGAATGAAGCTCAACATTTAGTTGTAACTTCACTTCAGTTTGTTGATTTATCCTTTCTCAATACATAATTATATAGAATTAAACCATAGTATGAAGAATATATATATATATATATATGGATTTGCACGAAATCTATCAGCGTAAAATCTTGCATTTAACCAATGTTGCTGGGCAGTTACTGATTTCATACCTTTTCGTGTTTCACGACCTTTTCCGCGCACGACTGAAATGGTATATAAAGGAAACTTTTGCAGGAATCGAATCAGTGAGTTGAAGAAGTGAAAATGAAAGTTTTAACTCTGCTAATCCTCGCGGCGATCCACGGATCAGTTTGTGCGAATGACCAGAGAAATAGTTTAGTGGTTTCTGTGAAAAATGGACTCTTGAAGGGAAAACTTTGCTATGGCAATGAAAAGTCTTACGAAGCCTTCCTCGGCGTTCCTTACGCCAAACCGCCAGTCGAGGATCTGAGATTCTGCAGTCCAGTGCCTTGCGGAGCTTGGTCGGGAACCTACGACGCCACGTATGCGCGGAATGAGTGCCTCCAGAAGGTTTACCTCGTGCCCGAGCCATTCATCAAGGGCAGCGAGGATTGTCTGTACCTCAACATCTATCGTCCCAGGAGAAGAAATCCCAACGAAAAATTGCCTGTTGTGGTTTACTTTAGCTTCGGAGGCTTTGCAGTGAGTTTCACGAGTCCTGAAAATCTTTCTCCTGATTATTTCATGGACACCGAGAAAGTGATTTTAGTCGTCGTGCAAAGTCGCGTGGGCATATTTGGGTATCTGAGTTCAGGCGATGAACATTGTCCTGGCAATTATGCCCTTAAGGATCAGGCTTTGGCTCTTCAGTGGGTGCACGAGAATATTGATGCATTTGATGGAGACTGCAATTCTGTGACTCTTCTGTGTGCAGATGACGTTGGTGGTTTGTGTCAATATCATTGGATTCATCACGACACGTCGAGTGAGTTTCGTCAGCAACAAAACGTTTTAAGCAACCCTATTTATGACTTCATTTACTATGTCACGATTATTTTCCAGAGCTTTTCCATAAAGTCGTGCTGAAGAGTGGAAATGCTTTTTCACTCTGTGCTCTAAATGAACATCCACATCAGCAATTCTTCGATCACGCTAAATTGATTGGAGTTGATCCCAAAAAGGTGACTTCCCTTGAGTTAACGGAAAAACTGAGGAAAACCGACGCTAAGACGCTCTTGAGTGCGACTGATAAGCTTGACTTTTGGATAGAGGATCAGTTTGTGTTTTACCGTCCAGTAGTTGAAGTTGACTGCAAAGATGCTTATGTTAGGAAGAATCCTAGAGAAGCCTGGAGACTTGGACACTTCGATCCCAAGCCGCTCTACATGACTTTTACTCATAGCGAAGGAAATGTTAGATCGTCTCTTCTCTTGAATCACCAAAAGAGGAAGATCTTCAATCAGGATGTTGATTATCACCTTTCAGAAATTCTCTTGGTGAATCCCGTTCATCTTCAGACGTTGAAGAATTTCTACTTCTTGGACGGAATGTGCAATCTAGCAGATGAAACTCTTTTCACTTATCTTGAGGTGAGAATTCATCCCACAAATATTTTTTCACTCTACTAAATTGCTTTTGTTGTAGCTTTTCACCATGCCGCTGTTCCATCAGCATTTGTACAATTTCCTCAAATACTACGTCCAGCATGTGAACACTCAGAAGTATCCTCTATCTGTTGAGAAGTTCAACTTCCATGGAAATCATCACTTCTCATCAGTCTTATCAGGATTTGATGTGGATCTCAACGTTGGATTCTGCGATGATCTTATTTATCTCTTCCGCTTCCCTTCGCTCTTCCCGGACTTCGACAAGAATTCCATTGACTACCAGATGAAGAACATTTACGTCGACACTCACGTCAACTTCGCGTGCACCGGCGTGGCAAACACGTGGATGACTGTTGCTCCGTGCGACGACGAATACTTCAGAAAGTACGGCTTCTGCGAATACCAATTCTTCGCCAATCAAACTGCGTACGTCGATGGAGTCCTGAACAATCAGGTCACCGTGGATATAACGAACTACTTCCCCCTTGAGGAGGTTCACATGTGGAACAGCATCACGGAGAGTTAATTTTATGTTCTCATATTATAAAATATAATTTTTCAAGAGGGTAAATCAGAAAATCAATAGCTTTAAATTCAAATCCGTTATCTCCAAGAAGTCGCGTGTCTTAATTTCTTTTATGGAATTAACTCTGACGTCAAACACTTTCGAAACACAAAAAGTTATTTGAAGAAGTAAAAAATCAACCTATTAAATTAAAGCAATTCCCAAACGTTCTGAAGTCATCTAGAACGAAAATGGATTGGTGACTTTCAACAATCTCTTTTATGACATCGTTGCTTTGCAGTTCTTGATACTATAAAATAAAGTGTATCTCGTTTCAATTCTCAGCTGTTCTCCATATCACCTTCTCTTTTTCTCACCGTTATGATTGAAGATGTGGATCAATTTCGGATGGGTCAACAACTCTTCGATCAGACAGAAGAAAGTGCTCAAAGATGAAGGTTGCATTCGTGCTGTGCTTTGTCGTTCATCTCTGTGTGGCGACATTCAGTGATAAGGGAGATTTGATCGTGTGTCCGCCGATTGGATGCATCCAAGGCACGGTTATTCCTGGTCACGTCAGATCTTATGAGGCATTCATGGGGATTCCCTACGCCAAGCCTCCCGTTGGAGAGCTGCGCTTCAGGAATCCAGTGCCAATCGACCCGTGGGGATCGAAAGTGTGGAATGGAACTTACTCCAGAGACACTTGCATGCAGAAGATCTTCGCATCTCACACGACAAGGAGTTATGGCGCAGAGGATTGTCTCTACATGAACATCTATCGTCCCATCCGGAAGCTGAAGACAAAACTCGCGGTGATTGTCATGATAACTGGCGGAGGATTCTCATCTGGAACTGCGCAAATTACTGATTTCGCTCCCGATTACATGATGAACAGGAAAGACATCATCTTAATTCTGCCGGAGCATCGTCTGGGAGTCTTTGGCTATTTGTGCTCGGGAAACAGTGTCTGTCCGGGCAACTTCGGCCTCAAGGATCAGCAGATGGTTCTCGAGTGGGTCAGAGACAACATCGAAGAATTCGGTGGGAATCCCTCGCAAGTGACTCTCCTCGGCCAAGGATCAGGATCAGCCTGTATTCAGATGCACATGATGAATGTGAAGTCGTCGCTTCTCTTCCATCGTGTGATCCTGCAGAGTGGCTCCTTGGCCCATTGGGCGCTCCTGCGGAATCCCAGGAGTCAGTTCATGCGTCAAGTGAAGTATGCCGGCATCAAAGGATACAAGAACATGACCACAAGCGAAATTATGGAGAATCTAAGGAATGTGGATGCGGTGACGCTGAGAGAGACTGTGGACAAATTCAAGTTCTGGCACTTTGAACATCTCGTTATTTATCGTCCGTGCATTGAAAAAGTGACCTGGGAGGATGCCTTCCTCACCGAGAATCCCTACGATGCGTGGAGAAATGGCAGATATGTGCCTAAGCCCGTTTTAATTACTTTCACACCAAATGACGGGACCTACAGATCACCAATTTTAACCAACGATTCCGCCATTAACGACTTCAATGCGAGAATGAGGAAAATCCTTCCGAAATTTCTCGAGTTCCCTTCCAAATACGTGGATGATGTTGTAAAGTTCTACTTTGGCAACCACACTCCTCACATTGGACCACAAAATGAGGAGGTTTTCATAAATGTAAGACACACTCACCCTTTTCCTCCTCAATATTCCTTGATTAATTAACTCACAGCGACTCTGCTCCAGATGGTTTCCGATAGATACTTCCATCAATCCTTGTACAACACCGTTCAGCAGCTGAGGATGAATCGCTTCGCGAAGATGCCGCTCTACCTGTACAAGTTCAATTTCAACAGCGAATTCAGGTACACCAAGAGGACAACACTGACGGACAAGAACTTCGGCACAGGATATCGGGATGATCTGCTCTTCATGTTCCGCATCGCGAGTGTCTTTCCCGCCATTGAGTTCGACTCCGTGGAGGCTCGCATGAGTGACTTGTACGTCGGAGTGTTGGCCCACTTTGCCACTTTTGGCCGCGAAAAGTCGTGGCTGAGTCATGAGAAGTGCTCGGGAAGTGTGAACGGGTTTTGTGAGTATCAGGAGTTCCAAAAATTTTCCGACAACACCACAAGTGAGGTGCTCGTGAAGGCATCTCGCCAATTTCGCGTGGACGCCGCTGAGTTCTGGAACGAGATTGACGGGAGAAAGTGATGCAATCACTCAATTATTTTCCCCGTCTCCTTTTGGGATGCATTTCGCGAGTGCTCCACTTCTGCGCTGACCTCAAAGTCTCAAAATCTTCTTAATCCCGCGCGCCTTTTATCGAAAATAAAACCAGTGTGACCCAATTTCTGGCACACGAGCCTGTAATCATTCCACAAATAGAAATAATAATGCCTTGCCCGAAAAGTGACATGAAATAATGACTTTTTTCGGGTATTTGATAATTGATTGCCAATACATTGTTTCTAAGAAGCCACGAGGGAGACGCATGTGGAAGTGTCTGAAATTCGCACCTGATTTATTTCATTTTTCTTTTCTTATAATTAAATAGTAAATATTTTGGTGTTTAGTCACTTCTGTCTTCTGACCACTTAATAATTGTTTCACCGCCAAGCGACATAATGTAGTTGGCGGAAAAATACCGCCACATTCAGCAATTAAACATCAATTTTTTATTACATCAGGTAAATGGTGAATTGTGCCATGAAATATGCGTTATTGCGAACATTTTATCACACGTCATATTGCTTTCAATTCATCACTTTCCAATCATACATAAAATATTGTGTATCTTCTGTGAGAATTTCATTATGAATGGAATAACGATTAAAAGATTACACGTGTTCTTAATTGAACTCCAACACCGTCATCGGGCTGAGAAACTACCGAGCAACACACGATGTGCTTGGCTTCTCTGTGCAAAACTATCTTAAGAACAAATATTTGGTGACTGTCCTTGAGTGTAGTTGAAAAAATATAATTCTTACCTGAATGAGTGGTGATTAATTTGCGTCTCTTGGCGTCTAATTCGGCACAGTTGAAAACCATTTGAAAGCAATGCATTCCACTAATCGCGTTTCGCTGGAGAGGCAAAAAGTGGCGCCAAAATATTACAGGTGAGTGTCACAATGTGTGGTGTTATTATGTAGGCATTGGTTTACATCAAAATAGCGCATTTTCTATAAAAATAGCACGAGTAACATGTTTTGTAGGGTCAAAACTATACGCACAACCACACGTGCAGCAATTGCAAGCGCTCGCAATTAGTCAGGGAACAGCTTTAGATGTGCATACAATGTATTTTCTGCACCTCTGTAGACACATTACATTGGCATATATTACAATAAATTTTAACAAATATCATCGCGTGGAGTATTTTGCGAGTGTGTGTGAATTTTAAAATATATAAATTTTGCCTCAAAGCTCTCAACGTCTTCAGTATAGCGTGGTTTATTCGCGTGTGAACAGCCACTTTTCCCCCCTTCAAACACTGGGTGAAGTGATCTCGCAAAAGCTCTTCTCCTTCGCCTCTAGACGGTTTTTTTATCGGCCATCCGGCAAAAAATTTACACCTGTGTAAATCACCGAAAGATTGCTGAGCGATAACAGTGGCAGAGAAGATGAAATACATGTAATTTGTCTATAGAGAAGGTCCAAAGCGTAGCGGAAGAGTGCAAATATTTAACTCCATTGTGATATACTCGTGCCAACAAACATTTATTACTGCGTTGAAACATTTTTATCACCCCCCAAAATGGGTCCAATTCCGCTAATACTATTGGCAATAATTGGTCAGGTGTTCTCTGTGCCGCTCGTGTGTCTCAAGGAAGGCCAATGCATATTAGGATCGACCATTGCGGCAACCGGAACTAAGGCGAAGAAGTTCGACGCCTTCTATGGGATTCCATACGCTAAACCTCCTGTCGGAGACTTGAGATTTGCCGTAAGCTTTTATTAGCTTAACACTAAAGATTTCTTTTGTGGATTTCGCGCGCGAATATTCGTGTAAAAACTTACAGAGTCTTCTGCTTGACCTTCGCCTTGAGAGGCTTAAATTACTGTGGAAAAAATGTGATATTTCTTCAAGAATCTTCAATTTATTCATTCTAAAATTGAATTGCACTGCAATTCAGCGACAATTTATCTTAAAATCTCTGTTATGAGAAAGTTTCTAAAACTCAGCGATATGAATATTAAATTCTAGACAACTTCCTAAAGCGAAACTTTTCGTTGTCTCAAAAGTTTCCTCCATCACAATCAAGATTAAAAAAGAATTGCCGAAAAAAAATCACAAAACCGACAAAACATAAATTCGAAATCTTTATGAGTTGAGAAAACTCATATTCTTAACACGGTATCATTAGATGGTCATTAAAAACAGCTCAAGTATCACGAAGGGTAGCAAATCCACATTTATAAGATGTAATGAAGACTTTTGATGTGAGACAAAGCATTAATTTCGCATTACTGATTCCGTGATAGGATCCTCAGCCGGCGGACAAGTGGAACGGAACACTGGACGCCACACTGGAGAAGCCGATGTGCATTCAGAAGAATGTCCTCGTGCCATCTCCCACTGTTCAGGGTGAAGAGGATTGCCTGTACTTGAATGTCTATCGACCGAGAAGTGCCAATGGGTGGCTGTTCAAGAAGAGCCTTCCGGTGATGATTTTCATTCACTACGGGGGTCTCTTCGCAGGCGCAATCACGCCATACCTCCTCGGGCCGGAATATTTTATGGACACCGGCTCAGTGATTATGGTTATGATGCAGTATCGATTGGGGAGTTTGGGATTTCTCAGCACGGGAGATTCTGCCAGTCCCGGAAACTATGGCTTCAAGGACCAGGTGATGGCCATGCGCTGGGTCAAGGACAACATCGAGTGCTTCGGCGGTGATCCCACCTCTGTCACGCTCTTCGGACAGAGCGCCGGAGCCGTTTCCACCCACATGCACATGCTGAGTCCACTCTCCAAGGGACTCTTCCACAGAGCCATCGTGCAGAGTGGAAATGCCATTGCACCCTACAATTTCCCCGTGGACGATCCTCTGCAACAGGCTCGAGAGCAGGCCAAAGTTCTGGATATTCCCAATGCCTCGACTCTGGACTCCGCCAAGATTGTCGACGAGCTGAGGAAGGTGGATGCCAAGCGTCTGGTTGAGAGCTCGGACAAGATGAAGTTCTTCTCCGTGGATCCAATTGTGCTCTTCAGAACTGCCATTGAGCCTCCCGGGCCGACGGCTTTCATGAGCGAGAATCCCATTGACATCGTGAAGAGTGGCAAGTTCCAGCACGTCCCTTGGATGACTGGTTTGGTGCCCAACGAGGGCATCGTCAGAGCAGCAGCGATTCTGACCAATGAAACTGACTTGAAGGAATTGAACAGTCGCTTCGATGAGTTGATGCCAAAACTCATGCAAATCAATGCCACTGCTGAAGAATTGGCGACTTTCTGGCCAAAGGCGAGGGATTTCTACTTCAATGGCGAATCCTACGTAAATGACTCCAACGCGCAGAGATTTATTGACGTAATGCACAAAGTTTGATATCGATTTTTCCAGCATGTTAAACACTTCCTTTTTTCGCCATAACAGATCTTCACCGATCGCGCCTTCTACCATCCATTCTACAAGACAGTCGAGGCTTATCTATCCTATGCAGACACCACTAAGAATCCCCTTCATCTCTACAAATTGTCTTACAAGGGCAACTACTCGTATTCAGTGGTTTATACGGGAAGCACGAGAGATTTTGGTGTGGTTCATTGTGACGATCTGCTTTATCTCTTCCGCACGCCAGCAGTCTTCCCTAAAGGACTCCCGCCAGACTCCTCGGATGAGAAAATGAAGAACATCTTCGTGAAGACATTCACATCGTTTGCCACGAGTGGAAAGCCAAAGGAGTGGACAAATGTTCCCGATTGCAACAAAGCGTCTATGAATCCAATTTGTCACTATCAGCACTTCAACAATTCGCCCACCGGCGATATTCTGGTGAATTCCTCACAGCAATTCGACATGGCGCCCGTGAGGTTGTGGGATGAGTTGAGGGAGTATTGATTTAATTTGGCATAAGCCTATATTATTTACCTAAAGTGATCCTCAATGTAAGATATACTTTGTCTTCCAATAAGAGATATTTCAGGAGCAATTATGCTTATCAATCCACATGTTTTTATTTCTGAGAGATTTTCCCACGAAAGCAGAACGAAAATCTACTACAAGCTGATGATCCCTGAGACCCCCGTGAAAAAGTACGACAGAATCATGTGAATGACCGAGATTGCGAAAGATTATTATGGTTAATATGAGTGTAAATATTTTGCCTTCACTTACCGCAAATGTGATGAGTCATTAATCAGCGGGCGGACGAAAATATGACGAGTTGCGGCACGTGCCGAAGAAAAGACGCGGGAAAATGAAGATAGTGTGTGACAAAGGAAATTATTGCCACCCATGCGATTCTCACGTTGTAATTGTTTATTGCGAAAAATCAGAAATCAATAAGAATATAACGTCTTATCTGTATTTATTTTCTCTATTATTCTCAGTAACGATCCATTAATTCTGAACATTGGATGTTCTCTATAAGCATCACACATAGCTAGAAGGAGCAGAATACAAGTAAATCTCACTCTATTGCCTTTCTTTTTCTAGAGTCTCACAATACTGAATTGCACAGCTTTTCCTTGAGGAGATTCAACTCCTCACGCATGTTTTGGCCTTCAAATTTTGGGGGGAGGAAAAAATTATTGTCACGAAAATTTTCTAGTGGCGGGCTTTCTTTTTTCCAGTGAGTTCTTCTTCTTTTCCTTAGGCTCTCCATTCTCGAAGCTTGTCTATAAGTAACAATTCACTTTTCTCTATAGTTTTACACATAGAATGGTATTTTGATAGAGTCAACAAGATAAAATCTATAGTGAGAGAAGATTTATAGATCAACATCATTCTTAGTGACAATCTCTTATCACTCTTTTTCACAACATGTTCAAATCTCTTGTCTTTTTTTTCAGCTAAAGGTACTCAAAGTACAGTAAAATTCTTAAAATCACAAAATTGATTCTCTCTTTCTCTCTTTTCCTTAACTTTTTTGGCGTCACAATAATTTCTAAATTTGCCACACTTTTAATCTGCTTTCCTCTTCAAATCTCTCACAGTCTACATCTTAAAAGTCTGGTGTTTGCACAACAATTTTCTGGTGAGCAGGTGGATTTTTTTGTTCCTTATCTTCCTAAAAATACATTATCATTTAAACATTATCCTTACTGTCTAATTCAATTGCATGGGAAGTGAGAAGATTTGTTCTGTTGAAGCCACCGGAAAGAAAAATGAAATTGTGTTCCTTTTTTTGTATTTTATGGCAAGACGAAGAAGCCAAGTTTTATTCTAAGGAGTAATACTCAATTTGCATAGAATTTTCTCCTTGATATAATATTCATTTTGGCAACATTATTGTCCACTAAAAAGTATACACACACATCAGAGTACATTCTATTGCTCTATAACTTTCCAACCTACACAGTTTGAAAGAGGGAAAATGGGAAAAATACTTGAAATATATAGAGATTGACTTGGCTCAGGAAGTGAAATATATCATCTGTGGGACGTTGAAGAGTATCGAGAAAGTATTGCACTAAAAATTTCACATATCCACTTACATTATGTACAACTTATCCTTATACTGAAGACAATTGATATATAATTTTTTTGAGTTACAAAAATAAAATATAGCAACAATTTGATAAAATTCTCAAAGTGTTAACGAGAAGTAGGTCGATTGGTGGAATTACTAAAAAAGAGAGAAGCACGAGCTTATGCGTTGGGATTCTGGGCTTTCTGGCGCCTGAGGTCAGAGCCAATGACCCCAGTGACTACCGTGCCAATAATCAGCATCACGCCCATTGTCACGTTGGCCGAGATGTCGCCGAAGTGGTTGAGAATCTCCGCATAGCCCATGGTGAAGATGATGCCGAATACCTGTGCGGCGGCATTCAGGATGCCCGCAGACGTGCCCTCGGGCTCGGGGTAGGTCAGTTCGGCGGCAAACTCGAAGCCAACTGGCAAATAGCCGGTCATGAAGAAGCCCAAAAGAGACGACGTGACGTAGACCACCCAAATGCCGCCCGTGTTGAGGGTGAATGTGTAGATCCACATGCAGACCATGGAGAGCGCGTAGACGGCGAGGGTGGTCTCTTTGAATTTGTGCGTCTTATCCAGCACAATTCCTGACACCACCGAGCCAGCCATGCCCAGCAGAATGATGCACAGCCCAATTTGGCCGGCGTCCAACTCATGGCCGGGGTAGTGGAGCAACACGATCTGGTTGAGGAGTGTGGAGATGGCATAGAAGACGCCCACGTTGACGCCGTAGGACACCAGCAGGAGGATGTAGTTCTTGTTTGTCATGAGGCGCTTGATGGAGTGGAGGAAAGGTGAGGACTGGAGAGGGTTGCCAGACATTGTGGCTTCCTGGGCGGCAGACGGCGGAGTTGGCGGCTTCGCTTGAATGACTTCAGGTGTGAGGATGAAATTGCAAGAGAGAGAAAAAAGCCTCAATATCTCAAGCTCTCTGCCGGAGAGACAAAGTGGCTGCATTCTGAGTGGATTAAGCCCCACCAATCAAAAGTGTCACTGCACTGCAACTCTTATTATCTTAAGTAGATCGCGCGAAGTGGTAGCAGTGTCTGTAGCAATGATTAACAAGTGCATTTTCTGGAGGAGTTCAACATTTTCAACAGATAATGCGAGATAATGTGGAGTGAGTGTTAGTATTGTCATGTGCAGTTGTGAAATGAAATCTTGTCTGTGTTGTATTTATAAAATATATCAATAAAATAGATTAACTTCACAGACGTCAGCACAAATATCGTCAATTGCATCACCATTTGTCCTATTTTAAAATTGAGGGCTTTCACCACATTTAAAAAGCTCCAAAGAACATTCATCCCATTCTTATCTGCCACACGAAACTCCTCTAAAACTGCAGCCCACTTTCTTGTACAGGGCGAACAAACAGTTTCTAATTTCCCACACCATTTTCCCAATTTCTTCTGCATCCCAGCATACTTACAGATAAGCACGAGGACCACCAGCAGTGATGTGTATCCAGCCACTAGGTAGAACATAAATTTGAGGTCTCGCCCCACCAGTTCCAGGTCATCGTGGTTCCTCACCAGAATTGGTGGCATTACGAAGCCAATGGCGATGCCCAGCTGCAATAAAGGAGGAATTAAATTCACTTTGCGAACTTTTCCATCAGCTCATCGAATTGCTCACAACTTCCAAACCATAGAGAGAAGGAGTCATGAAATTTTGATAGAGTGCTTATACTCTCTATTCTCTCCATCACGATAAAAACCCACGACGATGTGGTGGGGAAAAAAAAGTGCCTTCATCTATTGCTAAGTGGCAATTAATGCCTTTCATGCATAATTTCATAAATCGTCAGAGCGTGAAGTATTGGGATAAAATATATCGTAAAGAGGCTCCGGGGAAGCATCTCATCCGAGCAAGTAGACACAGATACGCTCCCCTTTCCCCCCGGAAACTACTCTCCAGCGTCTATTTTTCCTCTCCTCTCCCTTGGGCTTGTGCTTGTGAATAAACAAACAGATACAAAGTAACGAGATTCACATTGTCTGCGCGATATTGATTTGAAATTGGGCGTAGGATGAGGACTTGTAAGAATGGGGACATATGGAAAGCTCCGGTATTCACCCTCGCAAAGCCATTATATGGAAGATGTGGAGCTCTCGGCGAGAGGATTTGGCGACAAACACCCTTGCCTGGGATTATACCCTGTGAATTGGATCAGACGTTAATCGCCTGACCCTCAGCAATTGCCCCCCAAAAACTTCAAGCACACTCGAAGAAAAGGCCTTTCACAGCGACTCTGCCAGGATTTCCCACACTCTCTCTCTCGCCCAACCTCAGGCACGTGTGCTGGAGGAGAAGGAATTTAAAGTGCTGGCAGATTCAATGAAAATAATTACATGAATTACATTACACAGGAACTGAAGAAGATCCTTCTTGCGTTCTTCCTTTTTTTCTCTCTCTATCTCCGCGCTTTCGCTCTAGGATATGTGGGAAAAATATACATTTTGACCCCTTTTTATTCCACACCGAATGTGATGAGGGTGAATGTATCCACCATCCGCTAAGAGAGAATGCGAAAGTAAAAGAATTTTCATGTTGTTTTTCCCAATTTGCAGTGGTACGTGTTGGTTTTTGTACGATGTGAAAAGTTTCTCGTGTTAAAATTCAATTTGTGAACCGTGCAAGTGCACAGTGTCATATTCATAGGGGCATTTTTCCCCATTTCCATTTGTGGAATATAATGTATTACATTTGTTTAAATATCATATTTGCAAGAGAGTGTGTGTAGAGAGTGAATCATATTGTCAAATATGATCTTATATCTCTGGTGTGCAAGATAAAAATCTCCTTATTCATATTTTTCCACGATAGACGGACAAAAATTTTCAATATATACACATTTTGCCAAGGAAACTTTCAAAGCGAAGAAGCTTTTGTATTCCTTTCTCGAATATCACATAAAATATACCATCTGAATAGGAAAGTTTCTCTCGTGTAGAGAACTGAAAAAAATGAGATAAAATTTTTGTTTATATTCACAATAAACATTTCCATGTGTTTGCAAATCACCTTTTCATGAGATTGTTTGCACTAAAAATAGCGCCAGCGCCACTATACAATCCCTCTGACTCCGTTTCTCCCACCTAATTTCGTGAAATGTCACAAAAATTCATTACCCGTGGAAGGACATTTTGTAATTTCCGCCATGGAAGGGAAGGGCAAAAAAAACACATCGAATTCAAAGTGAAAACCACGGAGCAGAAGTCACACAGGGCCATTGCAATTTTGCAAACTTATCTCCCACACTCATTCAACGCGACTTGCATGGAAATTGAAATTGCTGCTCGTTGTGAATTCTAAATTAGACTGAAATTGATGGAACTCAGTATCCTTGTGTATAATGCCACTGTATGGGGATCTTTTCAGTGCGACAAATGATTGTCTCCTGCAGCATAATCATTGTTTACACTCCAAACCGCCAGATAGTCATATTGTGTGCAACGCTTGGAATAAATCCATTTTGCGCGAAGGGAAGCTCAATAAATCCGCAGCACGAAGAAAGGATGCTGCAGAAAATCCCGCGAAAAGTCTCCCGATAGGAACATAAGAAGGCGGAATTCATAAATTGCACTCTGGATTAAATTCAGTGCGATTGGGTGGAGTGAAATTTATATGTATCGCTCCAAAAACTCACTGTGCTCAGCCTGAGAGGATATAAATATGACTCCCTATTCTCTGGCTTGTCTTCTTGACTATAAAGTGATGTGAGAGATAAAAGCTTGTACAATAGAGTGTGTCTTTATTGTGAAACTTCGGACATATCCTCAGGATCACCACTGAATTGCTCTCATTCAGTAATTTCCCATCGTACACACTTCGGGAAAGTTCTCTTAGGGTGTCACATTCAAAAATATGGAATTTCTTCTCAGGCATCTTCAGAAACTCCCAGGAAAACCAGACTCCAAGGGGGAGATAATACGGCTTAGCAGTGTTCAGCACAATTTCTGTGAAAAATCACAGACAATTTCAGAGCTTTGGCAGTGTTTTCGAAACTTCATAGATTTTTCCAACCGCCTAAAGTATCATAACCTCAAATTTAGGTCGTAATTGTTATAAAAAAAACTAAATTTTTACTCTGAAAAAAAAACCTACATAGAAGTATTAAGGAAATATATTAAGTTTTCAGTAGATATTTTGATGTGATTAAATTTTAAACGCTCATTTTGGTGCACCGTTGATCATAACCCAAAAATAGCCTTGAATATTTAAAAAAAAATCCTAGAAATAAATTTATTGGTGTAGTAAAATCAGGTGTGACAATCAAAATCCCACCGATTTCCATCAATATTCAATTGTTATAAATTGACAATGAGTGGAAATTTGCTATTTTAATGTTGAAAATCAATCAAACAGGTTTTAAAATAGACAATTTTATATCCTGAAACAATATTTTAGAAATCATGACCATTCATAGCGTAATAAACACAATTGAACAATTTGAATATCAATTACTCCAATTTGAGTGCATAAAATAGTGTTTCCCGATGTTATTTAGCCACTAAATTTTGCTGAAAATTAGTTACATAACCTAGGCAAGCAATGAAATTTTTATTGAAAAAAATAGTGCAAAAATCTTCAAATTTTACGTGAATTTACTTTGAAAGTAGCTCCTAAACGCCTAAACACACTTCTGCTGAACTATACACCACTTTTGACCATAATATCTCCCCCTTGTCAGACTCCCTAAGAACACCCCCAAGAGTATTATTAGTAAATTCACATCCGGAATCTCCTGAATGGCAAAAGTCGGACAACATTTCATCATTTTCATGTGAAAGACTTCATGGCAATGCATTCAACTTGCAGAGTTTAATGATATTTTAAGTGTGAGTGAAAATACCTATCTATTGTCTAAACTTTCTGGGTAAATTAATTTATGAATAGAGAATTGAAGGAAATTATCTCACTTTGCTAAATGTATTCTCCACCTATTTCAGACTGATAAATTTCTATCAAGCCGATTAAGCCATATTTATGCACATCCATTAGGGTTTTGGTCATGAAAATGCAATTAAAAAGTCACCAAATTTGACACTTAACAAGATGACTTTATATTTATTATATGTAATTAATAGTCACGGTTTTGTGCGTATGTCAAAAAAATATGTATAGAGACTCTGGTATACGGAATTACGTTATCGTTGGCTGTAGTAATAGATTAAAATATGTAATTTAAATATTTCATTTTGCAGAATTTATTTACATACCAGTCACTAAATGCATAGTCACATTATGTTCGCATGAGATGAGCATAATTAATTTTGCCACATTCGCTGCAAATGAGGAAAATCTCGAGGAAATTTGCATAGCCAAATAGGGAAAGTTTTACCAGACTTTTGCAGACTTTTCCACCGTGACGCACATATTTTCCAATTAGTCGCTCAGCAAGAATGTATAGCAATTATTCTTACTTTCTGCATCGTGCAAGAACTTTCTGATGATTTCCTCTGAACACTTTTCTCCAATGGGAATCTTTTTTTTCTTCTCGCGCCATATATTTTATCCGTCATAAATGATTGCGTCACGCTCGGCACATTTATGGGCCAACATATTTTGTGTGTTTTTTTTTATAACAAATCGCATTCCATTGGTCATTTTTGGATAAAGTATTATCGCACTACATCGAGATGCATAATCAATCATGAAAATTTGTGGCCATTCATAAAGTAATTAATGCCATCCACACCAAATGCCACCACTTGAGACAGAAAATTCACCACTCTGAGCGACATTTTTCACATAATTTTCATCCCGAGGATTCATCCCCAGTCAGAACAGGTGCCACAGTATTGCTGGGTTATTTCACATTTCTCACTTCATTACCGCTGTTTTTTCTGCGGGGGAGGTTGGGGGGAAAAGTGTGGCCTAAATGAAATTAAAATATGGCACCATGGAGGATTTTCGTCAGCACAATTTACCACTCTCACTCGAGCAAATTCGCCCCGGTGAAAAGGATGTTTCTATATAATGAAGAAGGAGCACCTTCAGTGCAATTCTCCAGGTGAATGGGTGAATTGGGGAGATAAATTCCGGAGCGGGAAAGTTGTGATTCACACACACACAGCGGCAAATTTTCATTATGTGAAACAATGAAAAGGAAGAGTTTCAATTTTGCAGGTACAAGAAGTAAAATTCCCATTTTGAGCTTTATTGCCCATTTTCCTCTCGTCACGTGGGAATTTCACCTTGAATTCGCCAATGCGAGGATTACACACCCCATCCCCACCAACACAGCACATTCTCTCACTTTTTCACAGATTATATATGAAATATATCTTCGTCATGCTCGTGGTAGACAGATTTTTATTTTCCCGCTGGATTCATGGGTAGCGCAGCGGTGCACAGTGACGCTCATGGGAGTGATAACACCTGTCTGGTGTTTGAGAGATGAACCCAAAGGTGTAATAAGCAAACAACAGCCCGTGAAGTATTACATCGATCGTGTGGACATCTTAAGAAAGTATCCACAGAATGATAACTCAATAAATCCTCACTCTAATCCCTCGAAATCTGAGAAGTTCTCCCATAATGTTGCTATTCCAACGCACACGAGTGTACATCAGGTTCCATTAGGAGATGCTTGAAGGGTGTAGGAAAGTGCGCTGTTGTGTCTGCATGAGAATGGGAAATTGTAAATGGAGTGAGAGAAGGGAAAATGCTGGGATGCAACACCGCATTTGTCTGTTGTCATGGACAGAAGCCATGGATGAGAATCCGCCTGTGTAGTTTTTCTCTACATCTCGCCACGATTGGGGCAGAGCCAGCTCGTGTGTGGAGGAGAGACCAGTGAGCAGCCCCTGAGTCGTCATTTGCAAACAAACTGAGAGTTTCTGTGCCGCGGAAGCGGAAGTAGCACGTTTGCACGTAAAATTTCGCAAGTGAACACCTTCCAGTTATGCTAGCCCCGAATAAAGCATTCCGCCCTCGTATTGCGATCATGCATGAAGTGCTGGCTGGCGAATGGGGAAAATCCTCGAGGAAATGTGTCCATTTTGGAGTGTGTGTGCGAGAGAGCATTAGATTAATGGATGATGTGAATGAAGCCACGCGAAATTGTGGCATTACTCGGGAGAGAGAGTGTGAGCAAATGATGCTGATGGTGCCATATTTTCCCTGTTTTTCGCAAACTTCCGTAGTAAAGAAAGCGATACTCTGTCCACGCTGACTTTCCTTCCTTCTTCCTTACTGTGTTGCTGCACTGCAATATGCTTCCCCGAAACCTATCGCCCATGAATCAATTGGCGAGTGTGCTTTGTCAGGAGCGTTAGAATGTCCTGCGATGGGTGATAAAAACAGTGCCATACATTTGCTCCTCTCTCGAGAGTGGCAGCTTCATTTATTCTGCACGGCACTTTCTGGCTTCCCGCGTGAAAAAACAAAAACTCACCAAACATGACACATTGCAATCAATCTTCAGTCGCTAAAATAATTGATTTTGGAACGTGTGGCTCTCGCCTTTTCATCTGCCCAGGCAGAGAGCTGTAATCCCCAGCGGGCACATGGAATGTGGTAGAAAAACATCCCAGAATGGGTGACCAAAAAATACAGTCTCTGGGAATTTATCACGCTGAATGCCCTGAATACCAAAGTTCGGGTATCTCACATCTGGGAAAAGTGTGTCACTTGAGCACCACTTTAGGTGTTGGAAGTCACAAATTGCAATTGGAAACTAATTAGCGAGGAGAAAAGTGAGGAAGTTGTTATGCAAACAATTCTGTGAAATCATGTAATTTTCTTCTCCAAAAACACTCTTGGCATGCAATGAGACACCCTAGCAAATATCTGGCTCTCGTGTAACTTAATGGAGATGCTGTGGGCAGAAATATTGCCTCAAGTGTATCGATTTATTGGCAGAGGATTAATAACAAGTAACGATCATCCCTTTTCTGCATATAAAGTAGTTTCTCTATCACACTTCTTCCTTTAAACATCACTTAACCAAATATAAATGTACAATATATCTCACGATATTAAAGTATGAAAAGGATATATACATAAAGTAAAATACAAAGAGCCATAAACTATCGTATTCGAAGGAGAAGATTCAACTTTTAGAGAACATCTACTTTCCAGCCAGTATTTCTTCTCAACTTTCCGTTATTGCACATCTTGATGGTTTTAGACCAATTCTCTGTGCTTCATGACTTGAATTTTCATCTCCATCGAATACACTTTACTATATTTATATATTGTGTATTTCTTTAGGTGTTTGCAAAACTTCTCCACACAGATACATTATACAATATATCCACTTCCGTTTACCATAGAAACTTGAGAAAGTTGCTGTGTAATTATTATGTACCCAGCGAAGAATTCCCATGAAATGAACTTTCCTCCAGAGACACTCTTCGGTCGCATCGGCGGCATTACATTTCAATGGTGCGATCATTTTAGGGAAAACTTGATAATGTGATAAGTTTGCACCATTGATTTACGATGGTTGTAAGCGGAAGATTAATTTTTGCAGTGTGAAAAGGCAATATTATAAAATGTCTAATAGTGAGAAAGAACCAAAAGCTTTTAAGACTCAACAAAATTGCAACACCAGAGAGATGAAAGCTTTCAGAAGTTTTCACTTTATATTCCAGTCTTCGTTCTTCAATGTTTGATGTTAAATATGGAATGGCATTTTCACATCGTCAAGAAGGCGAATTCTATGGAGAAAAATGTCCGTGTGAAGCAAGTGTTGGAAAAACTCATGAGAAAGTTGATATTCCATAGAGATTCGTCCATCTATTGATTTTACCATTCAATGAGCGACTCTGTGACTTATGCCTGTAATTATACCCAATATCTGACACACTCTTCCAACACTTTGTGCCCATAAATAACACCACATTACAGAGACACAGTGCGGGAATTGCGAAAGAGCGCTGAAAATCTCCTTCGCGAAGTATAGAAAAGAATGAGAAGAGACCAAAAGAAAATCAATTTCCCCTCCGAAAGTCACCCTTCTCACACTCCAATGGATGAAGAATAACGAGAAAAAATCTATTTCCGTCCAAATCTTTTTTTTTCGCCATGCAAAAATGTAAATTCTATATCACACTGATGAAATATTACCCCAGATTCATTGATATATTGACCTTTCTCCTTTGGGTTAATGAAAATCAGATGAATCTCAATGGGAGCCGCAAATTGAATGTCCTGTGAGAATCGATGCTCGAGCTTTATGAAGGATGTGGGGGGAAGAATTTTGAGGAGAGATGGAGAAATCAATAGATAAGAATAGGAAGATAATACTCCTGTGCAAATCCTTGGAGATGTTGACGTGTCCACTTAGGCATTGATACGAACTGCTGAGCACCAATGACTCATTGATGATTGCAAGTGTCACTTGAATATCCCCAGGTAAGTCTCGATAGCACAAACGACCCCAATTGCAGGGTTGAAGCCAAACATGAGCACACTATGTATTGCAATATTGTATTAAATAATACAATAACCGACAGGACGTGTTGATCCCTTTCGCTGAACTGCACTCTATATAATTGTTAGGGGTTGAGATTTTAATCGTGTGTTGCATTTACACTGGCCAAATTTGGTGAAATCACTTCATTAATCTCAAATTAGCATTTCTCTCCTCATTTCAACTAATTCAACTTGGGGAACAAAATGAAAACGTAGACAAAAATTAATGCAAATTCTCACCCTTCAAACTCTGGCGTTTTTTTTTCCTCCTCCTTATCGCAATTTCACAGTACGACAGTCACAATTTACGTATATTATACCAAGTTAGATCGAAAGTGTTGAGCATGAAAAATAGGCAAGTTTAATCCTCCTCACTTGAGTCTCAACTGGCGCCTCCATTCACTTCTTCCCGCCCCACTTTCCACCCCAATTGTCAGGGACTTTCAATAAAATACCATCATTGCAGCCTTCGAGAGATTCAAATGCAAAAACTTGTAACGAGTTGGACACTTTTGACGCTTGCAAAATTACCAAATGGATGCCTTTAATAATTTCCCATAAACTTTCATTGCCTCATTTTCTCACCTTCGACATTTTTATCTCGGCATTGCTAATAGGGAAGAATTCCCATAAATTCCAACATGACCATCACATAAAATCACAATGCAATTTTCTTTGTTGACCAACGCCGAGGGCGAGATGGGGCGGAAAAGATGGTAATTAAGAAGAACAATATCGTGCTGAGAAAATGTTCTACGAATTGCCACAAGGGACGATATGAGACGCAAAAAGCGGCCAAGACGAGCTTTCTCGGACACGATAATAAGGGGAAAAATATTAAAAATATCGCTAAAAGGCGTTCAAGAGAATTCCAGCGAAGGCTCCTTCGTTATCAACAATTAAGTCATTTCCCATCAGAAGCTGTTAATCAAATTTTACGACACCCCAGTATGACTTTAAATCCCTCGCCCGGACTGGAAGATGTGGGATATTTTTGGCTTGAGTTCACCCAGCGGAAATGGCCTCCATTTAATTGCATAATAAATTGCTGATGGTCTGTTTGGATCCTTGTACAGACAAGTCCAAATATATGCTACGAAGGAAATTCATCATAAAATGTAGAGGCGGCAAGGGGCGCTGAGAACCGATAGTGTCCACAAGCCCACACCATTTTTTGTTCATCAAATCGCATATAAAGAGTTGTGATAAGCCAAAACCTCAATCCCTCAGCTCTGCCCGATATTCATTACAATGAGCATTGGGCCCGAGCCAGGGGATGATGGTTTTGCATGCAGAAAAAAAGCAGAACAACCACAAATGTCGCGCTCTCGTGATGGGCGGAAAAAAAGTCGTCAGCAGAAAATTGTGGAATTTATTCTACCATTTCCACTTGACTCCACTTCGCGCTGTTTGGCGTGCACCCGGGAATGGAAGCGCTGCCCCAGTGAAAATTGGCAAAACGGATGGCCAGAGTGGCTGTGCCAGAACCAAATGGCACGTCCTGAGTGGACAGCTTGTCAGGGTTAAAGTGATTGCCTGCTAACTTTGGTCGACACGCTAGGACGCTGAGAGAAATGAGATCACTTGACTGTGGAACAGGCCGAAGGGAAGTTTTCACAAATGGACAAAGGCTGTTTCCTCTCACACCATCCACTTGACCCTCGAGGTGATTTACCCCAGCATTCAATGTCCTGATGATTAATGCAAATGAGGAGAAAGTTTCATACTCACTTGATTCCCAAACACACCGATGCTGCAGGCGGAAGAAACTTGGTCAGGACCGAACCAGAGAGCGGCCAGGCGAGCCGGCAAGGAGAGAATAAACACCTGAAATGGCGGCAAGTGAGTTTATTGATCACCCAAAGTCCAGGATCTTGTCCAGGAGGGAATAATTCACCTGTGACGTGGCCACAATGCTCTGCCCAATGAAGGATACATAGAAGAGATCTGGTTGCACAGAGAACACCTTAATCCACGCACCCAGGCATGTTCCCAGAACACCGCAAATTGCAGCCACCCGCAGACCCTATGATGGAACAGAGAATAGTCGCATTCAATGTCGCTGAGCTGAATCTATTTCAATTGATAAATTGGTGGTTCTTTGTGCGAACGCCGCGTGTAATGAGGAAGTCATCATAGACAAATTGCCTCTCTCTCTCTCTGTGCAGAGATCTCAATGTCACAATGCGAGAGTCTTACCATTTTGTCCAGGAACCAACTGGCGGGAAAAATGAGAGGAATGTAGAGCACCATGAAGATCATCGAAGTCCAATCCACCCAGGTACTGGTGATGCCATAGTATCTGCAAGAGTCCACATAACAACTTAATTTAACCAAGCATTTCCACCCAGATTTTACACACAAGAACGCTCTCTTTGCATAAATTTTCACCTGAACGGGAATCTTCATGCTTTTCCCCTTTTTGGGAGAAACTTTTATCCCCCAAGAAACTTTTACAACCCATAGTTTATCTCCTCAATTGCTGGGAAGAAAGTTAAGTGTACAAGTACATGTCACGTAAAGACTGTCTCTCGCTCTAGAGTTTATAACCATGAGTTTGCTGTATTGTCACAACATCCTCCACAAGAAGCATAAGGATATTTACATAGGAAGTTTAATAACTTGGCAAAGTCCACAGCCAGCAATAACTCAAGTAATTCACTTGAGCATAAATGTGCGACTTCTAGGAATGCACACAGTATTGCTTCATGAAGAACACTTCCGTGACACATTTCAATACAAGAGAGACATTTTGAGAAAGCGAACAGTGCACAATTGATCTGCTATGTGAGCTTTTCAACACTCTAAACTTCTGCACTCAACACTCTCAAAAGAGATTGAGTTATGTGCTCTGATCAACAGATAATGTTCACTTCTGTGCCAATGCATTCTTCATTTCTAATGCATTTCACATGTGATTGCAAAAAATAAAGCGTACAAAAGACGTCTGGCCATCGTCCAATCCCCAATTCAACTTCCTGCGAGCTTTCCAATCGAACAGCGAATATCCCCAATAAATCACATTGTTTTTAATCCATTGACTCTCTCACTCTCTCTCTCTCGTCTCACTCCACCATCCAGGATATTGAGAGGAAGAACTCCGCACCCAAATCCCACTCGGCGGTCTCCCCAGATTCACACACGAGGCCGCGATACATATTTCACCAGCGAAATTCATGAATTTTCGTGCAAACAACACAAAATATTCCATTAAACCTTTTCGGTTCTGTTTGCCGTGTGCCACAGAAATGATGAGGAGGTGCGCGGGATGTCAGACCTCCGCAGCTTTTTTATTCCCCAGCAACTTTCGGCATGTCTGGGTAGCTTTTGGTGTCCAATTTCAATTACGCTGGCCGTACTTCAGGCTGGCATTTTAATTCGATGGACGGATAATTTTCCAACACTCTTATTTTTAGCACAATTTTGTGGAAAATCCGCAAATTTAATTGGTTTATTGTGCAAATTCCATAAGAGTGAGAGAGCTCATAAATTTAACAGCAGAAATACGAGTTCCCGAATAATTATATTCTGTGCGGTTTGAGTGAAAAGTTATCGGATTTCTGTGATAGGTCGAGGACGAGTTCGCAAAATTACTCATAGATAATTCATTAATATCAAATTGTTCTCTTTTTCTGACCATAAATCACGCTCATCTCCGAGGTTCACTTCAAATTTCCACTGATAAAGTTCGTAAAAATGCTTCGCATCCTATCAGAATGTTAGCGATAAAATTCATGACCTCGACGACAAACTATAAAGTTTAGTCGTAAAGAGATTGTTTTGCAAATAGGCATAGATTATGCTCCGCTCGAACATTTCTCTGCACATTTCCCGGCGCAAGACACAATTCGGGGAAATAATGTTTATCTGTTGGTGAAAGATGTGTGTTTTCGTGTTTAAAATGCTCACAAAGTGAGACTTAAGTCATAAGTAATATGCTAGACATATTTGCTTATGGCCCTCAACTTGGCAAAGAGCATAGCGAAGTCGTTGGCTTTTCCGGCAAATTTCATATTCCACCTCAAAAGCTCCTCGTCAGCGTCACTAATTGGAAAGAATTCGCAGAGAAGTGCAAAAGGGTGAAATATACTCACCGTTGCACGATATTCGCTATGATGCTAAACTGAATCCACTGGAGTGCATTTGATGCGGAGTAGAGGCAAAAAATGGCCAGGACAATCCATCTTCTCTTGTAGACACGGAATTCACCAGCAGCTGCAGGAAGGGATTCGCACGCGGCGGTGATTAATTACGGGCGTGAGGAAATGGGAAAAGGGATTAACGTACCTGGCTTCTGGCTCTCCAAGTGATCATCTGACGCCGATGGTGGCTTTATCAGATCCGTTGACTTGCTGTTGGGCACAAAAGTCTCCACCGAAGTGGTGGACTCCACAGTCTTTGAGTGCTTCAAGTCCATGATTAGTTGATGACTTCCTTCCGCGGGCCGGAAATTTTCCCCCCGAAAAGATCCTCTATCTTATATCTTGTTCTTCCTTCCGGTCACAATGCCAGAAATTCAGTGAGGCTTGTCCTTCCTTCTGGCGCTTTTTTACTCGCTCGTTCTCTCTTCCTCTTCTATGTCCTTGCTCAAATTATTGCCACGCGCTCTCTTGTTTCATGCCCAGGCAATTTTGTGAGCTCATCTGAGATATGGGTTGTCTCTCTGTAAATTACCAAATTCTAACTCAGTACACCTTTATTCACACAGGCCTCAGAGTCACTTCCGGCGTGATATGATTGTATTTGCCATCGCGTGGCGGAGTGAAGACAAATTTTCCGGGGTTTCCATGGGACGACGGATGGTGGCAACGAGTTCTGCGAAATGAGAGTGAAATGTGAAAAGGATGAATGATATTTGCACAGCACAAAAGCCATTTATTCACACTACAGACATGAGCAAAAGAGGACGGGTGACCGAGTAACTCAATGCCACAATGAAGCAATTTATAGCCAACAATGATTGCTGCAATAAAATTTATACCGCCCCATGTATCACCTCCATCGTGAGAATTGAGCAGCTATCATTGGGACTCCCTGGTAAAGTGTGTCGTCTCTCAAAGTGGTAATCACGGCATATTCTCGTCCTAAGAAATTCATTGCTGCGCAATCAATTCCGAATGGCGACGATATGGGAGGATTAAGCACTTATCATTACAGAGCCATTTTCACTCTTAATTGCCATAACATTCAAGTTCGCCCGTGAATTTGGGGGGAAAATGTGAAAATGGCACAATTAACTATTGATTGTATTCTGTGAGAAGCAACACGCTCTCTCTCTCGAGTTGCTAAAATTGAATTAGCTCTATCATGAACTCCTATTTAAGCATCTCACAGAGAATTTACCTGCCATAATAATATAAAAGAGCGCACGCAAAACTTCCAGCGTAAAGTTTGCGAGAATCGTTTCGCCACATTTCAACCCGTGGAAGGAAAGAAAATTCCAAGTTGCTTTCACTCTTCTTCGCAATTAGTTTTACGTTTCTTTGAATGAGAAACGCTGGATGTGAAAGGAACATTAAGTAGATGAACCAAGGGAATGACAGAGAGTAAAGAGAAGTGTACACAGTGGAGATGTTTCACGGGATCCTTCTACACTTCTTTCACCCACGTACACCACATTCCCACCCATAAAACTCCCCTTGACAATGCATAAAAGAATCTCCTCACTCGCTCTCGTCTTGATTATACTTGAGAAAGCATGAGGAGATTTCATGAGTGAAATTCCCTTTGATACATTTGGAGAACTGTTGAATAGCCCGAGGAAAAACTGAATTCCACTCTTTATATGCTCTCCAATCCAGTATATATGACTCATGATAATTGCGGCCCATTTGATATGTCTGGAATATTTTCAAACAGACACTTTCCGCAAGTGTAGCGATAAGCTGCCTTCCCAGAGACCATCTTACGATTCTTTTCAACAACGTCATCCTCTTATCGCAGCCATCCACATGCTCAAAACAGTTCAATTCCCATTCGCATTCCCCCATTCGCCGATAATCAATCTCCCAAAGTCATATACTCCTCAAAGAATCTTAAAACGCCCGCGCGGACTTTGCACGGAATCAGACGACTTCAGCGGCATCATAAATCAAACGCACCCCCGCTTTCTCGTCTCCATTGCTATTTATTGGCAATTTATTTCCACTCGGTCTAGCTTTAAGTGGGGTGGCATAAAACTGCACAGAAATCTCCCTTGGCAGCTCAGCTGGGCTCGTTACAGGAAAATATTTCGCAAAGCAACGGAAGTATGATATATATGCGATGGGGGGAAAATCTCACATTTCCATTTTACGGCATCCACGAGATACGCGATGCCATGGGAAATTCTGAAATAATCACAATTTCTCGCGAATCACTGGCATACAAAGCATAAATCAATAAATTGCATTCATTGTGAGACGACATTTCAGAAGCTTCTCATGCCATTTAAAATTGAATTTGCCATATGCAACGACAATAAGTTCCAAAATCAACTTTCAAATATAATTTCGCGAAGATGTTCTTCTCCACTTTTTGCCCTCGCCCCGCGAAAAACTTCTTAGTTGGATTAAATATAAAATTGGCGTCGGGGCAAAAAGTTAGTCAGGAGTTTTTGGTAATTTACTATAGCAATTAAATTGCATTTATTATGAAAATAGATTACAATTTGTGCACGAACAGAAACGTTAATTATAGTCAATATAGTCAATATTCATTAAATAGCCAATTAAGTGAAGGATTTGCACAATTCCTACTGAATTCTCTCTCTCATCAATATTTGTAATATTGTATGTTATATACATAATGTTTATTATTCATTTCTCCCCATTCAGGAATATTGAATCTTGATAGAGTTATAATTAAATGGAAATGTCAACGAAAAAATACCTCGAATGCTTACTAATGTTTCGCTTCACTGACATTTATTGATTCAAGGAAGCGATTTACTGTGTATTCAACTATGCAATTTTTTGCCACTTAAATAAAGTGAACCACTAATTAAAGAAAAGTGCACATAAATTTTTATACATTTCGCTAAACTATCAATTAAAACTTTTCCAGAAAAGAACGAATTAAAAGTCTGTTTTCGCACAATATGTTCAACTGCGCTTTTTGCCTTATTTTTATTGCATTCAACAGAAGATTTAAGACTCAACTCTTCAGTCGAAAATTGTCACGATTTCCCATATGTATATTCATTAGATCTTGAACATGATTTATATCACATTACTCAAGCACAAGCTCAAGCATGTGTGTTTGGCAAAACCGAAAGTTTCGTGCTGAATAATGCAACTTTGCTGGGGAACTTCAAGGGAGAGGAACTTCTGTCTCTTGTTGAACAACAGAACCTGTTGTCGTGCGGATGCACTGTAATTTTCGTCTTCAGTTTGTAATACAGTTAGCAGAGTTACTCCTGTGGCAAGTCTTTTACACCAAACAGAAACTCACTCTGTGCCTGATTGTTGTTCTGGCTGTCGAGGGATTGCAATTGGATTTTCAGCCCAGGTAAACCACGCAAATCTGATTAAATAATTCATAATGGGTCTTTGCATCCAGGCAGGGGAATAATGAAGCCAAAGTGGGGCGTGTTCGTCGAGGGGTGAGCTCGCGTTTTGTCTAATTTGTGACGACAGCCGCATTTCAACCCCATTCAACCCCCACAGCGACTCTCATGGCTGATGAAATTCGTGTGAATCTATTTTGCTGGGAAATCCGACTATAAGAAAAGAAAATCCTTCGCCTGAGCTCTCCACAGTGAGTGCGCTTTTGCCGAGAGCCGGAAGAAAAGTCCCAATCAAAATGGTTCGCCCCGATTGGGGCGAGAGTTTATGCCAATTGCTGGTGCCAGAAAACCTCAATGGAGCACTTGTAAATCTCATTTATCCCTCCATTCAAAATTCAATTAGTGTGATGCATTTTTTCCAACTCTGCCAAAGCATATAGAGTTTTTTCTTCACTGTGCAACTCAACAAGAAAATTTCCCTCTGTGTCTCAACTCATAAATCATGTAAACGCTAAACTTTGAGAGCAAATAATCTCTAATTTCCTCCGTCGTCGCCTTAATTCACCGCAAAAGCGTCAAAAGTATCGCTGAGATCATTTTGTGGTTTCCATCGAGATTTTCTCTCTTTCTCTCATTTCAAAAAGGCGTGAACTTTTGCATTTATTGAGCCACCCTTTCTGCAGAGATGTTTATTTTTATCACGATTGAGATAAATTGTATTCTGGAGAATCACCATGGAAATTCAAATGGGAAACTTCACCCTCGTGATGCTCGAAAGTGTCGCCCGAAACTTTTAATCCATTCTACATCCTCTTAAGCATTTAACAGCAAATCTTTATGTCACACAAAATGTTATAACATAGAGTCAATTTACATTTTAGATTATTTTTTCTTCCTTTCTTTCAGGAGTTTATGGCAAAATTAAAGACACAATTTTGTCAGGGAATTAAATTCGAGGATAAAGAGGAAGATTGTTACAAATGAGTCACGGATTTTTCTGACGATAAATAATGTCTCAATTTCATGGAACAACTTGAGTGGGCATCATTATCGAAACGACACTAAATTATTCATTGCATGCTGAGAATAATTCACGAGATTAAGTATGATTTGCCTCATTGTTTGAACAAAATACATGGTGAAAAAGTGTTATTGGCAAGCAATGAATGCGATTATGAAATTCACGTGATAACAGACAGAACAAGCAGGTTAAGATAAAGTGTAGTATTGAAGGTTCTTTTCGAAACCTCAGTCAATGATATGGAATCACTGAACTGGGTCGCAACGTCGGAATTCTATGAGAGACGCTGAATCAGGCGAAAAATTCCCCGCGGTAAATACACTACAAACCTGATTTGCTCAGGTGTTTTTGAACACGTTTTTGCATTAAATGTTCTTCACCTCTCTCTCTGCGGTAAATACACACCAAAAGCCCCAGTCAACATCGATAATTATTATTTACACATGAAATGAATCGCGAAGCAGAAGCCATGATTCTCCTTCGACAATGTGGAAAATCCAAAAGACAACGCCATTGGAATGCAAAACATGGAAATTGAGTGAGGAAAGAATCGTAAAACTCGACAAAATTGCACTTCTATTAATATTATTGTGATAAACAACGGTCACAATTAAGAACAACAATTTGTCGCTTCACACAAAGGCACGCAGAACAGAATGAAGTTACAATTTTCACAGTTTATTGCTTTTATAGTATTAAATTTTCTATATACCAGTAAATTCAGTGGAGGAAAAAAAACCGATCAGTTTGCGAGAGTGCCGGAGGAAAAACATAGATTGTTGCTGACATCAGAGATATGGTCAAGTGTATGTGATGTAAATGAAATTATCCCTTTTTTGTGACATAGTTAGACGAACTATTTGGGATCGCTGGACGATGGGGAAGGTTTTGTGCTTCCTGCTGTAACGAACATCCGATTGAAATATTCTACAGTGGGACAATTTAGTAGATGAGCAAGCAAATCCCATGGAAACTGTCGATGCAGCATGAGAAAAAAAGGAACAAGTGGAGGAAATTTCCTATGTCTCCAAAGGGAGCATTTAAAGTCGTTCCTAGGAAACGACACACTTGAGGATATCTCAGGCCTGATAAGAGGTTGATACTCTCCAAATTCAATTTTTTCCTGGTCTGATTATAGTTGATAAGCTCACCTGAATTAGTGCTTCGACCTATTTGTTATCCATACAGTGAATACAATTGAGCATTTAATACTCCCGCCTTTTTTTTACATTGTCTCGCGCCACACACAGTTTGCGCAAAAGATCACTGAATTAGCACGTTAGCCACAAATTACATGAAATCTTGTTATGTTGAACAGTCACGTGTGACGTTGAGGCAGGAATTCAGCAGCGTCCACCTCTGACGACGGCTTCCGAGCGACTGCCCAGATGAGAAGAGCTCAGAGCGATCCGCCTTCCCGAGAGACAGCGTGCCAACTGTGCACTTCCAGGCGCCCGGACTTATCTCCAGTGGCACTGGAAGTGCTGCCTGGAGTGGGAGAGCGCGTGTGTGTTGGAAGGAGGGAGGGAATTGGCCACCCCATTGATACACCTTGACTCCTTCAGCCTGCAGAACCCCATTCAGCGCCTCTTCACGGGCAAATCAATGGACTCCTGCTGAAGACTAGGCGTGAAAGAGGCTGATGACAAAGGAAGTGAGTGGAAAACGGAAGAAAGAAATCTATTCACTGTGCCGGAAAAGAGAAAATCAATAGGGATGCTGAAAGCTCCACGGGTGGGTGGGAAAAGCTCAGAGAATCCACTGGACCGCACCCTCCGTTCGTTGCCGCTAGAGGCGCTGTTGCCACTAAAGAGTCACTTCAGAGCGGGAATCTCTTTATTCTACCGAACTTTGCGATACAAAATACTAACAGACTTTTGCCTTCTATGGCCAAGATCTCTTGGCAATGTGGCCTCGGTACTTCTTCCTGTACGTCAGACCCGTGACGAGGGTTGAGCTCTTTGGGAATGCACTCACACCGCCAAACATTGTGTCCTCATCGGGCAGGAACCTCTTGAACTCGCTCTGAATGTGAAGATTCACCGGCAAATCCTCCTGTTTGAGCGTGTCCAGCGGCAAAGTGCTATCCACTGGAGTCTCATAGAACTCAATGACATCCTGCACACCCTTCAGCTTGTGCAACTGCGAATTGGGCACTTGGTGATTGAAAATCTTCCGGCACTCTTCTAGGAATTTGAATTTGTCATCCAGCGAAGAAAAGACCGCAGTGCCGGCATAGCCCAAGTTGCGTATCTGAGCCGCTACGTCGTGTGGAGGTGTGTATGGCTGGCATGACCGGAGGAATCTGCAACGTGAGAGATTTTATTGATTTGAGGAAAATTTGCCAATGAATCCGAACGACACTCTGCTGCCATCTCGCGATGCACTTGGTAAGAGGTGCACGCATGCGCCAGCTGATTCACCACCGTTGCCGTCTCGCTCGCGTCGCCCTCGGCGCGAGTGCACGCGAGCGAGACGGCCTCTATGTACAGGCGCTGCGAGTGTGTGCGCGGCGGCAACAGAGAGTCGTCAGACGAGTTTTTGGTCAATTGAGAGCCAAGAGAGTGTAGTTTGCTTCGATTCCTCTAACTGTACACACCCTCTCGAGGCGAGTGATTGTGCCACAGAGTCAATTCGCTGTCCTCCAGTTTGCAACTTCTTCTTCGGCTTCTTTGGCTCCCTCGACGGCTTCGTGCGGTAGTTGACTGAGCTCACGCCGAACCATCTCGCTTCCTGCAAAGAGTGCATTTCCGGGGTGATTCGTGAGCAATTGCGCGGAGAGATATTCGGTGAACGGGATTGTGGCGGTTGCGGAGATGCGTGTTCTCCTGTGACGTCACCGAGCACTCTGTGACAGTGTGCGTGTGGTGGAAAAGTAGGTGTCGCGTGGTGGATAAGATGAATAGGGAAAATGTGCCCGAAATCATTCCGGGAGAGATATAATTGATGGTGTACAATTGAAAAGTTGTCGGTACTTACGAGTGTGCTGGAAAAGTGTTGACCTGTTTTCCACACAGTAAAATGTCGAGCAACCGCCGCCATTTCTATTGTAATACAGCGAAAAAGCCGCACCACTTCATCGACTGACGTTGAGAAATCTCACCACAGCTCTCCGTCCGCGAGAGAGACTGCACTATGTGAATTGCTGTACGCCGAGGTGCGGAACAGAGTGAGAGAGAGCAAAATCTCGAAGACGTATGTCGAAACTAGGGTGTGTGAGTGCCAGGGCGCTATGGGTGTTCGTGGATGTGCGAGCGGGACAGGTGACCCATTGATTCGGTTCGCCCTTCGGTCGCATTCCGGGAGCCCCGAGTGAAATTCGAACACAGTGTTGTTTGAGAACCAGTTGAACCCTACAAGCCAGAAAATGAGCTTAATGGCCAGAAAACCGTGCACTCTCATCAAATATAGCAGTAATTTGTGAGTGAAAAATCGGTAAAATTACGGTATTTCGTGAGGAGTCGGCGCTCGTGAGCCGCCTGCGGTTGGTGAGAAGGACACTCTTCCTTGCTGAAAGCCTGCGTGAGTGAATATTGGCGGAGGATTTTCACGAAGTGCACGGGAGACTGTGCAATATGTGAAGAATAGTGACAAAAGTGATTGGGAAAGCTAGTGCGAAGAGCCAAAAAGTGGTGAAAAAAGAGGTCGGAATTACAGTGGAGCAGAGGAGTATGTGTGTAGCATTTGTATTCAGTGCGAAAATGGAAATTTTCCCCAAGTTGAGAATGGTGAATAAGGAAAAATCACACACCACACTTGGTCTCCATTAATTCACCATTGTTGGCTGAGTGTTGGAGGTGAAAGAGAGAGATTGGACCGAGAAGAGTCTTCCGACACGAGCGAGAGGCGCAATATTCGCGGCTGGCGCGGGTCAGTGTGTGCGTGCGTGCGCGTGAGTGTGTGTGCGTTTCTTGCGAAAAGCACGAAACGTCAACCTGACAGGGACGTTTACAAGGTGTTGCAGCGGTGTGCGTGGCGAAGTGGTGTTGGTGAAGGCTCTGTAAATACTATCACTATCTCCCTCTGATATATTCACCACCCAATCCATCGTCGAGTGCGTGAGTGAGACAGTGGCACAGAGTGACAACTAAAGTGAGATCTGTCCGCCATTTTCTAGTCGCCATCGAAGGTGAAAACCTTACTAGATGTTGGTGTTAAGAGAATTTTCTCATTTCTAGAGTGATTTTGCCACTGTTTTAAAGTATTTTATGGCTAAAGTGAAGTGTTGTGTGACATGAAAATGTATTTACTGCAGCAATGACGCATCAAAACCACCAAACTAACGGCGCCAGTTTGGAGGATTGCCACACAAATTTTTTCGCCTTGGTAAGTCTCTCAGGGAGGCCTCCCCACCTTTCGGCCACAGTCCGCACTCGGGAAAATGCCCGAGTTGTTTTCCATGAAGGAAGAGAAGAAAAAAAAGTGTGTGTGTTTGCAAGTGTTTTCCCCAATGTGGAATTACATTTTCCTTGATCGTTCCATGTATAATTGATGTTGGATGAGATGTGTGAAAGGAGAGGAGGAATTGTGTATGAGGGAGAGAGAGAGAAGAATTGTGGCATTAAATTGCGACGCAAGATAAATTGATTAGTTTGTGTGTGTGAGTGTTTTCTTGCCTGGCTACGAAAGAGAGTTGAGTGAAGTTTTCTAAAAGGGGGCCCCAATTTTTCGGTGATCTCTCCCACTCATTGGGGAGCACTTTGGCTTTGAAGCATATACACAATATGCTCTGAGTGAGTGTGAGAAAGGCCGAAGATCGACTTTTCGATGAGTGAAAAGTCTATCTTTTGACTGACTGTGAAAAGTCTGTTCTATATTCAGTGGGATGCGTTCCTTTCTTTTTCGCCGAACTTGCGATCGCGCTCTCCCAAATATTGGAAATGCCGTGAGCGAGGCTGAGTCGTGAGAGAGAGAGAGAGAGGGAGAGCGAGAGAGGACTTTCGATTATGTACTTTATGAATGGTAAAGATGGGCTGTGAGAGTGTTGGTGCGGTGGAATGAAAGAGTGTGCTTGATGAAAAACTGTTACAATTTTGATGTTTCTGTTTATTGTTGAGAGGAGGTGGAAAAATTATGTGTGGCCTCTTTGGCAATTGAGATGCTGGGAAAAATGCGGAAATTTTCTACTTGGGAGAAGAAAAAAAAGTCCGTCGATTTGGATGAAGAGAGTTTCTTTTTGGGTGAGGAAAAATCGATTGCGGCGCTGTGTCGGTTGCAAGACTGCAAACGAATGTGAAAGTCGGACCCGCGGAGAACAAGCCTCTGCCATCGCCATGTTTCATCACGCAGGCAGAGTGTATTTTTTTCTTCTTCTACAGTATAAATCCAACTATCGATTTGAAATTTACAACAAGGGAAAACATGGCTGAGAATTTCGGTGTGCGAAGGAAAGAGCAAGAGAGAGAGAGAGAGAGAGAGAGAGAGAGAGAGAAAGAGATTTCATGGTGCGTTTGTCAATATGAAGAAATCCTTGATGTTGGGCTCGCCGGGAATGGTGAAAAATTATGTACATTTCCACTGTGAAAACCCCCTTCTTTGCAGCGGGCGAATGTGTGTGGGGAAGAAAAGTGCGGGATGAGTGGGGGACAGAGAGGAGAGTCATTACTTTAATAAGAATTTAATCGGTGGCGCGAGAGAGGAGAGAATTAATGACTCTGGAAACGGTTTCTTCAGATGCTCTGCTGATGATGATGTTTAGCTGTATGACTGTGTGTTTGCCTGAATGTGTGTTGTGCGTCTGACATTCTGCTATATACAAGACGGTTTTTTTTGCCTCCCAATGTGGCCCTCTTCTCATTCTCCCAGCGAGTGAGAGAGAGACTTTTTCCATGATGTATGTTTTGTCGTGGAGAAATCACGACTCAATTGATGGCGAGCCGTGGAAGAGAAAAAAATCTTTGTACGCCTTTCATCAGGGGGCTTTGCAACCCTTTCTTTCGCCCAACAACACCCGATGCTTATCTGGATTTCAATTCACTCCTCTGGGCCGCCGCTGTACATACAGTGCGATTTAGACTGCAGGGAGAGAGAGGAGGCTTGACTCGTCTTGAGCGGGCCACACAGTACATAGTCGGGGTAATAATCGAACGGGAGCGCGCCGTTTTCGTCACGTCTCCACACGCCGAACATTGTCGTATCTTGGTCGTCGGAGTCTCTTTTGTGCCATCTCTCCACCTCCTCGTTTTGTATTCATCAGCCTCACTTCATCTCACTCTATCCAATTTCATGGAAATATAATTGCAAGAGGAGGACGGAATGATGGTTAAATATTCCACCCGATATGTACATATGTAGTGAATTGAGTCGACGTGCTTTAAGAGCTTTCTGATTCGACGTCTCTCTTTGCGTCCCATTAGTTTCTCTCCTCTCTCTCTCTCGTTCTCTCTCTCTGGCTGTGTGTGTCTTCATTTTCGTCGAGTCTCACTCTCTCTCTGTGGAAATGTCAGCCAAATTTTCCTTTTTGTGTCTTTTGTCGTGGAATAGGTTTCACTTCATCAAAGTCGCCTAATCGATTAACTAAGTAAAGAAACTTCAAATTCGTATGAAATTATCTGCGTTTCTTTTATTGTCTAAGAAATCTTAAATTCAAAATTTCTTCTGACTTCATGTTTCAAATCCAAACTGCTCTTGAGCTTGACCACAGTTAATGCCTTAATTTGCATTTTCTCCCCCTTCATTTTCTTGCCCTCCAGAGGAAAGTCGCTGGGCAAGACGAGAGGAGAGTTTTTCACTCTTATGCGCCAATGGTTGGGGCCTTTCGCCATGTAAGCGGGCGCGATTGATTCAAAGACGAAGGTGTATACAGTTGAGAGAAAAAAGATATTGCCAGTGTAACATGAATAACACGCGAGAGAAGAAATTAAAATCTCCACATAATATATTTTAATGTGGAGCTTTTTCTCTCTCACAGCAGCAATATTATTTCAAAGAGGGAATTGAAGATGAAGAAGAAGTTGGAGAGAAAAAAAAAACTTTGATGTTTGAGAGAAAATATATTTATGCTTATGCTGTGCACGAAAGAGACAGAGATTCTTTCCATTCCTAAACTGTACAGCCTTAATGTGGTTTTTTTTCGGTCTGTGACACAACAGATTTCTCATTAAATAGAATGGAACGGTATGTTTCTCGCTGTTTCTCTGCGATTCTCATGAGTCAAAAATGATACATAGGTTTTTGGGAGATCATGTGGCAAAATCTGAACATGAGTTGCTCAACGGCAGGGTTTTGATTACACACTTCAATGATGTGGAGTGAGTTTAAAGGAAGAATGTTAAGTGGCACCTGTGAGAGAGTGTCTGACTGACGAGAGAGCGTGCGAAAAAGAAGTGGAAGCGGATGTTGTACAGCTTGCATTCAAACACAATATCATCTTTATTATTTGGGGTGGAATTGTGTTTATTCTGTAGATAAATTTTCTGCCTAGATGCCGATGGAGTGTTTTGCTGGCTGTCAAGTTTCTCAGAAGAACATATTCTTGCACACCGAAAATGGTGTGTCCTTCGCAGAGTAATAAGAGGTTTATTACACCTAGGGTGGTGACTGTGGGTAGAGAAAAGGTAGATGTTGCGCTTCTCGCAATTGACTCCTTAACAACTACATACCTCAGTTGTGTTGCATCTGTTTGTGTTTGCCATGGAATCTTTCCCATGGGTCTAATTCCACAATGAATGTTTCTCTCTACCTCTGAGTTTTCTAATATTCCTCAATTCCGCCGTAGCGATTGTTGGACGATGAGATGTGTTGAGCACGAAGGAGGGTATTTGAGGAGGCCTTTATGTGGAGTGACGCGCTGTGAACCCAAATCGTTGGGTACTTCTTGCAGCCCAGAGAAACATGTTCACCATACAAAATAGTACATGTATAATTATAATCGTGGTAGTAATAATGGACTCTCTTCTCAGTTATGTTTGCGCTCGAAAGTAAATAAACATGGTTTGAGGAGAAGAAGAAGAGCATGTCAAGAAGAAGACTTAAACTCACACACGCGCTTTGGTGTGCGTGTGTTGCCGCTTATGTATTCAAATCTATTGGCTTTTGAGCCATATATTTTCCTCATCTGAAGATTGCGATGAGAGAGAGTGGGTCTGGAAACCCACGTTGAGGGTTGAGAAATCAAATACTACGACACAGTATTTGAGAGTTGCATTTCGAAATTTGATGGGAGATTTCGGTTTATAGTTCAGCCACGGAGAGCAGAGAGAAAGAGCGTGAGAGAACGAGAGACGAATTTATTTTAATGCAATTATGTGTGCATTGATCTTGTGTATTTGGGAGAAATATGAGACGACTCCGGGAATATGCTCACTTCCATCCGATTCTATGTATGGAATGGAAGAGAGAGATATAAGAAGAGAGGTTGAAGTAAGGAGGAAAAAAATGTGTATGCCTGGAAGTTTTGCCGGTTGCCTGAGTCGCTCTTGTCCACTCTTGTCTTTTTTTTCTCTCCTTCCCATGCCGTCTGCCTGGCCTCACTTCTGGCCCAGATGCAGGTTCCCACCGTCAGGTACCCTAGAGCACTGTATAGGGGAGATTGTGTGTGAGGCAGACGTTGTGTATTGCAAATTGAGTGCGAATACGCTGAGCGAGTGGACGTGTGCTGGTGAGTGAGATACTGATGGTATTTTCGTGTGAGATAAGAGGAGAACTGCGAGAAAGAGCTCTGGCCTGAGGTGAAAAGGCATAGGGTTTAGTGGTATGCTCCATTTCCTAACCATTGTGCTGCACAGGCTGCTCTTCTCGACTGTTGACTAAAATGTGTGTTGTGATCTTGAAAGTCTACCCGAAGGTCGTTAGCATTATGTTCGCCAGTGTTGAGCCTGGCTGATGCCAAGTGGCATTTTAGGAAAATGACACATAACATGTATTGAGGAAACTTATAAAGAATCTCTCAGCCGTCGTCAGCACAAGTGTTGTCATTGTTGAAATGCTCAGTGAGGATTTATCAAAATTGCGGTAAACCTAGGTCCGGACGATAAGGTTGTTATCAAGTTCGAGAATGCCTACATGTATGGCACTTTATGATTATGTCAATGTGTTTTATGTATCCCTATCGTCACCCTGGCTCGTGTCACAGTCGTGTTGATGCTCTGACCCCAATTATTTAGCACGATTCAATGCTTGATGTTCAACATTGTAAATGGAGGGTTGGTTAAATTGGCAGAAGGAGCTTGTTTTGTACAACACTTTTTTCTTTCCTCGGCGTCCGTGTGTGTGTGTGTGTGTGTGAGGATAAAATTGATTGTAAGATATTTATTATCTGCAAAATTTGCTATCTCGCCTCACCCACTATCTTCTCACTCACTCTTGATAGTGGCTATCAACTGATATGCGCGATTGCAGACGTGGGGCTCTCCGTTCTGGTCGCGCTCTCTCTCTCCAATGTAATCGGCGTCTCGTTGGATGGCAACTTCAAAATATATCTCATCAATATACAACTGGGAATGCGCATGTTCTTGCATGTGCGCTAATCAAACCGGTGCGGTGTCTTTTGCCGACTTTTTTGTTCGCTTCTCTCTCTCTCTCTCGTCCATTGGAAAGAAGAAGGAACCTTGATGGAAAATTTGCCCAATGACTCCGCAAATGGCTGTATTTTGCTTTTCTCCTTCTCAACATTCTTCTCTCTATCTTGTGTATAATATTTACATCAAAACATCTCTATTGACACATGTGGCATTTAATCAAATATATATATACATATATTTATATATGTATTTTCCTCTCAATTCCATTTGATGAGAGAGAGAGAGAGAGAAGCAGAGAAAGAGAGTCGATTGAGGGAAAAACGTCTAAATGTATTTAATATTAAATGGATGCCACGCGAGAGAGGGAATTAAAAGTTGAATTGATTTTCTATTTGAGTGTATACTTGTATAAATTATACATTTTTCCCATTGTTTGTACTCAAAGTAGATTTACTTTTTGAGTGAGGGGAAGAAGAGGTGAGGAGGATGTGTAATGTATAAAGTTCCATTTGTGTGTGGCGGTTATGAATAAAATATAATCATGTCTTTATTATTACTTTTGGACAAATAAAGGAGAACGCCGCTAAGGAAGTGGCAATGGATAAAAGAGACAGAGGCGTTGAGCTTGAAATACACATGTGCGTCGTTTGTTCTTGTCCAATTATCTGTTGCTATCTCTTAATGGTGTTTCTTTGTACCTCAGAGTGCGAATGAGATGGAGAGAAAATCCACACTTATGATATGATTATTGCATGCTGGCTCTGTACACATGCGCGCCACTTCGTCCCCGACATCCTTCGTCTGTCAAAACAATAGGGCAGCAATAGTACGATAGGCGACCGTCTGTGCTGTGCGGCGGGGGGAGGAGGAGGAGGAGGAGTTGATGTAGGGAGAGAAAGAATGAGGCGAATTCGATGATGGAAAATGGTAACTGTGTGCAAGAGATGGAGGTGAATTGATGAGAGAAGTCTGTTGTTCAAGTGATTACATAAAACTTGTTTTCATGCTTCTCACACCCTCACAAACAATGCATCCGGAGAATTCGGAAAGAATATTATTTAACCTTATACAATTTCTCTGTCAAAGAATGGCAAAATAGAGGATTTTCAAGTCAAGTGTAATTAATTTGGCTCTGAAAAAAAAGTGCCAAACATTCTGTTCTACAGCAAGAAATAAACCCTTGTTTCTTGATTGTGTTGAAAGTGTTTGTAGAAAATGATATTGCACATATTTTCTATTGTTCGACGCGAGAGAGAAGTTTCTCAATATTTTTCCCACTTGTTGATGTTCCTTTCTTATTAATTTCATAAGATTCATCTTTGCCTCACTTTTGGAAACAATCCTCTATATAGAAGAATGTGTTACAAAAGTCTCTCTTCTCTCTCTCTTTTTCTCTCCTTCTCGATGCACAATCAAACACCTTGTTGACTGAATGCATTGAACGCGCGACTAAACATTTGAAATTGAGTCTATTTAGTTGGCGATAGAGCCAACAACCGATTATCTATCTTGCGCGGCCTTACTTCTGTTCAGGCTGTTCGGTATGTGTTAATATGAGTTCTTATCACTCGCCCACAGAGTGTGTTTCTTTTGGGTGAATGGAATGAAGAAGCAGAAGAAAATTGGACAAAAATAAGCTTCGCCACAACACAAACCTTTCTCTACGAGGCATTTATTGGGTCATGATGATTTTTATTTAGCATTGTCATCACTTTTGTAATTTAACATTGCTTTGAGACAGACACTCTTTTGCATTCATTCTGAAAATATTTGGCTTTTGCTGTTGTTGCTGTATTTGTGGCCTTTTCCACAAATCCACCACGACGCGCGGTGTGCGCAAAGGCGCAAAAAAAAGAGGCAAAGAGTGTCAAAACTAAAGTGGAAGCATGAATATAAAGAGTAAGATTGGGTGTTTGCGAGTGTGTGTTATTTAAAGAAAAACAAAGCTTTCTCTGCTATAATTAGAAAGTCGATAAAATACTTATAAGTGGAGTCAAATATAGCGCTCCATTGCGATGCAATTGTGTTGAGATGACTGTGAATATGAAGCCTTTTTCTTCTTATACACCAAAGTTTGTTTGCTATTTTTCCTTCATGTTGCTGAAATCTCAGAGTTATATTGTTTTTGACATTTGCAGCATGTCAGCAATATTTGAGATTCATCATCATCATCATCATCACCAACATACATTGTTGGTATGTTGTGTTGTGTGAGCTTGTGTAAAGATATAATTTTCCCGTATTCACCGTTAGTCATGTAACAACAACACAAAAGAAGTTAAGTGAGTGAGACGCGTTATGAAGAGATTACATACTTGCTGAGATTTTACTTTGAGCCATTATAAGAGAGACACACAGAATCTTGACTTGGTTCTGTTGATGATATGGATTTAATAAAGAAAATCCACCTTATGTCTTTCAATACACACGGGTGTAAATATTATTATTATTATTGTGTGTGAGTTTCTCTTTGGCTTCTTTTCTATCTTTTCTCGTGTGTAAAATGCGAAATTTGAATAATAAGTTGGCGTGCTGTGTGAATGTATATTACAAGAGAGACGGAGAGAGAGAGAGAGGAGAGAGAAAAGCAAGTAAAATAAGATTACTATATACATATATATTTTCAATGTGAAAACACCGATTTTTTCGCTATTCTTCTCTCCGTTCCGAAAAAAAGAGAGAGCCATTGTGTGTGGAGAGAGAGAGAACTGTACGAGAGAGAGAGAGAGAGTGTGTTTGTGTGTGAGTGTAAAGAGAAGTAAAAAATCTCAAGGCGCGCATGCAATACGAGAGTTTGGAGGTAACAGAAAAATTTCACAGAAAATGAGGAATGCGCAAGCGAGAGGCATGGATGGGTTGTAATGTGGGTGATTGGCGGTGTTGAGAGTGTGTGAGCGAGAGGAGGATATATCGATTCAAATAAATTTTGAGAAAAAATCTCAGTGGCAACATCGCGGTATACACGGTGTCGGTCCGTTATCGGCAAAGGTCGGTTTTTCCGTTTAATATGACATACACACACACACGCACACACCCATGTGGGCCAGGGGAGTTTGTCACATGTGTATATTTTGATATTATTTTTAATTCGCTATGTACTCCCTGCCGTGACTGTGGCAAAGTGTGCACAATTCATTGCAAATGTACATTAGGCACACACGCCGCGCTCTTGGCGCGTGTGTGTGCGCGGTATAACTTTAACTGGTTGACTGGATTTAGCCAAATTGTGTGAATTTTCCATTTAATTTGACAGACAGTGAGAGAGATATAGAGAGACTTTTCTACATAATGTAGAGTCAGAGCTATACATTGTTGAAACATAAACATTATAATTGATATCGCAGACTTTTCAACACAATCTCATCCACTTCAGTCATTATCACTCAGTAATCCACCACAAGCGACAATATTAGTGTGTTTTAAATTATCACGAGTGATTTTTTTTGGTATTTAGCCAATTGGAAGTAATTCCTTTTCAAAAAAATACACACAAAAACAGAGATATTGGATAGAGATTTTTTCTTGCGATATTTCAGTGAATTGCGTGCAATGACGAAGGAGAGTATACGCTTTATTTTGTATTTTTGTTGGAAAATATTTATACCACTTTACACACATCAGGCAAAGAGTCCTTGGCCCAAAATTAACCTTATGGAGAAATTGTGTCGATCGTGAATATTAAGAGAGGTACAAATACAATGGTTAATTTAACACATTCGAGTAGTTAAGCATGTTGAACATGATATATTTATGTTGCTCTGAACTGAGAGAGAGAGAGAGCATCGCAGGCAAGGTTGTTGATAAAGTGCAGCTTCTAATTGAATTTTTGTCTCCTTTCAGACCGATCTTTGCGGCATAAAATGGCGTAAATTGGTCATAGGTGAACGACCGAATGCGTCCAGTGATCCACTGGACGATCCAGTATTGCGTTCATACTCCCGATGTTTAGCCGCCGATATGCTGTGCGTTTGGCGACGTGTCGCCGCCGTAAAATCGGAACCGTCCGGTGCTTTATACGACATAAGTTTGCCGGTACAGGCTTCCACGGGCAATGGATATGTGGTGCATCCACCCCTGTCGCTCAGCGCCGCCAAAGAGCTCTGGATCTTTTGGTATGGCGAAGAGCCAGACCTGACTGATCTGGTCGTGCCCGAACTTCTCAAGGCTAATGGTAAGTTAATCTCCTTTAGACTCTTTATTAACCTATAAAACCGCTGGATTGGGCGATATTCTGTCATTTGCACATTGTCACAGATTCGATAAACATCTCCTAAACCACTCTTTGGCATAATTGGCTGTTTTACGGGGAGGGTGGCGACGCCCTTGGGATATTTTGTCACGGGGTTTTGGGGGAATATTTGCGTAATTGCATTGTCATATGCATTTAACCACCTTCGGTCAATGTGCATAAATTATTTGTGTGGTAACATATTCAGTCAATTTGGTCATATATGAAGGGAATTTTTGCTCTGTGCCACTTCTCTCTCTCTCTCTTTCACTGTATTTATCACTTGAATTTCAAGTGGCAGAAGGTGGAAGATAGATTCTTTTGTGTGACAAAGGGAATACCTGAAATACCAAGCATGCACTCAATTGCTCATTTTTTGGGGGGTAAAAATGTGGCATTATACAATTATATATAAACACACACACATGAGCAATTTCCGTAGCTTTTTCCTTCCTCTTTGGCGTTTTCTCTCTGCTGGTGGTTTTGTACAAAATTGCAGCAAACTGAAAGAATTCGCGGGAAATGCCTTGTGAATGGAGGAACGATAGTTTCTTCAGAAATGTATAAGTAGTAAATCAACTGGCAACAATTGGCCATTTAGTCATTGTATGAGGATTCTTTTCTTAGTCGTTTTTCCTTTGGTTGTTGCTCTCTGTGCCAACCCCTTGAAGAAGCATTTCACCCCATTCCTCATGGCTTCTATTTACCACTCACAACACAATGTATGATCGATAGAGCGTGGCTGGTGAGGTGTTGTTTTTCCTTCTGCCGTTTCGCCGTCACACCCGTGGATGGGTTACAATAATCGACTCTCTTTGGCAAAGTGTTAAACATCTAACGGAGAATTGCTTGTGAGGAAGAAGAAGTACACACATTGGCAATTGGGCGGGCAATATATGATGTTTCATTCACGGTTTCTCTTCTCTCAGCCCGGGTGGTGGATTTGCAAGTGTCGCATGCCTTTCTGGTGGCACTGCTTTGTTATCTTTGAAATCTGCAAGTCTGCAGAGACAAACAAATGGAGGGAAGAGGAAGATTGAGTCCTCTGAACATGATTACAGTCAATGAGCCGGTGAGTGCGGAGGCATTGATAGCGAAACGGGAAGGAATGGTGTATGAAATGTGTTTTGCCGTATCATATTGGGGTGTGTATTTGGAAGATCTGTTTCTCTGGGGCTCAGGAATTCGAGAGGGTGGAGGAGGGGGGGATTGTGTATGGCATCTCTATTGAAGACGAGAGCGTGGATTGCGCGCCCCACATAGGAAAGGGAGGCGAGCGTCGGTGGCAAGAAGACAGAGAATGAGAGACAGAGAGAGAGGGAGTGGAAAGGCAAGGAGTCGGATGTGGTGTGAGATGGGCAGATTGTACGGAAAAGTTGAGGAAACTCCCTATGTAATGTTTGCAGGAGTTTTTGGACTGGGGTTGCTGCTTCTCTGTGATACTTTGAGAGTGTCTATCCCACTCTTGCGCCAGCCCAGAGACTCGTGTGGCGGGAGAGAATGAGAAAAGATATGATGAAACATGTATTGGATGGGGAATGCTATTGTACATATTATATTGAATACAGAGGAGTTGGTTAGGCGAGAGAGAGAGAGAACGAGAGAAGAGTTGTTCGCAGTGTTGGGCTATATGGTGATGATGATGATGGTGAAATATAGAAAAGGGACTTCTGCCAGTAAATGCCGCTTGTTGTTCCTGCCTGAATAGAGGCACACAGTCTACAGACAGCGATATAGGGAGAGAGAGAGAGAAAGAGAGAGCAAAGTAGAGAGAGAGAGTTTGGATCAATACAAGAACGAAATATAAGCCTGAATTTATATTGATTTTACGTGCGTGGCTTCTATTACTTCCTCCACACAGCTCGGGAGCCTTTCTGCCACTGCTTATGGTTTGGGCTTCAACAGTCCTCTGGTTGGGAATCAGGAGGAAAAAGAGATTGATAGTTGTCACATAGGAAAATGAGACGATAAATTGTCATGTTTCATTGATTCACAGGATTCACACATTGTTGAGCATTTGATAGAGATAATTTGATCCACATTCTCTCACTTGGCCATGTGATCAGTGTTTGAGGGGGTGGAAAATGTGTCCACTGTCGTCCACTCGTCATGATGGAATTACCCGAGTTATTTCACCCATAAGCTCACATTGCGGTTTTTCCTGAGTGGAAAGTTGCGCCCCTCAGCATGGGGTTGTTATGTGTGTGCGGTGCTTTTTCTCATTATCCCTCGAAGCACTGTGAATTGTATATCAATTAAGTGTTTTGTTCATTTGCTACAATTCTCAGGGCAGATGACACTGCATTTTTCCTATGCATCCAAATAGCTTTGAGGGAGAGACTTTTCTCAATTTTCCCATATATGTATAGAGAGTGTGTGATGAAGGGTGTGTGTTGTGTGGCTTAATAGAGAGAGAATTTTCCAACCCACATTGTTACTTTTGTCGGACATGTATGTACATTCTTCCCTTATGTATTGTGTCATGCGGAAGGTAAATGCTTGGACAGCACTTTCTTTATCTCAATATGTGAAAGAGGTGGTGATCTTCTGGGGGTGGTTTGAGGGCCTCTCTGCCTTCCACTTGACCACACATATTTCCTCCTGGCTTGTGTTTTTCACACCTTTTTCACGTGTGATGAGGAGAATTGGAATTGTGACAAGGCGGAAAATATGGTCAATTTCCTGGGAAATTGCTCACACGTAATAAGAGTGAAAATATTCCTTTTCTTTTAGTACATCATAATGAAGCTGTTGCTCTTTATTGATCCATAAAAATTACACAACTCGTTTTTATTTGTGACGTGGACTTTTCTTATGAACCAGACACACGGAGTGTGTCTTTTATTGCAGTGGGTGGGATTTCAGGGGGGTGGGAGTCAAACTACATGTCATGGAGAAGAGAATAAGAAGTTTTCAGTATTTCTGGGCGTTGGAATGATGTGTGTTCCTTCTGCACGGCGGCAGAAAAAAAAGAGTCGTATGGAAGAGAGATGCTTTTGTGAGACTGAAAGCTTTTATTATTATGTGTATCTATATTTCTTCAACTGTAAGTCTCTCCATGCTCTGAAGCATGAGTGACGTTTATGGGACTAATGTTGCGAATCATGGGTATGAGGAGGGAAGAATAAATGTGTCGACTGAGACGTGGAGAGAGAGAGAAAGATGCTTTCTTTTCTCATGTCATGTGCATTTTTACCCACACACAGAGTCGTGAGATTTGCTGTCTTTTCTTCTTCTTCTTCTCCGCGAAGAGTGGCGCGATTGGAGTGGGTGGGAAAAGTTCCCCTTGAAGGCAAAAGCGCGTCTTGCACAGACACACTGTACATAGTAATGCTTTCGGTGTGTAGATTTTCCCGTAGATGGGCGAAATTGTGGAGAGAACATTTTGTAAATCGATCGATATACAGCGCAACACATATAACGGTGGTTGGAGCTTTTGGCGAGCTTATGGAGATTGTGTGGCTCGAAATGCTTCCCTCTCTCGAGTGTGACAGTGGCTTGAATGGGTGGCGGAAGTGATGGGGATGCTCCTGGCAGAGAGCCGAGGGTGTTGCGGCAATGTATGTATTTTTTTCCCAAGCACCGGGGGCGGCAGATTGCTGGCCGACGACGACGACGAGAGGTGGCAGTGTGTGTGGGTGGCGCAAAAGCGAAGAAGTTTATTGTGTCTGCATTTTGGGTGGGATTGAAAGAGACGACTGGCGTGTACTGGAAAATTGTGGGAAATGCTGTGGGCGAAAGGGCGCACTGTGCTGTGCTGTGTGTGACGAGAGTGAGTCCTAGAGTTGATTCCCTCGTCTATGTGGGTGGGAGAGATCTCTTTCCAGGGTGGTTGGGTGGGTGGGTGGCGGTGGAAAATGGCAAACATATTTCCATAATGAAGACAAACGTGAATTTGTATAGAATGTGCCAAGAAGTTTCTCACGAGCTCGATATCCAGGGCGGAATGGAGTCTCTGTGCCGGAGAATTTATGGTCACTAATCACGATAAGAGGGAGTCTCTCTTCGCCTAGCCATCCTCGCCTCGTGGCGCCGAGCGATGAGGGGATTATGTTGATAGATTTTTGTCATGAAACTTTTTCCACTACATTTTCAAATGGTATTTCCGAGGTGACTCTCCTGCCACGAGGATTAATTGGGTATCATGAGTTGTTGAGAAACTGTTGATTCTTCAGCGTCGTCGAGTCACACTTGCTTCTTCTCAATCCGCGCGACCTTTTCTCTTTCTTCCCTCCCAAGTGCAATTTGCACAACAATGTTCTTATTTGAAATTGTAATTTCCTTCTTTTTTTTTTGCTCTATAACTACACATTAGAGTTTTTCCTAACCATCCCCGCTCGTGAGGTGCGTTGAGTTGTGTTGTGTGTTGTGTGTGTGCGGATGTGTGTTTGTGGTTTAGTTTTGGTTCTCTGACCATCGCAAGAGTGAAGGATGTGACCCAAATTCCTTTCACAATGCCTTGGTGTCGTAATGCCACCACTAATTTGTGCGTAGGTCATTGATTTTCACAGCCAAGTCACCCCCCAAGTGTGGGGTCGTGGAGACTCTGTGACCTGTGAGATATTTGCACCTGCACAGACTGTTGGGGGGGCAGTGTTAGACGCATTTTGGACGTTGGTGACCACAAAATAATATGTATGCTGCTGGGGGGGAATCAAAGATTTCTCGGTCAACCACCTTCTTTCCGTATATGTAGTGTAAAAGGCACAAGAGTGCGATGGGTGTGTGTATTTGTGTGCGCGCGCGAGAAGTTCTCTCATGGGCCTCATCAAAGTTGAGAAGACGAGACGAAATAGCATATTTTTCCGCTTCTATGATCGCGCGCGCATTCATTTGTATCAATATCCACCACATATGACGACGGACTTGGCACACGACGACCTCCAACTTTCCAATTCGAGCTTGTGGGTGAAATTCACACTTGTGCGCCACTCTTTTGTCTCTCGAATACTTAGTATTTTATTGAGAGTCACGCAGGGGTTTTTGCTTGAAAATATACAATATACAATTTGTAATAATTGAAGCTTTGAAGAGCGTAGAATTTAGTTTGATCTAAGATCATTTTTCTTGGCACATTCAGAAGGATAAAATAAGCTGATAAGATGACAGCAATTGTCGGTTAATATGATGGTGAATGAGAGGATGTTGAGGATATAGAAAAAAGGAGAATTATGGATGAATATCTTTGATGTTTAGCGTTCATTCATGAGGTCAATGTTTTTACACTCTTCTCTGTCCAATAGTCTCTTAGAAATGTATTCTGTGATGACTTTAATCACAGGAAGATTATTCTTTATTCATCAATTTCACCTTCTCGTGTATTTTCCACCCACACACAAAGAGGCGAAGCGATGGAAATGAAAGTTGATTTCATTCATTGCAAGAAATGGTTTTGGAGAGAAAAAGAAAACCTTCGAATTATTTTAAATAAAATGCACAATTAGTTTTAGTTTATTGACCCTCATGAACTACCTTCAAGTCGCAACACACAAAACACATACACAGAGAGAGATACAAATGAGCGCTGAAATGGACGGAAGAGTGGGAAATAGTCATGTAATCAAAATGAAGAAAATGTACACATTTTATTATATTCTTTTATATGGGGATATTTTATAATAAATGTGTGTATTGAAGCGGTGGAGAAACGGTTTTCTTTCCTATGCCTTTTTCTTGCATTTCATACAAAAGTCGCACGGTTTTGTCCGTTGCTTTTAACATCGCGCCATCAGCCATACATTTTAAAAGATGAAATGAAATGGGTAAAAATTGTGTGTCTTCTCTCGCTAGACTACAAAACGCAAGTCGTCCACTGCATGGGTGCGAGAGATAAGGAAAATGTGTTGGTGAATTGACTATTATTTACTGCGGGGGGCTTTGACGTGCTGAAAAAAAAAGTGCCACAAGTGATAAGCGAGTGCCTTATGATCAGTGCTGCGGAATCTTCCACACCGGGGGAGATTATGAGGGTGTGCGTGGGATTTCCTGGGAGTGTGGGCAAATGATGACGTAGAGAGATATGCTTTGGCGTGTGACCTTGGCGGGAAAGACACCTCAAATCGCGCAATTGGGCAATGGTTCTCGCCACAATCGTCACCAGCGTGATAAAAGGTATAAAAGAGAAATGAAATTGAATTGAGCCAGTGCGTTGAATTTGCCCTGAATGAAAAGAGTATTGATTAGAAATTGTCGGCTCTCCCTTTGGACACTTTTCACCCTCATCTTGACTGCTGCTGCTTCTGCGACTGTGGTTGTATTGTATATTTTTCGTATATAATTGTTTTTTAAGGGAGGGTGACACAATATCATAAGCCGTGTAAAACATTAGCTTTGGGAGATATTTGTGTACTTAATCGTGAATGTCTAGACACACTGGATGATATTGCAATGATTCAGTGTGTCTCTTACACTTTCTCTTTCATCCCACTTTGGGGTTGTTTGGCTGTGAAAATTTTGTGATTCTTTTCTCAAGTGATGCGAGAGAAGTGGGAAAAAGAGAGGAAGATGAAAGGCGCGCACATTGAGCGTTTGTTGACTCTTCTGTGTGTGTTGGCTCTGTTGGCACCCTATTCATACACTCAATTCCTTGCACAAGAGAGAGAGAAAGAGACTCGTCGAGAGAAATGGTCTTGGTTTGAAAGTTAATAACCACCGAGGGGAGCGGCGAATTATGGGATTTTTGAGCCCTTTCTTTCCGTCACAAATTCCCGAATATTGCTCTGCAATTTTATTCACTAATGCGTGTCTTTTCTCCTTTTTTTGCAGAAGGCAGTGAACAAGGATCGTGGGAAAGCGCCTTATCTTATGAATGCCGTTCTCTACTCTTCAAAGCGTTGCATAATCTCATTGAAAGGTGAGTGGATGGCATTTTTTGGACTGTTGTGTGAGCGCAACAATATACGTGTCTTCTTGCTCTCCTCAGGAGTCTTCTGTCGCGAGATGTTGTCCGCCTTGGCAGGTGGTTCGTACAGCCGGGCTCAGGTGGCGATCGTGCATCTGGCAAGAGGTGAGTTTTCACACACAACGATGATCCCTTTTTTTGTACGTTTGCGAGTGTGCATGTGGACTCTCTGTGTTGCTCTTAATATTTTCAAGGTGGGAAAGTGTATTTATGTAAAACATTCTTGTTTATTAGTTATTAATTTGAGCAAGGTGAAAGAGAGATGTACGTGTTGGTGGAGAAATCACTCTGTTGCATGTTGAGCAATAGGGCAAAAATAGAATTTTCTTCAAATTGTGCCTATGTAGATAGGAAAATGGGATGTTTCTTTTTTTCTATTTTGTTTGTTCGACACACAGGGAGAAGAGAAGAGTGAGAGAATATAGCATGCATGATGAGTGTTGTTAGAAAATTGGAACGTAATCGAATTGAAATTGCTGATTGAATGAAATATCATTTAATCGTGAAATGCAGTGCAATTCCAATTTGATGCCTTCGGGCAAGTGTGTTCCAACAGTAAAGTGCGGGGTCTCTGCAGTTGATTCTTTCACCGTTTAATGAATCAATCTGTCGTTCACTTCGTCACATTCTCTCCACCATTTAGTTCCAATATGAGCATGATCTGTTGGACAGGACAGTGGGTGGAGGTGTTTTCATTTCCTCACTTGATTTCCTAATTCCGACAAGCATGAATCTTCAAATTGTCCGTATTTGTGGAGAAGTAGAAAAAAATTATTGATTGATTATATCTCTTATGTGAAATGAAATATATATTTATTCATCTTCTAATCTCTGAATATTGTCCGCTTTGTGTTCCAACAGCTCCCACCATCTGTCATTCTCATTTGCATTCTTCGTGCACGGCGACAGCACGGTGTGCGCCTCGATGGACCTGCGAGAGCATCCAGTGGTGCGTCGGCTGACGCCAGAATATCTGGCGGAGGCGCAGGCGAATAGTGGCGGCGAGGTGCGCCCGAAGCCCGTCATCCTGGCACCATTTGGCCTGTCGGCGACCTTGACGGGACAGACCTTTCGGTCTGGATCAATGGATCCGGTCACGCAGAAGGCACTGGACGACTGGTGTGCCTTCTATCCGCTCAACACCAGCGCCAAGGAGGCCACGGATCTGCCGCCCATGGTGGAGGTCGTCTCGGGCGGCATTAAGCTACGTTACCCATCGAAGTATGTCCTAGTCACGGATATCGATGACAGTGCCGCAACTGTGGGCAAATCACTCACCGCCGGGCCCCAAGGGATGCCCAATGGTGTTGTGAGTGAGAAGTGTTCAGCTGTGGTCTCGGAGAATGAAGTCACATCACACTCACTGCCTGACATCCCCTTCAATCACAATGATCTGGGCAATCCGCTCAGCATGCATCTGGCACCATCTGTGGCGACGGTGTTGCCGGAGCGCGTGTGGCAGGATTGCATCACCAGTCCACTGGCTCAGGCCTCCACGGCGACCTCGTCCTCCTGCGGCAATGTGGTGCCCATGTCGTCGACATCGCCGAGTGGGAGCAGCAGTAGCAGCAGCAGCAGTAGCACGGGGAATTCGGGCAGTCAGGGCATCACCATTAAGCAGGAGCCCGGCGAGGTGGGAGCAACGCCACCATCAAATGGTGGCAGTGACATTGTTACCTCGACGGGCAGTTGGAACTTCACAGATCCAACGCTGAAGGCATCGTGCAGTTGTCTCAGGTAAGTTTGCACACGTCTTGTGTCTTTTCCATTAGTTCTTATTACCTCCAAAGACACCCGCTCTCGTGTTTAAGAAAGTAACCGTGGTGATAAGCCGAAGAACAATGAGAGAAAGAACTTTGATAGTTCCTGGAAACAAAAAACAAGAATCCCTTAGACTAATTCGCTAAACTGAGGGGGAGACATTGACGATATGCTACTTGTCTATTTTTTTGGTATTCTTTTCTCCAATATTCTAATATATTTTTATTCATTATTATGTACTGCGCACCTTGGAAGAGAAGAATAAGAAAATATATATTGTTGTGCATTTTATATACCTACTATAGGATGTTGAAAATAGAGTCTGCATAAATTTAGCTGCACGTTTTTTTGTTAACTATTTTTAGTAGTTAAATGGCCGAGTATATTTATTATTATTTTCTATAAATATTCCTTTTAGTTCCTTCCATTGAGACTTGCTGTATGAATATATACAAAAAAAAAGAATCGTTAAAGTTTGATACCATTTACACAAGGAGTGTGTGTATTAGGGGTGTTTTATTTCTGACAATAATGGGCAAAAGAAGGATGTTTGGAGTGGGAAAAGAAAAGGAGAGCAAGAGAATTTCAATGAATATAATTTATAGTGGTTCAACTCTCGCTCTTTATGTATTTATTATCACACTCTGCTCTTCAATATAGGGTGTCTCAGGTTGTGAAACTCTTTAGATGGAAATGAATTGCAGAATAATATCTTCCTTCAAGAGAACTGTGCTTTTTGTCAGGCATTCAACAATATTATTATGAGTATTATTATTGTTGTTGTGAAAACATTTCATAAAGTGAGACACCTTATCAAATTTGACTCCTTCTTTCTCTGTCAATTGTCTGTAGTTTCTAATAATGGCTTTTCCGAAAATTCTCCTTTGAGTTGAGCGTATCATTTTCAATGGCATTTCTTGAGAGTTTTTGACAAAGTTTGTATAGAAAAAGAGAAAAGAAGCAATCCTCATTCCATGCTTTTGCGGTAATTGTGTTAATTTGAATGACATAATTGGAATTGATTATGATATGTGCTACTGTTGCATAGATGTACTTTTGAACTTCCTTTTTTTCTGTGTTAATGTTGGCGTTGTGAGATGATCATCATTATTATGGGAGATGATAAGTAGATAGAAAATGAAAGTATTTGATATTCAAGGGTTTTTGTTTGGGTGGGTGAAAAATGATCAGAGAGAGGTGCGAAAATAGGAAGAGTTCTTTCTCCACGAGAGTGAATTAGTGAAAGAAAAAAAGCACTACACTGAAGCATGGGCCAAATTGGCTTTCAGGTGTAGAAAAATGACTGGACGCTCGTCGGCGACAAGTGGTGGGAAATCGAGTGGTCGGACTGAGAAGGGCGGTCGCTTGAATCGGGTGCTGTTCCATCGGCGACCCAACTCGATGGTGTTGCATGGATCCGGTCCGGCTGGATCAACAAAGCCATCCGCATCGCCTCAGTCGTCCCCGTGTGCATCCACGATCGTCGCCACAACTGGCAAGGATGCCTCCACTTCCTCTACTGCCACACCGACCAGTCAAAGGTTTGTCCCTGTGAAAGACACTCTGTTGAGCCCTCCTCCACTGCATCAATCATCATCCCCACATTGGCACTCAGGGCAGGCTCGCTCTCATTCTCACACGCTACACGCATATCTTTTTCTTACCTCTGATCCACGCCAAGTTTTTGCATGATGTGTTTGAAGGGTGTGATGATGGTGGTGAATACACACACAAGACACTTTTGTATAAAGAAAAGTAATAATAATAATGGCATTTTTCTCCCTATAATTATAGCATTATTATTGAAACTTTCTTCCACGTATCTTTTCATCTAATGTTTCTGTTTTCTTTCTAATATAATTTTCTCACACTTCTCTGGCCTTCATTTCGTCCTTGAAGACTAAAAGACAGCAATGAAAATTGTATAAAAACATCTTGTGTGAAAAGAGTTATGCGAATTCGACACAAGAAAGTACACAAAAAGATAAGCTGAATTCCATTGAAAGAGTTGACACACTGCTTGTGATGCTTTTACGCTATATGGTTTCTGGGCATCACACTCTTCGGTGGCAAATTTGTAGATTAAATTGAAAATTAATAATATAATTCACTTTTCAGATTTCCAGCACTTGATAGAATGTGTGCTTTTGACTGACTTTAATATTTTGACTTGTAATAAAGGTGGTGTGTTGATTGTATTTGCTTAATCTGTTTGATTGTGTGTTTTTTCGACTGTAAATACAATATTTGTGTATTGTTGTTGTATTATATGAACAATATTCTGTACATTTTTACGCTACATTATATTTGTTTTCACTTGCATGCCTTCAATTGGTTGCATTTCATCATTAAATATGTGCATTTCCGTCTCATTTTTTTTAAATACCTTTTTTCTCTGGCCCTGTCATATATTTATATGTGAAAAAAGTATTTGTATATTTCATGTTAAACAATGTTAATGGTTTGTGTGCTAAAAGGGATTTTGTATTTTCCCAAATTCATTTATTTAATTGGCACAAGAGTTAAAAGGCTGATTTAAAAATGCGATTTAAAAATTCCTGATGCGAAAGTCGAGGAAAGGGGGTTGTGAGGTGCATTTTTTTGTGGTGTTGGAACACAACGAACGCATTCCTCATTGTTGCATTAATGTATTATGATTTATAATCAAATAACATCAATCGATGCTCTCTTTCATAGTGTTTTTTATTTCTTTATTCATTATTATATTCTGTGCGATGTATTATCTGTTTTTTTGACATTATTATTATTATTATTTGTGCAACATTGTGCCATACAATGCGATACAGAAAGAGAGAGAGCGAGAGAGAGAGAGTGAATGTAATGGACAGAAGCAGTGGTATATCATTCACAATTTTACTTCTCCATGATTTTCAAATATTAAACGAAAAAGTGGACACATTTCATATTCACGGGAAGCGGTGTGCAAATTTAATATAATAATGTATAACATAATACGATATTTTTTTTTGTTCAGCTCTGCAAATTGAATAACAAAAATGCAAAATGTTAATTCATGCTGTTAATTGCAGGGTGGGAAACCAGCAACAGAGCCATCCATCATATCCAAGACACTCGTCGCTGGCTGAATCTCTAGCCCCAATACCGTCCGTCGGATCTCCAGGCAGTGCGGGACCATCGCCTCATCCCAACTCCACGCAGTCACAGCCCACGTCTGTTCCCTCGGCGGATCAGGTGAGTGTTTTATCCTTCTGAGCTTTTCTGTGCGAAAGACAGACTAATTTCCTTCCCACTTGTGCAGATGCTATCAACCATATCACCGCATCCACCGTCATCTGTGAGCGCCATCGTTCAGCCACCGACGCCAATTGAGGCGCACCTGGACAAGAACACGCCCGCCCCGACGCCAACGGACCAACACGATGCCAAGGCGGTGGCATCGCCATATCAGCAGCAACAGCAGCAGCAGCAGCAATCGATATCTGGTGATATGACTGTGGCGACGCCGACGAGTCAAGCCTCGGCTGTGGCGTCCAGCGCGGCCACCGCGACGGCGTCCTCGACGGCGCCCAAGAGTGAGCAGCAGATGCTGCAAGTGAAGAAAGTGGACCCGAGTGGTAGTCTGAAGACTACGACAATTCTCAGTAACAATATTAGCAGTAATGTTTGTAATTTAAGTGTTAATAACAGTGCTAGTAATTGTAACTTAAGTAACAATAGTGGAATTAGTTGTAATAGTAGTAGTTTTGTGTCATCACTGAAGAGACCACAACTTTGTTCGAAAGACTATGAGAATATCATTGATGATGACTACGTGCCGCACCAGCTGCTCTATGATTACTCAACATGGGAAGCATGGTGAGTTGAGAATTTTTCCTCTTTTTCAATACTGTGTGTGCGCTTTTTCAGTGCACAGACTTTCTGTGTGCATTCCTCTTTTAATTGTATGGAAATAAGAAGCAATTTGACTTCTGTTGCAAGAGAGATTTCTTCGTTACCTCCGAAATATCTCTCTTGTGATGCATCATTGTTTGGGTGTTTGATTTCCTCAGAGCGCGCGATGATCTATTGTGCATCTTTTTCAAGCGGAAGCAACATAGTTTGTCTAGAAGAGTGAGAGAGAGAGAAACCTGAGGGAATTATGCAATTATCAGCAATGTGTTGGTGGTTTATCCCACACTCGCGCTCTCTCAACACTTTCACTCTCAATTCCATGACACAGTTTTGGCCAGAGAGTCTCCACAGGGTTTGGTAGTGTCACAGTATGACTACTGAACTATCTTAGGGCTCTAACAGCAATGACTTGCCACACAATCGTGGTCAAAGAGAGTGGGAGGATGTCTTTCTCACATACGCTTAACTAATAACATGATACTATGCATTGTCCCACTTACAGGCTCAATCATCCAGTAAAACGGTACAAACCCAACGAAGAATCAAAGGTAAATCAAAGCTACGACTTGTACGCGGGCCGAATTCACACGCAGCCTCATTTTCCACCCGTGACGCCACCGTTGGCAATTGAGGGACAGGCGAAGAGTGCAGTGAGTGCGGCTGGAGCGATCGCCGCCACACCGATGGATGAGGAGGTGGCGTCGCCGCTTCTGCAGGCGCACGAAATCAAGAAGGAGGCCGCCGATACTGAGGCTGGCAAGGAGGCCAAGTGTCTCACAGAGAGTCTCTTCACCAGCGAAGGTCTCCAGGCGTCCTACAAGGATCTGGATCAGATCTTCGACAGTTCAGATGAGACATCAAATGATGAGACGGTAAGTGACACTGATTTTCTTCATTGGGATTCAACACTAAAGTCTCTCTTTCCCTCTCACAGATACCCGTCAATGTTCACACCCCACCTGGCTCCAATAAGTCCACCAGTGGCATGGATGAGAAGCGATGCGTGAGCAATCCCAGCACCGGTGGCATCAGGCCGTATGGGAATGAGGAGTTATCGAAGATGTTTCCCACGCCGCCGAGTCTGGAGCATCATCCCAACTCCAGTCCGTGTGGCGGAGCTCTCTCAGATGTCCCCATGACAGACATACACAGTCCAAAGCTGAAGCTGGAGAACTACCCGAATCTGGGCAGCCCCGGCGATGAGCCCATCGAGGATTGGACGTATGTGTTCGTCCCGCCGAATATGACAAAGTTCGTGGGTTCCTCCAAATACTCCCCGCTGACGAATTTACCCAGTCAGTCGCTGATGCCGGTGTCACTGCCGTCGATGGCGATGTACAAGCCGTCCTGGTTGCAGCAACAATTGACAAGCAGCAGCAATAGCAGCAGCAACAGCAGCAACAGTGGCTCGGGTGGCACGACTAGTCTGCCGAGTGGGAGTGGAGATCGCGGTGGTGTGACGCAGGTGAAGCAGGAGCGCGTGGAACCGCCACTATCAACGCCAAACACACCGGCAATGCCAACACCGCCAAACCCCATGTCCCGACCGTCGCCTGTTGGCTTGATGGGCGGACCCATGGGCGGTGGACCGCCACCGCCGCCGCCGCCCAACATGATGACGCCAAATGTGATGATGCCGATGGGGATGAATATGATGGCGAACGGGAACTATGGTCAGGGACCGCCGATGCAGGGCCATCCCGGAGCGATGCTCAAGCCTGGCATGTCGCCCATCTCACCGGCAACTGGTCAGTTTCCCACTGTGGGCAGTCCCATGCATGGTTTGCAGCATCCATTCAGGCGGACACCAATTCCACCGCCGCCACCGTATGAACTGGCCATCGCCAGTCCTGCCACCTCCACCAGCAGCTATCTCAACAAGCAGTTCAACTCACAAGAGCCGGCGACGCCGTCAATGGGGCCTCGCGGGGCGCCCGAGGCGAATGCCCTCCTCGTGAATGTTCTCCTGTACGACACCCTCCTCAACATTTTTCGTGATCACAACTTCGATAGCTGTACAATTTGTGTGTGCAATGCGGGGAAGAAGTGCGTGGGGAACATCAGAGGATCGGACAGTGGAGTGTATCTGGCGCTGCCGGGAACCACCTTTGCCTCCATGACATCAGCACTGGGGAATAACAGCTTGTATGGTGGCGGAAACTTCGGTATTGACTCGCCGGCGGGCATGGGAAATGGTCAGAATGGATATTTTGATGAGGATCCCATCAAGTGCCAGTGTGGCTTCAGTGCAGTGATGAATAGACGACTGGCGCATCGCGCCGGGCTGTTCTATGAGGATGAAATGGAGATTACGGGCATGGCGGAGGATCCGAGTTGTCACAAGAAGCGCTCTCTGTTGACCATCATTCTGGGACAGGCGACTGGTGATGGATCGCCTGGCGGTGATGCGAAGGATGTGGTGGTGAAGCAGGAGAAGACGAGTGATGGTGGAAGTTCAAGCAACTGTGATAATATGCCGCTGGTACTGATGGATTTGCTCCGGGAACAGTGTGCAGTAGTACAAAGTTCATCCAATTCCATACAGCGTGCAATCAAGTGTTTCCGGGGACTTGTGGCGACGTCCACAGTGGCCAGCACATCCTCTAGTGTCACACTCAATGTGCTAGACTACACTGATGCTCAGGATGTGATCAGTTTGGCGCTGGAGCAGGGCAGAATAGCGTATGAGACGAACATCATTTGCAAGATGGAGATGGATAGTCACTACAATTCGAGATTGGCAATGGTGCCAGGACCGCCGGTGAAGAATGGTCTGAGTGTGCACAAGTGGCCGTACGTGAGGGCGAATGGACCGCGGAGTAATCAGGACATTGTGAGGATTATGAAGTCGATGCAGCCTCTGTTGCAGGATGCATTCCACAAAAAGTGCACCACTCGACTCTGGGATGCGCCGTACACTGTCCAGGGGCCGCTCACGTGGCGACAATTCCATCGATTGGCCGGCCGAGGGACGGGACAGTGTGAACCGCAGCCCATTCCGTCAGTTGTGGTGGGTCACGAGAAGGATTGGCTGTCCGTGGCGCCCTATGCCATTCACTACTGGGACAAGTTGCTCCTCGAGCCCTACTCTTATGCTCGTGATGTGGCATATGTTGTCATAACGCCGGACAATGATCATGTTGTGAATCGGGTGAAGACGTACTTCAAAGAGCTGAGCACGACGTACGAGATGTGCAAATTGGGACGCCATACGCCCATCAAGGGATGGGAAGGAGTGATGCGAGTGGGCAGGAATGTGAAGAATCTCTCAGCTCTGCCCGGATTGACACCAAATGCCACGAGCAATGACTCCATCGATGAGTGGTTCACGATGTTGGGTGACAGCAAGATAAGCGAATACCTCAAGTTTTATGCACAGGTAAGAGATTCACGCTTTAGGCGCTTAAAATGTATCAGAAATTCATGCTTTTATCCCACTTTCAGGCGTGTCAGGTGCAATTGGTGCCGTATCTCAACAAAGTCTCGACGGACAAGAGTCTCCTGGATCCACCGGAGAGTGCAAATTCAATTGGGAGCGGAAATCTCAACAAGGATCGCTCACTGCCCAGTCCAATGCCACCACCGAGCACGCCAGAGTCATCGCAGACATCCGACAAGGCGCCAAGTACACCAAAGTCTGACAATGATAGTGAAAATCAGCGAGAATCACTCAATACATCGAGTTCAACGCCCAACAGTCATTCTGATCCTTTGGGATCGTCTGAAGACGATGAGGTCAATCCTCCCTGTATTGTTGTGTACATCGTTGAGCCCTTCACATGTCTGTCAAACACATCGGATAAGCAAAGATTGGCTGTATTGGCACTCCTGCGCTGCTACTCAAACATCCTATCGTCTGTGCCGGAGGGAATCAGGAGTAATATTCAATTTCAGGTGAATATTTCTCATCAATCACAAATTTGACATGCTTTTAACCCATCCAAAATGTGTGTGTTGTTTTGCAGCTGATTTCACAAGAGAGCATCATGGAATTGGGCAGGAGTCGGGATCAGTTGCGTTTCAGTGATGAGATGCGCTGCCTGGCTCTGAGTGTCTTCTCACAATGTCGTCGCTTCCTCACGCACACGAGCAATGTGAAGAGCTTGACGGGCTTCGGAACAGCAGCTAATATGGAATTGTTCTTGAAGAACAAGGACGAGAAGAATCGCGAGCCTTACAAGTTGTACACGCCGCCGTACATTTTGGCGGCGCAGCATGAGAAGAGTGAGAATGCGGAACTCTTTGGCACGGCCAGTATTGAGCAGCAGTCTTCAGTGCTGTACTGCAGCTATTGCTTGTCAGAGGATCAGAGTTGGTTGTTGGCCGTGGCGACGGACGAACGGGGTGAATTGCTGGAGACGGTGACGATAAATATTGACATCCCGAACAGGAGTCGACGGAAGAAGGCGTCAGCCAGGCGATTGGGCTTGCAGAAGCTGATGGACTTCATTCTGGGTGTGATATCGCAGAGTGTTCAGCCGTGGCGACTGGTTGTGGGTCGAATTGGACGGATTGGGCATGGTGAACTGAAGGGGTGGAGTTGGCTGCTGAGTAAACAGAATCTCCTTAAGGCTTCCAAGCAGCTCAAAGACATCTGCAAACAGTGCTCTCTCATGTATCCTCATGCCGCACCCAGTATCCTCAGTGCATGCCTAATCACGCTAGAGCCAGACTCCACACTTCGCGTGATGCCCGATCAATTCACGCCGGATGAGCGCTTCAGTCAGATCTCAATGCAGAATCCCTTGTCGACACCTCAGGATGTCACATGTACGCATATCCTCGTCTTTCCCACCAGTGCCATTGCTCAGGTGAGTTTCATATTGAGATTTGTGGTAGTTTATCAGGGAAATAATTGATTTTTTCCACGCACAGTCATCACAAACCGCCTTCCAAGACATCCAGCACATCAATGACCTGGATGAGGAGTTCTTCCCGAGCCTGGACGATGGAGAGGGCATGGATGAGATGGATGCGACCATGAATGGGCTCGGGGACATTTTCGATCAATGGGACAGTGAGTTTGGCAATGATTTGTAATGTTGCAATTGGTGATTAATTTGCCTTCAATATTCTCCCTTTAGCCGAACCACAAATGCCGCCTGCAAGTCCTGAACGTGCCTCCAAGTTGGGGAGTCCTGGCGGAATGGAGGACAACAGGAGTCGCCAGAGTCCGGGTCCCAGCGGTGGGAATTGTCAATCGAGAAATGCTCACTCGTCGCAGGACACGGAAGAGGTGAGAATTGGGAGGATGAATGAGTGCACGCAGAAGTCTGCATTGTTGTGTCTGTTTTGCAGGTTGGCCAGTTGTTGCAGCAACCACTGGCGCTGGGCTACTTGGTCTCCACGGCGCCCACGGGCCGGATGCCGTCGTGGTTCTGGTCATCGTGTCCGCACATGGAGAATGTGTGTCCGGTGTTCCTCAAGACGGCCCTCCATCTGCACAGTCCGGCCATTCAGCAGAACACGGACGACTTGCTGCAGCAGAATCACTCCTCCGCCACGGATCATCCGCTGGATTCGCAGTTCACGGCAGATGTGCTGCGGCACGTGCTGGAGGGCTACAATGTGCTGTCGTGGCTGGCGATGGATGCCAACACGCGTGACAGGCTGTCGTGTCTGCCCATTCACGTGCAGGTTCTCATGCAGCTCTATCACATGACGGCGGCGCTCGCGTGAGCGGAGTTGGACGAAATACTCACAGGAAACTGACTTCCGTAGATTTTTAGGCTTGATATAAGAGAGAGAGACGCGAACGCTGATTGGTTTGAGTCTATCCGGAAGGAGAGAGTTGTACCAGAAAGAAATCCTGTAGAATATCATTTTAATTATATTGATTATATTGAATAGTTGATTTACATCCGCATAATGGCCTCCTCTTTGGATTATCTGTGATACTAGATACTAATATGTGAATGATGAGCGAAAGGGAAGAGAGAGAGAGAGAGAGAGGGAGTAAGAGAAGGGACGATAGTGAGAGAAAAGCATACAAGTAAATTATATAAAGAGACATAGAGATGAGAGTATATTAAACAATTGAGAAGAAAACACACGTTTCAAATGTATAATTCTTAAGAATTGTAGCTGAATATTTAAAAACAATATTGTATTTATATGCAATTTCAAAATGATTTTTCAAAATATTTTTTTTTAATTAGAAAATATATATATATATTTAATTTTTTTCTATATATACAGAAATGATAATTGTATAAAGAGCAGCATATAAAGGTAGTTAATTCTAATGATACTGAACGAAGGTCTTCTGTGGAAGAACACACAAAAAAGCAACATAAGAAATGTAAAGTTAAGTGGAAAAAAAGTCCTTAAGTTTGTCTCCCGTTTTGCCCATTTTTCAAAAAAAAACAGTGAGAAAGATGGTGAAATTGTAGGTAGAAGAAAGAAAGAAGTGTGAAAGGGAAGTAGAGAAGGTATTTTTTTAGTTAAAATTTTTTAATTTGCAAATAACAAAGGCGACTATAATTACTCAGAAAAAAGGAGAAGAAGATAAAGAGCGACACTAACATTTATTGTGAATAGCAGAAGAGATGTAAAAAAATTTATCTAAAGTTGATTTAGGTGACAAAATTTGCGTAAAAAATTGTTGGTATGAGAAATTTTTTGATTTAATCGAAATTATAATGATCAGAAGATGATCAAAATGTTTAAGCATGTTTCGGCAAGTTTTTCACACACACACACACACATCTTTGTAAATCTTAATCATTTTCCTTTTAATGCTTGTAGTGCAGAGAAAAAGAAAAAGTGCCCAAAGACTGACTTTGTGGCCTCTGAAGCCACACAGAAGAATATAGAGAAGATTTCTTTCACATAATCCACTCTCACATTTATAAAAAATAGGGAGGAAATGAAAATTGATTTCACAAAGAAGAGAAAATGCGGAATTTGAGGTGGAAAGAGAAAATATAACGTACGTAAAAGGTTTCAATGTGAACAAAGTTGTGTAATGTCTTAACATTTTTTTTTTAATTTTATAATTTGAACAAAGGTTTTCCATGAGAATTTTCTGTTTTTCTTTGTCTTTCTGTATTCCTGTTCTTTTCTGATTCTTGTCCTTTGCCGTGACGGTGAAATGGGGAAAAAAAAACTTAACTCAAAGTCAATATTTAATGAAGACAATTTAAAAAGAGCAAATTTTAATAAAATATAAATGATGATGAAGAAGAAAAAGTTAGCGATAAAACGGGGCCAAACTGAATGCGTGGGGCGAAAAAACTTCCATTCATTAACAAAAATGAAATTCTTCCTCTTTAATGAATTATTTTACTCTCATTTTCTATCACACTTATAATAAATAAAGAAAAAAATCTTCGCACTGTCCTCGAGCGCCCTGCGAATTTTTACATGACAAGATATGAATGTTTTTTGGAACCATTTTTATCAAAACCACTCCACAATTCGTGCGTGTGCGTGAAGAGAGAACATTTTATATCACCAGTGAAAATAAGGGTGGGGGAAGAAAGCGCAGTGGAGGAGGAAAAGTATTGGGAAAATTCTCTGTAAACAATGTTGAACAAAAAAAAAGTAAAGAAAAATAGAAGGAAAAATCAAATAAATTCTGGCAAAGTTGAGAGAGAGATTTTATTGGGCGGAGGCGAAGAGAGAAAGAAGCAACAAGAATAGTATAAATTGTGTATTAGAACAGAGTCACAAAAGTGTTTGTGACACTCAAGTAACTGATAAGCGGATGAAAAGTGGAGTAAGTCTAATAAAAGTGAAATTATTACAATTAAATGTAATGTTAAAACGAGAACAAAAACCAAATATTCACAAAAATCTGGACACAATATTAAATTATTAACTATTAAATTACTAATTGTAGCGTAAAGTGAAGTTTGTATAAAGTTGAGAGTGAGAAGAGAAGTAGAAAGAAGGGCGAGAGAGTGAGAAATTATTTGAAGAACACAAGAAGGAAGAAGAAATCAATTTATTAATTAATAACTAACAAAAAAAAGAAGATATGAATGTAAATTATTGAGGAAGAAAAAACAGCACATGATCACATTTAAAAAAAAATGGTAAAGAAGATATTTAAAGTTGAAAGGAGGAAAATCCGTAGTTTTCAGTCAATTTGTAGAGATTATATATTTATTGATTCCTCATCCGCGCCCTTCCTGACTAAGAAAAAGAAGAGAAGAAGCAAAAAACAGTGTTTCAAATGACGGCTCATTTTTGTGAGGTAAACAATTTGAGGAGGAAAGATTGAAAATCACTCATTATAAAAAGTAATTCATAAATTAAAGGTATAAACAATTGTAAAAGGGGGATTTAAGTGATTTATTTTTTAGGAAATAAAAGGAAAGCATCTAAATTAAATCTTGTACATAGTGAACATAATTTTAAATTAAATTATATTTAATTCAATGATGAAATTACAAAAAAAATATATTAACTTAACAAAATATTGTATTAATTATTGACAAAAAGAAGATGAAGAAGAGAGAAGAACCTACATTAATTATTGCTGTATTTAATGCGAAAGAGATGACGAATTCTTAAGGATTTATCTAAAAAAAAAAAACTCACTCCTAATTAATACACATTACACAAAGAGAGAAAACAAGCAGTAATTTTAATTTTAGTGATATAAAGTGAACATTTTGAAAGAAAAATGATGAAAAGTATATATTAAATGTAATTATTAAACTGAAACATGATTGATGGCAAGGGAGACGCGGTCATTGAGCAACAATACCAACTGTGTTGTCTGGAGTGACGTAATGTGGAAAGGAGACTGATATCCCATTTAATTTTCCTATTATCCTTCGCTCCTCACTTGACAAGAAAACCAACAAAATACAAACTTTGTAGTGTGTTTAGACGAGAAATGAAGGTTTATTCTCAAAGTTCATCCCGCACACGAACCCTTTCGGCTTAAATCACTCTGGACAAAGTGTAATTATATATTCGAGGAGAGACACAACACAAAATATTATTACGATGATTATTAATTATTATTATTGAACTTTATAGGAAGAGAGATGAAAGAGAGAGAGAGAGAGAGAGAAAAAGAGGAAATGTGAGAAGCGAGAAAGGAGTGAAAGTAAAGAAATTATACCTTAATAGGCCAAAATTAAAAACTGTAATATATTGCAAGGAAGAGAGTAACTGTAAATGTTAAGATTTCATTTTTAAAAACCCAATAAATGGAAATCTATACTTGAAAAAACATTCTTGGTTTGACTTGTTTGGCGCGTTTTTGTGCAACTAAGCGACATTGAGCGACCTCTGTGAAGAAATGATGAAATAGCACGAATCCCGCCGAAGAAAGCTGCAAAAGCTGCAAAGGTGAGTGCTCTCGGGGTTTTTGATCTTTTTTCCACCATTTCCATGGTGATTTTGCATGAAAAACCAGTGATAGATTGACGAAACTTTATTCCCATGTAACATAAGTACAGTTGTAATACCACTAAACACAGTAATTGCGGCAGGAGAGGCAACATGCTCTCTCCATTGTTCAAGAGATTAAAAGTAGTTTCTTAACATATTATAGCTTTATTCTTAACCAAATATATTGTGCTCCTTAGAAACTAAAATGGGGAATCAATTCTGCACTATTACTTCTTACAACACGAGTCTCCATTGCCCATGTTCTCGTCGTACTTGCTCCAGAAAGTCACGTTGCAGTTGGTGCGCTTTCCGGTGTTCTTATTGAAGACGGAACAACTGTTGAATGGCGGACAGTACAAATGCAGCGACACGGCGACATTTGAGCGGTTCGGATTCTCAACTCGATGCAGACCGAGAGTGTCTAGAAGGGTGATGGGGGGGATTAGGGCTGCTTTGGGGTGTTTTCATGGGTTCTTTCTTACCATTGATGTAGCAGACTCCGTTGAATTCCAGAGCCTTTCGCGAGAGCTCCTTCAGCTCCTCGCCCTTGCTGTAGCCGCTGCCGTTCTCATCCAGGATGCCAATGTCGGCGGTCACCTCCTCGTCCAGATCAAGCAGCTTCTGCTTGGGCCAGGCATATCGCACCTCCTGCAGCTCACCCATCAGCATCTTCATGAAGCAGTGCGAGTCGGCATGATCGTGAATCGCCGATCCGTGTCCTTCGCCCCAGCACAGGATCATGAGATTGAACTTGCCATTGCCCGAGTCCACCAGGTTGCGTGTGTACCTACAGAGAGAGGACAACCCAATTTACTTTCTTGCCGCCACTCGAGAGCCACTCAACAATCAATCTTCCTCCCTCATTGCCCCTCAAGATAATTGCAAGGCAATCTATCGACGCCACTCCACAATGATGATAGAGTCTTTCCTAATGGCAGAAAATTAAGTGGTTCACGCGCGCTGTTATCATCGGGCTGTGTGAGAGATGTGTATGAAAACAGCCTCAAGAGAGTGCGAAATCTTCCGCATTTTCCACGGTGAAATCTCCTTAAGAGAGCATTTATAATTATTTGATTGCGCAGAGTGGCACTTTTGCAAGAAAATCACTCCTGCCAAAGCTTCCTGGTGTGCATTTTGTGATGCACACAATCGCCAGTGAACTCTGTAACGGAGCCCAGAGATAGCGGAGAAAGATCCAAATTTGCTGATCTCACTTTGTCAATTCCCAAGAGGCACGAAGAATGAATTGGGGGGAATAAAAGACACTCACCTGAATCTGTCGAATGAGGTGAACTTGATCCAGTCCACGGGATTGGAGTTGTAGCTCAGCAACAGGTGGTTCACGTACTCAATATTCACGCTGTCCTTCTCGAACACGCGATGCAGTTCTGTGATGAGATCCGCCAGGGAGTCAACGCCGCGGGCATTCTTCAGCGGTCTCTCGATTCCCCGGAAAGTCTTTGTCAGCTCCCTCAGCCTCCGCTCGCGATTGATGTTGTTCAGCTCGGCCAGAGTGGACATGATTGCCAGTCACTTTGTTGATCACACTTGTTGTCCGTCCAACGGGAGAAGGCACAATGAAGAGGGCTTGTGTGTGGCTTGAACTGTAGAAATTCCCAAAATATTGTGATGATGAGTGAGGGAGAGAAAAACGCAGCTCAGAAAGCTTTTCTGAGATGAAAATAAATACACACGCTGCGATGATTCGGATGGGGTGAAAGATCAGGCAAATTAATTCAGCAACAATTATCACCTCTGGGCCGATGGGGCGCTCTGTGTGCCTGGGGGGGCAGCGCGGTGGGGAGATTCGGTAGGAAGTGACCTCTCTGGGGAGATCCAGTCGTCTTGTGGATGCCAAGAGATCACTTTTGGGGTGATTAGTCGTGACTTCTGGGGGCTTGTTGGCACTTGTTGCCGCAGCAACACTCAGACTTTATTGCGACTCAATTGGAAGGGGAGATTAGGGGGTATTTTGCCTGTTTTTTCATCTCTGAATGATGGCAAAGTGGGGAAAACCTTTCCTCCCTTTTGCCACACATTGGCTACTGCTTTGCTGCTGCTGGAGGAACTCCAAAGGTTATCTGGGATGAGTTTGGGACTCTCTGACGCATACAAGTGAAAAAATTTCCACACAAATTGTACACTCTGTCATACTTAGAAACAAGATCTCATGAAATATCGATCATGTTTTGCGGTATTATTGCTGAATTACTTGTAAACATGGCAAATCAGAAAAGGTTTTTCTCAACTCTATCATTTCTCCGGCGATGAAAGGATGAAAAATTGAGATTTCAGAGGGGAAAAGGTCGTGTGTGATGTTGTTTATGATCAAATTGATTGCACGTTGTTTGTGAGGAGAGACTGAATAATTAGCACTTACCTTTCTTCACCAGCTTTGAGGTCACTTTCAAGTGGTTAATCTTTCTCCGCAAACACGCACTTTTATAATATATTTTACTTTCTTTTTTATCTATGCTCTTTCTTCTCGCACACAAAACACACACTCTCCGGATGATCAGCGGATCACAAAAGGCTTTTTAGAGAATTTCTTGAGAGTATTTTTTCGCACAAGCAGCAAATATTGGCAGGAGAGTTCCCAATCACTCGATTCGAGGTATGAAATTAAACTGCCACTAAAGGCAGAAATTGCCAAGATTGGAACTTTCGTCTCACCCTCTCGCTCGCACACTGTGCGTCCGTCTCGCTTGCTCGTGTCGTGACGATTTGCAAAGAGTGTATTTCAGTTGACTGAGAGACGATGGACGGGCAGATCTTCGTGTGGCTCCTCAAGTACTATCACCACTTCCATCCCTTTCTCTCTCTCACTCGTGCTCTTATCACTCTCAACTGCAGGGAGGCACGATTTATTCCTCTCCAACTCCTCCTGTGCAGCCAAAGACGATCGCTATCGAAATGTATGCTTCTTGCATATTCTGTTGAAGGGGGAAAAAAAGAATGTTAATTGGAAGAGTTTTCTTCTTTTTCTTCCTTTCCGCCGCGCGATCCAGTTTTGAGATTGCGCGCGCACTCTTGAGAAGAATTCCAGATTGTTAATGCACGCTTTTTTCCCCTTCTCTTCCGCTGATTATCTTATGCGATGTTGCTGATGTTCTTGAACCTAGTTTGACTGCATTAATGCATCAAGTGACCAAATTTGGCTTCTTTCAACATATATTGATGGCTTCCTTCTTCATCGCATTGATTTGCGCGACTGGAAAAACAGAGATTTAGCATTATCTCGTCTTTGAGGAATTGTCAAGGGGGAGATAATATAGTCAGAAGTAGTGTACAGTTCAGCGGAAGTCTTGAGATGTGGAAGTGTGCCAAAATCTACAATATTTCTTTCTTGAGTGCTTCTTTGTTACTTTTCCTCTCGGTTTTTACGGAGAAACAATCATAGTAATTATTTTGATTATTTTCCTAAGTTATGTGACGAATTAGGGTTAGTTGTTATGAGCAATTTGCTATTTAAGCAGATTTATTCTTATGTTCAAGTCGGAATGATCATTAGTCATTTGCAAAATATGAAACATGTAATAAATATTGCTATTTTGAGCTTTTGATGCCATAAAATACTGTAAATTGTGTTAAAGTGCAACATAACCTCAAAAAGAGTTGAAAAATGTTGATTTTGATAACTTTCTGCACGATTTTACTCTTTATGAGTAATTTTACGTTCATTAATAAGACATAAGAGATGATATTGCGATCTAGAAACCTTCAAAGTGGAACCTTGAAAGATCGTTTTGTGCTATTTTTAGGTTATGGTCAGAAGAGATGATCAGAAAGAGTAAATTTAAGTAAATTCTTACAGAAATATTGGATGGAAACTTAAAAGATTGATTATTTTTTGAAATTATTGGAAGTGTGACCCAGATTTGGAGTGTTCAGAAGTGGTGTACAGATTTAGGGCATATTATCTCCCCCTTGAGAATTGTAAGCAATAAAATTTTGTGAGTTACAGCGATAAAACGGCACAATTAGTCAGCATTTCTCAAAGACATTCTTAACCTTTTTTGTGCGTGTGCGACTTCTGAAAACTCGTGATTTTTCATTCACGCATTATCGAGAGCGCGACTGTTTTTGTTGTTCAGATCAGTTTGATGCTCTTCAACCCAATTTTTCGCTAATATGTGTTTTAGAAAATATTTATGATCCATCCTTATCACACGTGCGCATCAGAATTGCGTTAAATCTACGCACTTTTATTTTTGCTTTTTCACACATTTTTGCAACTATTCGTCATGTTTTGATAACATGTCGATTGAGATATTTTTGTTAGGACAAAAAGGAATAGAAATCAGGAGATTATCCCTCATATCAATCACATTCTCAGCACTCGAGAGGCTTTTCAGTCTGTCATTGATGTTTTGTAGAATGCACAGAGCAATTTTGTTGCAAAATAATCTATAATTGGCACATTTTTTCCCATTGTAATTATCGATGGGGGAAAAACAAGTCAGACCAGCAAATTTCCTCCGCCTGTCGTTAAGGTGACTTCACTTTGTGGCGAGTGAAAATGACCGGCAACGATAGATTTCATATCACTAACGTTCATAGGTTGATTTCCCATTGATACGCGACGAGCCTCTCGACAAGTGTTTTAACATCAAGTTCCAGTGTGAAAATTTCCCAACTTTTCCACCGTGTCGCGAACGCTTGGCTGCGGTGTGTGAACAAAGTGGGTTGTTTTGAAGCTTCGCAGAGCGACATAAATCTAATTTAATCACACTCCTTGTCACTGTTGTTTACCATTAAACCAGTAATGCCAGCAAAATAGCAGCAAATCACAAGACAAATCAATCACTTTGGTGTATTCATTCATCTCTGGGGGCCTCCAATCTTGGGTGTTGATCGCAGATTTGCAGCGAGATAAATCGAGTTCGGGTCACCGGACTCGAGTTGATCTGTACTTGATCTGGAGCTTTTTGCAACATTTTACTAATGATCATATTTATTCATTTTCTGCGTCACTGTGATGACGACTTTTTGATAACAACACTTGATTGGAACAAGTGTGCCCAAAATATTATCACACATTCTCAGTGTGTTTTTTTCTCCAGAAAAACCATGAGATTTTCCAATTTTTAGCCATGTTTTATAAACAATTTCGAAGGGAATCTCAACATTTCTTCCCCCTTTTTTAGATTTCTAATCTTTTGGGAAAATCCCACAAGTGACTAAAGCATCTAAAGCTGTGCTTAAATTCCACTCTCTTGCTGTGAAGCATCTTCTGATAATCGCTCTATAAATATTGCATCGTGAAGCGTGTGAAAATTGTCAATTTTCTCAGAATCTGTCTTCTGAATCTTCAATTTTTATGGCGTATTTGTGGTATTTGCTCACTTATGGAACCATCTTTTGCTCTCTATCTCAAACAAAGCTCTCTTGCAACATATGTAGTAATAATAGAAGCTTATAAAAGCAACACGTGAAGGGTGTGACATTCATTTTCGGGGAATTTTGTATTTTTGAATGTTAAATTTTATTGTGTTTTTGCGGTATTTGTACAGTTAAATTCCTTTTTATTCTTCTATACAACATAGCAATGACTCTGTGGATTGTAAAAATACGTGTAGCATTGTAAAAGGTATTTTTGTTGAATATCAGTTGATTTTCGTACATTTATTTCCGCTTCTGATATCGGATTTGTTGATTAGCAAGTGTCATTCTAATCATAATTTTTCTGTTCTTTGCTATTTCACCTCTCAACTCAACGAATATACGGCGGAAATTCCGAAAAACACAAATATTTTCCTCACTAGAGTACTTTATTACTCAATTGTAGTTATAATATAGTCATGTCTGATATTGAGTCACTGCTTTTGCGTCGCTCAATTCACATTTTCATTCATTAATAAAATATTTTCGCTTGAGGGGCAAATTAATCTCCACGTGCGATACATTTTTGATAGACGCACAAGACTTCTCGCGAAGGGTGAAAGTGCAGGCGACTCACATCTTATCGTGATATCATTTGAGACGTTTTTATTGAGTATATTTTTCTCAATTTCTGATGTGGATTTACGTGATAGAATTATCTAGAGCTGCGCTTTTTCTGCCTCATGTCGCGCTCCAAGTCAAATTGGCGATAGTCCGTGCGCTCCAGGAAGTCCTGCCGCTCCAAGTAGCCATCCTTGCCCTTGTTGAATGTGGCCAACTCCTCGTTGATGCCTTCGGTGTTTTTGAAGCGATCCCAGTCCAGCTTCGACTTCTCTAGCGTGCCCATCTTGGGCTTCTTCCCAATGGAGCCCAGAATGGACGAGAGTCCTCCACTGCTGCGACTTGGACGCGCTGTGGCAGCCGGTGGAGGTCTCTTGGTGGCCTTCTGGGCACTATCTACTGGAACTTTAACTTCCTCTCCTGCGAAATTGAATACTTTCTCGACTGGCGGTAACTTCTCAGCTTTCTGGGGTGTTTCTCTGACGGATTGTGGGCTTTCTTCCACTCTCTTAGCCACTTTTGCCTCTTTCGGTGCATCTTCTCTCCGCGGTGGTGGATCCACGTCGCTCAGGAAGTCTGCCCAGAGTGCATCAGCGTGTTTCTTCTCTTGCTCATCCGTCACGGTTTCCTCGACTCTGTCAGGTGTTCCATTGTCTTTCTTTCGTCGCTTCTTGTGTGGCTTTTGGCTCTTCTTCCCTCTCGATTCACCATCTGAGCTGTCAGTGGCGTCATCGGAGTCCTCCTCACTGCCCGGACATGCCTCCCCGCGCTCAGGCTTGTAGTCTTCATCGTCACTGCCATCGGAAGTGTCGGGCTCCTCAACCTTGGACATTGTTGATTTCCTAGTGGAAATTCACAACATTGCTGACTCACATTTTGGCTCGCGATGTGAGAAAAAGCTCAATGTTTGCGTGCATTGTGATTCCGTGGGAGTTGACTTACCGAATACTGATGCGATGGGCAGAGTTTTCACGGGAAAAGTGGTGAAAATCAATATTTTCCGGCTTCACAAGAAAGCGTGATTTTTGACGTTCACACTGACAGCATAAAAATCATATGTTGCCTTCTGTTACCCGTTCGCAGAGGGCGCCGCCGCCGTGGTATTGTCATGTGGCAACCCCACTGTTTTGGGAAATGTCAAGTGTGAAGAAAATATTTTGTGTTTTATCGTCCCTGTGATTTCTCATTGCGCCCCCCGAAAATCATGGAACAAGTGGTCAGTTGTGATGTGTACTGAGCTAAGGGATAACTGTGGCGTGTGGTGCGGCGTTTGAAGGGACACAGGAGATGGTGTGGTGAAAAGGAGACACACTTCAAGGATTTCAAACTTGTGCTGTCCGCAAGTTATTGATTTGTCAACACGCATCGAGATTTTCCAGGGGGAGAGCAGCAGCAGCAGGAGGAGGTCAACAGCGTCCGGGAGACATGAGGTGGACTGCCGACAGCCAGACAGACACAATATAAGAGGTGCTGCGGGGACCTTCGATGTTTGAGCAGAGAACAGCAAGACAAGTGATGATCAGCAACGACCAATCCGACACCTTTGACTCCATTCAAGATGTGATAGGGTTCACGCAGAACAACTCCCTGCACACATTCCGGGAGATGTGGTATCACATCTTCCTGTGGGCGCTCTTCTCCTCCATATTCGTCCACACGATAGCCGCCCTGGTGGCCTTTGTCACGCTGCGGAAGCACAAGTTCGGGCGCTTCTTCTCCATCCTCATCCTCATCATGGGCGTGGTGTCGCCGGCCACCAGCGGCGTGATCAGTTCGGCGGCCATCGCCTTCGTCCATCGGGCGTCCAGCCTCCAGATGAGTCCAATTTACGCCATGATCTGGGGTGTTGGCCAGACACTCCTCTCCGCCTGCATTGGCTTCACACGGATCCTCGCCACGCTGTAGGAGTCGCAAGTTCTCGCCTCCTGTGCGCATTCGTCCCTCTGGACTGTTGAGAGAGACTCTGTCTGCATACTTTTACTGTGCGTGTGTGATTTTTTGGCTCTGCATCTGGAACAGAGCGCTCCTCTTCACTATACAATGATGTAATTTTCCAGTTTTTCACTATATAGAGGCATGTTGATACCATTAATACACATAACATTATATACCAATTCAGAAAAGAAAAGCTCACACAAGTGGCAAAGTGGAAAAGTGCGTTTGCCAGTTCAAAAAAATCATTTTTCTTTCAATAAGAGGATAAAAGAAAAACAACTGTTCACAATCATATCAAAAAACTGTCTTTTCACAAGTCCTGCAAGGACGAGTGAAAGGCGCGAAAAGAAATGGGAAAAGTTGTAAAGGAGTATTTTTTATAAATTGTAGATTGCAGTGAAACTGTAGTTGTGAAGATCTTTGACTACAATTTTCTCTCACTTTACTGATTGTATTCTATTATAGGTCTCTTGTACAATTATATACGATTTATTGATAGTTACTATATTGATGGGACGAATGGGAGGCGAAAATGTGCAGAAGGAGATTTAAGGAGGAGAAGGAGGAAAATGAGAGAAAGCGAGGACGATTGTTCTGTAGAAATTACACTTTTATTTGTTGATGACAATGTTGGTGGGCATATAGCGTAAATAAACAAATATCTAAGTAGATAGTGAGCTAGAAGGTATCTTTAAGTGTACATTATGTAAATAAAGATTTGAGGAAAATTGCTACAGTCGCCGAATTTAAATCACACCCTCGTTGAGAAGCATGTCAAATGCCGCTGCGCATCAGTGTTGAGTGTTTGTGTGTGTGTGTGTGTGTGTGCGGATGTCATCCATTGTCAGCCGGTCTACTTTGCGAGTTTTCCCCAGAAATTCCCTCTCTGGCCAGTTGCTGATCAATCTCAGGAGGATGTCCAAGAGTGCTCTGGTGATTCTGGCTCCTGGAGCCGAGGAGATGGAGTTCGTCATTGCGGCTGACGTTCTGCGCCGCGCCGAGGTAAGGACAATTGCATGACCTTCATGACTCTGATATCGTCGCTATCTTAATTGCTAATTTGTCTCTTGGCCAGGTCAAAGTCACTGTGGCTGGATTGGGATCAGCGGGACCCATTAAGTGCTCGCGCGACGTGGTCGCTGTCCCTGATGTCTCACTGGCCGACGTGGCTGGGCAGGAGTTCGATGCAGTTGTGCTGCCGGGAGGTCTTGGCGGCGCCAAGGCGCTGTCTGAGTCGGCGGAGGTGGGAAAAGTGCTGAAGCGCCATGAGGAGAGTAACAAGCTGATTGCGGCCATCTGTGCGGGTCCCACGGCTCTCGTGGCGCACAAGATTGGCGTGGGAAAGTCCATCACTTCCTACCCAAGTGTCAAGGATAAGGTAACCGAGGACTACAAGTATGTGGACGACAAGACGTGCGTTCAGGATGGACAACTGATCACCAGTCGTGGCCCAGGAACGGCCTTTGAGTGGGCCCTCAAGATTGCGGAGAATCTCGCTGGACCTGAGAAGACTCAGGCGGTGAAGAAAGGCATGCTTTTGTAGAAATAAAGGGAGACATTTTGCCATACTTTTGAGTTTTCTTCTTTTATTTTTTACCGAAAATCATCTCATGGAATTACGGACTTCTCTTTTTAATCGTCTAACTACCGAATAATTCTAAAGCCTGCAACTACTTTTCGTTATATAATTCCTTTTTATAAAGTGAAAAGTTGGTGCATGTTTTCTCTTATCGCCTAAACACATTATCTACAAAAAATTGGTTTCTTTTTTCTTCTTTATTGAATTGTTTGTAACCAAGGGCGATAAATTTCCAACAAGAAACTCAAAGAAAAATTCAAAATAATTGTACATGGCATTAATGAAAGTGATGTATAGGGATTATTACAGTTATTATTTTATAAATTCTAGAGTTTCGTCTTTCCAATTTCATTCACTTCTTTTGTCTTGCTCTTCTTGGTTAGCAATCTTTTTGCTTTGCTCTTCTGCTTCTTCTGCTAAAGGACTGTGTCTAGAGATTTTCAAGGTTTATTCGTTGATGTCTTAACAATTATTTCAACTTTTTTTTGCCTAAAATTATTTATTTACACTTTTCTTAATGCATTATTACAATGAAATTGAGCGTTTGCAGTGTCTAATCAACAGTTGATCAATGTATCTTCTCTTCATGTTCTTCTTGTTCTTCTTTTTTTTGGTGTGAGAGCCTCACTGAGAATTTGTTCTCATGTAACATACCATTTTCTTCAGCCTTGCTATACTTGTTTAACACTAGATTTCCTCTACGCTACATGGATTGTAATTCTACTAACTTTCTCCACATTATTCATCACCACATTGATATTATTATACTTTTTTGCCTATAATGTCCCTCCCACTATTCAACCCAGTTTTTTTTCTTCTTCTCCTCCTCACGCGCTTCATTAACTAGAGGTTTTTTGCTTTTCCTCGCGAAAAGCGAGAGAGACAATAAAAATAGTTAGTTTTATAGTTATTATTATTTATAAACCCGGAAATGTTGAAATGATCACAGGACCACAATGATCATGTCTATTTGACAACAAGAGACTCCTTCAAGTGTCGCACCATGTGAGAACCGATATCTCTAACGTCTGGCCACTGGCGTATCACAAAGATGATCACTAGGATGAAGAAGACTGTCGTGAGGACACGAACTCTGCAAGATAAGAGAAATTTTCTGTCAGTGCTGCTAAATTCCGTGATGTTTTGCGTTTGTATTTTACCTCGTTTTCAAGAATGGCATAATAATCCCTGCCGCCGTTGCCACAAGCAGTAGCACCACTTGCAGAACTGTGAGGACAACGTTGATCAGCTTCACAACAAGCGCCCGGGCATTTGAGTTGTCAATTCCCTCCACAGTCACGTATTGTTGCTGCGACAAGTGCTCCATTTTCGATATCTGCACAACAAACAGAGAGAAAAGAGGAAATCAGTTGCTGGACAATGTTTCCGGCAAAGTGTTTAACCGCCGACTCACCCTCGTCTGACAATTCTCCAACACCTCATTCACATCCCTCAGTCTTTCGTCACTCTGATACTGGACCTTCTCCTCCATGTCCGCCATGGCCTGCTTGAGGTTCTCAATTTCGTTCTGGTGCAGCTCCGTTAGATCATTCACCTGCTCCTCGAGGCGCTCCGCCCTGTAGCGCTCCGTCTCGAGCGCCAATGCCAGATCGGACAACTCCTTCTGCATCGTCTCGAAGCGCTCCATCTTCTCGCGCAGCTTCTCACTCTCATCCCGGCGCTCCTGCAGCTCAGCTATGATGGCCTTGAGGACGACTGTGTTGGCTCCCAGCTGGTTCTTCCCCGATCTGCAAATGCCAGAGATAAGATATCAGTTGGCTGATTCATCGCACAAAGAGTGACTTGATTTCTGCGCCTCACCCAGCTGGCAGACTGTCACTGGTGACACTGCTGCACTCGCTGTCGTTCTCACTGTTGAACTTGCCACTGCCTCCTCCGGCGGTGCTGGCCTGATTCGTCGGCGGCATCGTCACGATCATGGTGTTGTTGGGCGTCGAAGTGCCACCAGCGCCCAATTGCGCCTCCATGCCGGCCAGATTGAGGGTGTTGAGCTCGGGATCTGTGTACCAGGCTTTAATTGAATATCCCCTTCTAATTAGTCCAATTTCACGGGAAGGTCACACAACATAATTTCCACACTGAGCGCTAATGATCCATGCTTTTTGCTTCTTGTCGCTCTCTCTCTCTCAACTTACTTGCTTCACCCGCAAGATTATGCTTCGGACAGCAGATGTTTGTCGCAAAGCATCTGAATATCGAGGAGGAACCATTCGTTGATACCATTTGGACATTCCTCACCACACTGACCTCTCCCGCGATAACGAATATACTCACTCTTTCTCCTTTGCCTTCTTCTTCTTTTTTTCTGCTGTATATCGATAACAGAGCCAAAGCCCACAACTCTCCAGCCCCACAATATACAATATTGCATATCGCTTGAGTATATAGCACACCGCCACAATAAATTGAGCAGGTATTATTAAAAGTGAGACAGACATAGATAAACTCTGTGTAGAAACAATGGAACGACCACAGGTGATTTAGAGAGAAGTGAAGTAGAAAAAAAGCCAAGTCTGCGCTTGTGGGTGTTGTTTTTCGTATATTGAGGAGGAGTTCACTGTGGTGTGCAATAAATTGATCTTCTTCGCTAAATCATTCTCCACACAGCAACAAAAAAAAAATTGGATTCCATCAATATTTACACACAACATCAATGCGGTGTAGAGATAAATTCCAACTGGAAGTGTTTAACTTTGTCTCACAGCATTTTATACCCTCATATTGTACTGTATTTTGTGCAATTTTTTTATTTATAACTTTTCCCCCGTGAACGCCAAGTTTTCCCCACTCGTCAATCCACCTGAATTCAATTTGTTGTAATGCTGTTTTGTGTACAATTTTAGGTAGGAAGTATAACTTGTGCAGATATAGTTTGTACTTCATTACAGCAAAAATAAACTAAACTAAATATAATACCATTAATCTTGGCAAGTGTAATAAAACCAACTTAATTGAGTAAGTTGAGAGAAGCGAGTCGAGTTGAAGGTGAGAAAGAAAATCAAGGCATTTCAACTGTGCGAAAGTGTCATGCAACTAAATGGATTATGTGCTATGTATTCCTCTTCTAGGATTTGTCTTGTTTACACACTGCTCAAATGGAGTGCCTTTCAAGAACATGAGCGACAATCACACTGTGATGTTTTTTTTATGTATTTAAGGAAGCTTAAAGCCCATGCACAATTCAACACAATCTCAACACAACTTACTTGATGATAGTTGATTGATATTGTCTGCACTGCCGAATTTGTTCTTAATCAGATGGGCAAATTCTCTCGGTTTGGACATGACAGAACCACCGAGTCCTGTGATGCCATCGCGAATGTTGCCACCGACATTCTTGAGGCCCTGACCAACGTCTCTGAGCACCTCACGCGGCTGACGATGGCTCTGGTGCTGGCTCTGCTGCTGCGTCCGCTGACTCTGCAGATCCTTCACGCGCTTGCTGTAGGACTCCAGCTTCTTCTGCAGCTGCGATATCGTGTGGGCACTCTTCTGGTTCTTCTTCTCGAACACCGCCTTGATTCGCTGCAGCTGCTGCTTGTCCGCGTTGGCCGCTAATTTCAGGTACTCATTGACATTGTCTGGAATAGAAGACAAAGATTTAGTCATACAACAGTTCATGATTACTCTCTGGAGTGTTTTCAAATACCATCTCTAGCAGTCTGTTCCTTTCTAATTGACTCTTTAGTACAGGCAATTTTGGTGTTGAGTCGATCCAAGGCCTGGCAACTATTGGTCCTCTGATGGTGCCGCCCTTCACCGTGACCGGACATCTGTTGTCCATCTATGATCTCCTCTGTGCCGGCAAATGTCTGGTAACCAATTTCCTCGGTTCCTGCAATTCACAAGGCGGAGAAAATTCGCTCAGATTGGATGCTAAAGCGCATATTACGCATTGTTGACTCACCAGACAACCGAGAATCGTCAAAAATGTCCGAATGATCCGCCGTCATGTTGCCACGATCTTCAGCTCCACTCTCCGTGTCCCTCTGTGACTTGTCAGCACCGCCTCGCTCCCGCTCTCTGCTGCGCCTGTGCGTGGACGGACTCTGGTTCCTGAAGCGCATTCCTCCTCCGCCCGAGGCAGAGTCTGTGGCGTCACGATCTCTGGACACTGTGAGTGTGTGATTTATGGCGGGAAGAGTGTTTTTGGGGGGAGGAAGAATATGGAAAGTCTTATTCTCAATTCACTTCGCTACCACACAGATCCTCTATCATCATGATCTGATGTGATTTGGTTACATTTTTTCGCATGTGTTTTTATTGTATGTATTTTGTTGGTTGTGTGAGTGTTGCGCGTGAATGATAAAATGCAGGTGAGGAGGAGAAAGAGAAAGAAGAAACATAATGTAAAACACAAAAATGCCGGACAACCACACAATGAAATAAATCAGAAAAAAATAAAATTGGCGAGTAGATGAGCAAAAGTGAGAAAAAAACAGGGATAAAAGGTGAAAATAAAAGAAAATATAATACAATACCTAAAACACTTAAGCTATAGACAACTTGCATGAGTCGCTTCAACCCAAGCACCATCTTTTCCAGTCTCTCTCTCTTGAGAAGTCAATTTTTCTTTTTTGGTTCTTTTCTGCTGCTATAATAGCCAATTGTGTTAAGCAAGAGGAAACAAAAAAAGGTCTGCAGAATAGATAGTGGACTAAAAAGCAAGATGATAGCGGTGGTGTTGTGGTGGAGGTTTTTCTTTTCTTTTCTTTTAGTTTAACCACACATATTCCTAATTATTACTTTGATCAGAGCGACACGGTGATGCGGCACGACTTGATGTCTTGCTACTTCCGGTTGTTTGACTCTGCGAACACACTTGCAATGTGTCCATTCTGACGCTCTAACTCATTGAGAAACCTGCGAATGAAGAAGAGAAAAGGCGAAATTACTCAACAGCTATAATTTATTCACTATACATTCTGCATGTCTATAAATGGTAAATATTCAAATCTATGCGATGCTAATTGAAATACATATATTAATAAATATGTGAACAGTGCGTTTTGACAGTCATAGCAGCCATCAAATATTTCTTCAACTCATACATTTTTCCCACCACAACTTTACTTATTCACACCGCATTTCGCCTGTTGACCCAATAATGGTTTGCTATTGATTTCTTTCCAAGTATTCCCATTGTCTCATTTTCGCAATATTTCGTTGTTGATTTTTCTTCAATATTTTCTTCCTGATTTGGAGTGACTAATAATCTGTGGAGTTGAGTAGAAATATTTCCTCACAGAAATACACAATTTTCAAGTGTTTATACTTCTTGGTACTTTATTTTAATCAAAAGTACAACTCTCAAAATGTATAAAATGAGTTCAATTGCCACGACAGTGTCTTGTATAGCATATTCTTGTGAAGTGTCAGAAAGATTCATTGTTGGGACGTTTGAATGATAAAGCTTTTTGCGTAACATCATAATTAGACGTACTGTATGGCATTCAAACTATTAAGCATATACAATTTTTCCTCACACGACAGCAAATTCATCAATTGATCACGCGCCAAATTAGCGCACTATAGAGTGACTCACATGATATGGAGAGTCATTATTAAGTTATGAAGCAACAAAATATGTATGTACAATCTTGCTTGCATTGGGAAAAGTGTGTATTCCGTAATATTGCGAGTTTTTTTTTCGTTTCATTTCGAATGACGAAAGATCACGTACTTTAATCTCTCTTTGTGACTTCTCTGTCAGGAAATTGACTTGTTGTCTCTCCATTATCACAAACTCACTTGACTCCTCTTCTTCTGATACTATATATTTGTGTTAAAATTATAGTTTATGCTGCCACAAGGAAATCTTTCGCAAAACTTCACATTCATCGTCACTGGTCATTCATCAAACAACCCGAGAAGAGTCTCTCTTGATTGCTGAGGCATTCTTGGATAGCAACCACAATCCGCAGTGTTTGATGATAAAGTAGGGCATTCTCATGATTACAGTGATGTTTCTATATAAGAGTTGAAAAAGTGCCGGTTTTTTTTCGGTGTGAAATGTTAAAACATCTATCTAATCACTTGCTCTAATAAAATCATTAAACAGCTGTGGGTCAATGTATTGCCCCTCAACTCACGCACCCAATATGGGGAGAACGAACAGATGTTGAGGCCACAGTGTAAAGTGTGTGTGGAAAAAAAAGAGAAGTGACGAAGAAAAATTCCTCGATAAGAAGTCAATCGTAGACTTATCGCATGATTTTTCATCATACGTTATCGCATAAATGAATCAGACGCGAGCGCAATTTGAATTAAAACAAGGAAGTGAGTTCAAAAAAATCATCTCGCTCAATAAAAATTGCCTTGAGACCGGAATCAGACACTCCGAAATTGATGGTCGCGTGGAAGTGGCATAGCATCAAATCCTGAAGACTTCACGAGGGTCATAAAGTTTCATAATATCACTCTCCTCCACTCACACACTCTTCAAATTATTTTATAAACAACTGTGCACGCTCGTGCGCCATATGGCGGTTTAAATGGTGGCATTTGGGAGATGGATTTGACTGAATAAAATAAAATAAAATGAGACGCCCTAGCTAGAAAAAATATGTGTGATAACATTTTTGAGTATATTTTCCGCAATTTTTCTGATTGAAATTATCTGCAAAGCAGTGACCATAAAATACGCTTTCTGATCTCGTTCGATGAACTCTGACACTCGAATTTTATTCCGAAATGTTCCTTTTTTTGATAATATTTTGTGTGTGAGGAAATTTGATTAAAAATAGACCCCATTTGATCGTCATTCGCGTTACAGATCAACCACAATAATAATGTTAAAATTTAGGTTAAAGTTATTAATAAATCATTAATTGCAAGACGAGTGTGAATTTATGTCTGAATCTAACATTTCGTTACATGTTTTTATGCATGTTTTTCTCTCTCTCTCTCTCTATAATGCAGAAAAATTGGTTGCCATGGACTTGTACGCCTTAAGTAATTGTGAAATAATGTTAGTCATCCAATTAACCTAAACTCATCCTAATACACTTGATGTTGAAGAATACAAGTCTTTAATAATATGATACTCTTTCTATACCTTAATGAATTTATTATCATCACCCTTCAGCGTCATTGTTGCCTCTCTCTTTCACTTTATGCCAGTGAATAATGAAGGAGGTTTTGTAAAATGGGCCTTTTTTGCTCATGAATGTATCGATTTATTCACAAGAGGCTTAAATTAGAGCAGTAGTTCCGTCTCTTGTGCTTTCTGTTAAGATATCAAAAGCGGAGTGTGAAGTGTAATGAGGCAAAACCACTTAATTGAGTTGCGCTGTAGCAATTTTCAATATTATGAATTCCTTTAAAATATGTCTCTTTTTTGTGTGTTTCGAAGTAAACAAATAGAATTACTGAGAAATAAACTTTAACAAGCTGATATTTTGCGTTCCCTTTTGGTCCTTCTCTGCCTTTTTTCTGCCCCTCTGAGGAATTGCGTTAGGCGAACGCCCACTTTCTCAGACTGTGTCTGCAAAAAGCCACCCTTTTTGTCGCCACGTCTTTTATGCGTCCACCCACAGTTTCTACTTCAACCAGCAAATAAATCCAATATAGAACGTATAACCTTTTATGTGTTTTTCCGTGTATTTTCTGCTCTCGATGGAAAATTTCAGTATCAAAGATTGACAGTGAGATGGTTTATTTATCATCAAGGCATTTTGCCATGGCAAAAAAAACACTCCCTTATGAATTAGCCTCTTCTTTTTTGGGAGCTTCATTCATTCCATTAAACTCATGTACGCGATTTACTCTCTTCGAATTCAATTGATTCAGTCAACCACTCTTATTCCATTTGATTATTATAGTTTTCCATTCGGTGCTGGGCTTTTGATATTCACCATCACAGATGAGTTGAAAAGGGAGAGAATTTTATTATCATCAGCATAATGATACGGATGAGTTGGGTGAGAGAGATTTGGTGTGATAGCACGACCACAGGAAATTGCTGTACAAGCCATGTGGGAATGGATGGTCTTTATTAAATTTAATTTCATTGGTGTATTTTCACATCTTTTTCCTCACTCACATTTCACAATGCGCTCTCTTCTCTCCTCAATTCTATTCTAACTCACATTTTCCGCCACTGCAATTGACCCAGAAATTGTAGGACATCGTTTATCAGTGCATTTCTCATCTGACCTCAAACATTTGACCCTCGGAAAGAGGTTCGCAAAAGCTCTCTGATGGGCATTTTAAAAGCTCTCTTTCTCTTCTTCCCCTCTAGAGAAAGTGGACTTAACCTGAGAGTTTCTGGTTAAGAGAAGTGAATAAGTTTTTACAGAGAGAGATAGATAAAATACACTGAAAAGAACAGGGTTTATATATACAAGGTGGTAAAAATAGCGTGATTGAAAAAAATATTTATGGCATCCACTTCCACGGGATAGTTACATATTTATCATCTCACTCACTCTCTCTCTCTCTCGTAATATGTTCTCTCCTCGTGGGACACCCTCAATTGACTCCCGCATTTATTAATCTAATAGATTATGTGGCGGAAAATAGAATTGTCGGCATATTAAGACAAAGTGGCGCAGAGAGATGAGAAATATTGAATTAGATGTGACTTGCGTAATAAGATTACTAATGCCTTTATACGATCTTTTTTCTGTGTCTACCTAAATGCAAACGACATCGTTGTCAGGCATTTATTCTATATCCAAAGCAGTAAATGCACATTCACTGTGCAAATGCTATTTAGACATGTACAGTGGATATAAAGTGTGTTTATGGTACTTTGCATATGGAAGAAGTGTATTGCGAAAGGCATTAATTGAATTACTCGCATCTCCCTATTTCCCTGTGCTCGCAACTCCTCGATTTGTGTGGCATCGAGCTTGCAAACGTTGCAGAAGAATGAGGTGTGTGTCAGTGGACAGAGACAGAGCGAGAGAGATAAATGGCAATTTTTCCTCAATACTTCCTATTAAATTACGACACTCTTTCACTCTCTCTCTCTCTCTCTGTCATTCTGTTAAATGCCCTTTGTTTCTGCACACTCCCTCACTCCTCCTCCTCCTCCCTCGACTGGATGAGCCGCAATGCAAGGCCAATACTTATGTGATTCTGTGGCCCAATTCACACCGTCATCAATTAGAAGCGCTTGCATTCGTGCCATTTCCATATGTCACGTCTCTTCCCTGCCCTTTTGCCACTTCGTCGCTCAGCTCTGTGGCTGCTAAAATTGTAAACAGTGCCATTCTACACTTTGCCAGTGCCACAATGTTGTAAATAGCTAATTAAATAAACATTTTCATCGGATTATCTGTAAAAATGCTGACTCGCGCTGCTCCTCTTCTGTTAGTGTCTCGTGTTGTAATGAGAGGCAAAGCAAAATTATTCGTGAATCACGTAAATATTTAAGTATCATTATATTGATTCTCTCTGACACAGACAAAATAACTGCGTGATAAATCATCTGACGACGCGGAGAAGGAAGAAGTTCAGGGATACGCACGTACAAGACTTGAGAGACTTTGTAGCATATATTGTCAATTAATTCACTTGAATTTGCTCACTCTCTTGCAATCTATTAAATCCACTACACGCAAACATGTTTTCCCTCCCCAACACCACATTGACTTTATACAAAATATTATGACTCATTCGCTTGGTGAATTTGAGCCATAATCAGAGTCCATTTCAAAATATTGTATCTCATATGTTGTGTTGTACTCTGTATAATAGTGACTGAAGGCAGAGCTGTAAATTCCACGGAGACCCAGAGTTGGAGAAAATAAATAAAAACGCAATTTGACATTTTTTTCTCACACACTCCCAGTGGCAATAAAAAGGGAAATTAATGCTTAACGGAGACGCAGAATTGCACAACATAAAAAAACACCAGGTGAAACGATCAATAGAAATCCATCAAAATTAAGCTTTGCCACAATTTTGCAAATGTTGATTGATTGGAGGACCTTTTCCAGATGCCAATTCGTCCACTATACAGAGATTTATCACAATCTATGTCATACTTTAAAAACAATTTCACTGATAAAGCATTCCAGCAGAATTATTACACATCAAATCTCTCTCTCTCTCTGCGAGAAGTTATGACCTTAGGAAACTTCTGGAGTATTGGAAGAAAATTGATACACTTCAACTCTAGCCCTCTGCCCTTTTTCAACCTTTTTCCTATATACTACACATACTATCTGGGATGGTCAAATATAGAGAAAGTTCTTTATTTTTGGATGACTCACTCGGTGAGACATTTATTTGACTTTTCTCTCGTTGATATTTTACGACACGACACGCACAGTGAAAAGGGGAGAAATCATTAATGTTCTAAAGTATTTATCATTTCAAAGAAAATGGGTAAAATTATCCCCCTTTTATCATATATTTATTCTTAACACTTCCACGAATATTGTATCGTTTATATGCTTGATTTCACCACTTTCTGCGAACAACAACGTCCTCGATGTGTTAAATTGATCACTCAGAACTCTGTCGCCGCCAAAGAGTTAAGGCTGTCATGCTAAATATAACTCTCCGTTCTTGTATTTCCTAGAATTCCTGATATAAAGTGTGTGATTCGGTTCTTTATCTCCAATAAATTGCCTGTTTTAGGTGAAATTGATTAACACTGACTCAATGTAAAACCCCACAAATTTTTTTTCCGTCTCTTCAGCCTTTCCTGTTTTGGGAAGCTCTTCACAGTCCCTGACCTGGGCCAATGAAAGTATTTTCGGACAATAAATGACAAATTCCATTAGTCGGCAGTCTTTTATGTGAAAATATTTAATTCAGTTATTAGCCATCGAACATTGGTCATAATTATGGCAATAAATTGAAATAGAGATTCATCCACTAATTAAAAATCAGGCTAATGTGCAGTCTTGCTAATTGCCTTGCTCTGGCGCGTCGAGGCTTAATGGGCAGCTGAGCAGTGAATATTGGCTAGGAAAGCTTCCATTCTTCTCGAGTGCTCTCGACTGCTCTTAACGATCATTGCGGTTCCCTTCTATATTTGGGTGAAAGTGTCTGATTGCAGAGATAAAACACATTCCATCAGGTAGAAAGAAAAGCCCAAAAGCTATTAGAGATGAAGTTCAAGCTTTGCGTGCACTTAAGCAAGTGTTTTTAGGTGTGAGCATGAAGAAGCGTCTAGTGAGGTGATAAGACATGGTTTGGCCTTTTCCCCTGTCTCTCTTTGGTGGATGGATTAAGGAATTAGCATTACGGTTTTCCCCTAAGACTGAATCACTTTATGCTATGTTTTTATATATTGGAATGTCAAGTCTCGCTCGCTTTTATCTTGCTCGTGCACGAAGGGGTTAACAAACAGTCACCCGCAGAAAATATGCACATTTCAAATAAACTCTCGAGTGTCAACTTGTTGTGAGGTCAGTGAGCTCTAAATAATAGCTGCAATGGTGATTATTGCTCATGAATGCACTTCTTCAACACAAGAACAAAGTGTGCAACAAGAGACACTCGAGAGAGTGAATTGAAGTGATTTTATTCACCGAGAGAGCTCTGTATTGGCCATGAACTCCTCCGGCAAAGGCGCATTCTCTCTAATCAGTCACACAACATCCCGGAAAAATGGGCAGTTTTCTGGGGAAATTGCAAATAAAATTCTTCAATGTGTTTGCCTCTGTCCTTGGTGAATGGTGAGAAAAAGGTTTATAGTTGTTGTCACAGCCCGAAGATTGGCCAACAAACCCACCAAAACATTGGGTGGCTTAGGATTGAGAAATTGCAGCTGAGAGAGGTCACAGAAGAGGTGGGAATGAACGAAAGCCCATGCCAATGAGTTGTTTTGACTTGCTATAAAAATACACACAAACACACACATAAAAAAGGGAGGATGGCAAATAGAAAAAAAAAGAAAAACGTTGCATGGCATGATGCAAGTGAAAATGAAAATGCAACGCGCAGAAACGCCTTAAAAGATCGTCGTCTCCTCACCCTGCAAAATTGCACTTTCTCTACCCCAGCTTTTCTGCCTCGTTCACATTTACACACTCATCAACCTCGGAAATAGAGCTGAGAAGTAGAAGGAGAGAGAAAAGAAAAAAAGATATTTCCGCATTTGCTTGACTGTCGAGGTGAAAACACCCACTTTTTTTCCTCTCTAATGATACAAAAACTCTAAAATTTCACTCCTCTACACATAATGCCCAAAAATAACAGCATAACTTCTAAACTTACATTAAACTCCGAAGGTGATTCCGAGTTAGAGAGAGAAAGAGTGTGTGTGTGTGTTTTGCGGGGGGGTGCCTTTACACGATGGGCGGAAAATTCTTTGTTGAATGGAGAAGAAGAAAAAATCACCCTGCTTTTGCACTAAACACAAAATCGTGTGTATTCTTGAGATCAAAATTGCAGTTCAATTGTTTATGGTGGACACACGAGCGTTGTGAACTAGCACAGAAACATGTTTTCAAAGCACTTTTCAGCTGCCCCAAATCTCCACGGCGGCCGCACTTGGGCAGTAAGTTGAGTTTTTCACAAACAAGAAGAAATCACTACATAAAATACAAGACCAAAATTGACAACCACTCAATGCAGACTGAAGGTAGAGCATTGACAGCACTTGCGGGTTTGGGACAATGTAGGGGGGATTGTCACAGAACGCTGGGATGTGGGACAGATGGATTAGGCTTCGGTACTTTTCCTCACATCAGTTCTTGGAAAAATATCTTTGAAAGTCTGCAAAAATCCTCACCACACTGAAACTGATAATACATTGCGAATAGAGAGTTTGTCTATCGAATTCTGAAAGAAACTCAAATCAGAGCTTTCGGAGAGCCGAAAATTTCGCACACTTCTGCGAAACATAACGTGGAGGGGAGGGTCACAATTGTGGGACAGCGGACCGCTTTCGCCATCTGGCAACACATTCCTCGCCGGCCAATGAGAAGAGGCCAAGTTGTTCCCGGTGTCAGAGAGGCGATTTGTTCTCGCAGGCACTTTTGGTGAAATTCTTTTTTATATCATTTCCAGCTCAGCCAAGTGGTGTGCAAGAAGATACACGTTGTGATAAAAAAACATTAGCAAGTAATTACCCTTTCGTAGTAATTTGGTGAGTGTGGAGAGTAACTAAAACGATTGTATTCTCTGGTCTAACCTAAAATTCTGATTTCAGGAATAAAAAAGTGTTCAGGAGAATTCTGTGTAAGGATGAAGACTTATATTCTGTACGTGGCAGTTTTGTCCTTGTCGTGGACACTATCGTCAGCACTGAAGGAGGAGGATTGCGAAGGTGAGATCACGCGGAGGAGGATTTTTCTGTTCAGAAACATTGAGATATGTGCTTTAATTGCAGTGTGCATCAAGACCGTCCAGAGATTCGCTGACTCGCTGACGGACAATTTGAAGAAGGACACAAAGAAGATCGAGGAGAAGTTCAAGGAGTTCTGCAAGACGCAGAAGAACAAGGAGCACAGATTCGTGAGTGCTGCAAAGAGTGACGTGTCCCTTGGAGAGCGTGACTAACATGTGTTTCTTTGCAGTGTTACTACTTGGGCGGCCTGGAGGATTCCGCCACTGGCATCCTGGGTGAGCTGTCCCGGCCGCTGAGCTGGTCGATGCCGGCGGACAAGGTGTGCGAGAAGCTGAAGAAGAAGGACGCACAGATCTGCGACTTGCGATATGAGAAGCAGATCGACTTGAACACGGTGGATCTGAAGAAGCTCAAAGTGAGGGATCTGAAGAAGATCCTCACAGACTGGGACGAGACGTGCGACGGATGCCTGGAGAAGACGGACTACATTAAGAGGATAGAAGAGTTGAAACCTCAATACACAAGGACTGAATTGTAGGGTTATTCTTTTCCACGCATCTCGTAATATATTTAGGAAGGATCTTTATAAAAATGGGCGAGGAATAAGATGAACATTTTTTTGTGAAATATAATTCCTCCGGCAATTTGCAAAAGAAAACCCAGTTCTCTCCGATGCACAACAATCCAGACGACATTATTTAATCTCTAGAGTTAATTTATTTGTATCATCCTAAGTTTATGGCTCTATTCATTTTATACAAAAAAAAAGAAGAGTAATGAAATGTTTTGCAAAGAGTCAGTGAGGGGGATGAGGAGGTAAATAAATTATTAAGTTGCTGTAAACGTCTACAAAACACACAGTCAGTTGGATTATTCACATCTCCGACCAGACAGGCACTTTTCTTCAGCGACGATATGGTTGCGAATATCTGCCGCGGTCGTTATCTTCTTTGAGTATCATGAAGAAGCTGTATGTGACCATCCACATGTAGACGTAGATCACTGCGGAGGAAGAGACAGAGAGAGTGATTAGGCGGAAGAGGAGGCGCAGTGATGAGGAGAGAAGACTCACCGACTGACAGGAGGCCAAAGATGAGCCAGAGAATGCCGGCCAGCACGAATCCGTCGATGAGGAACACTACGGCTGTGTAGATGACACTGACGAGCAGCCCGACGGCCAGCACAATGCCCAGCACCACCCAGGGCAGCATGAGATAGTGATTCCTCTTCAGCACGCCCACGATCATCAGCGTGCAGATGAGTATCGTCATGCAGAGATTGATGGCGAGGATGATCTTGACCACGGACGAGGGCAGCCAGTCGATCACGATGGTCTTAAACTCCACCCTGGCCACGAACATCACGATGAGCGACGCGATGGCCAGCAGGATGCCGCACACGCCGGAGATGATCGCGCCCGTGCGCAGAGATTGGCAGTGGCAGCACGTCTTGAGCAGTGGACCCGCCATCCTGAATCCGTGTCTGGTGCGGTGGCTAAAATTAGAGGGGCGAGAGTGAGTGTGTGCCGTGCAGAGTCATCTGATGCCATCAGATGTGACTCCCGAGTTGGGTGACCTTCCCCAGCAATTGCTTTGGATACGCGCGCCGTGCGAGTGTGATATAAACCCAAAAACCCAGAGAGACTGAGAGTGTTTCAATTTTCTTCCCTTGAACACATTGCGCTAATTTTAAACTTTGATGCTCCGCCGTGAGGCTGGATTTCCTCACGGGAATGAGTGTCAAGGCTCTGTTGTGTGAAGCGAATTTATTTACACACATAACGCTCAATTAAATCTCTGTGGCCACACTTTCGCAATCAGCTGAGCGGATTTGATGACGAATTGTAAAATTGGAAAGACTCTATCTAAAAGGAAGTGCAGTAAATCACATGAATTAATGGGAAACTCTGAAAAATGATTGTCATTTCATTTATCAAAATGAATGAGCAATTTTATGTGTTAAAATCAGAAGAAACAAATATAATACAAATGGTTATTAGTCCTCATGAGACTAATTAGAATGGAAAAGGCGCTGAACTGCATGTGAAATGTGCGAGAAGAGTTTCTGACTTCTTGTTGGGCGGAGAAAAAAAAGCGTCTGTGGCCAAATTGGAATTATGTTTCTAGTGTTGGAAAGAGGAAAACATATAATTTGACGAAATAAAAATAAATAGGGATCCGCTACAAGCTCGTGATTGATGTGTGAGAATTTCCACTGGATACTCGTGAGTTTAAATAACACTGAAATTTCACACCAGCGAAAGTGAAATCACCGGCCAAGTCACGATCTTCGCTCCCTTGTCTCAGAGCTCAAATCTTATAATATGTATATAAATCCATTAGAGAGACACACATCAAGTGGAAACCACTGGATTTCAATATCTTTATTCTGAGAATATTGATTTAAGAGAGGAATTTCCTGTTTCTCATTCAGGTCTCCTAAATGCTAAAAAATAATATTTGTCATGGACACGCGCGTGTGGGCTTCAGCTGAATGTGTTTTTACTTAATAATCAGAATTCCCATTTAAATATCTCTCGGCATCGCGCTGCTCGTTGTGAAGGAATCTGCAGCCTACACAGAGCCAGTGAGATGCGCCTCACGAGACCTTTTTCTGGCGACTCGGGAAATGCTCTTCCAAAGTGATTTACATAAAATAACAATTGGATTCACATGTGCTGGGTGTTAATAGCATTCTGACCAACATGTTTTCATTCTCTCTCTCTGACTTTGCTCTATTCGTGGCTTCTCTATTTGTGTTGTGCATCGGAAAAGAGCGAAGATTCGTCATTATGGCCACGGTTGCTGCTTCGGTTGATGAGTCGAGACGTTCCCACTCGCGGTAAAATGGCAAGTTTTCAGCCCGAAAAACTCAATGGCCAAGAGCACTAATGTGCGAGGGAGAGACCGAGATTGGCATTATTTATGTTCTCTCGCGCCTATTTTTACCACCAAAGAAAATACACATCGGCAAACGGTCAAATTGCCTCCCTCGACTTCTCTCCTTTGGCCAGTCTGGCGGAAATTGGGTGTCTTCCATTGCTCAATATCGACGCTGATCCTCTCTCTCTCTGTCTCCTCATTCACGGATCGGATATTCTTCTACTTCTTTTCTGTTTTGCTTCTGAGAAACGCGAGGAAGTTGGCGAATTCACTACCACATCAGCACCAGCAGCGACACAGAGAGACATTTTTCTTCAACTCATTGGCGAACACAGAGCATAGAAATACGATATTATTACAGAAAAAGTAGTCCAACAAATATCTTGTTGCATCACATATTAAATTGAACCATTGCGCGTATTTTTTCTGTTCACATTTGTCGTTCTCATTAATATCAAGCGTAAAGTGGGGAATAAAAACTGAGTGGCGGGGAAAATGCATGATCAATTTATGCTCTCAATTAGACAAACAAAAAACGGACAAGACAACACGCGTATGAAATCTCAGAAGCACTTTGGCACTTTTCCCGGATCCACCCTGTGTGGGGCTGTGGTGATTCCGATGGATTGGATAAAATGTGCAATATTGAGGAGTCCAGAGAGTGTGAGGAAAGAGAGAAAAATCAAATATCCGCCTTCTACAGAAGGGAGGGTGAGATGCGATTGAAGTAGTATTTTTAGATGAATTACGTTTTGCTAAATTCCACAGATGAGAAGCTCACATATGGCCAATAATCGGGTCAATTTGGCGGCACGGAGCGGCTCATTTGAGCACAATGGGGCGCCCCAGTGACCCACCTTGCGTGAAATTATCCTCCCACTCCTGGGCAACTGCGAATCCTCGCGATTCCTGTGACTGTGCGTGGGGGATTCACTCGCGCAAATCAATTTTGTGTGACGACTCGAAGCTTCGCGATGGACTGACTGCGGTCGCTTTTTAGAGAGACTGAAGGCAAACTGGCTCTCGGTGTCTCTGCGGGGCGGAGAGGCCCCTCTTATCGTTGTGTTGATTCCGCGGCCACTGAGCGCGCGGTGATGTAAGAAAATGATGTGTGAGTGTAAAGTCGCACGCAATCAGTTTCACGCAATTTATCTCTTTCGCTCCACTTAAGACTCTACACAGCATTCTTGGGGCAGTCGTACAGGTTGATGTTCCTGTCCTCGGACACCGACACCACCTTGTTGCTGTCCGGACTGTAGCTCACGCCCCACACCTGGTCAGCGTGCTCTGTGAATGTGTGCAGACAGCTGCGAGTCGCCACTTCCCAGATCTTCACGGATTTGTCACTGGAACTGGAAGAGAAGAATCGTCCGTCGCCCGAGAAGGACACCGACAGCACCCAGGAAGCGTGTCCAGACAAAGTTCCCACCACGTCTGAGTGAGCCACGTCGTACAGCTTCATGTGACCATCGTCAGAGGCGGTGAGGAGCATCTGGGAGTCTGGAGAGAAGCATAAACTCCTCACAGACATTGCGTGTCCCTCCAGCGTTTGAGCCACTTTCCCCGCTGACACGTCGAAGATGTTGATGATGCCGTCGATTGCTCCGCTGGCAATGTACTTCCCATCCGGACTGTAGGCTATGCTGAGGGTGAACTTTCCGTTCTGCGGATCCAGAACCTGCTCAGGCTTGCCGGTCTCCACGCTGTACAGCGAAATCTTGCCATCGTGAGAGCCTGAGATGACGTACTTGTCGCACGGAGAGAAGGCCACAGTCCAGAGATCAACAGGTCCCAGGGAGACTTGATTCAGGAGTTGACCGGTCTCTGAGCTCCAGAAGCACAGGCTGGAATCCAATGAACTGCTGACGATTGTCTTCCCGTCAGAGCTCACGGCCACTGACACGACTCCCAGCGAGTGACCGGTCATCTGATGTCTCAGCCGGAGGCGATTGTCAGTGAGATCCCAGACTTTGACGATGTCATCCAGTCCGCCGGTCACGATGAAGTCACTGATCTTGTCGCCTACATCGCTCGCCATCGAGTCTCTGCTGTTGTCTGGGTCATCGTCGTTGCGGCTTGAGGATGTCGTTCTGCCCCAAGCACAGGACCAGATGTTGACATCGTGGGCATTCTCCTCCTTGTGCAGCAGAGAGTACTGAAAGAGCGACCGAGGTTAGAACATCAAATCTCTGGACATACTGCAAAATTATTGTAAATAACTGCCCAGAAAGGTAACTTACCATCTTGAGAATGGAATAAACTAGAAATATGTGAGGAAAAGTGTTATTTTCCAGGAGTTTTCCGGCAAAATGCAAGCACGCTCGTCAATGCAAATTGTAAACAATGGACTGACATGCTGTGAGTTCCGGAAGTGTCAAGAGTGGCTGTCATCCGTGGGTTACATAAAACGCAAGGCTCGCAGAGCTCCTGCAAATTATGGCCGCGAGGACTCAAGATCTGCCCCCAAAGGGGGGCTATGCGTCCATTCCGTACAAGAGAATACCACCCAAGTCATACTTCAAAGGCAAGTCCATTCAATCGCTGAATTAGCACAACAAACGACTGACCATGATTGCCGTTCTTTTTTCTCTAGGACCCGCGATATTTGCAGGATTCATAGGTATCTCCACAGTTTCTTTCTACCTGTACGGCCTGAATTACAAGAGAGTCGAGAGAGAGGAAATCGAGATGCGCTCTGCCCGGAATGCTATTTTGCCTCTGCTCAAGGCGGAACGTGATCGCGAGTACCTGAAGCAGTTGCGCAGGAATCGCGACGAGGAGGCCGAACTGATGAAGAATGTGAAGGGATGGGAGGTGAGTGGATGTGGAAGAAGCGTGAGGAGTGAGATTCTTATGATTTCGTGGTTTTTTTTCAGGTGGGCACTTGGTATGGTGAGCCTGTCTTCAAGACTCTCCCGAAGGACGCCTTGGTCGAACCAATGTTCAAGGAGTTCTACGTTCATGCACCAGAGAAAGCTGCAGCTGAGAGGGCTTACGTGAAGCTCTGGAATTAAATTGTTCAGATACTAGTAGAGAATTTGCAATAAAATATTGTGACGAGATTGCGAGTTTATTGAAATTCCTGGAAGAGGACGCTGCGAGGCCGACTTCATCGCAAGAGAAACAAAAATAAATTGCCAATTCACTTCGATAAGACAAGTTAAGTGAGAATGTCCGTGATCAAAGTCGAAAACCGGGAGAGATTGAGAATAATTACCATTGACAATGTGAAGAAGAGGAATGCCCTCAACCGAGAGGGTTATTTGGCTCTCACGAAAGCCCTGAGAGACGCTGACGAGGATGAAAGTGTCTCTGTGGTGGCGTTGACTGGAGCCGGGAACTTCTACAGCTCCGGAAACGACATCATATCTGCCATGAGCAGCACTGATCCTCCTGAATACGTCATGTCGGTGCTGAGAGACCTCATCCGCGCCTTCTACAGATGCCGCAAGATTCTCGTGGCTGTCGTCAATGGACCGTCGATCGGCATTGCAGCCACAACTGCCATCCTCTGCGATGTGATCTATGCAGAGAAGGATGTTAGTGAACCCAAATCTCGACTTCCTCCCATTCTAATCCTCCTGCACTTTCAGGCTTACTTCTACACTCCATTCACTGCCTTGGGGCTCTGTTGTGAGGGATGCTCGTCCTTGACATTCCCCCAGATCATGGGAAAGACCAAAGCGAGCGAAATGCTTCTCTTGAACCACAAGATGACTGCCGAGGAAGCGCTTCGGTTCAACGTGGTGTCAGAAGTCTACACGAGAGATGAAGCGCAGACGAAAATTTGGCCCAGGATTGAGGCATTTGCAAAACTGCCTCACAAATCTCTCATCATAACCAAGGGTTTGATACAGAAATTTGATATTGACGCCTTGGAGGCGGCTAACAATGCGGAAGTGGAAGCCTTGCGAGAGAGGACAAGTTCTGAGGACTGCATTCAAGCTGCCATGGAATTTGCGCAGAGGAAACTCAAGAAGTCATCACTCTAAATCCGACTCTTGCATTGGATGTATATTTCAGGTATTTGGGAACTAAAAGGACATGGTTTAGGCTGAAATATTCTTGGAGTAATTTGTCTTGACCAAGTCGACGAATTTCGTTTGACTTCCCTTGGCAATCAGTGCTCCGCTGTCTTTATGCGTCAGCTGGCATTCCAGAAAAGCCAGCGATCGGCCTGTCTTCACTGTAGTGGCATCCACGAGGACTGAGTCTCCCTCCTTGGCAGCCCTGAGGTAGCTCACTTGCAGGTCCACGGAGACTCCTGGATGAGTGTCCGTCGTCATGAGAGCCACGGTCGTCAGAATATCGACTAGAGAAGCCGTGAAGCCCCCATGAAGGCCTCCGGCACTGTTCAAGTGCTCAGGCAGTACCTTAAACTCCGCCTTCAGTCTCCCATCGCCACCGTCCAGCACCTGGATCTGTGAATTTCACAGGAAATTAGGATCTCAAACGGAAATCATGTTTGAACGTGTTTTGAGAACAGTTCGGAAAAAGCTCCACAATTGTGGCGATGCAGATGTCAAACAACTTAGCGGTATGCTATCATTTTCTCACTGTTTATGCGATTATCTTGCAAATACTGCTCTTTTATCATCATGAATGTGTGATACGAAAGTCAAAAAAGTTGTTGAACTCACATTCTTCAGACACGCACCGCCGAAACTCCCATCATTGGCCATATACTTCACCACACTTCGCATAAAGTCCACTCCTTTCTTCACTGAGGACATTTTCAGGTAAATTAATATCTCTCACAGAATATTACAGGTGAATGAGAATGTGGAATTCCACGTGTGGTCAATTCCACTCGGGGGCAAAGGTTGACTAAGAATTATGTGGACCTTTTTAGGGATTATGTAATTTATTGTTTTGTTTACCCGAGATTTCACGCACAAGTAACAGGTTTCACTATTTCATTTCAGGTGACTGTGATGGATTTGAATGAGATTTCAACGTTTTCCCACCGGAAGCAGAAGATTTCCCGGAAATTCTGCCTCAGGACGTCACCTTGTGGCCGCTTCTATTGCCTGATGTTGCTGGACTCTGCGGTGGTGAGAAAAATCACGCATTCGCCCATCGCAGACATTTCCGTGGTGAACTTCCAAGTGAACAGCATAAAGTGTCCTGAAGGAATCGCTACCCAGAATCTCCCGAGGGACTTTGAGGCAATCTACGATAGTGCCAGCTTTGAGCAGAGAACCTCAATGGTTCTCAATCCAATGATGTGCATAAAAACCGTGGAAAATGTGTCGATATCGCTGATCGACTTGCAAATCTCTCCGTGCATCAGTGGAAAGTCGGATGTACTTCTGGCTGCTGTCCAGAACTCTATGGGATGTCTGTACTTCTATGTGCCACAGCAGATGGAGAGGGAATGGAGAGTTGTGCTAGATGTCTCCAAGGAGATTATCGTGAAACGGAGGAATAATATGGAAGTGATCAAGACATATTCGGATTTGAAGACAAACATCCAGAGTCACACAATCTCTGCCTTCTCCTGGACAATGACAGACCAAGAGAGTGTGTACAAATTCTGCGTGCTTATGCAGAGCGGAGTGGCTGTCTTCTGCACCTTCGATGGCCAGAAGCTGGAGATTGACTTCGAGAGTGATCTCTTGATTCCCGACGCCAATCGAATCAAATGGTTTCACTTCCATGGCAAATCCTATGTGATCTCTTCCGTCGTCTCGGGAGAGATTTACCTCTTTCGCGTCGATGAGCAAGCGAAAGAGTGCATTGGAGTGGCGACTCTCTGGACAGATACGGACTATCTTCAAGTAGATCATCTAGAAGTGAACACTACGGGCGAGGATGCGCTGCTCTTTGCTGTGAAAGACTGCTTTCTCATCACTTTTACACTGAGCGAGGCGGAGAATATCTTCTGTCGCTGTGACGAGTTGGGCAGAGCGGCAATTATTGGACTGAATCATGTGAATTCCTGGGATTATTTGATTATGTTTGCTGACCGATTGACGAAATTCATCGAAGTCAGCAACTCAGGAACCGAGATAAATCTCAACGAGAGCGTCGTCAGCAATAATTTCAATGAGAAGTACACTTTATTTGGAGCCATTTCCTCACCACACAAAGTCTTCTGGATGCTGGCCGCTGAACTGCTTCAGCCTCATGATATTCACACATGGGCGAATTCTTCAGTCATCGTCACAATTGCCACTTTCTCACTTGGCAATTGTCCACTGGAGCTTCTCACGAGCGCCCCCACAGACTCTCTGTCCAGAGAAGATTGCCAGGAAGCTCTGCGAGTGCGCTGGTTCAAGGAAGTCGACGTGAATCCGCACTACTTGGAACTCGTGGGACAATCAGTGGGAGTCGACGCAGAATCTCAGATAAACCTCCGCAAAAGATTGATTTATCTGGGGGCCAAGAGTGGCTCTCTGAAAATTGGTCATGAATCTCAATCTTTGCTGTTTCTGGAGGAGTTCAGGTACATCAGGAGCACACTGGTGGCTATAGGATTCTACAGGAGTTTCATGAAGCTGAAGAGGAATTTCCAAGAACACAAAAGCATCACAACAATCCAGGCGAATGCAATGAAGCACTTCAAAGTGGGCATCAGAGAATTCCTGCTCACGCCGATGCCTGAAGAGTACGATGCAGGACTGGAGAATCTCAGGATAACGCTGGAAGAGGTCACCATGGAGAGAGATGTGGTGAAATGCATGAATCCCTGCCAAATGTGCCAGAAAGAGTTGAACGAGACAAACTTGACTTGTCCAGAGGGACATGAGATAAAGAGATGCATCCTGACCAATTTCCAGGTAAGTTTGGGCGCGTGATTGGCTTGACTGAGAGAAAACTTACATTGGGCATCTGTCTTGCAGGTTTTTATTCTGAATGAAGGTGTTTGTTCTCAATGTGATCAAGTGATTCTCAATGATCGCGTTGTGCTGACGGAAATCCTCCTCTTGAAGGCTGACGAGGAGGTGATTTGTCCAGTCTGTGACATTCCCATAAAGGTGGCTTGTTAGAGGGGAAACTCGAAGGCATCGAAGTCCATCCAATCCGTTCTGGAGTCACTGGAGGTGCCCGAGAAGGTGTCACAGGAGTGGCAGGAGCACCAGAATCTCATGGAATTCTCATCTGCAGAGTCTTCAATGAGACACTGAGCCAAATGGTATTCCAAGTCAAAGCGTAGGCGAGCTCGCAAGAGATTCACTGTGGTTTGACTCAATCCTCTGGACAGAATGTAAATCAATTCCTCATAGTGAAGCTTTCGGCCCCACGCCAGACTCTGTCCCAAGGCGCTGATGTAGTTGTACGCCAGCCGAAGTGTTTCGATCTTGGACAGTTTCTGATTGTGATTCTGGTCGAGTTCCACAGTGGCCAGAGTGGGATTCAAGGGTACTTTTGTGCGTAGATTGTCGAGAGCGCGATTGAGGCTGTGCAGAGATGATTAGTGAAATGTGGGTGAATATCTGTTTGTTGCAAAACTTTACCTGAACATGCGATTTCTCTCACGAAAATTGGCTTTTGACCTCCTGACGCGTGCCTTGAGACTCCTCTCTTCCCGATCCTCCTTGACCATTTTTCCACTCTAATATCCAACCACTTTTCACGCTATCTCACCCCATTCTGACGGGCGTTATCGGGAAATTGGAGCTCTCCACACGGCAATTTAGAGATCCTCCTCAATTAGCGCCCTTTATCTACCCATCAAATTACTCTCTGTTTGCATATCGGCAGATATCGAGGCATAGCTAATTATGTCGTGGATTGATAAAATATTCAAGCATTGATTTTTCTCCCTCAAACTCTCAGGTGGAAAATGCAAATAAAGTGAAAAGTTTTAGCAGTTGGTTTTATAAAAAGAAAAATCTTTATTTATGCGGGTTTTTCTTGAACAACACTCTTCTTCATCTCGCTTTTATTAATCCATAATGTGACTCTACTCAGCAATTCCACTAAACTGTACATGAAAGTGTATAAGTAAATGCGCGGTTGTGGGTAAAATGTCTCTACAATTACACAACAAAAGGAGAGGTAAGGAGTCTCAGAAGAATGTGGGGAGAGGAAATGTGTGGTCTAGCGCCAGACTTTTATATTAGAAGTCTCTCTCTACACAGTGATAAACAGGCGATTTAGGCCATAGCACTGGCCGCGAGAGCCGACAGACTGCTCGCCTCCATTCCCATCCTGCTGGCCACATTCATCTGCGCGATGGCGGCATCCTTGAGGGAGAAGAGATGTCGCAGCTCCGTCTCGGATTTGGCCAGATTGATGGCAGCATTGAAGAGATCAATGGCCTTCTCCATATTTCCGCGCTGCACTTCAATGGAGGCCAGCGTCTCGAAAGCGAATTCACACTTGTCGTCCACCTCAATAGCGTGCTGGAGGTATTTCAGGGCAGTCTCCACATCGCCGCGCCACTGCAGGTGCAGAATTCCACGGTGAACGAGCAGAGTGGCGTTGCCGGGATCCATTTTGATGCTCTTCTCGAACAACTGGTCGGCCTCCTTGTACTGTTGCTGCTCTGTGAGGATCTGAGCCATAATACTGTAGCACTCCACGCACTTGGGAAAGCGCTCCATGGCGTCACGGAACTTCTCAAGTAGCTGGAACGACCTGACAGGATCCTCCGCCATCAAGGCATTCCGATACTCCACATACAGCTTCTGCACGTACGCCATTCCAAAGTTCGGCACCAACTCTATCGTGCGCTCAAAGTCCTCAACGGCCTCCTGCAGGCGCTGCAGCAGCACATACATCTGCCCACGATGGTAGTACACGTCTGGATTGGCGGAGTCGATCTTCTGGGCCTCGCTGAAGTCATCAAAGCATTCCTCTATATTGTCCAGCTGCACTTTGATGGAGGCACGCTTCACCAGCGCATTGACGCGGATCTTGGCGCTGACTGTGCTGTCGCCAATGAGAGTGGCAAAGTCCTCCAGGGCTTCCGTGAACAAGCCCATCAGCTGGTACATCGTGCCGCGTAGCAACAGGGACAAGGCCCTGTATTCGCTGTTCTCATTCTGCAGCTCTTCTGTGCACGCCGGAATCACCTTGTCCAGGTTCCTCTGGTCAAACTCTGTCTTGGCTAGCATGAAGCCACGTGGATTGATGGCTGCCACGGCGATGTCCTTCAGGGGATCACAGGAGAAGGCCTCGCAGAAGGAGGAGACAAAATGCGACGATGGAGGCACAGGTTTGCGCTCCTTGATGGCTTCGGTGGCGTGATGAGCGCCCAGCGTGCGCAACACCCGATCAGCAAAGGCAATTGATGACTGATTCTGGAACTGTTCGAGAATGCATGTGGCCGTGATGTCTTCCAGGCTCTGCGAGAGATCCTTCAGCTGCTCATGAGCCTTCGCTCGTCGATTGTACGCTTTGACGTATTTGGGATTGAGGCCTAGCGCCCTTGTGCAGTCCTCGCGCACAGCTGACCACTGCTTCAGCTGCTCGTGGGCTGCGGCTCTGTTCTGGTAGAACGTGGCCAGCTCCACTGTGTTGCTGCCCGGACACGCCTCGATGGCCTGCCGGTAGAAATCGATGGACTCGTCGAATTTCCCCAGTCTATATCTCTCATTGCCGCGGTTTTTGAACTCCATCGCCACTTCCAGTGGGCTCTGCTTCGCCGCCGCTTCCACCTTGGTGGGCCCATTCAGGTGCTCCTTCGCCTCGTCGCCGTCTATGGAGACGGACTTGTCCGCCTTCGCGAGCTTCTTCTTCCTGTCTTCGCTCTCGCTGTGCGTCTGTCGCCGGTAGTACAGGTAGCCCAGAGTGAGAGCCACCGGCGCCCCCAGGATGATGGCCAATTGCCACTTGGGGAACGTTGATCCCGTGCTCCCGGTCGTCATCTCAGTCTGCAAAGGCAGATATCAATGCGGTCATGCCATGTGAGGTTATCTCCGCTTCGACTCACCACAAGTCCTATCCCGTGATTTCAGCACACTCGGCAATTTATTCCTCAGCTCTCGCCTCGCCGCACGCTATCAGAAGTGGCCCGAGATTGGAAAATAATCCGGCTGTCCGGGCGATGCACGGTTGAGTGTTTTATGTAAGTTGAGGATTAAGTCTTATGTAACTCACACGCATTTATATACCAAAATGCCACCTGAGTACCCACGCTTGCCCCCAGCACGCTGCTTATCACTCACGGCACGCGATACAATGAACGAATGTAATTTTCCACGCACAAACAAATTTCACTGAAATTGCATGACACATGGAGCGGAATCCGCCATTAGCGAACAGCGGCAACTATCGGGAAAGAAGAGTTTCAGCCGGGTAGCTGGACTTATTTTGGCGATTTTTAGCAGATTGAGGGAGTGTCGCTGTCCAAACTGTGTCCAGTGTCGTGCCAGAGATTTGTGTTAGCTCATGTGGAGGGCAGTTGTTGCTGGGAAATTCTTTGTTCACTGAGTTTTCCCAGATATTCTTCGCCAGGCAAATTTGCCGTCGCCGAAGGAAATGCCAAATGGCGCCACTGTCGATCACCAGTGGCTCCCTCAGTCTCTTTCCCTCGTCATCGGATTTTTTCAGTCCCTCTCCGTGTGTGTTTTGTGCTGAAAATGATTTAAATCTATCCGCAGTTCTTGCTATAAAGTGGTCCCAGAGAGAGTGTGTGATTCTGTTTGTCCCCAGACTGAAGTGACTGGACGATGGTCTTCGCCGTGCAATTGCGACTCAGTGGTGAGTTCGGGGTTGGCTTTTTATTTTGTCATGGAGGAGAAGGGGTGGTTTACAAACACAACAAATAAATCAACAATAGCCCAAGGCAGTCCTTTGCTGGTAGGGAGTCTCACCCCCGGCGGGTGAGGGGCGGCCCTGGGACTGGGTAAGTGCTTCCGGAGCGACTCTGGCGAGTGGTTGAGTGCTGTCCGGAAGGGGGTGATTTTTGGGGGTTGGTTCCGGGGGTGGAAATGCTATCCAACACTCGGCGGAGAGCGTCTGTAGCCTGAAATGTCGGTAATTAGTGAGGGGCTGAGTGGGGGTGGGAAGTAGTGGGGACCCACCTCAGTCTTCATCCCTGTCGTGGGAGTAAGCGGTTTCCTGGACAAGTGCTGGGGCGCTGAAGTCATCCGCCCGATGGCTGATGTAGTGGCTGTGGGCGCCGTAGTGGGGGTAGCCGACCTTCTTCACGTCCGCCACGAAGCCCCCCTTGGGATCGGAGTGGTAGGAGACGATGCGCTTCGTGCCGTCAGGCTCCTTGACCGTGTACTCTCCCTTCACGTAGTCTCCCAGGCGGCTCTCCCAGGCGCTCTTGTGGTCTCCCGAGTGGTAGTCCTCCACGCCGTACTTGTAGCTGTAGTGAGGGATGTGATGACTGTGGATTTCGCGCTCCTGATAGGCGCTTCCGTGCGAGTATCCGTGGTGCTCTGTCGTCTCGTAGTGCTTTGGGGCCTCGTAGTGCTTCGGGGACTCATGATCGTGGTAGTCGTGGTAGTAGTGCACTTCGTGCTCCTCATGGTGTCCACCACCGAGGCCGCCGAAGAGCTTCTGCCGAAGAGCCTCGTACTTGTGCTTGTTCTCCTTGATGTGCTTCGACACGGCAGGAATGACGATGTGCTTGAGGGCTAATCCCTTGATGACTGCTCCCTTGATGGCGGCCGCCTTGAGGACGGCTCCCTTGAGTGCGGCGGCCTTCAGGAGGCCACCGACAACAACGGCCTGCTGTACGCTCGCCAGGGCGCAGGTGGCCACCAGCAGCAGGAGACAGATCCTCAGCAGAAGCATCCTTTCTTTTGAGGGAGGGAAAATCCGACTAGTTGTAATCCAATGCACAATCGATATTCACTCAATCACTGTCGAAATGCAACTGCTTGATAGACGGACTCCGCTCCTCCAATATATATGCTACTGGGTTAATTTTGGCCGCCAATTAAGTGGTGTATTTCGATCGATTGTTATGCGATTGGAGAATTTACACGAAGACACATAATCCAACAAGTGTGGAGAGCATTGAGGTGTTTCCTCTTTGCGTGTGCATTATGGGCCACCGGGAGCAATGAGCATGCATCCAATTGAATAATAATAGGGTCGATGGGGGCAAAGTGGCGCTGATATGTGTGTAAAAAGGCGCCAAATCAGTTGCGTAATTCATACAATTGCGTGGAGGAATTATTTAAGTGATGTTTTTTTTTCATAGCAATTAATTATAGTGTAGGCTTAAAATGTTGTAGGAAGATTTTGTTGCATTTTGTCCCTTTTGCAGATCAACACGAAATCATGGCGCAAATCTTCACAGGATGTATTTTACTTCCCCTTCTGTTGTCCTCCTCGTTGGCATTCTCGATCAACACAGACAATGAGGTGAGGATTGAGTGATTTACTCAACTGTGAAATATGGATGAATCTCGTGAATTTGACGCAATTTTTCGCTAGATAGAATATACATTTCCCTCCCCCTCAGCGTCATTTTTTTATGGTTCCTCTTGTAAGGCGAGATGATAAATGATGCAAATTCCATCATGATTGCAAATGAGAATCCTCGTGTGTGCGTCTATTTTAAATCCACTAACAACACAATTCATCTCCTCTTTCTGCAGGTTGATCCGGTGAGGACAAATTTGGGTGAGTTGATGGGAAGAAAATTCCATAATTCATGAAGATATTTCCCAAAAATGAAGTCAATTTATTCATGAGGAAAATCCATCCCACACCACAAAAATATATGACTCTCTTGACTTTCTTTGGCGCTGGCAAAAGTGAACCAGGCAGAAAAAAAGTGGAGTATAACTTCAGAGTCTCTATTCCTCCTTTCATTTGCTGAAGACAAGTTGAACAAATTAATTCCTCTTCCAAGTTCACTTTCAAGTGAACCATCAATTTATTGAAGTGGTTGGGAAAATTGAATGAATATTGGGTGATTTTGCATGGTGTACATTTGTCCAATTTTGATTATTTGCACGCAACTCAACTGTTCGCGTCTTTTCTCCCTCTCTTTTCCATTGCACAACACAGAACAAGACTGCACAGTCGGAAATGCAACATTTCTGCATGGGGAAATTTTCAAAGTGAACTGCAAGACTCAGTGTGTGTGCCAGGTAAAATGCTCACAATATTCATAATAACTTTGAGAGAGAGAGAGAATGACTTTATCACATGAATGGGTCTTTATATATTCCACATCTCTTTCCCCGTGGTGGCATTGTTGAATGAATATTTGATGCGATGGCGATGAATATTTGAAGAATGGACGACACGCCTGCTCCTCACTCTGTCCCCATGAGAGCATCTCGCCACCCGGGAGTACGTCGGAGTGTCGCTCGCCCAGACTTGTTGAAGTTTCCGGCTATTGCTGCAAGATTTGGCTGTGCGAAATGCCCAGCACGGATGGTAAACTTTTCCTCTTCCTTCACCTCTTATTCCTCGCCATTTGAGTGAGAGTCTCGAGAGTTCCATCTCTCCGTCTATTCTTTCAGTGAATGTCACCTGTGGGAATTCCTCAACAACCCCATGGACTCAGTGTTCGGAGGAGTGCGGCGTGGGTGTCTCAACGAGACATGTGGAGACGCCAATTGGATGCCGGGATCTCACTTCTGTTCGTTTGTGTGAGAATCGCCAGTGTGTGAAGGAGGACAAGGTGGAGGAGGACGATGAGGAGGTGCATTCTGCCAAGAAATTCCCTCTAAATCTCTACAAACATCGGGTGAGAACCACAACCGTTTTCCACTTTGTCGACAGGAAGTAGTGATTAGTTGTGTGTTGTTTTCCCATCTGCAGAAGGGACATGGATGTCGAAAGATGCAGAAAATGGGACCGTCTAGGATTCGATTGGGGCCTTGTGTTTCGCGAAGACTCTATCGTCCCAAAATTTGTGGCCTCTGTCAGAATTCCAACATGAATTGTGTGCCTTCGTTATCTACAACTATACAAGTGAGTCTTTTCTTCAATTATTCCTCTCTTCAAAGTGACTATTTTACAGTGAGATTGTTATTGATGATTTCAGGTAGAATTTTTATGTCCTCTCAACTCGGGAGATCCCATCAATTTCATCGAGACTGGATACGATCTGTGGGACAACAGTTGGCTGGATCCAATCGATCAGGAGCTCCTTCACTCCCGGAATATCCAGATGGAGAACAAATTCATTGGTGTTCAATGGATTCTCAAGTGTTCCTGTGGATCAAGGGTGAGTTTATAAATCATTTTCACCCTTATTTTATGCATATTTATTGACAAATTTCCATATTTTCACGCTGCTCTGGATATTAATAATGTTTATTGTCTGTAGTTTTCTCTGTTGAGAAATATCCTCCAAAATGACTATGACAGTATGTAATTTTGGAGAAACGGGTGCTTGAAGACGATCACGAAACATATCTAAAAACTTGACAAGATAATTCTATAGAAAAAAAATCACTCTAGCGTTAAAGAAGAAAAAAAAAAGTGTGTAAAATGTCTAAATTGACCAAAAGTAATCTCCTATCTTTGGCATATCTTCGAAATGATTTTATTTCAATATGTGATCTTATTTTAGGCTAATGACTCGTATTGATTGCACAATCTACCAACTACAACTAAATTGCTATACTCAACATTTTAGGACATAAGGGAATTTGCATAAAATATATAGAGAAAAAAAGTAAGCAAGCAAGAGTAATTGTTCACATGAAACCACTGCATACCTAGTGAATAATGGTTTCAAAATTCTATGTACAGAAAGAGAGGGAGAAAGAGAGAGAGATGACGGCGAAAAAAAAGTAGAAAACAAGTTAGAGGAAGGAAGAATTTAATATTTTTGCGGTTTTGTGCCTCACGAATGCTTTTCGTCGACTGTTTAAGTATTTCTGGCATAATTTACTCTCTCACCCACCCGGGTTAAATCCTCTTTGGTGGAATTTCAAATGACTTTGCGACACAATTTGCAAGTTTTGTGCACTCTCCATGGACTCTATTCAATTATTCAGTGATATAAATAGGTTTGATGTGATGATAGCTTTAAATTGCTTTCTCAAATTTGCCCAGGGGAAAAAAGGAAAGGTGGTGTAGTGTAATTATTTTCCCACGATAATTAGAATGTTTGAATGAAAGCAATATATTGGATCGCAAGAAGTGGGGTTAATTTTTTTCCACGTAATTTTTGGGCACCAATTTTTAGCAGCAACAATTCGAAGGAGGTGAATTGAGGTGGTGGTGGAGGAGGAGGAGAAGATGATAAGCAAATGATACGTATACACAGTGTCTCGTCACATATCTTTAGTGAGAATAGAAGGAGAAGGAAAAAATTTACACGTCCTATTTGTGAGATAAGTGTGGAGGATTACGTGGATTATAGCCGATAAGATTGATAAGGAATGATTGTATAAATTATATAGTTAACAGTATACAAATCTACACACAAGAAACACATGCAAAAATGCAATTTTGAGCATTGCCGGATTCACGGTGAGCAGAATTGAGGACAGAGTTTTGTGCTTCTGTTCAATTTCTGTCTCATTGATGATCTGATCTACATAATATATATATGTATGTATGGCAAGAAAGCTCACAAAATCACACAAATTCTAAAACACTGAAAGTAGGCACTTGATAAAATGAAATTGAGATGGAAATAATGGAATGAGGTGGAAGAAAAATAAAGTGTAGCAAAAAAGCGTGAAAAAGCGAGAGTAATCAGTCTTACATGATGGTGTGTTGTTTTCTCATGGCGCTTCCAAGAATGCGGCATAGCAAAAGAGAATAAGAACACATGTACAGCATATGTACATATTCCGGAACAATAGTTCTCTTTATTGACGTCAATCGCGGCCCAATACATTCGAATAATGATAATATTCAATTGATAAGGCGCAATTGTATCTCTTTGACTTAAGCGGCCAATTCGTCGATGAATTTCTTCCACTCGGCTTCCCAGAGACGCATGGCGTTCATCTTCTCAAGTGGCGTCATGGCGCTGTACTTGATAGAGTTGATGGCCAGCTGCTTGAGGAGACCCAGACCCTGGCGTCTGGACGCGAGTCCCATCAGGGCCATGTAGAAGTCGTGGCTGAGAGGCTTAGCCTCCCAGAATGACGGATCATCGGAGCTGATCACCACGGGGTACTCCTTGTTGGCCAGCAAGACAGATCCTGGATGGTTTCTCTGGTCGGCGACGAGGCGAAGGACTTGATTGGAAACCGGACACACTTCAATGGCGATCTTGTCGCGCTTGACTTGCTTCAGCACGCGAGGGTGTTTGAGAATAGCGTATCCGTGACCGATTCTCTTGGTCCCCAAAAGGACGGCGTCAATCTGAAAGGGAAAAAGTGGATGAGAATGGGTGAAGAACTTCAATCAGATATCATTGTTGATTTACTTACTAAGTTATCATCTGTCATTCCATCCCAATTCGTCTCGCCGGCGTGGAAGAAGAAATGGATGGAATCGCTCAGTGACATAATCCCTTCACTGAAGTCAATTAGGGGTCTTCCCTTGTCCTCCTGGCCCACAAGATCGAAACCGGCCATAAAGTTGGGATACTTCTCATGCAGATTGCGTACTTTATCCATCAATGGTGGGATACCTTCGTCATCGACCACTCTCACGGGGGCGTAAATAATTTTGGCGCCAATAAAGGTGGGATTGTCCTGTTTGAACTCCCTCGTGGCATCCTGGTAGATCTGGAGGATCTCTTCTTCATTGTAAATGTGTCCATCGAGATCGTAGAGCTGCGAAATGTTATAATTTCATCGTTATCAGTTTAGGAAACTTTTCTACTAATCAATCGAACGGAAAGACTCTGATAAGACATAACATAGTAACATTTTTTTGTGTGGTTTAACGGTCAAGTGCCTCTTTGATATGTGTGCATATTTTTGGAGCATGTTGAGCAAGTCACTTTATGATTAAATCTTCTCATCTCCAGGATTTACTCACCGGCGGAAGGGTGCTTCGCAATTCCAAGTATTGAACGCCATCCTCCATCATCTCCTTGAGGAATTGCTTGTAGTACTTCTTCCACACGGGCGCATAGCAGAGGAGACCGTCATTCACGCCGAAAATACCCATGAACTGGCGCCAAATGGAGTCCACATCGCGATTGTGATTGATGGGATCCTCGTTGTACATGGAGAGTTGCGACCTGAGATTGGAATTGTACTTCTCCTCGCCCAGTTTTGTGCGTTCATCAGCCGTGCGACTCCATTGGCAGTTCTCAGTGTTGGCTGGCGCCTCTCGGGAGAACTTGAATGTCAGAGCGAGCGTCGTGGGATTGGTGCACTGCCAGAGATCTGGCTCGTAGGTGAGTGAGATGACGTAGTCAGTGCTGCAGAGGGCCGTGTCGTGGGCATGGAGAATGCCACCCTTGGGCATGCGATGGATGATGTCGAAGATCTCGGAGGAGTTGATGCGATAGAGGACGTCGAAGAGATGATTCCACGGTATGAATTCGGCTGGATTCTCGAGGCCTTCCTGGAGTTCGGCTTCCTTGAGTGCCATAAGACGGGCATTGACGAACTGCTCCTTCGCTGTCAGCTCAATATCACTGCCCACGGAGCGATCCTCCTCCTCGGCGATGTAGTAAGCGCGCTTATTCAAGTATTCCTTGTACTTTCGCTCCATTTTCCAGGCGCGAATGTCAAAAGCCGCATACACAGCACTTGTGGCCAGCAGCCAAACAACTAAATGCGATATCATTTTCACACCGTTGCGCAAAGACAGTCGTTGGCAAATTGGGTGGTGCAGATAAGAGATGCGATAACTGGCGATCAAGTTCAACAATGTTTCACTGATAAGCCCTTTTTCGCGTGGGTACACGATAAAGCTGAGAATAGGAGAGAGCGCAGCTCACCTGTGCTGGATGAACCAGAATCTCTCTATGAAGACTAGTTGGATCGGTGCGGATTATTTTATATGATAGCCCACAACTTCCGAAATATTAAACACAGAAGTTCCACATGCGTAGGCGTAATTAACATTATCTGTTCAGGTGGTCTTTTTTCATAAACACAGAAATTCTTCAGTCTTTTTCCCTACAAACTCGTGCAAAGATGTTTTCATCGGTTTAGAGCTCATTAGGTGATTTTTTTTCCACTCACTTCTCTTCAATTCCCCAAGCAATAGATCACGTTACAATCACTTTTTGCTTATTCTCCGCTGGAAATGTTGTGGGTTTGGTGTCTGTCTTTGATAAATATTCACTTATTTGATCAAATACTTTTGTAGTGAGAAAACTCGTCACTAGAATCCATATGGTGGATCAGTGTTGGAGAGAGAGAATTGGGAATGTCTTCCAGTGGGGGCGAGCGCGGCAGGAGGACAGACTGGGAAGCACGACAATCTGGCTGTGCTCCCAGTTAATGACTGAAGGGAAATTGTTGATTTATGAATGTTGAGCCTGTCGAAGAATCAACGCAGACGCGACACTCAGAAAGGGTGATTTAATTGTGTTGCGCGCTTTGTTGCTGTATCCAAAGGAAGGGGAAGAAGAAGAGAGAGAGAGGAGATCATCATTTCTGGATATTTCTGGTTAATTGCTTTGAGTTTTCTGTTCAGCATGTTTTCGAAATAATTTGCATTTCTTTAATATTAAAATACAGTAGAGAAGATAGGTAAGAATGGGGAAAATTCGTGGAAAAAAAAACCATTATTTAAATGACTTAACGGGTTCCTTAGAGACTAATAAATATTTAATAGTTTGTTTTAGTATCTCTTAATTGAGCTCTTTTACACAAAAATTTACTGATGAAATTCAGTACACTTCGTGAAATAACAGTCATAACGGGTTTAAAGAATATAAAGCGAATGAAGTGATAAGGTGTGATAAGAAGACTCATTTCCAAAAGCTTCCGCAAAACAACTTAAATTCCTGAAAGTATGCAAGATTTCTGTGGTTTCCTGCATCTTTATCAATTTTTATTTGATCAATCAATAATATCTGAATGGCCAATTGATGGAGTTTAAAATGGGCAGCAAGCCTGTCCAACGTCTCCTGGCGTGATGCACTGTCGTCCCTCGAAGCGACACACGCTGTTCTTCACCACCATCTGGTGGATTTCATCGTCGCTGAGGGTGAAGGAGCCCTCAGTCCAATCCAGGAGATCCATTGAGAAGTCTTCTGGTGTGGAAATGGCCTGAAAGTGGGAAGAATTACTTCCTATTCTCTACAATTTTCCCTATTCATCTCTTTGCAGCTTACCCTGAGGGTCTGATAAGTCTCTGATGAGAGATTGATGTCTTGAGGCAACTCCAGAGGCTCAGTTTGCTTGTCCTTAGCTGAGCGAGTTGGATCGAAAGGCGTTGCGTGCGCGCGTTCATTCAATCCCAGCGCCAAATGCAAGGTAATGAAGTGGTTTTGTTCTGCGGATGAGTAAATATGTAACAATAATGTTTTCCTTTAATGGAAGGAAATTTTCACAGTCTTACCTTGAATAGGAACAGAATCGAATGCCATTTGATTGGGATTATTCCAAAATTGTTGTTTGCCCTTTGATCGTCCTTCGATAGCACACAAAGTGCAGTAAATGATGAGAATGAGAAATTTGATCTTCATGCTTGACACCACTTGATTATTGAATTGAATGGAAAATATTGCGAAATGCACGAGAATTGTTCACTTGTGACTTCCTCAAACGGTGGAAAGGAAAGAATTAAAGTGATTTCGCAGCGTAATTCGGTGGTCAATCGAAGTGAGGATGAGATTAAGAAACGAGGCGGTTATGATGAAAAAAGCAGCAATTCATCTTATCTTTATTGTCTTGCTTTTCAAACTTACTTGATCGGCCTTTGGGTGTCTTTGTGCTGAACGTCTTAATCACTAGATAATCGATTAATTCTTCGGGCTACTTTTAAACTCACCGTAATTGGAATCATAAATTTTCATCAGACGCTGCAATATGTGACTCTTTTATTGGGAGTGTATCATGATCGTTGAACAGTGAACAGTGGCGGGAGTTCGTCATGAAAACGGGGGCTTCTTGTGCACGGGATGACTGTTGAAATGTGCCACTGTCTCACATCCGGACGGAGGGCGTCACGTGAAAGTCATAAATTCCGGTTTTCAACCTCTTTTCGCAACTTTATCTATTCTCTCTGTTTATGCCTACACGCGGCTATACACGGTTCGTCTTTAGATAATCTTCCTCATCGTCACCTGCGTTCTCTTTCTCCAGGTGTGTCTCGAAGAACTCCTGCACCGTGTCGGTGTTCCACTTGGTGATGGACAGAACTTCCTTCACGGCTCCCGTCTTGTCCAGGAGTTTCACGGTGGGATCCAGTCCGCGCAAGTACTTGATCTGCAGATTGGGGAACTTCAGCGGGCGATCGCTCTTGATGAATGCCTGAATCTGGGGATATGCGCCGAATTTGCAGGTGCAAACTTCCAGGATGGCCTTTGGATACTTCCGGCTCACAGGTGAGTCATTATCTTTCTGACAACACTCCAGACAAATGTCTCTGCAATGGTGAGAGATGATGAGATGAATAAAACACAATTCTAGCAAGTGCATTAGATGCCAAAGAGTGTCCTTACTTGAGTTCCTGGAGAGCAAAATCCAAGTTATCACACGATGAACACAGCAATTGACTCTTGATGAAGCCCAATTCTCGGCAGTCTTGCGTTGAGTATTCCGCCCTGGACAGGCAGGCAAGCTGCAAATGGAAGCTGGATTAGCCACAGTAGTTGAGAGAAATGATCTGGAAACTACTTACAAGGGAAAATGTGACTAAAAACACTGATTTGTTCATTTTCAGCAGGTTAGAAAACGTCAGCACCAAAACACTATGTTTTTTTTCGATGAGGGAAACCCAGCTGAACGCGTCGTCGCTTTTCGCTGGTATTCGTCAGGTGTTTTCCAGGGTTCAAAATAGTCCGTTAATATAAATGCAGACATGCCTTGAAATTTTATAAGAATGATTAGAAAATGTTCTAAGCTTGAAATACACTTGATTTTTGCTCAAAAACTAACAAGAAATTCTCGTGCAGTATAAAATTAAAGTTATAAAAGAGATTTCCTTACATTTTCCCCTTTGAACTTTCTCAAAGCCAACATCACGCGAGTCTCGTGATGTGGACAATGGCGTGGAAAAAGCCGATATATTTGGTGAGACAACACAGAGAGGAGGAATGCTGCGTGCGCGCGTCGCATAGAAAAGTCAATGATAAGCATCTATGCTCCGTTGGAGATACAAATTAAATTACACAGACTTGATGTTTCAACTAATTATTACACTACTTAGCACCTGTTGTGACTCAGTTTCTTGGGTAAATTGTGCGAACATGCAATACGATCAAAATGTTTACCCTATCTCTCGGATTCTTACATATTCTTAACTTTCCACTATGTGTGTGGCTTCAGCCCCACCAGATCTCTCATCTCTCTCTCCCAGGAGTGGCGAGAGTTTGTGGTATAAAAACCACTGATCACTAGAGATGATCACGTATTTTCGCAGCAGTGTGAAGAAAAAGGAATACAGCAAGATGTCGCGTCTTCTCAAGATAACAGTAAGTTTATACCAGGAATTCTCAAAATGACCTCAATTTAGAGTCGCAAATTGGGTTTTGTTTTTTGCCCGTTTTCTAGTCTCTCTTCCTGGTCTTCGTGGCCATTGTTGGGGCTTTTCCGACCAATCAGGGCCCAACAAAGACCGGCAAGATTCAGCACATCTCCGAATACTACTCCAGTGATCACTTGAGTGCACGCCCAGGTGTTCCCAGTCGGCCAACTCCCATCAATCCGGACATCAAGAGCGAGCCGAAGCCTGAAGAGAAGATCCATCTGATTCCGCCCAAGGATGAGGAGAGTCATCGTCAGCGACGCTACGTGGACGAAACTGAGGCTCAGGATCAGCCGACAACGGCCAGGCCAACTCGCGCGTGGTGGAGGAGGATGAATTATGAGCGATCAACCAGGCAGCCTGAGCAGGCGGCTGCCGAAGAGGCTCCAGCCAAGCTGGAGGAATCTGCTGAGGAGGACAAAAGTGCCCAGAAGGAGCCGACAAAGGAGGAGAACTGCGAGAGTGAGGAGCAATCGAAGGAGATTGAGAAGATCAACAAGCAAAGCGTCAGCATTCAGCGCATCCAAACGCAATCCTTGCCAGTCATCCAGCCGCACAGGGAGGAAGAGGATGAGGAGAAGTGAAGTGAAAAGCAGTGGTTTTTTGTACATCCGAAGGTAGATTATTAAATTATATTTACCATCTCAATCAGCTGGTCTTCTTATTTGCCATCGCGGGGAAACTTTCACGCGCGCGCGCGAGGAGTTACACAAGGCCGAGTCTTTATTTAAAATCAATATTTATTAAATCTCACTAATATACTTATTGTGATACATTTTGTTGTCATGTAAATCCTTTTTTTTCGTCATGTTTATATCTCACTACGATGTAATTAAAATAAAATTATTACACATTTTTCATCGTCCATCTGCGCAATCCTAATGCTTGCTAATTACACAATATTCTACCGAAGATTTCCTTTACTCATATAATGTCGTTATTATCTATCAATATTGTTTATATATATAATATTGTATATGAAATAATGGCAATTTACCTTTCCTTTTTTTTAGAGGGCATAGCTAAACTACTTTCCTTTCGAAGAACGCATCCTCATTTTAAATACGAATAATTTATTATAGCAATACCTTAAGCTAGAGATTATTGATATTTTTTTTTATTATTATAGTGTGTCTCATCGTTAAATAGCCTTTTTGCCTTTGGACCTACTGAAATGCGCGTGCTTTTGGAAATTCAATCGACAACTAAATACAAAAAAATTCTCTCTCTCTCACTAGCGCTCACTCTTCTCTGGGACGACAGACACATGCAGACCAATAAGACCTTTTTATGACATGCACTGGAAGTGCGTGGAAATGATAGGAAATCTTTGAAGGTCCCTAAAGTATTACATTTTGTTTAACAAAAAAAAATCCTATGACACGAGTCACACACTAAAAATACGAATCTCTGCATAAATTAATACGATTTGAATGTTTCTTGTTTTTCTTTTCGTCACGCAAACTCTCTGAAATTTGCGTTATCATTAGCAAAATCGCGCTTCAGAACTTTTCTTGAGCATTAGCTTACTTATCAATCTTGAGCTCCCATTCTAGATTCTACAAATATATCTTCTTTTTGCTCCACTTCCACGGCAAATCTCTATATCATGTTTTGTTTTTTTTTAAGTTAATACAAATATTTATTTCGTCAATATATTGAAGAAATTGTTTAATAATATTGGTCTTACATAGTTTTTTTTTCTTTAATAATTTTTTAAAATACCTAGACTTTCACCTCTCTTTTATGCATCATCAATGAAATAAGTCGAAAATCATTCTTTTATCCTTTCACTTTAGTTTCGTCTCACAGTAAAAATACACAGTAAGATAATTGTTTTCTTCTTCTTTAAACTTATCTGACATTGAATACTTGACTTTCTATTAAGAATTATTACTTTAGCTGTGGCTACTGGACACTAAAATAGTGTATCGTTTAAAACGTGTTGGTTTTTTTCTTTCTTTCTTGTAGTAGTGTTGAAAATTCACTGCTGTTAACTTGCGAAGGAAAAAATATATACGATTGGATAAGAAGACTATCTTTGGGGTAGTTTTGAAGAAATATCCTACATTCCAATATTTATTATTTCCCATCTATCTAATCATGACATTTTTTCTCATAAGATCTGCATTTATTATTCTAACAAAAAATAATAATTGAAATAAAACGCAAGTTATTCACTACTTCACCTCTGATCTCCTGTTTTTCTTCCTCCCTCGCCCGATCTTCATTGTAAAAATTACACAAAGAAAACAAAAATGAACAAAGGAAAAGCCTTACACCCTTATCACTACGACTAGAATAATGTATTGTAAGTTTCCTAAAAGAAAAAGAATTTTTTCACTCTTCTTTCAATACCTTTTCTTCTCTCTCAATCTCTCCCTTCCAACTTTATTTTTCCCTACATTGTTTCCACTTTTCTTCTCTTCACTATCTGTCACTATAAAAAAGAGTACATTAGGTTTACATTCTTTTCATCATTCCACTATTGCATTTAATGTATATTTCTTTGCAAATTATATTGCAAAAACAACTCATTTCTCTCTCTCTCTTTCTGTCTCTCGACTCTCTCTCTCTCTCTCTCAAGAACTCAATAACTTTTCAGTGGTTTGCTACGGAAGAAAACATAATTGGTTCTATTGAAAATGGGGGAAAAAAATTATAATAACATAAAATGATAAATAATAATAATGTGAGTGGAAAAGGAAGGAAATTTTACATAGAAATTTCGTGTCTAATCGAAAACTGTGATATCGAATTCTCGAGATGTTCAACACGAAATTCTTATGCTTTGGGAATTGTTATTTAGACGATAGAAAGGAAAACTGTGATATTATCCATAGAAATCACATCATTTTGATGCGTTCTTCTTCTATTTTTCTGTCTTTAACTGCGCGCAAAGAGAGAAAAGCGAAGAAAGCGCTTTTCTCTCTCTCTCTCTTTAGTCTCTTAAAAAAAATTGTTCCAAAATATATCACAGTGTCTTCACTAATGGAACAATGTGTCTCTTTGATCATCTTTTGCATTTTGAAGAAGGAAATACGTTTGGGGGAAAAATGGGAAATTTCATTGTATAAGTTCTCGAAGAATAGTTGAGCTCTTTTGTTATGCTTAAAATCTGCACCAATCAGTGGATTAAATTTGGGCAGAATTGTCATTTCTTTTCCATTAATGCAGAAAGTTAGTGTGTCTTTTATTATTAGACATTATCGACGAAGAAGAAGTGTTAAGAGAGAATAAAAAGGGGGGAAAATGTCTTCACACAGTGCAAAGAAATTTACCTGTGAAGTGCATTTGATATCTGCTTCAGGGACTGTCCCACCTCGAGCACGAGCTTCTCATTGTCCTGGACATTCTTGCTGCCCGCAGAACGAAGACTCCGCGATTGATTTTCCACACGGGTGACGAGCTCGCGGAAGTGGAACTTGGAATGTGGCGGCATTGTCTCCTTATCTGCAAAAGTGACACAGGAGTTTTGCAAAATGTTGAGCTTATCGCTGAGCTGGAGCCACTGTGAGGCCGAGATTGCGGTGACGGGAATCTTCAGGCTGCCCTCCAGCAGAGTCACCAACTCCAGAATGCCCTCGCGACTGATGGTGGCCGTGATGGAAGTGTTTTGCTCCTGGGCGGGCGCCTTTGTCGGAATTGGCGTGGCGTAGATTGTGAGCTTAGTGGGCTTCATGGGAACAGCGGGCTTCTTGCTGGTGCCCAAATTTGCATTCTGGCCCTCTTCCGGTGTCTCCTCATCACCAGTTGATGCCTTCTTGAGGCACAATTTCGGACTGAGCTGAACCGGTGGCGGATTCTCCGGAGCCATTGTGTCTTTGGACTCCCACAATTTCTTCAGACTATTGATACTTCCTGTACTCTTCCTCTTATCCTCCTCCTCACCCTTCTCCGGCGCCTTCTCACCCTGGATATCTATTTTGATTTCAGTCTTTTTCACCTCCCTCGCCTCGCCATTGCGCTTCTCCTCGTGGCCACTCTCTTCCACGTCACACTCCACCTTGCGTAGGCGCGACTTGAAGTCAATTATGGCCTCGTCCTTCTTCTCGCCGAGCACCTTCTTTGGTTCCACCTTCTTCAGCTGACTCTTGAATGTCGCGTGATTATCCACCATGGGCTTCGGCGGTAGTTTCTTCATGTCCACACGGCCCTGGTTCATGCTTTCCGCCAACTCATTCACCAATTGCGACACGGGATCCACGCCTTTGGCCTCAGGTGGCAATTTTGGCACTTTCTGCTGATCACCAGCACGCTCCTTTATCTCCGCCACCAACTTCATCTCCAGCTTCTCCTTCACATTCCCCTCGGCAATTGCGTCCACAGCTGGACTGCCCAAGGAGTTGCACGAGTCTGTGGAGGGCTCTCGCTTGCGCAGACTCACACCGAATCTCGATGAAGCTTCCTCCACACTTGGCTCCGTGTTGGAGACGTCATAGGATGGCGTCAGGATCTGCGATTGAGTAATACCAGCAGCCGAAGCGGGCTCACGAGGTGGCAACACGTCAATCTCCATAGCAGGCGTCTCAAATTCCTCAGGCGGCGGTGGAAGATCCAGTGGAGGTGGTGGAAACTCCAAATCGGCAAGTGTTGGCTGAAAACTCCTCTTCGGACTGCCACTGACAGCTCCTCGGAAAGAGGAGAACGTTATCATACTCCCATCCGTGGTGGTGCGATGACGCTGCAATTTATTGAGACTCGCCGATGCGGAATTGGCCATTGTCACGCCACCTGAGGAGTTACTGCGGATCATCTGTGGCTGACTCTTGATATGATTCCTCGGTGACAGGACACTCGCAGCTGCTGGCGGCGTGGAATTCACCACTTCAGCTCCAGCACTATTCTCTTGCGTGAGCGATGACTGGGAGGTTGTTGCCGTGCCAGAGTCTGGCGTTGTGTTCTGCCTCAGAGATTCCAAATATGCCCCAATTCGTGCGCCTTTCGGCAAAGTGCCGTAGCGATTGATGGCTCTCTTGACATTCTGCACCTCCAGGGCGCCCACAGTCACTGGCGATGCAGTCTCACCGCCAGATGAACTGCCCGTGGTCGCTGGCTCCTTTCTCTGTTGGAATCTCTTGCTATTGCGCGTCTCCAAGCCACGATTCCCCATCACGGGTGTCACACGTTTGAAAGAGCCACTCTGCTGTCTTTGGTGCATCTGTTCCTGACTATCTGTGTCCGTGTCTGGTGTCACTTCCGCTCCGTCATTCTCCGAATCGCGATTTCCCAGCGTACCATCGCGTGTCATGCCTTCAAAGAAATTGTATCACTGGTTATTGCGTGATCTATGATTGTGATATAAATAGTTCATTTTGCAATTTTCACAAATTTTCAATTCAACCTGAGCTTCAGAGAGCATCAATGATTGTGCATAAGGACAAATTACCATTGGTATTGAGCTCGTCTAGCAACTTTCCGTCATCCTCACGATATGTAGAGTCCCGGCTCGTGGAGAGAAGGCTGAGAAAAAGGAGACAAATCAAGTATTGACGGAACTTTAGAAGAAAAGAACATTGCATTTTACCTAGTTCTCTTCGGCGGAGCAGGAGCAGTCTTTCCCTTCTTGTTAGTCGTCCGTCTCATCTGGACACTTCCCATTTTGGCGGTTGAAAAAGTGCTCAATTTCGTGGACGATGAACCAGTTTCTACAGTGTGTTGCAAATGGCATTTCATTTAGCGTCAATCTCACAAAAGCCACCTGAGCGCAAAAAGCATTACCTGACATCGGTGTCGTCACAACCTGCTCGTGTTGCTGCTGCGGCGGCGGTGGTGGACTGTGAATGCTCATTTGGCTCTTCTTTCCCATCTGCGGCGTTAATGTGGGAACCTGCGCTACACCTTGCAATTGTTTTTCTACGGCTTCAGTGATGGAAGATTCCTGGGCAAATGGCAAAAAGTGTCGCATTAGCATTTTATTCCATCCCCCGCCACAGTTCATTCCCTCACCTGAAACATATGCTCAAGAGCATGATGGATGCTCTTGAATGTGGGCCTGTCTTGGGCATTCCACTGCCAGCACTGTCTCATCAGATCATACACTTCGGGCGGACATCCAGGCGGTCTGTCCATGCGATAGCCAGACTCCAGCTTGTGGAATACATCTGTGAGATCAATTCCCGGATATGGTGACATGCCATATGTGGCGATCTCCCAGAGAAGCACCCCAAAAGCCCACACGTCGGACTTTGTGCTGAACTTGTTGTACGCCAAGCCTTCGGGAGCAGTCCACTTGATGGGAAACTTCGCTCCCGCATGAGCTGTGTACGTGTCATCACGCATGAGCCTGGCCAGCCCAAAGTCTGCCACCTTCACCAGATTATTCTCTCCCACGAGACAATTTCGCGCCGCAAGATCTCGATGAATATAATTACGACTCTCCAAGTAACTCATCCCAGATGCGATCTGAGTTGCCATGTAGAGCAATGCAACGGCATCCAGTGTTTCCCGGGCGGCCGTCCTGAGGAAGTCCAGCAGATTTCCGTGACTCATGAATTCCGTGATGATGTAGAAGGGCGGCTCGCGAGTGCACACGCCAATGAGCTGCACGAGATTGGGATGCTTCATCTCCTTCATGATGGACGCCTCCTCGAGGAAGTCTTTGAGAGCCATTGTGTCCTCTTTCAGCGTCTTCACCGCCACCGTGTTTCCGTATCTCTTCCACACCGCCTCGTACACTTCGCCATATTGACCGCCGCCCAACTTATGCCTCATCACGATGTCCGTCCGGCTGATCTCCCACTCATCTGGCTCCGGACTGAGCGGGAACACTGTGGGCTTATTCTGCTTGGGCGCCGGATAGAGCAGCGGTGTAATCAGTCCGTGTCCCTCATGCAGAACACTGTGGTGGTGCACAAGTTCTGCCAGAGTGTTGAACTTCGCTTCAGTCGTCACATAGACCTTCCCGTCTGAATCCTCCTGTATCCTGTAGTGATACACTCTCCCCTCATATCTCAAGCTGATGCTCCTCTGGCCCGGTGAGCTCTCACTCTCGCGCACCAAGAAGCTCCCATTGATGCCAGAACTCAGCAAATATTCAGCAGCATTCCTCGATATTGGTCCATGATACCACGAGTGCTTCTCCAGTGAATTCACCGGCGTCACGTAGTTGGATGGCACCCATCCCACCAGTCCGCTGTCACTGTGCGCCTCACACCACTCGCCCGACTTGTTGTACGACAGGATGCGCACCTGCTCGCCCTTCCGCAGGCTCAGCTGATTCTCCCCGCCGGCCGTGAAGTCATACAGTGCCACGAAGAGCTGTGGATCATCCTCCTCTGGACCGGGCGTGAGCAGATTCTCCTTGGATGTCCAGCGGTGAGCCGCTTCGAAGCTCACCTGCGACTGCTGAACACTCTGGGCGTTCGTCAGATGGCTGATGTCCGTGCCCTGGGCAATTATCTCATCCGTCAGACCCACCACGGTGCCCGGCGGCGGGATGTGGGGCAAGGGGCGAGATTGCAAGAGGGCCTCTGCGGAAGAGAGAAAAGTCGGAGAAATTTGCGGTCATTTTCACGGAAATTTTGGAGAAAGATAGGAGAAAGAATTAGATTGTTTTGAACGTCATGGTTCAATTGAGTGACTGAGAAATCTCCAAATCTTAATCACTAGCGTTAAATATCGTGCTTATTCACTGAACAGAGAATCACTTTTCCTCGGCGGCTGCTGGCATTCGTGAACAGCGCGTCTCCGCGCGCTCATTTTGCTACATTATCACCATTAGTCACATTGATGATTGCTTTCGTAGGAAATTCGACTACGCTCTGGAGGTCTTTTCTGACAATTTGCAAAATATGCCTCTATATAGACACACACAGTCTTCTCATGGGAATCCTAACGCAGTATATTTTTTTCGGGTGCTTATGTGGCAATTTTTTTGCCAGATCTCGGGAAAATACCTTCCATTGTTTCACTGGTTGGCAAACTACGAGTGAAGCGGTAATAAGACCTTTTTCTGACCAATATTTAGTGGTGAATTCACCCGTGAAAATAACAAACATTTTCACAATGAACTTGGGCTGTTGTAGGCAAAATGTTTTGGATCATATTTTCTTTCATGCTCTCTTCGGTGTTGAGAGTTTTTAATTATTACTTCACATAACTCGCCATTGCATGGCAAAAAATTATTATTTTAAGTGTGAGATTTATCACTGCTGCTGAATTTTCCATTTTACTCTCTGGGCAAAAGTACTGAGACGAGATGTGAATTGGATAGAATGGTTCAATGGAGGCATTGAAGGGGTAAAAAGTGAAAATGGACAAGGACGTCTCGGCGTTCTTGAGCTAATATTCTCTCACTTTTTCTTTTTCTTTGTTGGTCTGCTGTTTGCCATTCAGAAGTCAAGAAAAGCCACCTCTTCTTCACTCCAGAATCTTGCCAGCATCCCAGCAAAACACATGCATACACACTTTTCTCTCTGTCTAGTCCGAGGAGGAGGTAAACAGGAAGCTCTGGCGCGGGGGCCTTGAGAGTGAGGGGAAAAAGGAACTTGCCACTGTGCTCGGTGAAGATGTTGGAGCCCAGGATGCCGCGCTGCTCCTTGGGGCGCGGCTTCATGCGGCTGGAGCGGAGGGCGCCGTGACCCAGGGTGCCTCCGCCACTCGAGATGGTGCCCCCGGCGCCACCCACGGCGCCTCCTGACGCACTCCCAGCCCCGGGCGCGCCACAGCTGCCGGAGCGCTCCTTGCCCTGTTGCTGGCCCATTTCACCCGACTCGCGGCACCTTCAGCAGATGGCCCCGGACGACATTGTTGCCCCACAGTGAAATTTTCAACACGACGACTGAGAAGACTAAGAGGGCATCGCAGACGGACTTTTTCACACCCACCACAGGGCGCACAGGGAGCACGGCGCACTCCCGTCTATGCACTTTAACGCTAACCCACACGATGCACTACACTTTGGGCCCCTTTTTCGGCCAATCCATTAACTTTCCGTGCAGTTATTTCACAATAACTTTTCACTTCCCGACACTTTTTGGTGTCCACTTTTGACAGCTTGTCGCGACGTCCACAGTGAAATGCCGCAAGGTGGCGTGCGTCACGCAAGAGAGGTGTGAGCCGCGAAGCGAGTTGTCAAAATCTGCCTCATTTTTGGGAATTTGCCTTGCTGAAATTTCACAATTTTGCTTTAGAGTGATATTATATTGGTAGTGTGCACCTGGAGAGAGTGGAAGATGTCGTCAGACTGGGATACAGTGACTGTGCTACGCAAGAGGGCCCCCAAGGCGTCTGCCATGAAGACGGAATCGGCGATAAATCAGGCAAAACGGCAGGGCCTCCAAGTGGACACCCAACAGAAATGTATGACGAACTTACATAAATGGTGAGCCTTTATCTGCACAAATGTTAATTGGCCCGGTATCTGCAGATGGTGCTGGTACAAACAAGCAACACGTTGCCACGAAAAATACTGCCAAGCTGGACAGAGAGACTGAGGAACTGAAGCACGAGAAGATACCGCTGGAGGTTGGGAAGCTCATCATGCAGGGACGTCAGGCGAAGGGAATGAGTCAAAAGGAATTGGCGACCGTGAGTCTCAAGTCCTGCGGGTCTTCATGGAATGTCCTCTTGTCAGGATAATGCTGATGTTTGTCTTTTGCAGAAAATCTGCGAGAAACCTCAAGTGGTGAACGAGTACGAGGGCGGCCGCGGGATACCCAACAATGTGATTCTGGCCAAGATGGAGAGGGCGCTTGGAATAAAGCTCCGCGGCAAGGAACGCGGCAAACCGATGGTGCCTCCTGCGAAAAAGTAATTCCGCGGGAGGCACGGCAATACATCCACCCCCTCGTCCCGGAAGCACCCACACAACAACAGCAACTCAGCCCAGGATGTCCTGGGTCAGGTTGGGACGAGGGGAGGACAAGAGTTTTCATTGTAGATTTCCAGCGGTTTAATCTCATTGTTGAAACTTGATTCTTTCTCATCGGAGCTGCGATTTTAAACTTTGTAAATTTCCCTCTGTGCATTTCAATTTATATTATTAACTATTCTCCCTCCGGACACAAAAATGCAAGTTCAAGGATTTGTAAACACTGAGAAAATTCCTCGTAGGCATAAAAATGTGCGACAAAGAGCAACAATTCCTAAGTTTATAAACACAATACACGATGATAATTTAGTCATTAGATTTAGATTGCTCGAGCAATAAATGCATTTTTTGCAAACTTGTAATCCTTCAGAAGCCAAAATGATGAGTAAATAGTTTGCTGCGCAATAAAAGGATAGAAAGTCACTTTAGGGGATGTGTCGATTAGTTTGCAGATGTAGTGGAAAAAAAATTTGTCATTTAAGATGTTGACTGGAAAATAAGTGTTTGCGAGAAATTATCATATGAAATTGTAGGTCCATTGATTGAAATTTGTCTGTGTGTATATAAAAAAAAATTAATTATAGTGGCATAGAAATCGAAAAAATATTCGTGAAGAGTCTGAAATTCTTTCAATTCCGTCATTATCAGGATTAATCAGTGACTTTGAGTAATTTTGGGTTGAGGGATATACATAGAAGCTAGTGTAATCATACTTAAAGTTTGTAATTCATAAGATTCTGTTGATTTATACCGAATAACAGCTCTCATGCATTCTATTCATCACTTTATAAGAATAATAATCAACATCAACTTGTACAAGACCGGCTTAAGCAGAGTAAATTTTAGATGATTTGTATTACGAGTTTCTCTGAACTGAATCCCCAACATGATCACAATCAATATTAGGAGAAGTGAGAGGGAGGAGAGGGAGAGAGGTCATAAAGGAGGTTATGAATTTTGTGTGAAAAACCTCATCGTCTTTTATGTGTGGAAAAAGAGTGAGAGCATAAAATATTCGGCACATCCCTTCTTTTTACCCTTCAATTGGGCATCATCTGCAATTCTTTTTTTCTTTCTTGAGCCTCTTTCAAACTGTAACGTACAGATTGGTGTATTTTGCGAAGTTTAAATAAACATTTATACTAATCATCTCAATCAATTTACCCAATCTTTCAGTTGCGATGCGGAAATCTTGTCGTGGAAGTGAGTGGCAAATTAAATGTTGTGTGCCAGCAGTTGTGTGTCAAAGGACATTCATCAGTGAGTTAATTGAGGATATTTCTCACAATGTAGCACAGCAACTGCGAGAGCACAGAATGATAGTGAGCCATGGAGAATTTGTCTTATTGTGTGAGAACTTGCCTCAAGTTTTAATTTCCACTCCATTTTCCACCCTATTGTAACACTTGTTCGCACTTTGTTGGGTGAAATGGGGCGGCAGAGGGTCGCCACAGCCGAAAATCATAAAAGCTCACCCATTCCATGAAAGTAATGCGGTAGGTGAGTTTAGCACCTGAAAATTAACAAACTGTTCACCCTCCCGCTCTCGCAACCCCCGGTGTTGTCGCCTTTTGTTGACGGGCCCCCGGAGGTGGGCCATGGGTCCCTCTTGCAAGGACTGTGCGCGGGGCAGGGTAGAAAAAGGCACAAGAAAGTTTGATGTCATTCATCCCTCGGAGTCGCCCTATAATGGTGTCGAACAGCGTGAATTGCAGGAATTTCAAATTGGATTTTCTTCTGGCTTTTCCTCCATACATCAAAACTCTCCATATGGAAATGTGTGTCCCAAGGTGTGTGTAGTGGTGATTTTCATTCTTCCCGAAACACGACAAAATCGTGTTCTCCCAATCCACCCCCAATCCACCCTGTAAAGCTTCGTGTCTACCACATTCTTCATTTTCCACTCCGATGCCATCCGCAGAGGTGCCATGACGATAGATTAGGGACAGGTTGATCTCAAGATGTGCAATCTTTCACGTTTCACTGCTTGAGCAAAATTAATACTCCCACCTTTTTGAATTTATATCTGTTTGCTTTTCACTTGGTGATTAGCTTGAGAAATCTTGTGATTAACCATGATTATAATTTTATTAAGATATATTCTCCCAAGTGTTTCCTTGCAAAGCATATAGATTAGAGAATATATTTTGTGTATATTGATTGTATCCTTTATCTGCTTCCTCATGGCTTTTCCTCAGACTCATGTAACGGATTGCAAAGGACACTGGCTCTTCGCACGCCCAAAACTTCAGCCATAAGCCGAAGGAGATGAAAGCGATTAGACCGGTGAGACAAATCCACATCTAATCTTGGAAAATCCGACCGCCAAGGCCTTTGCAACTCTGGCATAGATGAGTGGGAGGGCGGAAAAGCTGGCAACTCGTGCCCCATCCGCTTCAATTCGGGCTCGCCTTCGTCCTGCCATATTTTCCGTGTGTGTGACGGTGGAAAAGTGCGAACAGTCAGTCGCAGATGGGATTCCGCGCGAAGTGGTCGCATCACTGTCACCCTGGGCATCATCCCTGACTGTGTGCTTTCACTGGTGCCACCGGAATAGTTTGTGCTAATTGAATTAATTCCACCAGCACTGTGTGGTCACTTTGTCCAATCATTCTCCAGCACATTCCCCCAAATAGTCCAATGGACAGATAGGCAAACAAGTGGGTGGCTAATTGGACTTGATTGTTTCTCGCTGGAGGGCGAGAAAATTGCGTGAATTTTCCGCTGAGGAGGTGAAATTATTAGAAAACTTTCAAGGCTTCTCCCCTTGTGCCACACTCTCATATTTTTGTCTCCGGGCCGAAATTGTTTTCTCCCTCTCCTCCTTTTTTGGCATTCGCATCCATCCCATGAGGGATCCAATTCGGGACGGTGAGCTGGAGGATCCTGGAGAAAAACTACACTTCTAATTGAGAGATAGAAAATGTGCGATGGAGTAAATTTTGTGTCCAACACGCAAAAGTTGATCTCAATTAAATGTGGTATCTTTGCTATCATTAATCCTTAAGCCACTGTTGTCAGTTGGTTTTTTTCCTCCTCCCCCTCTTCTGCTGCCCCTCGTGTGCTCGTGTTGCGAATCTTATCACTGAAAGTGGGTGAAAGGACTGACAAAAAGCGGACGAGTGAGAAGATGAAGGCGTCTGTGGGGAGAAAAAGTGGCCGGAGTGTTGAAATTTGTTCAATTCTCATTCTGATGATTGCTACAAAATGTTTGGCATCATCATCGTCCACATCGTCGGAGGAGGAGTCCACTGAATCCACAGAGTTCACATCCACCATAGAGCCGGGTAATGAAATCATTCTCTCACTTCTATATGTGTGCTTTCGCGGTATGCTCGCTCCCCTTTCATTTCACATGCCCATACCATTTATGCATCCCGCATCACTATCACGAGGAATTTATCTTAATTGACGATTAGGTGTATTTTTTAAATGGACCCAAAAATACCTCTGTATCCTCAAAATTCTGCGTATTATGTTTGCTTTATCTCTCTCTGAATGTTTTCGGCATGGCTGCATGAGCTTTACGTGATGAATTTCTCTATACACGTTTTATTATGATAAAGAGTGAGGTAGGAAAAAAAAAATCAGACAAATTCATCAATAGACGTGACTAAAATTATTTCGCCTAATTTACCCACAAATTCCGTGGTGGATTTTATAAATTTTGGGTCGAAGGGTGAAATTTCAGGAGGGAATTTTGCAATTTATAGCGGGAAATGCGAAATATTTTAATCACTGCAAAACATCCAATGATTTATAGATGGAATTAAAATTATCGTGATTATCTTTGAATTGGTTTAGTGACACAATTTATTCTCATATGACTAATCAATCTGCTGTAATTAATTTTACTTCTTTTTCCCATCGGTAATTTCAGTTTGGATAAAGAGAGGGAGACCAAATATTTGACCAATGTCCATGGGTGTGCGGAAACCAATCAACAAACACTTTCGCGAAACCATTTATGTTCCAATTTACAATTCATTTCAATATGAATCGGTTTTATTTGGATATTGATAGGATAATTAATTTTGTGTGAACACAAAACAGTGTCACACCTTTTGAAACGCAACACTGAGCCTTTTTTTCCGCGTTAGAAATATAACACTGCAAAAGTGGGATCTAAAATACTGAATATTTATGCATTTAGATTTGATCGCCAGATTAAATATAGTTGAAATGCTTTTGTACGGTAGATTTTCAGTGCAGAAGAGCGCAAAAGAATGTTATGCAGTAGTATTGCGAGGAGAAAAAAAGCACGCGAGGGTAGATTTTTATACACTCCACTCGTTTGCAAAATAATTCATGGTGCAGAGGCAATATAGGGATATATGAAATTGTTGAACAATGCGAGGCTTGAAGAGGGCGGCATGTATCCATTTGCTGGTGTAGTCTATTTGGCGAAATAATTTATTGATGATCACATGATACTAATTTCATGTTAAAACCCAACTCATTTTGTTTTGAAAATGCCTGTATTTAGTAGGAGTGTCAGACAAATACCATTTCTCGCAGGCGATATCAAATATCCAATGTTGGGAAAGTCCAGTGTGTGTGTGTGTTGTAATTTATGGGTGGCATTGCGAGGGGGTGGGACAAAGGGGTGGTGGCGAGATTTTAATTCAAAAAGTTTAACACACCAACTCTACGATTAAATTTTGTTCCCCAGCTCGCCAGAAAGTTGATGAAGTAGGAAATATTAAAGGCGTCAGGAAAATGTGAAAATGCTAAAATAGATATAAATTAAGTGGAGTACTTCCCCGGTTGAAACATTCAAACAACTCACAACTGAAATTAGTCACTTTGAACATAGTCACAAGGGCGCGCGCGACGGGAGGTGGCATGCCAACACTTTCCGAAATGTTGTAAATTTTAATACTCCACATTGCTACAAAAGTCCAAAAGCGATTCCTTTTTTTCTCCCTTTCGCCATTTCCCCATCAAGCACCGCCGCGGGGTGCAACACAGAGAGTCCCTCCAATTAATCAACAAATGGGGCGCACGAGGCAGAGAGAGAGATGATGGAAATGATTCTAAAGTCCCTCATTCACAGCGGAATTATCATTCTCTCGTCTGAAGGGAAACATCATTAAATCTTCGGCGATGCATTAATTTTTTTTTCTCCACCCCTGGAGAACAATGAGAGACAAATCCTCGCGCAAAAGCTGGCGAGCATTTCTCACGCCAAGAGCTCGCGATTTTATTCAGCCATAGCAACATCCAGTGGACACACATAAAAACTAGGAGATGAAATATCTCTTCGGAATGTTTGCATGTGGAAAATGTTTCGTGATTTAAGTCCTGAGTGAAATTTGCATTTCTGGGTCACGAACTAATTACCAAAGCGGGGTGGGCAAAAATCCTGCAAAGAAATTCGCCATGCAAGCGAGAGATCTCAAATAAATTTTCTCAACTCCCTGGAAAGGCAACTAATGGTTGAAAATAATCCAATAATTTTACCAATCCTCGCTTTTTCCATAGCAGCATGGCAAAAAAGTAGAGAGAGAGAGAGAAGAAGAACTCGTGTGCAAACATATTGAAGGGGATTTGAGATTAATTCGATGCGAAATCCTCAAGCTTAGAGTGGTATTTCGGGGTGGCTTCATGTTTACCTTTTGGCAGACAGATTAAAATATCATCTTTACCCTTACCTAATGGGAATCAAAGTCATTTTAAGAGAAATTTCCTGGGAAATGTATTGGGTCAAAGGTCGTACATCATATTGATTAGTTTGCCCATATATTCACCATATAGTACAATTAGAGGCGACAGCGTCCATGACAGTGTTTCCGAAGGATTAGAAATGCATTTTCTCTCGCGCGGCTGATGCTGAAATAATTCCCTGGCACTCCAATTGTTTGTATTTTGAGAATTTATAGAGTATATTTCATCATACCGATGGTTGGTAAAAGCTTTGCTGAGCATTTAGTAGAAATTTCATTCTCCACAATTCCATTAGGAAATTACGCTCTGTCACCATTCATGTCTGCATGTATCATGAATTTGAGCTGTTAAAATTTTCTAAAATCTACACAAAAGTTATACCCTAAAAGGGGAGTGAAATAATTTACAAAGTATGGGATTTGTGCCAAGATTTTGAGTGCTCTTCTCCCTTTCTCTCTCTTTTTCTCTCTCGTTTCTTTGTATCCGTCTATTGATTGACATTCAAGACGGAATTTTATTAAAAATTGATGTTGACATGGTGAAAGTGGAAACCCTCTAACTCTGACTGGGGGTGAAGTTTGCAAACTCCTAAAGAGTGAATAACTTTCTAACTTTAATCATAATAATAATTTTAAATTTGTCGGAAAGAAAATTAATTGGGGTCATTTAATGTCTGGAGTTATATCAATTTGTTACAGTCCTTAGACAACAATGTGAATTTTGATGGGATGAAGATAGAATAGATGGAAGAATGTAAGAAAGTTTTCCGTGAAATGTGTTGCAATGTGATAAGATGCATGCAAATATTTCAGCCATAAATTTCCATTGAGCACTCTACTTTATCATCATTTCCGTATTTAGCGGGGGTGAATGCATGAGAGAATCATCCACTGACATGAAGACTAATTCCTTCCTATGCTCTCACGTTCATGCAGATGCGGCTCCCGGATGCAATCCGCCGAAGATAGTGAGGCCGGTGCGCGAGGGCACCAGCACTGCTGCACCGATAATGTCCATCGAGACGACGACCATCTACCTGCCGGAAGATTTCACCACGGCGGATTTGGAGTTTGTGGACGCGAAATCCTTCGTTGAGCCCTCAGAGTCGCGCTACACCAACTTCTCGCCGTACTCGCTGAACCAGCAGAAGAGTCGCGCCAAGAGGCGACGTCGCAGGGGGTTGCCGGTGGTGGAGAAGGAGGCAGCCGATGCCCATATTTATATCCAATCGGCGGATTTGGTGAGCAGTCTCGCCTCGGGTGAGGCAAATAAATCCGCAGGCGAGAGTGTGTATTATGGATTGAACAACAGCGGCAAGCGGGGAGTGTTTAATGAAACATCAGACGCACATAAATCGAATGGATCAGACACAGATGCTGGTCTGCCACATCAAAGGGTGAAGAGAAAGTCGGGAAAGACCACAGGCGCGCTGAGTCGCCCCAAACCAGGACACTCGGATTCCAGCTCCAAGAGTACCAACCGGAAAATGCAAGGTAAAAGGTCACATACTCTGCCATCTCCCCTTCGCATTTGCCCTCCCCCCATACTCTTCTTTCGCACACTTTTTTGGCAACATCACAAGACGAAGTTCTCATGGTTTTCCGAGTGGCTTTGATGGTGGTGGCGAAGTGACTGGGGGCAATTTTAAAACACGCTGGGATCCATGCATAAAGCGCTCAAGTGTCTTGAAAAAGTTAACCTTTGAGAGGATGCCCCATCCACTGGCAATCTTTGGGGATATTTTCAATTAAAATCTCAGCCAAGAATGCGCATATTATAGCTGAAAAATTGTTTTCCGCCGAAGAGTTTGGGGAAAATCGTTCTCCCGCAAAATTGATTGGCCACCCGTGGAGAGCAGCTCCTTGACGGAATATGAATGTCACTAGCAGAAGGAATATATTTAAAAGACTCTCCATGACTGTGATGTGATGCTTGGAGAGTACATTTTCCAACTACTCATGGTGAATATTATGGGGACACAGAGAAAGGCTATTTTGTGGCATATTCGGGCGCGGTGATCTGCACATATATACACAAGGAGAGCCACAAAAGGAAGCTCGAGTGCAAATAGTTTTCAATTAATCTTATCACTCGGAGCTCCGTCAGAGGGACTTTCTCTAAGGTTCATCATCTCCATGAGATGAGAGAACAAATTGACTCGGTTTGCCGGGGCTTCTGTCTGTTCTGTGTGAAACACAGCATCCCTAATTGAATCCCACCTCAAAGACATCCCATTTTTCCTGACACACACCACACACATAAAATCCTCGGGGCCTACAAAATCGCACTCACTGCTCGTCTCGAGAATGTTGGTGAGACGCGCGAAGAAGGAGGAAAATCAAGATAATAATTTTGGCAATATATACTATAAATAATTCTCCCACTCTTTCCAGAAAGAGAGTCGTTTGAATTAATAGCCCAACCCACACACATTTCCACTCAATATAGCCGCAATTAATATCTAATAAGTGAAAATAATTCACGGAATATTCCTATTGTTGGTAAATGATGGTGTGAGAAGACATAAAAATCTCTGTGCAATTTAGTCCCGCCACGACTTCACGCCCGGGAAGGAAAGACTTTGGAGACGATTTCAATTTAAGTTTTATTACTTTGTCAATGAACAAAGTATTTCACAGCTTAAATGCTCCTCTCTACACAACATCATCACCCATTTCACCGTCTCACCCTTCTTTTGAACATGATACTCACTCTTCTCACCCTTCGACACACTTCACACTGGTGGCGTGGCAATTTTTCTACGCCACTTTTCCAGCTGTATTTAAATAAGGATGTTACCAACATTTCAGCTATTATTCTTTCGGCACTTGATAATGTAGGGGTTTTTGGCACTGAAACTCATGCAAATTGAATTACAATTGAAGTGCACATTTTCGGTTTTATTGTTCATATACACATAATGTTCAGACAGAAATTTCATTGGCCTTTGTCTCAAATTGATGATTGAATTCCATGCATTTGGTGCAAAGAGAGATACGAATAATTTTTCCACCCATAATGTTAGCAATATTGCAGACAATTATCGGAATAACATGTTAATTTAGCCTCTCGTTTGGTTTTCCAGTCATTTCCATCAGTTGCAATTATGATAACATAAATTTTACATTATGGTTTAGCTTTTAGTATAATTATTAATCTGTGTTTCAATGAGCCCAAAAAAATTGGGCTACTCGTATAGTTCCAATTATTGTGCACTAAATGGCAAACCCGAGAAAGTTATGTTCAGAAATCTTAGACGATACCTTAGGTGTAGACTTTTCCCCTCGTTAAGTGAACCTCGCATTATTAGTTGGACTGAGTAAAGTTCTGAAGATAGCGAAGAGTTTTCAGGGCAGCAGTCTTGTGTGTATAATTAAGGAAAATACAACATACTCAATTTTCGGGACTGTGATTCTCAGAAATCCTTTTTTCGGCACTCCAATATGGGGATCGTGTTTGAATCCTTAAAGGACTTCTCACACCTAAGCAGTGTTGTTTATTTATAAACCTGTCTATCTCTTTATGTATAATGAGGCAAAACAAGTCTGGTAAATGTAATTAGATACAAACAAGTGAGTAATTTCATTAGTTACACGCACACAAGATGGTACAGATTGACGCGTAATTTATCACCATACGCCAAGCATACGTACTTTTTGCCTGGAAACATCAGAGAAAATCGTTATTTATTAATGAAAGTCGCTTGAAGATGTTTTCTCCCGCGTACTAAATTGCTGCTTAAGATTGAGCCCATCCTGACTCTGGGGTGTGTGTGTGGTGTGAGACAAAGAAATACGAATTGTACACCATGGAATGAAAAGGCGTTGATTTGACGATGGGGCGCGATGGGGAGAGTCACATCGCCCTTCCAACTGTTGGAAAATTATTGACATTGCTCTTCTATTCTGTTAAACATTCCACCCCCGTGAGCATTTATTGGGTGGCACTGGGGCGGAGGAGAGACCTTTTGTTGTGCATGCATGTGAGGCGAGAGAAAAATGGGATTTAATTTGAATGAGCTGCCAGAGCGGCTGAGGAGCTGGGGTGGACTGTTAATAGAATTACAGCCATTGAGGACTTGACGACAAACTTCTCAGTATGAACTTTATCGAACGTGAAGGGGAAGTCAAGAGCTGAGATTTCCTCGAGAGTTTAGTGAAAAATTGAGGAAAGTTTCTCGGAAAGATATTTTGCATAGTATGTAGGAGAGGAGGTACTTACAGTGTATCCAAATCCCATTGTGTATTACATATTTCCTGAGAAAGAGCAGAGAACATCCATTTGATTTTGCTCCTTGTTTGTGCATTTTGCAGTTGGACCTGATGATGGCAGCGAAGATCATAGATTACCCTATCCGGGTGAGTATTCGGAGTCGGAGGAGGAGGAATCTGAGGAGGATGCCGAGGAGAAGGAAATCAATCAGTTCCGCATCGTGAGCGAGATTCGCTTTCCGAGCGAAATTGGACCACTTGGCGATCGAAGGCTATGCAAGATTAAGTGTATTAAAGGAAAGTGGGTTGGACCACTATGCGCTGCATCATTGGACGAAGGTACTGGTGCAATTTATCCAAATATTAGAGAGTTTATTTATCAATTGAGACATCTACAACTTGATTTTCCCATCAAACTTGCCAAAACAAATAAACTTTCCACCCTCGTGGCGCAAGGGAAACTTTAAGCCCCTCTGCCTCACTCCTGTACCTGGGTGTGATACACAGCCAAGAGGAAGACATTACGCAGGGTAGGGGGCGATGTTTCCCTTTAAAGCCTCATAAATTGACTTATTTTTTCCTCAATCACTTCTATTGTTATTCTTTTTATGGGATTTTTTATGGCATAATGTTGAATTCCCCCCTTTCTCTATCTTTTTTCTTTTCTGCAATATCATATTTTTAAATGGAACTTCCCGGCAGACGAATACGGAAATTTCAAATTTCAACCACTCTACAAAAGCTGTCACGTCAATCGGATTCCACCTCATTTACTCTTGAGCTACAGAAATGTTTCAGTGGTGAGTGAAAGGGTGACTGTGGGCTGAAGGAATATGTATTGAACAACAGCAAAAAATAATAGAGGATATTTTGTGGAATATCTCTCGCTCGGCACCCCCCAAAACCATATGCTCTGCCGCTTCTCCCGTCCCTTCTGGGGCATCCTCGAAAAATCCTTGTGTATTGTGTTCCTTCTTCACCCATGCGAAGGCAAAAGCTGCAAAGATTTTCGCCCATCGTCGCAATTACTTATGCGAAAATCTTCTAATTAGTATAATTTAGAGTTAATGAACTTTCTGCATGTAAATTTATGTTTATTGCCTCGGTGGGCATTAGCGTTCGTCTTTTTTCTCGCGCGTCCTCATCTATTTTAAATCTCCCCTGTTGAGCTCTTCAAGCGCATATTTTGGAGACTTTGAGAAGACTTTCTTATCAAAATACCAACGTGGGAGGCATTGGGAACTTTCACCCTGTGAAGAGGGTTTCTCAGTCCACTTGGCAGAGTCACCGCATGCTTTCGCAGTCGCGAGTGGAAGAGATAAATTTCAATATGTTCCACTGTGCGCGCCAGTGGTATATCTGAGTGAATTTTTCATTCTTGTATAAACATTTTGATATGTTTCCCTCCCACACTGCCATTATTTTTAAACCCACCGCATTTTCTCTCTGACTGGTCAAACGAATATTTGTGGGGGATGAAATGACGTTGATGCTGAAACATTTTTATGATGCTGCGAGTTCATGAAGAGCTTGGCACTCTGTGGGAAATAATAATATGGATGAAAGAGGCTCAGTGTAATGTGTCTGCAACAAGCGTTTAAGGGCAGTGGAGTGAGAAATGTTGCCACGGACATTGTATTATTTCCTGCAAAGTCTCTCAAATTACATTTATACATTTGCTACTGACTTTATGAAAGGGGTTGAGAATGTCGCGCAAAATTCCTATGAAATATAATATGAATGTACTAAGTATAGTTTTTCTGCAGAGATGTGTTTTTTTTCCTTGAGAATGGAAACCTCTTGGTTATTATTTCCCTCAAGAGGAATCACAATGTGACTATGAATTGTCTGTGGGCTATATAGAAGAGAGTCAAATAATTTTATCATTGCACATAACATTTACTTATGTATCTCTTTTTATTTATATCGTGTACTTTTTTTCATAAAACTTTTCCCTCCCCTTGTGTGCTGTGAGTGTGTGTGTGTGTGTATATGTGTGTGCCTTGTTTTTATGAAGCAAAAGAACTTCACTGAATTTTAATAACAGGTGAAACTCATCTGTAATCTTTCCCTTTTTAAGACAATATTTCTCCCCAAAGTGCCATGAAGTGTAGCTGTTCTGTCTTCACATCTTTTTTTTCGTCTTAGTGTTGCTGAGAGAAATATTTTGTGAAATTATCATGCGAAATTTTTACATAAAATATTACATTATATTCAAATTGTAAGACATCACTTCATACAGACAAAGGAGAATTTTATTATGTTTGTGCCCCGTAAAGTGAGGGGTGGTGAAAGGGACGAAGTGAGAGGGAAATTTAATGAATACCAGGCTGTTTTTATTCTCTGATATTGTGGTGAATATGCTGCAGACTCTTTTTTTTCTTCTTCTTCATCTCACATGTATTCTCGGAGTAACTTTTTTTCCGGAGGGGGAGAGAAGAGAGGAAAGGAATATATGTAGATGCCCTTTCCGCCCTCCTGGGGTGCAAACAGAGGGAAAAATGTGAGAGATACCCGGAGAGCCTGGGAGCATAATCTTTTGGGGCACGGAAGAGAGCTCTTTAATTGGGTGATTTTTTATGACTGACACTGGGGGATTTTTTATGATATCACGCAAAGTATCTCTCGGTGAGAAATTTTACAATATCAAAAATTGCACAATGGTTCTCACCATTCCTCGCCCACCCATATCAGCACGATATATTTAATATGAGGGCTACACTCTAGCATTCCACATTGCCCATAAATAATCAAAATTAAGTGAAGTGTGTGTATGGCTGGGAGAGATACATTCCCTTTTTTGCCAACCACACAGATGTACTTGATTGTGGGCCCCAAATGGACTATTGTGAACTTTTCCCTCGACATTGACTTCCTTGCCATTTCTCTTGGAGTCTCTCTGCGTGGTATTCCCCATTGTTATAAAAGGATTACTGGAACTTTCTTATGCTATTAATAAGTTTCGCTCAGCTTACGCATTTCCTCTCTGTCGTATCAATTACATTGGAGGAGAAAAGTCTCATGTTGCAGAAAAGGATTTCTCAAGCATCTCCACACTCCAGAGTCGAGGGGGTGAAATTATTGATGTCGAGTGAGGATTCTCTTGTATTGCTATTCTATGAGGTGACTCACCCATTCTCCTTTGCAATTTTTCAAGAAGCCAGCTACTTTATATAAATACAGAAATTGATTGAAGAAAGCAAAGGGAGCAAGAGTGTTTTCCGGAACACAGACGCAATTTCGCATCCATCGAGGAAAAATACGAGGGAATTGGAGGAAAAGCGATGAAACCAAATGAATGAGAGGTTGAATTATTGGCGATGGGGCACAATGCAATGCAGGCAAACACCTTTTCCAATTCTCTCCCTCGTCGAAATTGCGGGAGAGCTGTAAAAATTTTTCCCCGGAACTTTGTGCTGATCAGAAAGCTGAGAGCATTAGGGATTTCGTGGTGAATTTATTGAAGGTCATTTGTTCACGAATTTCCCAGCTATACAGTTAGCGAAACATGATTGGAATCACCTGCTGTGTATAGTGTAGGCTTCCTTATCCTTGAGACCATACATCATTGATTTTGAGATTTAGATAAATGAAACAAATTTCGTAGCCCAATGAGAGGATCACAATTTAAGCGGGGATATTAAGTAGATGTTGAGCGATTTTCTATTCACACTTTAATGATTGTATATACATGGCGGTATAGTTGTTATTAAAGTTTCTTTAAGTGTAGTGCTTCTATTTTATCAGCACGAAAGTCTGGTGGCACGCAAAATTTTCCGTATATTTTGAACATTGTGGAGAAAATGGAGAAAACAAATGTTGTGTATATTGATTAAATTTCAAAAATAGCACCACTTTCTGGGGCTTGTTGTGTGCTCACCTTGTGAATTTATGCGACAGAGCAAAATGCAGTTGGTGTGTTCGATATCCTTATCTGCTTTAGTGGCTCGAGTCAATTTCATCGCTCGATGCTCTTCGGGGGTGATAATAGAAAAATTCCGTTGAGACAATATTCCCAGTCTGGTGCTCCAGCAAAAACAATTCAGTGGAAACAGTATGTTGCAAATTAAATTTTCTCTCTGTTTCTTTTTATTAAAATTAATTGTTGAATTTGTTATTATATGGTTTTCGGACAGAAGTCTTGGGAGTCCACAGTCTGTTTGAATTAAATGGGGAAAATTTGCAAGGGATGAGCTGTGGAGGGTTGAAAGGAAAGGAAGGAGTTGTAGAATTTATAGGTCCTTGCAAAAGTTCATAAACACGAATTGTTCTGCACTGAGTGCTGAGAATGGAATGGGAAACTTCCCGTTCGCAACAGAGGTTCAGTTTGGTGTATTTTATTTTCTCTTGGTAGGAAGAAGCTCTTGAATAAAATTAACACACTTTTTCGTGCGCCCAAGTCTCGAGCAAAAGATGTAGTGCTAAAGCGGGGAGGCTTAGAGTTTGCCTCCACTTTTGGGTGAACATATCTCTCTTTGATTTGAAAGTGGAACGAAAAGTTGTTATGTAAACTGAGGAGAGAAATATCAAAGGGATTATTTGTACTACATAGAAAAGGGGCTTTATGGTCAGAAGAAGCTGAATTTTAATTTGTTTCACATTATTTCACAGGGGGTGAGGATTGACCTCGAGAAAGTTGCTCAGGTGGGTTTTTTAGATCAGAGGTCATCATCGCAATTCTTCTTAATTCCCTGTTGATTTTACTTTTTGAATTAAAACGGGGCGTGAATAAGCAAATTGGGCGGTATATATTTTCCCCTCAAACCCCCAAATTCTCGAATGGCTTTAAATTTACTGGGATTTCTCTCAATGATGTGTGTAGGAGATACGCTGAAATGATTGATGGTGGGAAGTTTTCAATAAAGAAAATCGTATGTTAGGCGATGAATGGAGAGAAGGGATTTTCTGTATGGTAAAATCCACCCCTAATACTTGCATTCTATCATAAACCATTTTTCAAGTCATCCGGAACAGTCCCAGCAGTGAAATATTTCTCTTTTGTGGAAATCTCCACCAGATCACCTTATAAATGTGAGTGATACTGAAAAACTCCACCCGCTCCACCTTTCCTATATATATACATATTGGGGGAGTGGGAAATGCTCGATGGGAATCACTTTTTATTAGAAAATTTACTCATTTCACCACAATGCCACTCTTTCAGGGTTTTGAGCGGGTCTGATCCATCCCAGCTTCAGTCCACCCACGTCCTGTGGTTTACGGTTGAAGGTTGGTCTTTCTCTCTCTCTCTCTGTCATCAGAAAAATGATTTATTGCTCAAACCTATATAGCATTCAATTACAATTTCCACTCCATTATATTCCCTTTTCTATACATATTTAAGTTGTGCCACAAATTATGTCAATTTTCTGATTTTCTTATGTAATATTTGAATTTTTAATGCCCCGCCGTGTTCGTTACTCGCTCTTCTGCGACACCCGCCGGCGGCTCTTTGATGTATTGGACGCTTTAGAGTTTTTCATCCTGACTCCTGCTCCTGCTCCTCCTCCTCTTCCTCTTCCATTAGTGTTGAGATTGAAGTTTACCTTTTCATGTCACTCTTTACGTGCATAATTTCGATACTTCCTGTGTGAGGATTTACGCTTACGTAGAAGTTTACCGAGAAGGTGACTTGTTTGACCAATTTGCAACTTTCCACACTTCCCATTCTTTGATGTCAATAGTGTGTGTGAGTGTGTCGGAGGTCCGCACGGGATGATGATGGGATTGCATGGCGAGGCAGAGAGAGAATGAGAAAAAGGAAAAAATCGATTAAATATATAAATAGAAAAAGTCTTTTCGGGATTCAATGAATGTCTCCAATATACTTATGGGATTCTTCCGGCACAATATTTGGCTTCAGTGTGACGTGATTCGGGGTGCTATTTTTCACATAAACTTGCGACTTTTCATCAATTTCGTGAGATGGTTGCTCCGCTCCTGGCGTCGTGGCGTCATTTGCCGCATTCTCCTCATGATTCTCAGTTCCAAAAGGACGAGATATTTGAATATCCCCATTCTCATCGAGATTGCACACATTTAGAATGTCCTCGTCGCTCTCGTTCCACAATTTGTACTGATCCAACTCCTCTGGGGTGTAGTAGGTGATGTAGTCGGGGTATTGACCGTGGACCACGTAGTAGCAGCACGCCTCGACTGTTGATAAAGCGCGAAAGGGGGAGGCACAGGGAGAGAAATATTAAGATTTATTGCGTGAAATTAAATCCCCAAATAATTTCCTAAGAAACACTCAAAGATTCAATGGTATTTCACACTCGGTTACATCGCAATTTTCCGCGGAGAATTCAAAAGTATTTCCCCCTGGACTGTTACAGCCGTTCAATTTTGGTCCAGTGAATTTTACTGCTTATTGCAAAAGGGCTTGTCATTTTTCACAAATTTCCTTCAATAGCACTCGCTGGTCACACAGACAAATCGAATTTGGGAGAGAGACAGGGCTTCACGAGGCGCAGAATGTCTTTCTATTCTAGTTTTATGAGCCATGAAATATTCTTGTTATTTATTCTATTACGTAGAAAATTGCCTCAGACGGGTAACCATGATTTAGTGACACGCTTTGATGGAGATTTGTAATACAAAGTGTGTGCATGAGGAATAATCCCCTATATATACATGGTGTGGAAAGGAAATTTGGTGGGATTTTAGGGGATGGTTTCAAGATTTTTGTCACGTACTGTACACCAATATTGCTTCCGTTTGTCCGGTACTAATTAAAAATTTAATATTTCACTCTGGAAGGCAAACGTGGCAAGAAATTCCAATATCCATGATACTCCCAGTGTTATTTCATGCTTCTAATCTCTTCTAAATATTGCAGCACTTTTTGCTGATAGAAATCTGGTACATGAGCAAGAGAAGTTTGTGATCATCTGACAAACCCCTTGATTAATTCTAGAGAATCTCTTAAACCCTGAATTTATTACGTCTTCTCGATACTCTGGACTTTCGGACTCCCACGGTGCCAGAGAGCAGTGCCATGAGGATTACGAGGGCCAAGACTGGTCGAATTATTTGATGGAGACTCTGTCTCATTTTAATTTCATGATATAGTTCTGCACATTAAACAGTCCACTCAATTTTTATGCACAGCACTTTTTTTTCGCCCAACTACAGCAGCGGAATGATTGAAACAGAATGCGACTGTGGGGAAAAATGGGGGGGAAACGAGCAATTACGGAGACAAATGATTATTGCTTCTCACACACAGTGCAAACAGTCGTGAATAGGTCTAATTTCATTAGAATATAAAAATATTTTACTACCCCCAACAAGGCACTATTTTTTGCCATATGGAGAAAAACTAAAATTTTGTATCCAACCGACTCGGGAGAATCAATTTTTATGTTGTATGAATAATTTAGCTTAGTGGGTAATTTATTATGGCGTGTATATGTGCTTTTTTTCTCTCTGTGTTTCTTTTCCATATTTATTATAACTTTTTCCCCGTCACACTATTCACAATGCGGTCTCACACTCTGTGACGTGGTGAAATTCGCTCACATTATCGATTGTGTATGTGGGGAATCCCTTTTTTCTCCCGCATGAAAAATGGCTCAAATGAATTCATGCTCAGACACGCAAATATTTACTAAATGCTTGATAAATCCTCTCCTTCAGTCCCCATGAGTGGCGAGCTGTGGGCGCCTCGAGAGATGGGATAATTGTTATTAATTTCTGGGTGGGCTGCTGCTTCTGCTTTTCACACCATCGCAATATGTCTCTTCCGTGCAAGAGCGCCCATTATGTTAATCACTGCCACCCTTGCAGACCGTCGGCTGGGATCTGCCCCACGGTCACTCACTCCAGGCCAGATGCAAGGATTTGGGCATGTACAAACTTCTGGGGGAGTCTCGTGTTTTGTGCTCCAATGGCCTCTGGGCACCACGGATGCCGTCATGTGTTCCAACAACACTTCTCACCAACTATTCAGGTGGGTGTTGGCAAAAAGAAACCATCGCCACGAGGAGACGAAGAGGGAGAGAGAGTAGAAAAGAATATAAATTTTCAAGTGGAAACTTTATGATTCTCTCCAAGAGCACAGACTTAAGGCCACGATAGATGGGAGATTTCTTTTTCTCTGTTTCTTGCGAATATATTGCTGAAGAGAATTAAGGGAGTGTGTAAAGCATTTCTATTGCCGTCAATTTGTCATGAGCTTTTAATTTATCATCACGCTAAAGTTCATGTTTCAGTAGCTCTGGAGAAATAATTAATTCAGACAAGTGTACATTGTGCTCTTGCCATCAACACTTTCATCGCTCATGCTCGGCGCTAAATCTTATTAATCTCCTATCTTGGATCTGGCTGAGATGGTTTCTGTGTAGCCTGTCTTGATGGCCATGCGAAGAAGCTCCTCGGGGGAAAAATCATCGGCTGGAAGGATGTGCACTTCTTCCCTCATATGGGGAGATTTGCATAGTCTTGCCGGTCGTTCAATCCCTCTCTCACTCTCCCTCTGGGGAGTGTGAGTGAATTTTAATAAATTGATTGAAGTCCCTCCCTCTCTGCAGATGACAGCCCACCGTCCATTCGGATAAAGGTGGGTGTGGGGTCGGGTGCCTTCGAGCCGAGTGGTGTGCTGGCAGTGCTGCCCGGCAGCACAATTCATCTCGACTGTATGTACCCGAGGCACCGTGGGACGCCAGAGTGGACATGGACGGGGTACTTTCGTCAATATCTCACAGGATGGTCCACGATGCCAGAGGAGAAGGCCACCAAGTACCGGCTGACGATAAAGGATATTCAGAATCAGGACACTGGCACCTACACTTGTGCCTCGCCACGCGGTTTGACCAACAGCATCGTGATTGTTGTCGCTGGTGAGTGGCTTTGGGTTGGATTAGTATATGTTATAGTTGAATGTGTTAAGGGAGGGAAGACCTCAACTGTTATTTATGGAGAAGTTTATCGCTGCTGTACAAGCAACTTTTTCCTTTCTACAATGCCATGACTTTGCCCTTGCAGTGTCTCAGTGTCCGATGGTGCCGGATCCGCAAGCTCCGCTTCAGCTACGTCTCGAAGGCACGAAGCTGGGCCAGAGAGCGCTCTATCGATGCCCCCTGGGATACAGTCTCGATGGAGTTGCCAATTCCACGTGTCTGGCAAGCGGTAGGATTTCACTCAATTGTCCCATAGGCACCCTCTGACAGTCTGTATCGTGTCCACACTCAGGCAATTGGTCATCACCACCACCCACCTGCCATCCAGTTCAATGTCCGTCGCTCTACCTGGAAGATCCCCACCTGAGTCTGGTGGAATTGAATACATCGGCATGGGGACGAGCTGTGTTCAAGTGCTCCTGGGGCTATCGTCTCAGCGGTCCGCCAGGCCTGGAGTGTGAACCATCTGGTGTGTGGAGTGGACCTGTGCCCCGATGCCGAGGTGTGTACATATGAGAACCCTTTTCCAACACCTCAGACTCAAGTGGATCCGTTACTGGCTCCAATGCAAATCCCACCCAAAAGTAATTGTGGTGTATAAATTCATTTACAATCTTCCCCGTGGGGATGCATTTGCCCATCCGACACTTGCGATTTCATCCACTTAATGGGGCTTCGTTCACACATATATTGGATTTTGGGGAATGCAATTTGTTGTGGCCAAATCATGTGCTAAAGCGTCCCTGCATTATTCACCTTATGGCAAGAAATAAATTGCCTTTTTCCACTACATTGCATAAAATTATTTATAGATTTGTAGAATCACGAATCGTCCACACACGAACGGTGACTTTTTAGTTGAGTTTTCTCAACTTTAGGAATTTCATGCACATCGTGTCTACTTAATGAGTGGAAACGAAGACAAACTGAATAATAATTTAAAGTCAATAAAAGTTAATGCGATAAATTGTTCTATTAGCAATGTAAACTAAGCACTGAAAGAGCTACTAAATTTATAATTTTAGAGCGTTTAAGTAAAATAACAATCACGAATATGCTGAATTTATGAATTCAACAGAAAACATTATCCAACGGTATTCAAAAGAGTCTCAAAATTGTTATTATTTTTCAGGAAAATATTGTTTGATGTTTAATAATTGAATTGAATTATTCAAATAACCAATCTATGAAACCAAGCGCAAAGAGAGAGTGTGGGACAGGCTTTCACATAGGTATACACATATATCTCATAGTAATGAATATTTAATTACTTCTGCATAATTGGTAAAAGCGGCAAAAAAAAGTACATTATTGATCAAGTATTGGCAAATTAAATGCAAACATGCTTTCAGGTTAATTCGCCGCATTAAACAGATAAACCCGTATATTGAGGTTACAGCAAAAAAAGAAAGATGTTCTTGCATTGGACGATTTTCTCGGTGTATCGGTGAAAAATTGCAAGAATGCTTTATTTGCTCCTTTGCACATACACACATCGTCATATTGGGCTTCTTCTTTCCTTTTCTTCGCCAGCTGTCGAGAGGGCGAATAATGTTAATTCATCATTTCTGACCTCAAATCAGGATAATGTGGGAAAAATGCGAAACAGAACGTGTTTAGTCGATCCATGGGATTATTTGCATAATTCTTATTTTGCATAATTTATGTAGGATGAATATTTTTCTTAGAAATATCCTCCTCGTATATCCTTAAAGCCATATACAACACCAAGTGGCTTTTTGTTCGTCTCTGCACGCGATCGATATGTCTTTAAGTGGAGGGACTTTTTTCTTCCTTTCCAAAATATTAGTGTCACATTTCCATTTAATTCAAACACATGTCATTTGCATAATGCCATTTTTGTGAATATCCATCACTGGGTGGGATATAATTTTTGGCTATGGCAAATCCCAAGCTGAAATCGAAATATTTGCATTGGCATCTTTTTGTGTCTTCTACCACAATTTGGGAGGTATCTTTTCCTATATCAATAAATTGCTTGGGAAAGGGGAAAAGCATGCAATACATTCAGAGATAGCTTTTTCCAGTTGTCACGCAGGGAAATCAATGTGAAAATTTGACAGAAAAAAGTCATCAAATAGAAAATCTCAGATCTGAAATTTAGTTGAAAGTTTAATATATCATAGTTTTGCCATTCTGAGCTTCGAATTAATATTTCTGGGTTCTATTATAGCCGGGAAAAAGTTTTTAGTGCAAAATGTGAAAAAATTCCGAATCAGAGCCAATTTAATTGGGCAGAATTTGTAAAAGATTCCGAGAATCAAATATTATTTTGCCATCAAATTAATTTCATGCTTTGGGAATCGTCAATGAATTGATCAAAGTCACGGTAATCGAATATCAATTAATATGCATTTGTAAACTAAATCCGTTGATAGAAATTTTCGATATATTAAACAGAAGTTGTTATTTTGCCATTAATTATAATAGCAACGATGATAATTAAATATCAAACATTATTTGACTCGAGAGGTGATGGGAAATTCACGGGATTTTCCACACACACTCGCGCGCGAGTGATGGTGAGGGAAAAATCCCAGGAAATTAATATAATCTTAAAGCGTAATCTCATTCAAGAGAGTTACTTTGCAAGTGAGTGATTTTCAAAGCCTGACTGATAAGATTGTAATCACTTTACACGGCTTTGTGCTCCAATGAATCCCTTTCACCGTGTCCCAACTGTGAAGCATTTTATGTTTAAATATAATAATGAAGTCTCACAAGCGATTTTCATGCGGCTGCAAATGGTAGCCAGATGTACTCTGGGTTTTTTTTCACATCTGAGAGCGTCGTTAGTGCTATTTTTCAGCAGATTTAAGCTGCGACAAGTCTTTAATGATGGTTAGTGAGGGATTGAAAAAAAGCAGTTGTGTTGAACAATTCGTCGTGATGTATGATGGTAAATGCGCCATAAAACTTCCGTTTTTTTAATACCACGCAAAAGCTTTGATTAAATCCATCAGCGTGCATGAATTATATATTTTTTATTTGATATTTTGATGGCTTTCCTCGCAAACGAGGCTCTCCAAGAATTATTTTGTATTTGAGAGCAGCTTCAGAGGAAATCCCTGTGCTCCATTATCGGCACACCCGGGGCATTAAATCAATTTCCAATTAGAGGGATGATAGGATGCAAAGAAAATTGGGTGGCTGTGGGCGGAGGGCGATGCACAACATGGGAATTAGTGGAGGGAGGGAGAGGAGTGTGTGGGAGCATTGTTGGAATAATACAAGGTGTGTCTTGTCGATTTGTACAGCAATCCAGTGTCCGCAACCTCTGGTGCCAATAAATGGTCGCATTGATGGAACAAGTGGCTCCAACAGCCAACGACGCTACCCCGTCGGCGCCCTGGTCATGTTCAGCTGCACTGAGGGGCACATCCTTGTGGGTGAAGCGAGTATTGTTTGTGCCGAAACTGGGTTGTGGTCCCAACCACCTCCGTTCTGTGAGTATATCTTTTAATTTCGACTCCACTTCGCATGAGAGCAATAAGAGAGAAAGATCCCCAACTGAGAATCGATAGATGGGATGAAGAAGAAAGTTGCGAAAATCCATATATACAGAAAGAAGGGAAGAGATACTGCACAGCCACAATTGCCGGGGAAATCTGTAACATTCAGCATTAAATTGAGGATTTCAAGTGGGAGATGAAATTCTTGGCAGACTTTTAAAACGGGAAATTGGAATTTTTTTTTGGTTGTTGTTCTAAATCAAACGATTCAAACAATTTAAAAGATTGAAAGATTGGTGTTAGATATTTTCCATATAGTATTTTGGGGGTATTTTCAATGCTCTGTTTAAAGTTCATCCTCTATTTTTTTTTGTCCTTGACTTATCTGACACAGAAGAGAAAGGGAGACAAAAAATCCCTCCCACAATAGCTGCGCTAAATTATTTCTACTCTCAATCTTCCACGTAGTTGCGATTGGTGGTCCAAATGCAGATGGGAGTAGAGCGAAAATGAAGCCAAGGGGAAAAAATTATGAAATGAATCTCTCGTGTGCTGTATGATATGCTGCTGTATGTTTGTGGTGTTGTAATTAATTATTTGTGTGGTTTTAGGTAAAGCTCAGTGTCCATACCCCGGAGATCCGCCCAATGGTTTAATCGCCCCATTGAAATTTCATTATGATCCTGGAGATTATCTCAGTATCCAGTGTCGGCCGGGCTTTGTGGAGTATGGGGCCAATGGGCCACCTGAGCGGCCACGATGCCTGCCGGATGGGAATTGGTCGTCACCTGTGCCACAGTGCAAAAACTACGAAGATGTATAGGAGTAAGGAAAATCGACATCTCCCCGAGGCGTACTATTTTCCTCAAGAGTCGTCATTCCGCTCCGGAGAGCAAGAAGAACAAGAAAACAGTGGAGAGAAAAGGCACCACATGGGCGAGAGTGGCATAAGAGATTATTCTAAAGCAAGAGCGTGAGAAGGTATTCATGTAAAAAAAGGAGTATTTTTTGTAAATTAAGCAAGCAGGGTGATAACTATATGGTTAGAATGATAGATAAAGTCCTCCTTTAGATAGTCATTCTATGAATATATAACAGAAAATCCCCCCTTTGACGCATAATCATCTCCAACAAAAGCACCAAAGCCGATTGAAATATTGACCACAGAACCATTAAAAGTATTCAAGCAGCTACTATGTGTACAAATCATCCCCAGGATCTTGGGTAATGCCATTGAGAATTTCCGGGAATTGCACAGACATTTTCAAAATTCATGACTTGCACGAGCTTTCCATTTCAATTTTTCCTTGCCAGTGTTCAGTGTGATCAAGGGGAGATTATTAGATTGGAACGTGGTGTGCAAGCATTGCTCAAAACTTTGACACTGGTTATTTTGGCACATAAATTACATACATATGTATATTTAAGGCATAAAAAAGAGCATTTTAATCTGTGCTGAGAAAATAGATGGTAAAAAATTTACATTTTTTACCAATTGTCACACAAATAATTTTCAACCATGCAGCAGAATTTGCTGTGAGGTTGTTTTTTTTTCTCAGTGTTTCAATGCTGTGTGTTCATGGGGTGAGCGACAAACGTTGTGTGAACACTATTATATGGTGAATAATGCAAAAATGCATGGCAAAGTTTATGGAATACGAAATTGAGTGATAAAATGCTCCTGCATGAATTATTTCTCTAGCAAATTTTCTCTCGTGGCATCAGCAACAATTATAACTTTATCAATATTAAGAAAATGATATTGAAAAAGTTAGCAATTGGAGAATCCATTTGAAATTGGAAATTTCAAGCATGAGCAACACGAGGTATTGTTGCAATTTAAGCTCTCGCGTTGAGTCTCCCCTTGACGTTGTTCTATTATTCAGTCTAAGTGTACAATTATTAGATAATCCACCGATAATCTCACCATGGCTTCTCTGACCTATAATCTTTGCAAAGAAAGTGACTCTAACAAAATGCATATCACCAGAGTATTTCTTCATAATCCCTCAGATGACTCAGTAATATTGTTATCACAGTGATCTATTTATCAATGAAACAAGTAGTGTATAGTCGATAGGATCTCAACAAGGAATACTAGCGATGAAATGGTATTTGAAGGCATTTTGTTAATGAGGACAAAAAATGTTGATAGTGCATTGAAAAGTATCCGGAAATTGAAAAAAAGGAAGTGTGCAGAAAATTTATGTAGCATTTTGAGATCAACACGATTGTTACATTTTGTAGTTTATATTTATAAGGAAACTATTATCCAGTATTGTGTCATATCGCTGTGTATGTTGAATAATTAAAGTAAAAGTCATTGAGATGTATTCAATAAAAGGATGTCCAAGGAAGTCCTCATAACCGTTGAAGTTTGATTTTCGCCTCTCATCGGTTCGATGTATCGGTTTCTGACGGCGATATATCGTCAGTTGACAGCCCATGACGTCATGCGCTTTTATTGTGCAATTTCGTTGCTTTTTCGAGCAGTTGGATCTGATTTCCTAGCCAAATAGCACGATGAGGAAGCGCGTGAGTGTGAAAAATCTCAACGTACCTTTGAACCCCAGTGATATTCTCTCCTATGAGGTAGGAGATTTCGTGAAAACCCATCGGAGAGTGTCCTAATATCACCCTTTTTGCAGGAGTCAAAACATCACAACATCATGTTGCGCATCCAGAAGTCTCTCTACTACGGTGGCTTCCAGATGCTTCCGGAACTGGAGAGCATCAGCGGGCCTTTGTGCGAGATGGCAGCTGGTTTGTTCTCCAATTGCCACCGTGGCTATTCGCTGCAGCGCCTCAATTCCGTGACAATTGGGAAAGTGCGCTCGTCCCCATTTCCACTCATCATGAGCCTCGTGTACCTGGACCTGCTGCAGGAGCTGGATCCCACCTTCGTGCAGACCGTGACGCCCACTGAGCTGTTTGTCTGCGTGATGGTGATTGCAACGAAATTCTATTGCGGATATGACGAGGAAATCTGCTTGAATCAGTGGGCAAAGTATGCCAAAGTCACGGTTGAACGACTGAAGAAGATGGAATTGGAATTGCTCAAAGCATTGGTGAGAAATTTTCACTTTTGGTCGTAGAAAACACTCGTGTGTAATTGTTGGCGATGTGTGCTTTTGCAGGACTGGCGGATTTACATATCTCATGACACCTTCTTCCGGAAGTTGTGCACCATCGAGAATCTCCTGGCGCAGCAGCAGGGATTGCGTCGTGGTTGGCTGACATACACAGAACTCACGCAATTGATGCCTTCCTCCCTTCTGCCCATGGAGATCGTAAGTCTGAGCTCAATGCTGGCGCTGTGCTACATCGTCGCCCTGGCCGCCGCTGCAAGTGCCTTTCTCGTTGTCCATCACATTCCCGGAACCATATTCTATCACAACCCCTACCCAGGCATCACAGAGACCCTGACTGCATCACACCACTGCCTCCCAATGCTAGACATCATCGCCACAAGGTGCATTCCCTGCGACCAGGGAATGGTCGAGAGGGCGGCTTATTCTCTCTTCCTGCACGATAGCTAGGAGTTGACAATGTGACGCATTAATCATATCAGATAAATACATCTTTGAGGTGAATTCAAGGATTTTTTCTAATTGCGTCTTTCTCAGAAAAGCTATGATGCAGTTTGCAATGCGGGATGAGTTTTTCAGGTAGCATATACCCTAGACACCAACCAGAAATTGCCCGAGAGATGTCGCGGTAGAGTTGACAGCTGAGCGGCTGGAAAAAATTGTGATTTCACTTTCCCTCGCGCTTTATTCAACTCATTTGTGCTGAGTTCCCGGGTGGAGAAGTTGCAGCATGGTGAGGAGATCCTCTGCCCCAGAATGGACACGCTAATACGTCTCAATAACTCAACAGCTGGTCGGGACAAGACCGCCAGGTATGATGCAATTCCCTAATTGTTTCACCAGGACAGGATTGTTATGGCATTTACTCTGATTCCAGACTCATCCAGTACCTCTGCAAGGCCCTGTGGGACACACTGGATGCCAATGATATCAATAGCCACCTCATTGATCAGCTGCGAACCTTTGAACTCAGTTTAAGCACATTCCGGAAAAGTACACGCTCAATTGGTGTATAATCTTATCAGTCATCTCAAGAGTTAATTGTTATTTGCAGCTTTACGACTTGGAAAGTGTATCGATACATTCTACGCCTCCCTCACGTCTCTCCACTATGCGGATGCTGTGGTCCGGATGACGGTGACGCTCAGCAAGCTGGCCAGCTCAATGTTCCTGTTCTGCGATCACATGATCTGGTTCGCCCGGACGGGCTTCGTCAAGGGCGTAAATGTGGAGAAGTGGAACAAATTAGCCAATAAGTACTGGCTATTTTCCGTGGTGATGAATCTCGTGAGAGATTTCTATGAGATCCAGCGACTTCTGGCCACGCAGACGCCAAAGAAGGCAACTGTGGATCAGGGCTGTCTTCAGGAGGTGATCAGCTTGCCACTGCAGACTGTCAAGTGCATCTGCGGACACAAACCAGTGCTGTGGGATACGGTGAAGAATGCGTGCGATTTGTTCCTGCCTCTCAATGGACTGGGATTCACCAAATTGAGTCCACGGACGATAGGAGTGCTGGGCTTCATCTCCTCTCTGGCCGGACTGATACCACTCGTGGAGCCTTCGGCGAAACTCTCGCCCGCCTGAGCCGGCGATGGGTAGGTAAATGTTTTTCTATGTGGGCCAAAGGTTAATGAATGAGGTTGAATTAGCATTTCTTTCGCTCTGAGGTATTTTAAAGCTACGGCGTGACTGTAAAATTGTAGGAATTTTCACAATAAATTAATTGTTGTAAAGGGATTATGAGCTTCACAGTGTTTGAAGGGTAAATATTTACCATATTTCTAGAAAGAAGAATTTTTTCATTCGTTATTTGTTGTGATATTTCAGCAAGTTGGCAGTTGACATTTAAGATGTTGTGTTTTGCCAGCATTTAGGCTCATTTTGGGCCACTTGATGGGCATTTTTCCGCGAGGAAAATTCCACGCGAGTCGAATTAGTTCGTCTGTTTTGTGTGATGTACTACAAATTATAATTTATCATAAAGACATTTCATTGCAGGCGTTGGTGAGAACGAAGAGTGAGAAGATGTCAAGACCAGAAACTCATTCATGATGTGAGAAGAAGACTTGAGGCATTAACACTGGGTGAGAATCCACATAAAAATAGTTCATTTTTCGCCAAAGTCTGTGTGAAAGATTTCTGCTTACTCATTTTCCATCCTACCTCATTGAGGAAAATATTTACCTGATTCACCAGCTCAAATAAAAATAAATGCGCGATAGCTAAAGCTGACGATGATGGAATATGCTGAGTATTTTTCTATGATAAGCAGGATGTTTTTTTATTTTTTAATTTTAGATCACTCGAGGACAGAAGAAAATAATTCCCACGCGTTTATTCCCTTCCTCATAAATTTGCACACACTTTTTATTGGCTTTGCCACGAGGTGATCATCGCATTTTTTTTGTCAGATGTTTCAAATTAACCTTTATTGTCTGACGCGCGTCTCTCTCTAAATGATCTGGAGTGCGACAGGAGATGTGATAAGATGACTTTTGTTGCGGTGAAAGTAAATAAGAACATTAGTCAGTTATTTATTGTGACGCCGATGGAAAATATTCGCACGTTTTTCACACATCTCTTTGAGCTTTTCTCTCACTTCAAACTGACCATTAGCGCATTATTATGTGGCCAACAGAATTGCAGACAGAATTTGAAGATAAATCATAAGAGATGTTAGTGAAATACAATGGGCAGCATTAAGTATGTGTAAATGTTAAGACGCACTCTGGCCGGCAGTCCTTTATGCTCCTCTGCGATGTATCATAAGCAGTCGCCCACGCACTGACTGACCGAGCAAATGGCCCATCTCGCATCTACGAGCACTTAAACTCTGATCTCGCTCTCGCGGGAGAAGCAACACGGGCAAAAAGGAAGAAGAAAGGAAAATTAATGTCAGAGATTGCGGCTCTCGTCTAAATTCACGCAGTGCCGATCGGTCGGAGAGCGAGATTCCCGCCACTCTTGGCACCCGATAATACCACATTCTAACGAGAGTGCCGTCTCAGTACCTTAGAGGCCTTCGGGCCTTGATGACCGCTTTAAAACTCCGGATCAAGAAAGCATTTAGAGAGAGAGCGGGGATTTTTCCTTAGAGCAAATTTCCCCCCATTTTCCCTTCAACACACTTTGAGAGTGTGTTTGCATGAAAGGACATTTCGGTGGGAAAGCCGGTTTGTGCGAAAAGTTAAAGACATTCAATAGACGTAAGTAGAAATGGGACGCGGCGCAAAGTGTGATGCTTGAAGTGCAAAGGAAGTGATTGTATAATTAACTGTGTGGATATCAATTTAGTGATCAATGAAGATTGAGTGTGAAATTTTCCTCTCAAAAAAAAAAATGCTCCTTGTCCTCTACTGCGAATATTTCTCACCCGCATTTTTTCGCCTCTATTTTTACATGAACGAAACACTTAAATTTATGACATGACACATGCTCATCTCAAAAATTACATAATTATACCCACAATTCCTCACACAACAAATTGTCCATGATCGTGTGTGGCGTTTAGTAACTCTTTTACGACCACTTTTCATGGACGCGCGAATCCTTGAGTGTGAAAATGAGAAGAAGTGCTAATTTTCCTTCACTTTCACTACTTGCCGTGTGCGCTAGAATTATTTACCAGTGAATCTCAAGATGAAATGTGTGTGATTAATGCTATTTTTATCGTGTTTGTACAGATAGGAAGAAATAAAGTGACCAAGGAAGCCCCTTCGGGGTGCCTCGGAGAACCGCAACGATCAGAGACTCTGTCGAGAGACATAAATTCTACTCTTTCCCTTGGGAAAAGAAACCCTTCAAGGATTTCACTCTCTAGCTCAAGGTGAGTTCCTTTTTCTCAACTGCTTCGTTATTCAAGCTATTCAAAATCTCAAGCGATTTGAAGTGTGTGCCAAGATGTAGGCAAAAGTGCTCGAGTATTTCTCGTGAAAAGGGAAATTCCGTGAATTTTCCATCGTTAACAAAATGACAAACATGTTCACTTGTGCTTGTGAAGATGATGTGCCAAAAATTTTGGACCTAGTCAATCTCAGGCGGAGAAATCTAATAATTCCCGTGATCTCTCACGCACACTCGTTGGCACGAGAGAATCTTCTAGGTGAGACAGAAATAGCACGAACGTCTCTCGAGGCACTGCGTGTCCCATTGAATGTTCAGAGAAGTGTATAGAATTACACGGCGAGGAATCAATGGAGAAGTGGTGGCTGACTTGCGCCAAAATAATTAAATTGCAGGCGCCTTCAGCTCATGAGAAAATGATTAAAATGCAGTGTTTAGCTTAAAACATCACATCCTGCATAATTACCCATGCAATGTGTGCACAGTGTTGATTTTGGGCACTCAAAGATCAGCTTCACTGCAGCTGCAGACAGATTTTGTCTCTGGGAAAATGATGAAATGTCGAGAGTTTGCAAGGAAATGTATCACAAAATAGGAGGAAGGAGAAATATTCCATTGCAAAAATTACAATTAATTACTAATGTGATGAAATGTTGATGTGAGGACGGCAAAATACATTCTAAACACAATGGAATATATATTTTTCTGCGACATGACGACAGGGACTATTTCAGGGGCATTGACGCAATATTTTCGCCATTTTCGCTATATTGGTGAAATTGTGGATTCAAGAGCGTGGGATTTTCCTCTAAATATTCCCATTTCTCACTCTACTGGACTCTCATTTCCTCTCAATATTGAGAATACGTTGGGAAAATGAGTGATCTTTTCAGGGTGAAAGAACGATAACTTTTGGAAACAACGACTTCCCTTGATTAGTTTTAAAAATATACCACTCAATATATGAGTCATGAAGAAATGCGTCCCTACAATAGTTAATCGCACATTGATCTATTTCAGTGCGAACAAGAGAGGTGAAGAGGTCACATTGTGACTGAGAATGGGATTTATTTTTGTCCAGAATTTCAAGTTTACCCGGCGCGTTTGCTCGCCAAAAAGGCAAAACCCGCCAAAAGCGAGAGAAAGAGATCAATTGGACGTGATCGCATGTGGTTTGATTCCCTCCCTCCACGCCGAATTATTTCTGTGGTGCCTTCTAAATCGGAGTTGGAGGATTCTAGACCGTCTGACGTGCTGGTGTGATCTTGTAAATGTTTATGACTTGAGGGCTTCCACGCACTTATTCTCCGGATGTTAATGTGACGATCGGCTGACGCAAGAAGATCTCCGGCGGCTCAGGAAGTGAGCAAGCATTTTATTTTATTTTATTCTCTGGGATGCACACATTGTGAAGGAGTTATTAAAAATAAGTCACACTTAACTATGTCACGTCAAGATTGTATTTTTGACGATGATGGAGTGTCATCGAAAAGTTGGATTTCTATCGCACGTCGATCACAAGATGCTCCAAAAGAATGAATCTTTGTTTGCCTTTCTCCGAAATTTCCCTTTTGCAAGCGCCGATAGAGAGAGAGATGCTTTCCCGCGTGCGTGATTCACCCTGTCGTTGAGTCTTTCTCGTGATTTCGTTGTAAAATTTAAATTTAGAGATTGCGATTCGATGATCTATTTTTGTAGCCGGAGATATTCTCCCAAATGCGAAACACCATGAAGAGTTTTAGTCAGTCGTAAGAAGTGCTGAGCGTCAGTCTCGCATTATTCGCGTGAAAAGCGCACAAAGAAGTGAAGATTTTTTCCAAAAAAAAAAACGTAGGCATTTTTGTGTTTTCCAATATTATAGAGAAGACGAAAAAATACACGTGAACGAAACTCTTTGTAATAGAATATATATTTAGAGAGAGACAGTGAAGAGCATTGTGCACTGATCATGATCTTTGTCTCATACTGAGACCTCGTGAGTTCAGGAAAAAAAAGAAGTTTTGCTGGCCGATAAAAGACTGAAGAGATCCTCCATTGGCGAGAGATAATCCAATCTTGCAAGAGCACCAGGAAATCACATGTAAGAAATATGTGTGTTGGGGAAAAATGTACTCTCTGTCTCGTCGATCGACGCCACTTAACCGTCGCGCGGCGGGTTAAATTTACCACGTTATGGGGGGAAATGTGTGGCAAATGATAAGTTTATGAAATGCCTCTCGTACAAGTACTTGGCACAAATTTCCCCACTCATTCATTCATTGTAAATCAGCTTTGCAGTTTAACCCAAATTGCAATGACCCAATAAGGATCCTTTTTCTGGCAAAAGAACGCCCTCAATTTCACGATACAAAGATTGAATCATGAAGGCCAATAACTAGCAAATTAGGAAAAAGTTCAATGTCGAGATCGTGTGTTGGGGAAATTTCACGAGGAAATCACACATGTTGGCTGACAGCCTGAATGTAATTTCCTCAAACTACACACGCATATATAATAAATTACACAGCAATTGTCTTTCCCTATGCAATGATATCTCTCTTTTGTCACTCTTGCATATTTTGCTGGGTTTTCAGCACCATAACTTGTGTTCATGATCATTGGTCTTTGCGTTCAAGGAAAATCCCGCAAAATTTTTACGATATAAACCAGAGATCGCTGATTTTTTTCCTCTCTTTGTTAGTTTTCCTAACAAAAATATCTGCGACTTCCCTTCATGCGATGGCCTCTGGCCAGAAATAATCACCACTCGAGGCTGACAAACTTTTTTTTCATTCCTCATTTCTGTGGTTTCTCTTGCAGAGAAAGCGTGTGCATAGGAAATGGAGCAATTTGAGCAACTTCTCACGTGCTGCGTGTGCCTGGACAGGTACAGGAATCCGAAGCTGCTGCCATGTCAGCACTCCTTCTGCATGGAGCCGTGCATGGAGGGCCTCGTGGACTACGTGAGGCGCCAGGTGAAGTGTCCAGAGTGCAGGGCGGAGCACAGAATACCCTATCAGGGTGTTCAGGCCTTCCCCACCAATGTCACACTGCAGCGCTTCTTGGAGCTCCACATCGAGATCACAGGAGAGCTCCCGGATCCCACATCGGGTAGGAAGACTGGCACATGTTGCTGACTCGCCGGAAAGACTCTAATCTCGGTGTCTTGCAGGACAAGTCATGGAGAGATGCAACGTCTGTTCGGAGAAGGCTTACTGTGCCGCATGTGCTCACTGCGAGAAGAAGATCTGCGAAGACTGCAAGAGTGCTCACATGGACATCCTCCGGCGAGAGATCCTGAGAATAAACAGCCAGGTGAGCTTCCAATCTCTGAAATTGTCTTCGGCAATCTACTATGGCTTTTCGTCCGCAGGTGCGCCGTGGAATAAATCGCTTGCAAGATGCTCTGGCGATTGTGGAGAAGAACACCCTGAGTCTGCAGTCAAACTGCGTTAGTGTGTCAGAAGAGGTGGATGAGATTTACAGGCGTCTCAACAAAGCCCTGAAGGATCGATCAGATCATCTTCGCACGGAGATTGATCGCTACTTGGGCACAGAACTGCGCAATTTGACGAATCTCAGGGAGAATCTCGACCTGGAGATTGGAAACATCCAGAGCAACTGCGACTTGGCGGACAAGTACATCACAGAGTCCGTGGAGTGGGATGACAACGAGCTGATGGACACCAAAGAGATCTTCCTTAAAACAGTGGAGTTCTTGAGGAACTTCGAATATGAAAATGCCGACTACAGTCGACGAGTGAGATTCCTCATGGCCATGGATCCCAATCAGTTGGTCATTAATGTGTCCACGTTTGGAGATCTGAATATCGTACAGCCCACCACGTCCAGTCCCAGCGGAATGCTTCAACCGCCGAATGCGGGTCCTGGACTGATGCGCAGCAAATCGGACCACAGATTAGCCACTCAGTTCCGGCAGCAGGAGGAGCAGCGAGGGCACGGATACGACGATGAGCCGCCACTCAGTGGACGGAAGTTTGGAGAGCGTCATGCTGGACGCAATGCAGATCGCTATGGTGGTGATCGCTACGGGCGGGATTATGGAGGTGATTACGAGTATGATGAGCCCTCTTCGCGACCGGGCAAATCCAGATTCCGGTCGCGCTTCGTGCGTAGCCACCAGGGTGACAATGACTCAGACACGGAGCCCAGCCGCAGCGTGAGATTCCACGAGAAGGAGAAGGAAAAGGAGCGTGATCGCGTGATTGACACTGAAGATGTGGCCAGAGGCCAGTTGAGTGGAATTATAAGACTCACGGATTCTCCGCGCGTGATGAAGCGCATCCAAGAGCAGAGCAGGGAGAAGAAGGAGCCCACTGTTCAGGTGGCTCCGGCTCTGCTGGCGCAACAAAAGACTGCGGCCGTGGCGAAGAAAACACCGGCGCCGGCGGGTCGTCAAGTGTCTGAGGATGATGATATTTCGAGGATAAAGCGACAGAACAAGGGAGCCCCGTCCGGGGCCGCGGCCGCGGAGCCAGAGCGTCCGGCTGCTGAGCGCGTGACAGCGCTGAAGAGGACCACCGCCGGTACGGCGTCCGACGATAGTGATAGCTCGAGGAACTCAACAGCGAGAAAGACGCCTCCGCAAGTTGAGGTGAGTTACGAATTCGAGTTCGATGATTAAAGATTCTCTCCCACCCCCTCACACGACAGAAACCATAGTACAATAGACAGAAGGGTATCTCCAGCGGGATTCCCGAGAGTCCCCCACTAGTTTTCTAGAGATTAAGGCTGACATGCGATCGAGACTATATTCAAAATTTTCACCCACCGAAAGACAGTGAGAAATGCTCAACTCCTGGACACCACACTATAATCCTCCGTTCTGTCCAACAGTCCACGAACTCAGGTGCCCCAAAAGCACCCACGCCGGCACCCAAGAAGACCACGAGATCCGCCAGTAGTGACTCCAGCACGTCCACAGATAGCTCGAGCAGTGCGACAGGACCGAGGAATACTGGAGCCGCGTTCACCACGGAGGAGGTGAAGCAGAAGTACCTCCAGAGGAGCAGCATTGATGCCACGGCGGACGCCACGCCGCCCAGGACTCGTCCGTCCGAAACAACTTCCAGTCCCGCCACCACAACAACGGCCACTGGCGAAAAGAAGCCCTTTCAGAGCCGATTTCTCCCCAACCACCAGTCCCCAAAGCCCAAGGAGGAGTCAGAGTCCAGCACAGAGGAGGAGACCAGCACCGAAGAATCAGAGGAGGAGGAGGAAGAGGAAGAGGAGGAAGTGAAGCCGGCTGTAACGACTGCAGCGCCCACTTCTGTGGTCAGAACTCCTCCCAGAGATACGGCAATGAAGACGGATATTGGGCCGTTGCTGGCGCGGAGCTCACAGGCCAGGGAGACAGGAGAGTCGCGAAGAACTGCCCGGGAAGAGCCGAAGAGCTACACAGGATCCACCAATAGTTATAGGAATTACGAAAGGGACACTAGTCCGAAGTACGGCGCCGCGGGAAGCTCTGGAGTGAGATCACGCGCAAGTGCAGCCCATGCTGAGCCAGAGGAGCACTCAAGGTACGGCAGTGGAGCCTCCAGCGGAAGCAGGTGAGTGACCGGGAAGGACTGTGTGTATTATTATTGATGCGAATGAGTGAGTGGACAGAGAGACTTGGCGAGTTGAGATGCTAACATTCACGATACTAACCAAGAGCGCTCAGGTGCCACAGCCAGCCATTCCCATTCCTCTTGGTCTTTGAGCTTCTCCTCTCCCCACGTGAGACCTTCAAGTCCAGATGAACTAAAGAGCTGTGTATGATTGGCAGGCATCGACCGTGCATCCACATCTGAGTTAAGAAATGAGAAATAATGGAACACGGGAAATCTAGAGCTTCCCAAAATCCGGATGTCATGTTTAGTTGTAATAGAGATGTGTCTCGCTGATGTCCTCCTCCTCGTGCCACTGTTTTGGTCTGTGTTTTTGTACTTTTTCGATTTACTGAAAAGAGCCCCAAACGTAAATTTTACAGCTACACAAGCCGCTTTCTAAACAAGAGCAAAAGCACGGCCGTTGTGCCGCCGGATGAGGATCGAGATCTCAGCACAGCTGAGGACTCCGACAGCCGATATGGGAGCAGCGGACGGAGTCGCTATTTGGCGCTCAAGGAGCGTCGAAATCGTCTCGCCAGGAGTCGTTCTTCACACAATTTTGGCAATGATGACGACGATCTCGATGAGCCACTGTCGCCCACCACGGCGTCCCCATCTGCTTATCTCGCTTCCAGGTGCGCCCATCTCTCTAACTTCACCTCCACACACGAGTCTCACTTTGTCAGATGACGACGAGAGTCGCTCGCAAAATTAACAAAGAGAAATTCAGCACAATAACATGTCCTAAGGATCTTTTCGTGCTGATCACTTACTGGATTTTGTACATGCATGTTTCAGATATGGAGCATCATCTTCTCTGGCCTCACAGTCATCAGATCTGTCCAGAAGCCGTTCGTCACATGCCTTGAAATCCCGCGAAAACTCCCCGGACAGGAGCACTGGTGAGTTGAATTCATCCTCCCTCTTGAGGTGCGCATTCACTGATGGCTTCCTCTTCGCGTCGTTTAGGTGGTGACAAGGATGGTGCTGCCCTGAGTTCTTGGGCGCGCTACTTGAAGAATAAGTACGGCAATCGATCTACAGCCAAGGACGCCCGTGATCCTGGGCCGTCGTCCACATCCAGTGTGGCCTCGTCGTCGGCATCGAGACGCCTGAGTCTCGGACTGCCGCTGCGTCAGGCCAATGAGCTGGCAAGTTCGGATGATGACTCAAAAAACGGGCTAGGCTCCCCTACCTCTCCTACGGTGGCAGCAGTCGGTATAACAGGAGCAGCAGGTATCCTAGACAGGTTCCCTAGGACGCAGTACCTGCAGAAGCGCCGACAGCTGTTCCAATTGGGAGGCCGGGGGAGCGAGCCCGGTAGTTTCACGTGGCCACGCGGCATCGCCGTGAGTCCGGACAATAACATCGTCGTGGCGGACTCATCCAACCATCGTGTCCAGATCTTCGATGCCAATGGCATCTTCATGAAGGAGTTTGGCGAGTACGGCAACGCCGAGGGCGAGTTTGATTGCCTGGCGGGTGTGGCAGTCAATAGGATCGGTCAGTACATAATCGCCGATCGCTACAATCATCGCATACAAGTGCTGGATCCCGCGGGTCGCTTTCTGCGCGCCTTCGGATCGCAAGGCACGACAGACGGGAAATTCAACTATCCCTGGGGCGTCACCACAGACGCCCTGGGCTTCATCTACGTGTGCGACAAGGAAAATCACAGAGTCCAGGTAAGATATTGCAGGGATTCATCAGTTTGTAAAAATTCCCTCCATGATGAGATCCTCTTTCGCCAGGTTTTCCAGTCTGATGGCACTTTTGTGGGAAAGTTTGGCACTTGTGGCAGCAAAGAGGGACAACTGGAGCATCCTCACTACATCGCTGTGTCCAGCACGAATCGTGTGATCGTGTCGGACTCCAACAATCATCGCATTCAGATATTCGACGTCAACGGACGCGTTCTGTCGACGTTCGGCAGCGAGGGTTGTGAAGATGGCCAATTTAAGTTCCCCAGGTGAGTGTCTTCATCGGTTGAAAATCTTTATCTCAATTGTGACATTGTGATGATGATTGCAGAGGCGTTGCTGTTGATGATCAAGGGTACATTTGTGTGGCGGATTCTGGCAACAATCGCATTCAGATCTTTACGCCGGAGGGCAGTTTCTTGCGCGCCTTCGGCTCATGGGGCTCCGCAGATTCGGAATTCAAGGGGCTCGAGGGTGTGGCCATCATGTCGAATGGAAATATTTTAGTGTGCGATCGCGAGAACCACCGTGTCCAAGTGTTTTAGGTGATTAAGGAGGGGAAAGAAAAAACCCTATTGGCCACTCATACTTACCATCCTCTCTTCACTAAGAATCGAGGGTTATTCGCATATCTAACTAACAGCCCTAAATTTATAGATTGTCGCGTGTGTTAACTCATTATTTCTCTCTTTTTCTCTTTGTTGATTGACTCTCAATTTAGTTGTCATGATTAAATTGATCAGTCGCTCGATCGCAGTTTTTGCTCGAAAAAAAAAAATTATAAAAACGTTGATTCTTATTGTTGAGAAAAAAAAATCTATAGCAATTTGTATAATTTCTTTGTAATAAACCATTTTTATCAATAGTTATGATCGCACTTTATTCATTTTAAAACAATCAAACAACACTCTATAGAATTGGTTAAATGTGTAAAATTCAACTATGAATTGTGGAATTAGGCGGTCTTGTCCTGAAGGGCATAATGGACATCGTCGGGACTTACATTCAGCAGGACTTTTTGGGCGAGATCTGTGCTGCTGTGCTGTCCAATGAGGAGACGATAGGCTCCCAGGCGACTGCAAATCTCCAGACTCCTGCTCACTGTGGGCGTCAAATGGCCGGTGATGGAGATGATTGTCTGGAATTGGGCATAGACGCCCATGAAGGTGGTCTCCTCGACGCCCGTTCTGAGACTCTCAGCTATGACGGCTTGCAGGAAGAATTGCTCCATCTTCGAGCACGCCTTGATGGCCTGAACTTTGGGATTGGCAATCATCTCCGCCAGCGCCTGTTCCACGTGATTCATCGCCACCACGTCTTTTCCACCTCTCTCGGCGATTTCAACAGCTCTCCGGCAAATGTCCAACGTTCTGCGCGCATCTCCTGACACGGCAGCCACTTTCCTGGCCACCAACTGCATGGCGTCGCCGTTGAAGGCGTCGAAGCCCGTGAGGCGCGACGTGACGATCTGCTGCAGCTGCCGGAAGGAGTAGGGCTTGAAGGTGAGCCGCGTGAGACCGAGTCTCGATGTCACCTTGCCCTTGAGCAGTCTCTCGGGCAGATCCATGGTGTTGGCGATGGTCACCACAACCAGATGCGCCGTCCTGCTTGACGGCCAATCCAGCAAATTGTACACGACATCCTGGCGTCTGTTGCAAAGCATATCCAGTTCATCCACCACGAGTACAGTGACACCCTTCTTGGTCGCTCCACCGCGGAATCGCTTCTCCAGGAAATTGTACGCCTGCATCCAGGGCACCGTCTTGCCCTGCAACTGTCGATATATGTGCACATACGCCTGTCTTGGCTCCGTGAGGCGCATTCCGTTGATCTCCAAGTAGTCAAACTGCGGCAATTTCTTCTTCTCTGCATTCGCCTGAAGACAACGGATCACTTCAGTCACTGTGGCAGTCTTTCCGGTGCCCGGAACCCCGGAAATGTACATGCATCCTCCACAGCCGTCCTTGATCTTGCCTTCGAGGAACTGGAAAATGTCCTTGAACTCATTCTCCCTGCACGGGAGACTTTTCGGTACTGTTGACACGTGCAGTTGATCCCTAGCGATCTCCAGCTGCGATTTCCTGCCCTTCACAGGCCCCTCGCGATTCCCAACTGTTGACGAGATTACTCCCTCGCGCAGCATCTTCATCTTTTGACTGGGAGTCGTTGTTCTTGAGGCTTTTGGCGTCACTGCTGATTTTGGCGTCGAAGGAGTTTTGACTGCTTTCGCACCACGAGGCGTCCTGAGCTCAGGAGAATCCCCAGCATCGCAGTAGAATCCGATTGTCTGACGCCTTGTACACAGTCTTGAGGGCCTCGCCGAGGAGCTCTCCTGTGGGATGTCTGAGAAAACGATGCTTTTCCTGGGTGTCGCATTGTTAAGCTTCGACGATGGCGTCCTGAGAATACTCTTGCGCACGGCAGGAGTTGCTGCGATGCTCTTGCGTGACTTTCTCGGGGAAGTTTTCAATTCTTCCTGCGGAGAACGCTTCCTGGGTGATTTTGGTACTGTCTTTTGCCTTTCAGACACTCTAAGACGCACTTTCAGAGCATCATTCTCCACATTGACGATGGAGTAGTTTAAGGTGTCAAAGTCCTCAGACTGATTGAGACTGTCGTTGAGATTCCTGCGCACTCGAGACGTGTTCAGCGAAGATCTCTTCCGCGGAGTGCCGAGAGGATCGTCGGAGTTTCTTCGTTTGTTAGGCGACTCGTTCTCAGCATCACTTGACTCACTGTCCAGTGTTTCCCTCTTGACAGACTTGGAAGTGGACTGCCTCACAACACTTCTGCCCACGATTTTGATCGGCGACACGGTTTTCCTCGCTAAGATAGACTGTTTTCTCTCGGGATTTGTATGCGGAGTGATTTCCGACAGTTTCCCACTTCTCTTTGAGCTGTAGTCGTTCAAGTAAGGCACCAGCTCGTACTGTTTCGCCGTTCTCCTGACTAACTTGTACCGACAGATGTACGTGAGCGTCTCCGTGTCACGCAGTGAGGGATTGTCCGCCAAGAGGGAGTGGACAGACATGTCCTCCGGAATGTGAATGATGTTACACGTCCCGGAAATCGTGCCTAGAGAAATGTTGCTGTCGTACGAGCGCCAATCCTCCACAATCTCCCGTTCGGGATCCTCAAATATTACACTGGACGTGACGAATTTGTTCAGAGTGTCTGCCCAGGAGTACCACTGGACAATCACCCTCGCCCGGTCATACTTGTAGTCCTCGTCAGTCACGCAAAAGAGATGAAGAATCTTGCCTATATCTCCCTTCTTGTTCTTATGCTTGTAGTTGGCCACAACGACGCAAGCATCCTGGTATAAGTCAATGCTTCCGCACTTTGCTGAGCTGTAGAAATCAATGAATTAGTGAGAAAATGCCCCAAGAAGTGGGAATACCAAACTAACCTATAAAACGTGACCTCTCGATTCTCGAGCTCTTTCACTTTTACACCACTCAATTTCCGCCCCCATTTCACGTTAGTCGGACAGCCATAATCCTTATTCATCATTTCATGCACAAAAATTTGCAGGTGGGAAGCAATTAAAAGCGCTTTTGCGATTTTTTGCTGATGTACGCAGAACTAAAAATATGTCAAGAGCACCTGTATGACTTTCCCGCCAAATGCAACCGATCAGCGTTCGGAACCCGACTGATGCGCACTCAGGTGACACACAACTTACGTGAAATACATCAAATTTATCACTCCAAATTATATTTACTTATTAGATGGCCAGAAAATATGATCGACAAGGTCCTGAAATTCCTCCGTAGCAATTAGCAAGGATAAAATCAAGTAAATCTAATTGCAAAACACTCGAAGTAGAAGCAAGAATGAGACGCCATCTAGCAGTAAATATCATCACTTGACAACGCTGATTCGCGTTGCGCGTCACCTACATTCGGATAGATCATGGCGCGTAATAAAAATATCGCAGATCTGATAAAATAACTTACACGCTTTGCTTATTTATGTGAAACTGGGATTGTGGAGGCCAGATTTTCATGTTTTCGGACTGTTTTGAGATGACAAAAATGTTAGCAACGATGTTTACAGAGGAAAATTAAAACACGCACATTCTTGATATGAAATATTTACAGAAAAGACATTGCATTTGAAGATAAGCAATAACGTATTGCAATAACAGTGTCTTTTGTCTTGCAGAGTAAAACAATATATCTTTTTCTTAGTTTAGCATACGGAGTATGATCTTTTGATATGATTATTGCAACTGGTTTAACTCAAGGTTCTTGTTTCACTCCAAACTTAACGAGGAGCATTTTTATAAGGAAAATTATCTTCTGCTTCCCTTTACAATCTTCTCTATTTCATTTGTAGAATTTCAAGTACGACGCATTCAAAACTTTTTCATGAACCAAAATTAAGCGGAACGTTTGGTATTTTCCGTTTTTTGCGCATTTCGCACCAAAAGCAAATTACATTCTTCACAATTTGCTAAATCGATCTTATGCAGCAATTCGGTGGTAACTTGTGACAGAAATTTGCGTGACTGCATTCTGTATGGTTGGCAAATTGTTCAGGAAACTCCGTTTCTGACTTCTAAAAAATTGTGTTACGTGGAGAGCAGAAAAATAAAGACAAAACACGAGAAAACTAAGGAGAAATGCTTAAGACTATCGCTAGATCATTATGTACTTCTATCGCCTAGATTATTATCTAATTCGTTTGCATTTAGCAGTGGCACGACGACCTCCTTCATCTCATTCTTTGCATTCTCCGATCGAATCTCCTGCAATTGCCTGTCCAGCTCCGCATCGTTTGGAGCCTCTGATATTGCTATATTGATGGCACCCTTGAGAACTGATGTGACCTCCTTCGGCGGCCCCAGAAGCACCAGAATCACCGACGAGGCGGCCAGTTCCTTGTGCAAATCCCCCAATCCTCTGGCCGCTGTGAAGTCAAACTCTGCGCAATGCAAAAAATTAATTAATTTCTCAAACGTGCCGTGAAAAAAACAACAACTTTACGACACTCGTGATTTGCACATAAAAACCATGACTCACCGTGAAGATTTCTGCAATCCAGCACGACTGGGGCTTTTCCGTGCTCCTTCACTGCCTTGGAGATTCCATTGCGAACCCACTCAATGGCAGGGAAGTAGAGATAGCTGTGACGTGGCCTAACCAGGATGTACTCCATTCCGGACATTGTCACTGATCGCTCCACGATGAGTGCAGGCCGAGCGGCTCTGTAGACGAGAAAGCCCAGATCCGCCACAACGCCGGCCAGCAGTCCGATTTCCACCCCGAGCCACAGGCTGAGGATGAAGGTGATGGCACCGGGAAGAAGCTCTCGTCGGCTGCAGCGCCACAGCGGCCGGATCACTTCGTACTCAATCATGAAGATCACCGCCGAGATGATTACGGCGCTGAGCGCGGCGCGCGGAATATAGTGAAAATAGGGCGTGAGGAGGCTGAGCGCAAGGATCACGAGGGCTCCTGTGTAGATGCCGCCGATGGGCGAGCGAACGCCGCTGGCGTGATTCACGGCGCTGCGCGAGAACGATCCCGTGACTGGCATGGAGGAGAAGAATGAGCCCAGAATATTGCTGAGAGACAGCGCGAAGAGTTCGCGCGTGGCATCAATTCCACTCCCGCCGAACGCCTTGGAGATGGCAACGTTGCCCAGGACGGCGATTATCGGCACCAGAGCAATCGAAGCTCCGAGTTCAGAGAGCTGCAAAGTCACCAGCAAACATTACCAACTCTGCACATTATTCATTGATTTTGTAAGTTGACTCACCATGTCTTTAAAGTCCATTTCCACCAACGTTCCGTTTGTACCTGCTCTGGTGGTTGAGAAGGGCGGAAGGGAAACATCTGGCAAACCACTCCGCACAGTTCCTGTGAGGATGAAGGGCGTTTTCCCAGATTGAGCAGCAGAATAAGCTCCCAGACTGGTGAAGAACACCAGCAGAGCATTTCTGGAGGTTCCAATCAGCCAGAGACTTCCGTAAAATATTCTCTTCCTCTGCGTCGCATTCTCTGGTGCTTTGAAGTCTTTTAGTTTCTAAAAAAACCAATCCAGAATAAGCATATTTCATCACATATTCATATACAAAATTCCTTACGCGCAAGAGAAGAAGAATTCCGATGGAACAAATCCCAAGCGCTGCATCTGGAAGGCGAATTTGATCTGCCTTCGTGAAGACAGTCTGCATTGTGGCAATAAATCCAGATCCACCGCCTCCCTTGAGGCCCAGAAGACCTTTCAGCTGCGACGCTCCGATGATCACAGCCGTGGCTGAGGTGAATCCCACTGTGACTGGCGTGGAGATGAGATCCACAAGAGCGCCAAGGCGCAGCAAAGCCATCAAACACTCCACAATTCCTGCCAGGAAGCAGAGTAGAATCGCCAGATGCGGTCCAGATGTGCCTCCCAAGCCAGTGTGACGACTGGTCATGAGAGACAGCAGAGCCGTCGGTCCGATGGTCACTTCACGGCATCCGCCGAGGACGGCGTAAACAACGCCACCCATGAAGGCTGAGTAGAGACCGTACTGGGGCTCCAGGCCAGCCAGAGTGGCATAGGCCAATCCCTGTGGCAGCACCGTGAGACCAACGGTGATCCCGGCGATCACGTCCGCCACGGCGCTGCGTCCTGTGTAGCCGCGAAGCCAGCGCGCTCCCGGCACCCACTTCTCCACTTTACTCAGTCCCATCCTTGCCAGGACTCAGCGTCTCAGCACCAAGAGAGCTGCGAGAAGAAGAAGGAAGGCAAAAGATTGATTCTAGATGAAACGCTATTCGACGTTCGCTGACCGGCAAATGCCGGTATCATTAAGAGCTGCGGACAGATTGATAAATGCTTGTGTCGAATAAACACGTTTTTCGTATAATCAGCGACACGCTGATTAAAAATCTCACATGACACATGTGAGATTTTTACCAGAAGATCAGCATTGATTTTACACGCAATTTTCCCCTCGTGATCTCTGTTCTTGTTCCAGTCTTTATCACGCATTTTTACCTTGACATTTACTCACTCTTTTATATATGTATGTCGCAGTAAAATATTTAACTCTATGACTTCCAGTAAAATGCAATTTTTGTACTTAATCACTCACGAGAAAATAAGATATCGAATTGCAGAATAAGCCATGAAAATTGCAAATTTCGCTAACTAATCGTTACGTTAGAAATTCTGAACAGGGAAGTCAAATCAGCTCGATATCCTTGTCGTGAAAATAAGACACGAGGGTGTGTTATTCGCATGTTATTTGGTCAATTCTAGGAATCATCAAAATTAAAAACACGGTGATTTACCAGTAAATCGCGTGGACAATGTTGTTCAACCGAGTTCCGTTTATATATTCTCATCATTCTCATTCATTTAAAATTACATACTTCACAAAAAGCCGGTTGTTAAGTAACTTTTTGCAATGCCACAAATAACTAAACCAGATAAGCTACTCATGAGTAGTAATTTCCATCAAGATATTGAATGAAATTTGTAAAAAGAATAATAAGAAGATTTGTACATTTATCATTTATGATCATAAAACATTTCAAATTTCACTTCATATGCGTCATAATGCGTGTTGGAAAAGATTTAAACGTGGAGAAAAAGGGAAAACTGTGTAACATTCTGAAGCACACACCACAACGAGTTCTTAAGTCGGAATTTTGCAATTTTCACTCAAAACCAAAATATCTCACATTCTTTTTCCCGAAACACACAATAATAACACAAAATCTCAAAGAAATAACGGCAAACAAACCATCATTCGACTCAATCACCATCTAATTGTGTTTACCTGGGATAATGAGAAAAAGAAAGTATAATTTTCAGCTGAGTCTTAACCAAGCAGACACACTTTTCCTCTTGGGCGAAGAGATGTAAACAAAAGTTTTGTGCGGCACGGCAAAACCAGTCTTGACTGCAGTGTAGAGCATCTAGAGACAAACTGATACCGCGACCAGTTCCTGCCACTATTTTCATTTCGTGACCACTCGCTGCGATTTTGCCTGATTCGTTTCATTGGCATGAAGTGCCGAGTCGTCACGATTCCCCCATAAAGTAGGTAAAATTGCTACAGTTGGAAGTTGGAGCCTCGCCGGAGGTTTTTCTGTCATCTTCTTCGTCTTTTAATCTCTTTGGTTCGCTCCAGCATACACACACAAAAAATGAGCGAGCTATTTTGTCAGGAATTCCGCGGTGAAATTAAATGACGAATAGCGAGAGCAAAACCCTTCCCTTTCTCTCTCTAAAACCTCCAACTTCAAATTCTCTTTCTACACACACGCGAGAGAGATGGAAAATTGTGAGAGAAATGTGCCTCACAGCACACGAGAGAGATGATTCATAAATTTTCTCATTACTTTATCTTCCCAACTTGCATACTAGGGCTACTATATATCCGTTGCCCTGATGAGATGAAGAAACATTTTGCTCCCTTATCACTTGAGAGACGACAATCGCAGAGCTCGTGAATTGCAAATTGGCGGGAAGTGGATGAGGAGAGCGCGTGATTGAAGTGAATTGTTGTCTAATCAAGACAATTAGGCAAATCAAACATGTTTGCAATCATGTGAAAGATCCAGAATCATTGAAATCTCCAAGACGATATGAGAATTGAGCTCATTTCCCAATCCACACTTGAAGAATTGAGCGTCTATAAATGATTACGAGGGCCTCTAATTTGACTATTGTTCCACATTGAACCTCAGGGTGTCCCCCAATCCTATCACCCCTGTGGCAAAAAGAGCGACCTTTCTGCACTAACTTGACCAGAGACGCAAATTGTGGCGTGAAGCTGGAAAATTGAATTGCATGGTGTGTAATTTGACCTCCGTGAATTTGACGCGATTCACTGAGTTTAACGTACTATAGCCCTGAAGTGTTTCTATAGCGAATTACCTGTGAATTGTGCATCGTAGATGATATAAGATGAGAAAACAGCAGCTTTTCTACTTCACTCTCAACTGCAATATTGCAAGCCCAATAAGGCAAACCCATTGACATTTCAAACTACACTGCGCGCGCGCGAGGCAGTTCGCGTGGCGCTCAAGGAGTCGTGTTTAGGTTCCCCGAGAGTCTTTTGGCGCGAATCAGACTGTTTCGTCTTGAACAAACTTTAGAGGCTCTTTATTCACATCGCGAAAAAACACATTTGCACACTGAATTTCCACTATTGACTCTTTACTTTGGTGCGGAATTTGCTAAAGCCTAGCAAAATGAGATCCCTATTCTCATAAGACCAAACGCCTAGTGACACTACAGTGCAGAATGCACCTATTACAAGGTGATAGAGCATAGACGCTGGCAAAATCTTTGCCTCAGAGATCTTACAAATCACCCCACACGCAATGAGAGTACTCAAAAAGAGTGGTCCAGGAGGAATCTTCCTCAGAGGATTGTCACCAACTGGCCTGTACTGTCGATGTATGAAGCTGATGCTGTAGCCTATTCGGAAGATCATGTTGGCACAATTGGCTAAGATAAATCCTACGGGTCCCAGAAGATTCGTCAATTGGTAAGAGAGCAGGAGGAAAGTCACTGAGAAGATCGCCATGTAGTAATTGTATCTGACAAAGAACAGAAATAAATACAGAAATGGAGGATAAATGAATGCCATTCTGTCTCTCACCCATCAATCTCTTTGCTGGTATTTGTGGCAAACATGTAGCCTTCGCTGATACCATTCACCGCCAACAGAATAATCGCCAAGCTGTGCCATCGCAGGAGAAGTTCTGGCAATCCTCCAGCCACGAAATCTCTTCCGCCATAGAGCAGAAGAATTGTCCCAGAATAGCTCTGTCCAAAGACAAAACCCATGAGACCAATTGACAACACGACTTTGCACACATTGGCCAACACTTTGCTGGCCTCGGACACTTTCTCGGGCTCCTGCTCCTTCAGTTTCAAGTTCCTCGCAATGGTCTGGGTGAAGTAGAAGTAGCTGCTGTCCTCGATGGGACGGAAAATGAAGCGAGCCGCCAGACTGCCCATATTGTTCACCACATCGTAAGTGGCTTGCTCGCTGAAGGACAGCACAGGACTCACAGACATTACATACTTTTCTCCCTCAGTAAGGATTTGCTTAAGGATACCTTGCTTCACGAAGCTGAGGATGAGAATTTGGAGATCAGCGTTGAGTGATTTCATTCCACTGGGTTGAATTTTGGGCAGCAGATCAGTCAATGACTTGAGTGGAAAGTCCTCCATGTGATCAAACTGCGAGCCCATCTTTTCCAGCAGAGATTTCTTTTCTTCCTCATTCTTCTGCCGGAAATCATTCAGCCTCTTTGTGTAGATGTAGAAGAAGATGTAATTTCCCAGAATTATGGTCAGAGCGCTGGAAAGTTGTGCTGTTCCAAAGGCATATATAGCGATGGACTTGTTGTTGCTCACAATGGTAATAAAGACCACAGATCGAACAACTGAAAATCAAGAATATTGTGCGATTACTCAAATGATTGGTGAGAAAAATGGCCAAATTACTCACAAATGTGCAAAGTGTCTAAGACAACTTTCAGCCTTACGAAGCAGAAAACCTGCCCCAGAAAGACTGGAGCCTCTGCGCACATCTCAATAACACAAGAGACAGCAATGGCATAGCAGCCGAAAGCGTATTGGTCCTGGAGTTGTGGGTCAACTGCTGAGAGTAAATTGAGCCAAATATACAGGAAGGGGAGGCAGAGGAATGCACAAATGGGAACTCTGCCAAAGAGAGGAAGACAATTAGTCTCTGTATCAGATAGGCTCTGGCGGCACAGCACTTACGTCAGCCACATTTGATTAATCAACTGGGGCCAGGTGCAGGAGCTCCGCTGAAGACTCGTGGCGCTCAGGGCAGCCCGGCTGGTGGCTTCACGGGAGAGGAATAAGAGGGTGCTCTCGAGAAGCAACAGCCTCACATTCATGACGCCCAAAACATCACGTCCCACTGAGCGCACGATGTAAGCATTGATGGCAAATGTGACGCATCTGCAGAGGATCTGTGGAAGCGAAAAACTAAGATTAGAGCAAAGCCTGACTTCTGCGCTGAGAACTCGCGGGGACTCAAACTTTTCGATGCAACACCCTCAGGTCACAGCTGACCGAGAGACGTAATTTTGGTGCTAAATATAGATACACCTCGTCATGGTGTGGGGATGCAAAGAATTATCACCTGTGGATGCAGATGGGTAAAAATTGGTGTATAAAACATAGTGAAATACCTGGAAAACAATGCTGAAAGATGCATTCTGGAGACTACTCTTCAGTATGTTTCTGCCCATATTTTCGTCAAGTACACAATTTCACAACTCTGGCTATAGGTGGAAAAGCACAACAACTACATGTTTTATAGATATTAAGGGAGGAAATTGTGTGTCATCCTGTAAAAAGATGAGAAAACTCGAAAGTTTCTATTGCCAGCAACACACCTCCGCTTGACGGAATATCTGACGTGTTCGACACTGGCGCCACTGCGCGGACATTTTCCCCCCGAAATCACCACCACAGGAGGGAGAGCGCTGCAGTCTATGTGTCATCCGCCTCGAGGAACTAAACAAGTTCCTCACTTTAAGTGTGCTCAGAATAAATGGAGATTTTTAACACTAAAATCAAGCTTCATTAATCGCAAAGTGATTGAAGAGTGACCGGTGGACTATTTGTCGAGATTCTGAATTGTTTGCTTGAGTGATTTTGCAACAGAAGACGCAAAATGGACAAGAGAAAATTGTCGTAAGTAAAAAGGGCTGCCTCGCCAGACGGAGGCGATCGATATTAGTACAGTGAGAAAAAAGCCATTCATTGTCACATGAAAATTGGTCTGGAATATGTCGCCAAGTGTATGGAAGACGCGGAATTGGCTGCGAAAACTCATAAATCGCAGACGTGGATTGTCGAGAAGGCGTGGGAGACCGTAAAAGGCGCTCCAAATGTCAGAATAGGGAAAGGAAGTTGAGGCATATTAGTCACTTTTCACGGAGTTTGAGAGTGTTAAATTTGGAGCTCCAATTCTATGGTCGCATTTTATAGATAGCCAGAGTGATAAAATGTGACGGAATCTCCTAGATTCCAGGACAAATGCACCGCGAATTGTAGATTGAAATGAGGACAGCTGCCAAATTGTGGCCTGAGAGAAAAAAGCACAGGGGTGGCCATAAAGTGCGTAACACTCCTCTAAATGATTGGTGACAATTTTATGAATTCGCATCTGAATATGTTGCCTGAATACACACATGTTGTGCATATAGTCGGGGGAAATTTAGAACAGGAGTTATTATTTTCTGAGAATAACCTTGTGGTAGCAGCAGCTGCTTAAAGCGTTTCTTCTTTTGCGCGGACGCAATTTGACACGAATCACAGAGAGAGCCCCAATTCAGGGGTGGATAGGTCAAGGCAATCAACAGCGCACTTCAAAAGTCCTTATGAGAAAGTTCCCAAGGAGCGCCAGATCTCCATTCCAACGCGTGGAGGACAAGTGCATATTCTCACGGTTGCCGTTTTCTTCTTCCTCCCTGTGATTCTTGCTGCATGAAGAAATCTTGGGAAAAGGTGTTTTTATCACAAAATCCTACTATCTTCGGGTATCAGGGAATCGCGAGAATTGTGTTGATAACGTGATAAATTTTCATGTTAAAGTTGTTACATGCTTTTTTCCTTCTCTCTCTGTGTGCTTTTAGAACTGCCGGAGATACTCTTTATGAGACTCTGGGATTGCCCAAAACTGCCACGGCTGATGATATAAAGAAGACTTATCGGAAACTAGCATTGAAGTATCATCCAGATAAGAATCCCAACAATCCAGAAGCGGCTGAGAAAGTGAGAACACAGCTATTTTCTTATGTTTGTTTGCATGAATTTTTCTGTGCATGATAACGAACTATGATTTACTTTTCTTCAAGTGGATAAAAACCATTGTTTATGATAGGCTTTCTCGCATGAGTCACAGTTTCACTGATAAAGCTCAATATTATTTTCACAGTTCAAAGAAGTCAATCGAGCGCATTCCATCCTTAGTGATCTCACCAAGAGGAATATTTATGACAACTACGGATCTCTCGGTCTCTACATTGCCGAACAGTTTGGCGAAGAGAATGTGAATGCCTACTTTGTGGTCACTTCACCGGCATGCAAAGTAAGCTAGAGTGGATTTGATCATGTAAGGAGTTGGAGGATTAAATACTGTTTTTCTTCGTAGGCGATCTTCTTAATCTGTGGCATCGTGACGGGATGCTACTGCTGCTGTTGCTGCTTCTGCTGCTGCTGTAACTTCTGCTGTGGGAAATACAAACCAATGCCACCTGAACATTCCGGAGACTATCACCATTTGAACGTGAGTGGTGTAGGTTGACGCTTTCATTCTCAACTAACATATCTCTGTTGTGTGACCACACATGTTCCTCACTGAACAAATCAGTTTACTTTTGATTACAATTCCCTATGTAAGATGCTAGAGAAGACAGGGCACATGCAAGAGCAATTTCTGCATGAGAACACACTCACGAAGGTGTAGTAGAGATATGGTGTCAATGTTTGTGAGGGGGGTGAAAAAGGAGGTGAAGGAGGAAGGTAAGTGCTTCCGTTTTTGCTGAAAAAAAAGAGCATTTTGATGTGTAAATACTTTTTGCCTCCCTCTCTCTCTCTCTCTTTGAGGGGAGAGGAAAAGATTCTCATGAGATTTCATCATCATTAAACTGGTGGCTGAGTGAGGGTGGGTATTCGAGAACATCATTGAATCATTTATAAACTGTCTAAAGCGCAAAATAATGTGAGACGAATGATGAGAATTAATGAACGGAAAGTGGCATAATTCAGGAATAAACAGAGATATTCCACATCATATAAATATTTATGTAACATTCATTATATTTAGAGTCTCTTAGAATTCATTCAGAGTTCTAATATTGAGTCTTTCAATGGGTGTGTAAGATCTATGATGGAGAAAAAAAATCAAAATCATCGGCAAGAAGTTTTGCATGCTTTCTTTTCTTACTCTCCAATTTCATCTACTGATCCAGTGTGTTGTTTTTTGATGAACTAATATAATTTGATACTAATGTGAATTTTGCTGAACTAATTCTATTATTAGTAGATCACATCATTGCAAAGTGGTTGTACTCCTGCTACTGAAAAAAATATCACAAAATCATCAATCATAATCATCTTCACACTTTCACATGCTGTTGTTTTTCTTGTTTTTCTGTTTTTGAAGATGACAAATCAGATTTTGTTCAAATTAACCTTTTTCTTATGAGTTCTTTTTAACCACTAAAACACAGTCTTATGTCATAGGAAACTGTACTGTTTTTTATTATTTAGTTTGTGTTTCTTACAACTGAGTTTGTTTTTTGGATTGGAACTTTTTTTTGGGCAATGAAGAACTTTTTTGTTCTAAACTTCATGCGGCATAAGTTTGTTCCAAAGGAATATATTTGGTTTTTGTTCTTTTTCTTTCTTCTTTTTATGTTTGTTAGCGAGATGGAGGCAATGCTAGTAATATGCCTGGAGGATCAGGTCCAACGACTCAACAGCCTAGAAGACGAGTGAGTAGAGACTTCTTAAGCCTCATTTCATCCACACCCACGAAAGAGAATCAAACCATTGGCATTATTCATGGCTTTTTATTTATATCCCTTTACTTTCCTTTGAGTTTGCATGATAATCTTAATATATATATATTTGTCAATTTCTCAGAGATAAAATCAAAATTAGTCCCCAGATCAAGTTATTCTCGCTGTGTAGAAAAAAAGGGAGTAATAGAGTAAAATTGTCAAATTGGGTGTTTTCCTCTGTGCTGTGGGAGAGACATTAGTGAGCGTCTGTTTGTCTGTTTGCAGGAGGATTTGGCTGATCTGGAGGATGTGAAGGTCGGCGGGGCTCCGGTGACTTCTCAGCCGACAGCTGGACAAGCCAGTGGCGCTGGAATGCCCGTGTACGCGATGCCACCGCCGCCGTCAGCTGCTCCTAGTACAAATCCCTTCTACGCTGGAGCAACAGAGTCCACTTCACTTAACACTAGTGAGCAAACCACTTATACTCCCGGTAAGTTGATGCCACGCAATCCATCATGCACTTAATTTGTTGTATAAAATATTCAAGGATTACTTTTTGGTGAGAAATTATCCAAGATATTGCTGTGTATATTAACACTTACAAATATTTCTTTTTCTCTTTTTCGTTTCGTCTTTCGCCTTTCCCAAAAAATATTCTCAAACAAACAAACAAAAAATACCTTCAGGACAATAAAAACATGCTCATTAAATAGCAGATCGGAAGAGTTTTCCAAAAACAATATTATACCTTTTCTCATATAATGGAAAATAAGCAGAAATGTAGGAAATATGTGTTGAGGTTTGTTTGATCTTTCTACTATTTTCACCTCTTTCTCTATTCTAACGAATTTTGCACACTTTTTATCCTTGTTTTTGATTGATATGGAATGTTCAGAGAGACATTTTTAGATGAAATCCTTTTGTAATTAAAAATTTTGAGTGTTTGATCTGCACGCAGAGTTGAAGAGGTTTTCTTTTTAAAATTAAAAGACTAATTGACTGTATATCTAGAATTCTATACTACCTAATCAAAGGTTGAGGTTCTTAAAGAAATCAAGTTGAAGGGCGATATTTTCTTTAACAAACACTGTATTCAATCTATTCTATGCTAATGATACTTTCTCTTCCAACTGCTCACAAATCTCTTATCATCCTTGTTAGAATGCTTTAGTGTGGTTGAGTGTTTTATTGGTTTTCTTTTGTAAATTATGTAAACTAATTGAAAAATGTTTTTGCCTTATTTTTAGAGATGAAAACTCGCTACTGACAACACTTTGTAGATAAATAACAGTGTTTCACAGTATTTAACAAAGCCATTATACATTAAAAAGCATTAATTAATTTTTATTGGAAGTAAGTTTTCTGTATTTCTCATCTTATCGCACTTTTTCTTGCTTACAATAATAATAACTCATAGTAAATTACCACTTTACTCTCTATACTTTTTTTCACCTCTCTGTTCACATTCATAGCTTGTATTGTGCTAATAAAATATAAATATGTATTCACACTTTTTCTGTATTGTTGTGCATTATTGCAAACTCACGAATAATATTTCTAAGTGTGTCAAAATTCTTTAAAATATCTTTATTTCTTGTGCTGAGTAGTTTTTGTGGGCATTTCGTAAGATGCTTTCTGATTTCTTTTTTGCAGGAATGACTTCATCTCCGCGACATGGTTGAACCCAATAAAAGAGAATTTTAATGTTAGTGTCGTAAAATTAAGTGGCGATGAAGTTAAAGTGAAGGGAAGCACTGAGGAAGTATACACACAAGGATATAAGAAAAAAAAACAATTCTAATCATGGAATTATTCGTTCGATGTACTTTTCAAATGGCATTTTTTTGAGAAGGAAAAGCCAGAAGAAACCAATAAAAACCAATCGTAGCACCAAATAACAATAATGGAAAGTAAAAAAAAATGCATCTTGAAGTATTTTCACGTGAAGAAAGAAGAAAGGAAAGTAATGGAAAATCTAGTAATCTTAATTGAACTTCACCTATGCTGCAGATTTATGATTAAATATTAATGAACATTAATTAAAAGAATATGTATTTAAAGAAAAGCAAGTAAATATTTACGTGTCTATTACATTTAAATTTATGAAAATAAATATTGTATGAACGGAAAAATATATTTACCTTGCTAGATTTGAAAGGAAAAAAAACCAATTAATCAAATTTGAGAAAAGGAATTTGACGTGTTTTTTCTTGATCTTTGAAAAAAAAAGTATATTTTTGTAAATATCCTAACAGAAAACAGCAGACGAAAATCTAGTATTTTTTACTAAACATTCAGCTTGAATTTGAAAAAATCTTTTTCGGTTTCACCCTTCATATTTCTTATTCTCTTTTTTTAACATTAGACAAGATAAATGAATATAATATATACTTGTTTGATAAAATTTCTATTTCGTACGAATATAAATGAAGTTAACTTATTGAATCATTTGCCAACAAAATTGATGTTTGAGGAAAAAAATCATTGAAGTCACGGAAGATAGTCATTTTACTCTTGTTAATATTCTTTAGACATAAATTTGTTAGAAGAGTATGTAAATGTACATTTGAAAGGTAAATAAAAGGAAAAATACCTAAATGTTAATTGACGAGTTAATTGAGGGAATATTTATTGAATAATTTTCAAGTATTTTGTATTTTTAGTTTATGACTTGAAATTGAAATTGAGATTGAGTCAAGAATTAGTGAATACACTTTTAGACAATATCGTAATCTTTAGTTATCACATACATATATCTTGATATTTTCTTTCATTATTACCTATAATAAAAAAATTCAATTATTATGTAAATGCTAATTATAGTAATGCAGAAGATTTTATGTATATCAACGAATGAAATAAAATCTGTATCACGTATTTAATCTGTTCATTTTCTCATTACCTTTTTGCTTTTTGCGGTGTGCAAACGAACCTGAGAAGCTTTTGCTTCGTGATTTTTCACAGTGTATTTTAGGAGATCATCAGCTGTCAAAGTGAAAGGTGGAGTGAAAAGACGAAAACAGAGTTCCATTCTGTGATTTTTCCCAATTATGATAGCAATTTCTCAGAGAACAATTGCGTTGTGTTGAAGTACAATGAATATTTTTGAGATCTTGAGGAATTTCATTGCGAAAATGTTACAAATACTGCTGAACAAGAAGAAAATCTCGAATGCCCTCAACGTGTACGTGAAGTGCAGCACGGGCAGCACGTTGTCCCTGGAACTGGACCCCAATTGGGACATCAAGAATGTGAAGGAGATCATCGCTCCGCAGCTGGGCTTCTCCTCGCCCGACGAGGTGAAGATCATCTTTGCCGGGAAGGAACTGAACGACGCAATCACCTTGAACGTAAATAGAATTGCGAGGCTCATGTCAGTTTTCGAGGTTCTTATGAAATTCTCTCTCAATCTCTGGGCTTCAGGAGTGTGACTTGGGCCAGAAGACCATCCTGCACGCTGTGAAGAGCAGAAGACAGCCGCTGAAGCGCCCTGGGAATCCCACATTGACAGAAGATGAAGCTGAGGCGGAAGAAACCTATCGACCCTTGTCTGAGAGTCTGCTGGAGGGCGAAACTGACACCCTGCCGAATGACCCAGACGACAGTGAGCTCCGGAAGACACCGCAGAAGGCTCAGTTCTTCGTCTACTGCTCGCAGTGCTCGAAACTGTGCGCAGGGAAGCTGCGAGTGCGTTGTGGCACGTGTCGCGGAGGCGCCTTCACTGTCCATCGCGATCCTGAGTGTTGGGACGACGTGCTGAAGCCCCAAAAAGTCAGTGGTCACTGTGAGTCTCAGCACATTCCCTGCGTGGCGAACATCTCAGAGGGAGATCCGCCCTTCGCTGAGTTCTACTTCAAGTGCGCCGAACATCCTTCCCAAGGTGAGGAAGACTACGCAGTGGCACTCAATCTGGTAAAGGTGAACTCCAGAGAAGTGCCATGTCTCGCCTGCACAGAGACCACTTCTCCTGTCCTTGTCTTTCCCTGTGAGGCTGGCCACGTGACGTGCCTGGACTGCTTCAGGGACTTCTGCCAGTCTCGCCTCGGCGAGAGGCAGTTCATCACGACACAGAATCTGGGATATACTCTCTCCTGTCCTGTGGGCTGTGCCGAATCCTTCATCGAGGAGACACATCATTTCCGATTACTGCCCAGGAACCTCTATGATCGCTACCAGCGCTTCGCCACTGAAGAGTTCGTCCTGCAGCAGGGCGGAGTGCTCTGTCCGCAGCCTGGCTGCGGCATGGGACTGCTGGTGGAGGAGGATTGCCGCCGTGTGCAGTGCCAGAATGGCTGTGGCTACGTATTTTGCCGCCAATGCCTCCAGGGATATCACTTGGGCGAGTGCATTCTCGACTCTGCGGCTAGGATGTCGGAGAATTTCCAACAATTCTCCGTAGATCCAAATGTAAGACAATCCAATTTACACTGAATCCCAGAGATTAACAATAATGTGGCATTTTTCAGAGAGCGGCCGAAGCAAAGTGGGATGAGGCGACTAAGACGACGATCCAGATCTCCACGAAGCCCTGCCCAAAGTGTCGCACGGCCACAGAGCGGGACGGCGGCTGCATGCACATGGTGTGCACGAGGGCGGGATGCGGCTTCGAGTGGTGTTGGGTCTGCCAGATTGCCTGGAGTACTGAATGCATGGGAGCCCATTGGTTTGGCTAAGTGACTGAAACTGATTTGTTTTCTGCATAGTACTGAGAAAATTGTAGATAAAGGATAAAAGCGATAAAAGCAATATTTATAAGCGTTGCCAACAAATTTACTGTGTATCCGTTGAAATTCAAGAAATCTAGGTTCCTCTCGGTGTTACCTGATGGGACGTCGCTGGCACAGTGTCAAGTGCGGAATATTAAGGAGTCTGATTTCATTTGTCTGGGAAAATTCTAGTGTAAATTTGATCTTATTAGAGACTACTAATAAACATCTTAAGCAACAGAAGGATTCCGCTGTTAAATCAAGGTGAGAATTCTCGACCACTTGATTGTGCAATGTAATGTGACGTTTGAGTACCTAATAAATTTTCTCCCCTATCAGATGATTCCTTCAGCATCAGCAGCGAGATTGAGTCTCTACCGACTCTCGTACCTCCAGAAGTCCGTGCCGAGTACTTTCAGCCTCCGATATTTGTCCTGCAACTCCAGGCAGCTGCAAAAGGAGACTTCCGGCGCACCAGCTTCAGTTCCCACCGAGCCGGCAAAGTCAAGTTCAGAGGATGCAAAAGAGGCAAAGCAGGCTTCGATAGGCAATTCGTACAAACCCGATAACTTCGATAAGCGCGTTTTGGTTTGGGCCAAGAAGTACAAAAGCATTGAAGATGTTCCCAATTATGTTAGGTAAGTCCTGTCTTTCTTCTAAACACCTTTGCAACTCTCGATCTAATTATTATTCTGCCTTCCATGCAGTCGCGAAGAGATGGAGAAAAGTCGCAGCAAGACGAGGATTCGTTTATCCAACTGGATGATTCTGGGCACTCTCTTGGGATGCATAATTATGGGTAAATTTCTTCCATTCGGTGGGCAAACTTCCATGAAAATCCCTTTGGGCAGTCAAAACTTATGATAAATAACAATCTTATCTTCTTCCCTCCGCGCACGCGGAACAGTTTACAGCGGCAAGCAGGCAGCTGAGAGGGGAGAAAGTGTGAGCAAGATGAGCCTGGACTGGCATGCTGAGCTGAAGGAGCAGAAAAAGGCGGAGGACGAAGCTGCTTTGGCTAAAGCGTACAATACCAAATAGAAGAAAATTGACGTGTCCCAGTGAAGGAAGGCATCCATCGAGATAGCAAGAGTGTATATATTCTCAAACTACCCCTTAAACTGTGTATAAAGCGCAGGAAGATGAAAAAAGGATTGATTGTTATGAAAGGGAGTCTTTCTAATGGCATGTAAAGCAGGAATTCTGTCTCTCGGAAGAGATTTATTTATCCAAGTCATTCAAACACAACGTTGCATTTGAATGTGTTTAATTGCTTTGCTTGCGCCCTTTTTTCCTTGCCCATCTTTGTGGTCGAGAGACGAAAGCATTAGTCTGTTAATCATAGTGAAGAGAGAGCAATGTGACTTCTCCATATTCTTCGTCCTTTTATTCACATATACGAGAGTATGTTAGAGTCAAATATGATAAATGCTGTTGAAGATGTTTCACAAAGAGATAATTGATCAAAGAAATATCTACATTGTTGATTCCTACGTCGCCTTTTGTGTGGAGAATCGAGTGGAAAATCCATAATAAGAGATGTGTAGTCATCTCATCTTGTTTCTTTTTGGACACTTTGAATTACTAAAGTTGCCGGGAACTCTTAAATTAAGAGAAGGCACTCAAGAGGTTTGTGATTTTGATCTTTGAACATTCCGTGAGACTTTATATGGATTTTCAGGTATTTTTCTCCAAATAATCATTAAAGACCATTAAGGTGGTTGAAAATTCCTCCTCTAGTTAGGCATCTTTGTTAACATCTCGGAAATCATTTCGATTTTCTCTGGAATTTTTCCTTCATTAGTGTGGCAAAAGACACACATTTTGTGCGTTCCGTGAAAATTTACTTAAGATCCAGAGTCCATACACCACGTGTCATTGAAAAGTACTTTGCAAACATTCAGTGGAATTTCATGTGCTCACAATGTGAATTGTCTCTGGCTCTTCTGGGGTCTCTCTCTCGAAGGAGGGTAAGAAAAGATTTACCTGTTGAAACAGGAGGGAAACACACAGGTAGTTTCCTTTTGTTGTAACTTTGGAATAGTGTGCATGAGTCTCTCTTGCTTACCTCCTCTTTCAACTTGCTTTTTGTTCACCAGAAATACACAATTCCATTCAAAGCGATGAACTCTGAACGCTGAAGGTGCACAAAGAGGAGTCGAGAAAGGACTCATGAGGGTGAATCCTGGAAGAGGGAGAGTTAAATGGGAGAGATAAAAACTGAATTCGCCCAATAAGAAAAGGCCACGAGGAGATCTTTTTCCGAGAAAGCCAGGAGGAACTGAACTCTTTTTGGGAATACATTTTCAGGCCTTTTCAGAGCCACAGAAATATCCACTTTCCAAACAAATTACCTGCACAATCACACCGGTCATTTTTTTCTCCCTCCTGCGCTCCTCACATGCTAATCTTCGGTAATGAATCAATGTGATTAATTTTTCGTGTGCCACGGAGGGAGAAAGAGTTCACGATGAAGATTGAGTGACTCTTTTGTATAGTGAAGAGGATCCAGCAAAAGAGGGAAGAAAAACCAATCCAGCTCATGAGCATTGGGATTCTTTTGCACTGTCCAGAGGTTATAAGGGATAAAATTAATCTCGCCTGGCAGTTCACAATAACCGCGACTCTCTCATCGACACACAATGCCGGTCAACTAATGATTCACGGCACACACAATTTGTGGTTTTTCAACTCATCTCAGTGAAATGGCGCATAATACACACCTCAACCGAGATGCTGTTTCTCTGTGAGCGAAATTTTCCCCTTGAATTGAGTCACGGTGCTTCTCAGAGGCCAGCGCGTCCATTCGCGGTGCTCCATCATACGCCTCCGCGAAAATCTCAAGTTCTAGCCTCGTGCGACCGCCACGATTTGCGCGCACTCTGCGATGCTGAAGAACAGGAAAAAGAGACATTTGACCTCGGAGAAATATTGCGCGGAATGCGTCAGTGATTTCTATCTGTCTCGATACTCTTGGGGGGCCTCCGGCTCGCGCCCACCCCTTGACGTCACTCGCGATTGCAAGTCATACATCTTTTGAGACAGTGAAGACTGCGGCACTTTGGCAGTGTTGGTCGGAAAAATTTCCAATTTTTGCAATACACTCCAGATCAATTGTGCACAATCACTCTCAAAGGGGCGTTCCACTCACGATGATTTCCCGCGAAACACCGCGCGGAAGAATAATAGAGACAGTTGTGTTCTTCAACTTAAGAATCTGAAGATTTAAAGCAACTTATAAAGTGTGTTTCTATCCCATTGATTCTGACTGTAAAGTCTTCAAGTATTTACAAAGTAATATAAAAAGAGACCGAAAAGAAAGAGGGCAAAAAGCGACTGGCAGTTAAAATAAGAATTAAATGATAGAGATATGATGAAAAAGGAATAAGGAATCACATTTGCAAATATGAAGAATAGAGCAATTTGATTTAGACAGTTGAGAATCAAGCAGCAATCTCTGTGGTAAACTTCAAAAGAGGTGGAAAGAATTCATAATAAAAACTGACATAGCTGGAAAAGAAGCATGATTACACTTGAGCACTAAATGAAGAAAATTGCTCTCAATCTCTAGGAAACGAATAAAGACATTCATTCTGAGCGCGCGTTGCTTGCGATTATATGATGATGGAGTGATTTTTAATAAAAATAAGCAGACATTAAACCTTTTTCAGACACTTCTTTAGTGATCCTTTTCTTTGATTAAAACCTCTTTTTTAGGTTTATTCACAGATTCCAAGAAATCAGAAATTAATTATCAATTCAATCCCCATTAACTTCTCAGCCAGTCAGCTTTTCAAGAGACTTTCGAAGATAGAGAGCCTCTCGTGATTGAGGATATAGAGAAATATTTTCTCTGGCTCTAATGAGATTCTTCTGACGATCATAAAACCCAATTTGGACTTCTTTGACCTCTCAATGTAATTTCCTCCAATTAGTGGCATATTTGTCCACCAAACATGAGAGTGTTTTCTTTCAAATTTTGTCGCAGAAACGTGCCAGACGAAAGGAAGCGTTTAACAGTAAAGGTTCTGTCGATTAAATGAGTTTTTACCAACTTATTTCAACATCTATTGACTTCCTATTGAAACGCCAGAGAGCAATTTGAGTGCACGGATCATAAAAATAAATTAATATTCAATAGAAGCCAGAGTCAGGAACCAGCAAATTAATTAAAACGCATAAGTAACGATCCAATAAGACAATAAATGCGGACAAAATCAATTTCGCTCGGGGCTGATGAAGAAACTGAGGAAAACAGATGCTTCCTGTATGATCTCTGGTAGCGGCAATAATGCCTTAGTCTCTCTGAGCCTCGCAAACAGACACAAATTTATTCTACGGATATTAATTGAAATATGCGGCTGGTAGCATCTCGAGGGCTGGAAAAAAAGTGACCAGACAGCGGAGAGCAGCACTGGAGGAGATTGCGAATTGGAAAATATGAGTGGATTGCGCTGAAAGACAAGGGGTGCAAAAATGGAATTGGTGAGGAACAAAGTGCAGAGTAATTGGCGGTATGCGCTGCAGATCATTATGTTGTGTTCATGTGCAATTTCATGTGCTGTGGCAGAGCAGGAAAAGTTGCAGTGAAATGCAGAGAAACGAGATACCTTCAATTAAATGGCAATAAATATTTTTTTATATGAATTACATATTTCATTGGCCATATCGGTGAAGACTGAGTTTTAGAAGCCATACAGACATATTTTATATCTTTTGCACTTTAAACTGACTCGTTTGCCCGCCAATGCACTCAATATTTTCATGGTGGAAATTTGCGATGCGAATGAAGAGGTTTCAGGAAAGTATTTCTACAAGTCGTTAATATTAAATCTTAGTAAATCTTCTCATATCAAGATATATCTTGAAAGAATTATTGAAAATATCATAAGGTTATTTCTCTGTGTAATCCAATGCACGAAAAGCAAGGGTAGAAAGCCGAATGAAATGAAGAAAGACGGGAAAAATGAGAAATGCCATAGTTGAAAATCAGCCAAGTTCGTGGCCAGAGGAACAAGCTGAAGCTGAGAAGTGATAAACCTCCTGCTGATTGTTGAAAATTCCATGAGGTAAGCGTAATACTTTTATTGCACAGAGAGACTTAAGATGCCCAAGAGAGCTTGCGCGAAGATGAAGACGAAGCAATGGCGATTGGAGAGGAAAAAAAAGAAGGATTGAATGGTTCTTTTCTCATATCTAGCGCGTTTTCTTATTATTATATTCCTCTGTGGTGTGTTCTTCATCTCCCGCCCTCCCTTTTGTGCGCTTCTCGCGGGATTCTGAAATGATTCTTGGCCCTCTTGTGTGTGTGTTTTATTTTTTTTTATTATTTTTCATCTTTACCTCCTCTCCGCATCTCGATTTTATGTTTATTCACTCTCCTCCTAGCATGTTCCCTGACTTTTGTACATTTTTCGTGTTGAAAAATAAATTTCCAATCCAATGGCAAAAGGAGTCTCTGGGGTGAGTGAGGAGAGCTTGAGATACAAGAAAACCTGTTTTAGGAATACATTTTGAACATTTTTATAGCATCATCCACTCAACGAATTCCATTTCTTGGCGATCAAATAATAATTGAATCCAAATATATTCTCTTGCCTTCCTTGCAGCAATGTCTCTCTCTCTGTCTTTCTCGGTTTCTTTCTTCTCGTTTTTCGCCTTTTTTTCTTTTCTGCGCTCAGCATCTCGAGTCTCTGTGCCCATTTTATCCTCCACATGGAGTCATCTCTACTTTTATACTTTTTTCTCCCGAGCAGAATTCCTCCTTGTGTTGTACACTTAATTTATACGATTTATAATTTAAGAAAATAATCTCACCAATAGATCAAGAACTCGAGTCCAAATGCAAAGACTCTTTGGATGGCGTTTGCTAAATGGAAATGACCACGCAAGGGATCTATTTCAGACGACATGCCAGCGAAATTTTCATCCAGAATCTTTCATTGGAACAACTTCAGCTCAATCAGGCGATCAATTTGCGAAAGATTGAGGAAACTTTCAAGCTTTTCAGCAGAAAATCACTAACTTTGGCGCAATTGAAAGCCATCCTCATCGAATGGATGGTCTTCTATTTGCGGTTTCACACAGTCTTCTCAAATTTATGCCCATGTCCGTGGTTCTCCCATGTTGTGCGCGCGCGCGATAAGTTAGAGGAGCTCATTGAAATTCCTCCGGTTCAATTCATCAGGCGCAGAAAAAGGTTTACGCCGTGCATCCAGTATGCTGATGAGGAGAGTACCAATTGCTGACAATTGAGGCGGGTGCAGAATCACGAAAGTCACTCGCGTTAATTAATGTCCTGACTAAAAGGTCCGCACAATTTTCTCCTCTTCCCTCGCGCTCCACACAAGACTATTTATAGCCAATTTCGAGTAAGCTTAATTGCCACAGACTTGTACATCGCTTCTCGCGAAAGCGTCTCTCCTATGCCTCGTAGCATCTTGATGCACCACCACTCGCCACACAGTCGCCAATCGTGTCCCTTCTGCTGTCCATTCTTCAACCCAAGT